TTTAAAAGATCTAGAATTGTAAGTGCTCTTTTTTGAAACATCACATTTCATAGGAGTTTGACGCGACGTAAAATCCAAAGTGAGATTAAATGGGTTTACAAAGACTTATTTAATTAATTTAATAAAGTGAAATCAAATTGTAAAGTTGTTTTTAAGGTTTTGGGTCTTCAGGTTCATCTCTTGCTTTTGTATTGTCTCTTGTTTGAAGAGTATCTTCATCTTCTTCAATGATTACAATTTCCTCCTCATTGGAAAGGATAATTCTTTGAGAGTTATTTTCTTGTGAAATTTGCAATTCCTGCTGGGTAGCCTCTTCTTCTTGTTTAAGTACTATTCTAACTGATTCTGGTTCTGTAGATGTACTAGATTTAGGGTCTGCTGGTTCTGTTTGAACAAGTAAAAGAGGATCTGGTTTTGTGACCACATCAGGAGAGATCTTTCCCAAAATTTTTTGCCATTCATCATGCCACGATCTATAGGATCTGATCTTTTTCAAATCGTCAACAGGTCTTTTAAAGTAGAGACTGTCTACAAGCTTCGAGTGGTCCGCCTTCTTCTTTCCCTTATCTGTTAAATGGTTAAGAACTTGAATAAATCCATCCCGATAGATTTTTGTTCTCTTCCTCCAAATCATCTTGAAAATAAAGTCTGAATTGAGTGGTAAACCTAAATCAAAATAGGTCATTTGGCAATATCTAGTTTTACCTTCATGAGTTCTAGTAAAGATGTGATAGAACAAGCCAGGAGCTTCTACATAGTTTTCTGTTTTCTTATTTTCCTCTTCTGATAGATATTTTGATGTAATAGATGGGTCCACAGATTTACCAACATTAATAAATGCATCCAAACCATCATCCCAGACAGTACAGTAAATGTAATCATAAACTCTCTTTTTCAGCAAAGGCATAGACAAGTCAATAACTGTTCTTCCATAAGTTTTTCCAAAATAGTTACTACCATCTTCTTGCACTTGTGGTGATGGTGGTGTATAATGTACAAAAGTATTTTCACTGAACGACAGAGGATCATAAATTTTGTGGAAATCTCCATGCCAAAACATTGCCCAACAATCTTCAAGTGCATAAGGGAGAAGCATTACTGTCTTTGCTAATTTCATTCCCTTCATTTTCTGTGGATCGAAAGAATAAGTCTCTTTCGAAAGATAGCATTGTGTATTGTTTTCATCAAAAAAAAGTTCCCAATCAGGTGTATCCTCTGCTAGTGTGAAACCAAAGTAAATATCACTGTCTGTTACCACATCCTTCCTCAAATCTTGAGGCTTAAATCTCAAATCTACTTTATACCCTTTAGAAATATCAAAGGCCATTTGCCTCATAAACTGTTCTCCCTTTCTCTTAAAGAAAGTTTTACAAGCGTTTGAACGAACAAATCTTGGAAATTGGTCCATCTTTAAATCCAAATGAACCTTTTCAATAACATCACGGAATAAATTAACAGGATGTAACCTTGTTATCAAATCTGAAAGAGCTTGTAAATCTTCAACCTCCTCAGATTTTCCAATTAGATTTTCAAACTGTTTGTGAATACTCTCCCAATTCGCCAAGATTTTTGCCTTATTCCATCCCAAATTGAGTTGGTAGCTTGAGTTTGGTTTTAAAAAGTGATCATATATCGCACCTGCTGAATGTTTAAGCTTTGTCAAGTCTGAAATAACTCGGGAGAGATTAGAATGTGAATTTGAGCTAGTGGTAGGAATGGTGGTACTTGCGACACATACTACACCACCTAAGGTACCCAGAGTAGATCTAATCAGAGGAGCCAGACATCCAGTTTGATCTCTCCTAGTAGTAGTGGAGGTGTTACTGTTAGCAATATTGTTTGGAGTTGTGTTTTGTATGTTTGGCTTTGAGCTTGGTGAGGCTGGAGAAGTTACCATTTCAGCTGGGTGTTGTGTAGTGTCGCTTGTGAGAACCATTTGTGGGAGTGTCATGGTGTTATTATCATTCGCGATAATAATACCTGTATTGGCAATTATTGTTGTATTGTTATTAGTGTTAGCATTTGCAGTGATTGTAGTGGCATTATTATTATTATTGTTATTTGTTGAATAGTGGTGCTAGCACTCGTTGCCCCACTAGTGGTGATAGATACATTGTCAGCAATAGTACCAATTTGACTGCTGGTGGTGTTAACACTGCTTGATAGGGATGATGGTTGTTGTTGATTGGTAGGTGTGGATGAATTATTATTCTGAATATTATTATTATTGCTCGTACTGCTATTGGATGAGGTAGTTGTCGTTGTTGCTGTGGAGGGATTAGTAGAGGAAGTAGAAGTAGAATTTCCAGAAGAAAAGACCGCTTGAAACTCCTTTCTACTATGCATGCTCTGATAACTGGCAACATATTCATCGGTCATCTTTAAAAACTCAAAAGGTTCTTCACTACATTCTCCTGATTGTACTTTGCGGAAAAGGCTTCTAAATTCTGGGTTTTTGATTGCCTCTTCATAAATAATTTCATAATTATCAGGATGAAAAGCCTTTTTGTTTGAATTAGTTGGAACTGATGGAACAACAGTAACAACATCCGATTCAGTCATGGTATCTGTGTGTGCAGTTGTATCATTTTGAACACCATCACTTTCTGATGAAGTATTGGTGCTCGAGAAGGTATTCAAACTATCATCGGACATGAATGTGTGATTAGATGTTATTGTTGACAAGTATTTTTTTGTGAATTTTTAAAGAGCCATCCTGTTGAAGTGGACATGATGAACGCATTAACGAATATGAATTCTTCATCATCATGTTTTGTTATTTATACTATGTTCATTACTAGTTGATGATGATGAAAATAAGCATGTGGAAATTCAATGAGCAAATTGTGTGTAAATTCCCAACGTCCGATTATTGAATAAAAATATTTTTGCCAATTAATTTTTACATCTCCACTAATTTGTGAAAATTTTCATTTTCAACATCTTTGGTAATAGTGTTGTTGATGTGAAGACATACGCAATTTTAGTTGCACAACAATAATGTAGGGAACACATGTGAATGTTCAACAACATATGAATGTGAATGATGGATGTAAAATTACAGGTCAATAATATGATGAAGAGTTTCAATGAATATGCACATGGCACATGCAATTTTCAATGTTTGATGTAGAAAATAGTAGATGTACATGTGCAAGTCATCTATCTAGCATTCACAAACACTACATTGTGTATGCCCAATTCTGATTTTCAAAGATTACATGTTGCACTTGTTGATGTTTGTTGGTGGTGAGCTTTGCAATTTTTGTTTCTGTTGATTATGGAGAAGATACAACAACGTTTGACGTTGTTGATTGGTCACTAGCTGTACTGTTATTTCTTCTTGGTGTTGTTGTATTTGTTTTCTATCCAAAAAAGGTAAAGTAAGGAACCCTCGTTAAATTTCAACAAACTTGTTCATCAAACATTTGATGCAGGCTGCTGCTGTTCATGGTTGTATACTTCCCTTTTTTCAACCATTCCTAAAGGTAATGTTCATAATTGGATACTCCTTAATTCAGATGAATTGTAGAAAAGCTTTACACATGCTGTGGAGTTGTTGAACTTTGTTGGGAAGAGACGAAACTTTGTGTGAATTTTTTTAAGGACGACAATTTCGTTTGTTTTGATGAGGTTTACTTGTGTGTTGTGTTATTTTGTTTGGTTGTTGTTGAGGTGTGGTGCGAAATTTATGGCCCATATTACACAATGCACATTAAAAGCAACTGCTGCTTTAATAACATCACACAAATAGATTGAAGATGACAACAACACTGTACTCAACGACAAATAGGCACAATACAACTCTATCCAAACAGTTTTAATGTGATATCAAGATGCTTCCGTACACATGATGATCAAGGTTCTTGTTTGTAGAAAATGTACATTTAAAGAAAATGTATATCTCTTCAATTGTAATGTGTGGTCTCACTTTAAATAGAAGCCATATCAATATGCGATTTCTCGATACAATTAATATACAACCATGAGGAGAGATTCATTCATATTATACAAGGGTTTTATATTATCAATCTCCTCAGCTATAGATGATTGAGGAGGAGTTTTATTATAGTGAAGAGATTGAATCACAAAGCTCTTTTAAATTGATTTGTTCCTTATCTATTAGAGAAGAATATCGCCCTTAATCCAAGCAACAGTCACTATCCTTTATTGAGGTAGAATGAGCAAGGAGATGAGCTATCAAACCAACCATCGCCATTAACACAAGCTCCATCGAAATGATTGGCAGAAACTCGGTAATTTCTCGAATGATAATCCTCAGTGAATGAATCAAAATTTAACAAGTTTCTGCATGAGAACAATGGAACGGCTCCATCGTGTGTCCACTGATTCATTATTGGACTGAGTGCAGCCAAGGCCAAATTAAGAGGAGTAAATGGGTTCAATCCAGAACTTTTAGTTCCACACATGTATCCAGTAACATATTTGGAGATTAATGGTGAAATTTCATTCTTCAAAACATCCGAAGTGGTGAGAGATTGCAAAGCACTTGTTGGTTTACCATACTCCTCACACAACCCAATATCCACAGCATAACTTGAAAATCCACCCAGTGAGCACACCCTCACTCCAAAATCAGCCAATGGTGATCCAAGTATTGGTCCCATGATATTGTACCAGCTGGTTGACTTGACATCAATTTCAATAAGTCCTCTGCTAATTGCTGCAGCAACCATGAGATTTCCCATAGAGTGAGCAAAGATGATGGTATTTCTAACAGTGTTGGTCTTGTTGGAAATGAAATCTGGAACTAGAATTTTGCTGACTGCTAATTGTAAATCAAAATTGTCCCAACCTCTTGAGTTGGATTCTTCTCTCATGAAAATTCTCTCTGAACAGTAGGGTGTGTAATGGTCAATTTGACCCCAATACTCGCCATTTCTGAAAGCATTTGAAGAGTAAACTGGAAGACCTGAATGTTCTCTGCTCGTTCCGTATCTGTGAGTGATTTGCATTGAGGAATAGAAATTTCGAATAGTACTTACCCATGGAGAAACACGCATCTCTTCAAAGAATTTGTATTTCGTTTTGATTGGGTAGGTTGAGTTTTTACAATTGGACCCCTTCAACCATGGTAGAATGCAAGCATGTGAATCTTGATTAAGAAAATAAGCTGTGTGATGAGAAGTTTCTTTTAGAATTCTTGTTGCTTTTCCAACAGTTTTAGAAACCTTATTTTTTGGAAACTTGTGATATTCATCCTTGAAAGATTCCACAATGGATTCTTTCATTCTTGCTGGAGCCAATTCATCAACCTTAGCTATGAATTCTCTTCCAACAATAAATCTTAAAGAACTAATATCTCTCTTTCCCTTTTTAATACAAAGTAGATAGTGCTGTTCATGAAAAGAGGAAACAACCAAATCATTTTCATGAAAATTACACAAATCATCAACAACTCTATCATAAATCTTGGTGTGATTCTTAATTATAAAGGATTTGTTTTCATACGAGTTCATGATTAGATGGAAAGGAATGTCCATATCGATTTCTGGTAATGCTGAACAAGATTGTGAGTCTTTAAGACATGATTCGGAAGTGAATCGTTCCTTTGATGAATCGAAATAATGAGAAATTGTCATGTTCAACTTTTGGTCTCGAACTGTTGCTTTGGAATATATTTGATAAATATTGGAATCGTTTCTGATGATAAATCCATTCATAAAAACATTCATTCTGATTCCATGATTTCTTGGTTGTATTGAAAGTCTGAAATTTGAGAATTGAGGAAAATTCAACCAATTTCCTTTGAGAGGAATAAAATCACCATCATTTCCAAATTTGTTAATATTTGGATTGGTAAGTTTTAATTCAAGACTTGAAACTGAATAACAGAGCAATACAAGAAGAATAGTAACAAGACTGAAGGATAGATATTGATTCATTTTTTTCTAACATCTAATGATTATGTGCTCACTCAACAAACATGATTCAGAAAATGAAATTTCCAATTATATCAAGTTTACTTTCTTGTCCAGAAAAATAAAAATCTCCAATGCGCTTTCATCTCTCTATCACACCATCGATATGGGAAACATACTGCGAGAGTTTAGACTAAACATGAAAGCTCAATAAAAATTGAATTGTGAAATTATTTACAATATTTTTACATCAAATGTTTTATTTACTTGATGGATCATTAATACCATCATTATAAATACCAAAGTTGCATTCACCTTCGGGCAGTGATGGAGAATCATAAATCTTACAAACTCTTTCTTCACCTTTACCTTTTCTTAAGAATAAACGAGTTGTTGCCATGTGAGCCATAATGTGACCACCAATTGGTTTCATTTGAACTGCACCTGCAAAAGTAGCACCATCAACAGTAGCAACTACTTGATTTGTAACAACTACAGCAACATGGAATTCATCAGCAAGTTTCAATAAACTCTTTAAGAAAGCAGAAAGTCTAATTTGTCTAGCATTCAATTCACCACGTCCAGAAAATTCAGAACGATATAAACCAGTAACACTGTCAACAATAATAACTGCATAGTGACTTTCTGAAAGTAATTTTGGAGCTTCACTCAATAATTTTTCTTGGTGATCACTTGAATAAGCTCTAGCAAATGTAACATTATCTAAAACTTCGGAATATTTAAGACCAAAACGATCTGCAATTGGTTCTAAACGTTCAGGACGGAAAGTACCTTCTGTATCAATATAAAGTGCTTTACCTTCACCACCACCACTTTCAAGAGGTAATTGACAAGTTACACAAAGTGTATGACAAATTTGTGTTTTACCAGTTCTAAATTCACCAAACATTTCTGTTAATGAATTTGATTCAATACCTCCACCTAATAATTTATCTAATTCCTTTGATCCTGTTGAAACTTTGATTACTTTCTTTCTAACTTCTTGATATTGTGTTGCTGATGAAAATCCTGATGGAAAAAGTTTTTGTGCTGCTTCTATAATTTTATCAGCTTTTTGTTCACTGATACCTTTAACATTGATAATAACTTTCTTTGGAGTCATGATGAGTGATTGAACAGTATGGAAATTACCTGCTACAAGTTTTTTAACGTCAGTAGCAGAAATACCATGGTTTTCTAATTCTTGAATAGGAATAAAAGATTCTCCTACTTCTACAGCTTCGGATGTTTCTTCAGCAACTTCTTCTTCTTCTTCAACTTCTTCTACGACTTTAGATTTGGCTCTTGGCATTTTGATGAATAAATTTGCTTAGGGTTTTTGTACAATTAGTTGTTTTGATTATTTTTTAGCTTGTTGTTTTCTGATGATGAAAAGTTCCAGCGTATTTTATTTAAAAATGCGCAGCAAGTTAATTTCTTGTGAAAATTGGAAGAGAGTAAAAACTGGAACTTGAGAATCAAAAACCGCCAAAACAAAAAATACATGATAAAGTAGAAGAAGAAACAAATTGAATTTAATAAGAGGGATATGTGATAATATACTTTGAGATGGTTATTGGTTGGATTGAATTTAAAATGATATCAAAAAATGCAAAGACATCATCAACAGCTTGTTGATTCAGAAGTAAAATCATCAACAGCAGTGATGAAGCCTTCTCTTTTATCGGAGCATGTTAGAACATCTTCTTCAACAAGAAATGATTATATTGATAGTATGTTTTCAATGATGATAGAGGAATAATAGAAAATTATTATCCATTAAATAGATATTCAAGCCTGTATTGATGTTGGAGAAAAATTGAAAAGTCTTCTTGGTCCTAAAGCTTTGGAAAATTTAATTGTGGATAGGGAGAGTGGAGAAATAATTATTACTAATGATGGTGCAACAGCTATTGAATATATGGTAAGGATTAAAGTTCGAATTGCTATTATAATTTATGGATTCATAGAAATTTAATAATCCTCTTGCACAATTATTTATTGAATTGAGTCAATCAGTGGATGATCAGATAGGTGATGGTACTACATCTGTGGTTGTATTGGCGTCTTCAATGTATGTTGTAAAATTGTTGATTGGATTCTAATGATAATAGGTTGGAGCAATCTTTGAAACTCATTAGAGAAGGTGTTCATCCAATGAAAATTGTGAAATACTATTCGATTTTTAATGACATTATTGAAAAACATTTGACTGAATATCAAGCATTAAAATTAGAATTGAACAATGAATCCAGTAAATCATATATAACACAGGTAAATATTTCAATAATTTTGGATATTAATATATTGGATGACAAAGCTGGTCAAGACTACATTAAATTCTAAATTTTCTAGCACTTCGATTCCAAATCTATCCCATATTGCTGTGGATTCAATGTATATAACAAAGGGAGAACGAAGATTTATCAAAATTATTAAGAGTGGAAAAGCAGAAAACTCTATAACTTTCAGAGGATCAAGTACGAATGAAACAAAAATTATATCTAATGAAATAATTGTAAATACCAATTTTATACACGAGAATATGAAGGAAAATGTAAATTTAAAGAATCAAAAATTAGCACTTGTACTATTTGAGCTTGATAAGCCAAAAGCTCACAAGTCAAGGTTGGATGACATCAACTCTATTGATAATTCCCAAATTGATAGACTTATCAAAGAGGAAGAATCATATATTAAGAAAATAGTTGTTCAACTGAAAAAGCTAGGAGTAGGCTTGATTTGTGTTCAAGAAAATCTCTCTGCAGGGTTTCATGCAGGCGTTTCGGATACAGCAAAATTTTGGCTCCAAAAATCAAAAATCAATTGTATGATACCCATCTCAAAAGATGAAATGAATTTAATTGCAGATGCATTTCAGTTACATGCCATATCATCTATTGATCAGCTCAGTAATTTGGTAGAAAGTGGAACCACAGAAGAAAAAGGTAAATTTGTTCAATCAATAGAATATGTGAAGCATCTTAGTATTGGAAGACAATCATTTATATCGTTTGGACAAACCGCAGAACAATACCAAAATTATCCATGTGCAACTATTGTACTGAGTGCTCCAACTCAAGTGGCTGTAGATGAGGTAGAGAGAGCACTACATGATGCACTTAGAGTAGTGGAAGTTTGTTTCAAACATCCTTCACTTGTACCTGGAGGTGGTGCATGTGAAATGTCACTCTCGGCCTACATTCATTGTAATTTTCTTAATAGTACCACAAATAGTAATAAGTGCTCTCCCTTAGAAAAACTGATAATGGCTAGTTTTTCTAATGCTATTGAGGAAGTACCTCACATACTCAGTCAAGGATGTCAAAATCATGTTCCATCAGCACTTTTGAATGAATTGAGACATATTTATACAGAGTCAATATATCACAACCAACCAAGCCCAAATGTTGGCATCTATCTAAGCAATCAACAAGAGGAAACCCTTCACCCCATCCAAGACATGAAAGAACGGAAAGTTTTCGAATTACTTCACAGCAAAATCTCACAAATGAAAATGGCTCTGCAAACAGTTCAACGAATCCTCAAGATTAGAAAAGTTTTCATTTCCACTCCTCCAACCACTAATAAATAATAATCTTAATAATATTTTACATCATTGTACATTTAAATTCTCATACTTTTCTTGCAATTTAAACCAAGAAGAAATTGATTTTGCTATGAAGCAGCATTCAATCAAATTGTTTCAAAAAGAAAAATAAATTAAAAAATAATTGAAAAAAATATTCATCATCACAAATGGGCCTCCGTCAACTTCTCAGCAAGATTCCAATCGTTAAATACTTTGTTCCATCGGATAATGTCATGGAAAAGTCATATGATTGGGTTAAATATTTTGGAAACTTTGGATTTTCTGCTCTTTCAACTTTGATGGTTATTTATATTCCATTGATGATTGCTAACGATCTTGAAAAGCAATCACTCCATAAGATAGTGAGTGCTTCTTATGGTGTTAAATTGGAAAACAGAAATTCATACCCTCCATCCCAAAGTAGTAACGTTAATGTTCTCTAAAAAGCTTCCTTTTCCACAACATTACGAATTATATCGAATGATGACTCACCTTTTAACTTTTTCCGAACAACATACCACCCCATTCTCACTTCCCGTTTCTTTTAATTAAAAACAAAAAATCCTTTAAATCCTTTTGTTATTATTTATTATATTTATGTAATATTACATTACTCAAATCGATGGTCATAAATTAAAGTTCTAATAGAGTGAGGAGGAATAACCATTTCTGCAGCATAATCAATGCCAATACTCATATCAATCAATTTGAAAATTTGGCTTGTTTGTTCTTGATTCATGACAATAACAACCATCTTATTTTCTGGTGTGATAAAGCTGGTAACAAGTAAGGTATCGAGGGTATTTTCATGAGCAATTCTTACAGAACCTTCAGTCAAATACTTTGAAAAGTGACCCATGTAGTAATACATTGGTTGCAAATAGATGGATTGAGTCTTATTGTTGGCAACAATGGCAGCATCACACCAATTTTGCATATGAGTTGGTCCACCAATTGGATCGAGAATGCAATTCCAATCAGTCCAACCTTGAGCATAATTTTCCAAATCATTAATAATGTCAAATCCATAACTTTCACCTCTTCCCCAATCTCCAAAAGCAACACGGGGTCCTTGAGTTGCCTCAGTGCCAAGCAGAATCTTTTCAGGAGCAATATCATGGGCCATTGTCAAGTGTTCATATTGTCCATTGACATACCAGTGGAATGCAGTTCCAGCTGTTTCAATAATGAGAAAAATTGTAAAACAATTATTTATATTAAGAGAAATTGAATAGAACATAACTACATACCAACATATTTAGATGCTTCCTTATCAGCATAAATAATCTCAGCCCACAAATGAACATGATCTCTATTGTGGTCATATATTAAAATGTTAACTTCTGGATGGTCCTGCTTAATTCTTGGTCCAAGATGTCTCTTAATAAAATCTCTTTGGAATTCCGCAGTATAAACACAACTGTTATCCATTGAGAATATATTCCAATAAAAACTTCAAATTGAAATCAAAACTTACGCTTCATATGGGCTTTAAATTGACAATTAATAAGAAAATTATTGAAATACTTACGCAGCAAATTCAGGTTCATTTTGAACAGTCAATCCCCAGAATGGAACACCTAAATTCTTATAAGCAGTAATATATTTTGAATAGTATAAGGCCCATGAATCCAAAATTCTAGTTTCATTAATCAATCCAATTGGTGTTGAACTTCCATTCATGTCATTATTAATTTTCATCCATGCAGGAGGACTCCAAGGAGAAAGGAATAATTTCAATGGTTTTCCATTAAAAGTTCTAGTATTATTTACCACTCTAGAAACCAATGGATATTTGAATAATTTATCTCTATTAATATTGAAATATTTCAAATCATAATCTCCATTCACATCATCACAACTATAAGTTCCCAATGAAAAATCACATGAATTCATAGGAATTCTTCCAACAGTATAATTTAATCCCTTTGGTGACCAATACAAATCAAGTATTTGTCTCTTTACATCTTCATTCATTGTTGAAAAGACAAATGATGAAGCCTCAGTCATGGCACAACCAAATCCAATAATCTTTTGCTTTTTATCTTTAGGATTCAACAAGACAAGATTATCATTCATATTGGGAATAGTCTTTTTAAAGGAAATTGAATCAATTGGTGTCAAACGATCATTGGTATTTTGTGCAGTTTGAATCACTTGAATAATTGGAAGGCTTTCTTGTTGTTTTTTAAAGATGGGAGAGGAAGCATGAATCAATGCTCCTCCTCCGTTCTTCTCCATCAGAGGAAATATATTGCTGGTGATTATCATGATGACCATCAGCAGCGTCATCATCATGTATCTATTTGAATGAATGCCTCTTTGGAGTGACAACATTTTTTTCTGTTGTTTTATTTCATGAATTGGTGCTAATAATAATCGGGTTATCATTGGTAACTCCTAAATGTTAAATAAGGAAATATTATGGAATACATTTTACAATGAAACCATTCTTCTTGTTTATTAAGGAGAAAATGAAGGAGCTATTAATGAGCCTACTTGATATGAAGCAGTACTTGTCATTGAATAGTGATGCCTTATATTTCATCCATTTTCAAAGAATTTCAATAAAACACGGTTTTTGTAAACCTTCCGTAGTACTTATTTTGCTTCCAAACATGAATTATCTTAAATGTTTTTGTCTCATTTCAACAAGTTCATCAAGTAAAACGTTGAATGACCACATGAATGAAGGAATTTCAATTCTCAAATAATCACCAGAATTATTAACCTCTAGTGCTCGAAAATCCTGATTAGTCCACAAGTGATATGCATTTCCTTTCCATCTTGTTATTTGTTCGAAACATCTCCAACTCTCTAACCTTGGAGAGTTCCATATTTCCAACAAAGCTGATGTTCCTTCAGGTAAAAAGAAAGTATGTGTCAAACCAGCTCCATGAAATCCTATCAGAAAATCTGAATTATGAACCAATTCTATTTGCTCTTTCAAACTGTAGTGTACAAAATCAACCTTTTTCACTTCAAATTCTTTAGAACGAGAATGTTTTTTAATGGCATTGACCACATCATCTTCATTTGTGATTTGTCTGGCCATGTATTGATGATCCACTCCATCCTTCTGGTATGGTTTTCTACTGATAAACAATATTTTGATCAAATCACCTTGTTGTGCTCTTCTCTTCTTGATATTCAATCCAGATAGAATCATATCTGCAAAAGAACGAATCAGTTCAACTTGAGAATGACATGTATGCTGATTAATGGCAAAATCTTTGAGACTTGAAAACAATGGTGTGGCGTAACCACTTGATGCAAACAATGCATTCTCAAATCTAACTGGTCTTCCTTTGAAATGAGAAGCTTTGACCACTGGCCTAGAAACTGAGAGAGTGTGATTCCACAAAAAATCCACAAAACCCTCATAATGTTCATCCATCAGAACAACCTGGAGTTTTTGGTTCTTGGTTTGGAACATCTCCAAGATCAAGTAACCTGCATAAAAGTCAGAAATGGCGTGGAACAAGTTGACATGTTCGTCTTGTTCCCTAAAAATGAAAAGTGTAGTTCCTGTAACTATTTCCACATCATTATGTGAGATTCTCAGTTTTTCGTTTGGTGATAAATCATCTACAGATCGAAAACTTGAGAAAATGTCCTTACCGAAATCCTTTGAAAAGTAATCTAAATTAAACCTTGAATCGTGAAATTTACAATTGCCAATTAATGCCCCTCTATTATAATTGTAATATGTTGGCTTTTTACAAAAGTAATTAGGTCTATATCGAAGACACTCAGCATGTACAAGTTTTGAAAAGTCTATAATCAAATTCTGAGATTTACAAACTGTATGTGGTTTGGTTCCACCTGGCAAGTGTTTGTTATTGAAATTGTAACAAACCAAGTTGGATTTATAATCCCCTTTTCCACTCGAACGCCAAATATTCTTAAACAGTTGGAATTTCGATTTTGGTGGTTCTGTAATGGTTTCTTCCTCTCCACAAAATATGAGTGGTTTCTCTTTCCATTTCCTTAATAATCCACAATCATATTCATCGTAACAAACTCTATCTTGACTCCTCTCAAACAGTGAGCTATTCTTCATATTCTGTTCTGAACAGATCAGTTGTGGAAGTTTCCTCCACATGGTTTGCTGCTGATTGGTTTGTGAGAGAGGAATACTACTTCTCAGAGAGACTAAAGAAGGCATCCTTAGCGAGCTAACATCCACTCTAAATCTATGACTACTATGTACAATCAGGATAAGAATCATCAACACAGAACAAATGGCAAGATAGATTTGAAATATTTTCACGAGATTCATGTGTTGTTTGCTGCTTGAGTTTATCTTCATTTTTTCATGTAACACAGTACGTTTAAAACATCACCACACCATATGGGATTGTTTATGAGGTCGTTTGGTGTTGTGGCGTCGGTGAGTTTCCCTAAATGATCATGTGTTTTTGTGTGCCCTTAATATTCGTGCTCTCAATCTTTTTTATATTTGCTTTAATTGGTGAACCGTATTGAATGGCAGGAGATTTGGCAACACAAAACAATCCCATTCGATTTTAAGAAGCTCCTTTTTCATTCAATGTATTGGAACCTACATTTTTAATGAGTGGCAATGAATGTTAACTTGTATCTGTGATATTATACAAATGTTTGATTCAGGCATGAGGGAATGTTCTTAATACATTATTTTCTAATGCTAACCATCCTCTATTTCCAATGATTAGAGAGATAATCTTGTTCACTGTTCTCTTCTTTGAATTTCCTTAGTAAAAAATTGTCTACTGACAACATGACGATGATGATCTGTTTTTGTAGCGTCATTTTACAAGAAGGTAATTTGTCCACCTCTGCCTCATGTAAAGCAATTCCTCTTTCATGTCTAGTACGATTGACCGTTGCACAATCCTTTAAATCCATAATGCCGAAAAGAAGGTTCTAACATTGTTCTGATGTTGCGAACTGTCCAAACAACCAAGAATGAAACAAAGTAATAGAAAAAAATATGCAAAGACTACTGATTCATAGTACTTCACCTCTACCTGATGACGAGGAGTCTCAGGTGATGATGAATTCACCATCGTCAAAGATTCTATCAAATAATCTTTGTCATTCTGCAGCTCAATCACTAACTAATAATACCTCACCTATATTACTGACAGACAAACTTAAACCAACAATATCCAATGGACAGAAACAAGCCATAGAATGCTCAACCAAGCTGCTGTTCATTCTCTCTTTAGTAAGCCTTTTAGCAATGCTCTGTTTAACCATCCTGAGTACATCATCTTCATCATCAACCTCAGTGGCCAGCACTAAATTATCTGTAAATGTAATGCACAGTGGTGAATTTATCAGTGTGGATGAATCATTTGTTGTGAAGGCAAGAGTCTTTCCAGTCACTTATCTGGATGTAGATTTTTCCAATCCAGAAAATCTAAAACTGAATAGGGTGAGAGGTATTTGCAAAATTTATCTATCTACCTACTTTATGTTTAATTATAATGAAAGAAGATCATCCTATAATCCTCCTACTGTTATTGGTGCCGATGGTTTGGGAGAGACTCCATACAGTAAGTAATAATCTCATTATACTTTTCATCACATGTTAATAATTTGATAGCACATTGGAAGAAAATAGAGAGAACACTTCAATTCCTAACAGGAGAGGAATCAAATTATATAAGTGATAACGATATCGTTGTGTTTAGTGATTCAACGGATGTGTTTTTCATTAATAATATTGAGGAAATAAGAAATGTCTATGAAAATTACTATGTGAAGGAATTAGCTAAAATTGATTTGGAAGCAGATGCAGAGAAGGATTGGCCATTAGTATTCATTGCCGAGAAGAATAAGTGGCCTCCAAATGAGTATATTCAAAACATGTTCGAGGTAAGTGCAATGCATTCAAATCACATCTTAACATTCCTTAATAATTATTCATTTAGAAAACACAAGAGGAAACGGAAATGGTGAAAAAACACTATTACAACAAGGATGGATATCATGTTTATAATAATTGTGATAGATCCAATCAGAGAATTTATCTGAATAGTGGTCTCTATGTAGGAAGAAAACGTGACATTAGAAAGGCCCTCACCATTGGAATTAATATCAAGAGAGCAGAGCCAAAGGAAAGATTGGGAGATCAAGCCGTCTATCAGTACATTTACACAACCAAAAAGTATCCAATTCTTATGGATTGCGAGTACAAAATGTTCTTCAGTCCATTCTCTGTTTGCCATACTGTTGTTAGTAATCCTGCAAGCAAGTGGTCATGTTCAATTAATGAAAATAATAAGCCAACACCAAATACTGTTGTAGCTCTGCACTCTAATGGAGGATTTTGTCCCTCATTGTGTAATTGTTTCAGCTCGATGAAACAAAAGGGTTCCTTCAAGAAGATGCTCACTCAATACAAGGACACTATGAGTTTCAAATCCTATGATATCAACACAAAGAAGGTGACTGATGTGTTGATGGACTATGCTTGTGGACGCTTTGTTGAAGAGAATTTCCCACAAAAATCCTGCAATGTTCAACCTGGCAAGTAATGAGCTCAGTAAATGGTAAATAATTCTCCTTTTGGATGCGTTGAATCCAAACCATGTTCTAATATAGAATTAAACATATTAGCACCTTCAACAGTATTATACCAACCAAATTATAATTTATTGAGATGCAAAATAAATAGTTTTAGTCATCAAGTATCGATCCTAAAGATACAGTAATGTTACAGCGTATGGTTGTCCTCAAAACCGAGGGTGAAAGACTAATCAAGTTATCTCCAAAAAATCAACAAGCACATCCCATAGATTACTCCTTTCCTCGTAGGTCCTCATCCATAATGTCCTCATCTTCATTGATTTCATCCTCTCTGTCCTCTCTTATTTTCCTCATTCTTTCCAATGATTGATTGTATTCGTATTGTGTTTTTGCGTGAATAGTGAGGGCATGTAAACCATCCCGAAATTCATCAGAAATAGCCTTATGAATCATTCGATGTCTCTTAACCATTGTTTGTCCTTCAAAATTATCGGACACAATAGTGATCCGAAGATGTGACTCTCCACCAGCTTGTTTGAAAATATCATTGTGTGCTCCATCATTTTCATAGGGTTTGGAAATGTTTTTAATTGATAATTTAATAGGAGAGAATTGATTGGTGAGTGTTTTAATAATCCGAGAGGAACGTGTGGCTGACATTTTTTATAATTCATTTGTTATAAAAACTTCCATTTTGAAAACACTTGCCATAATATTCATATATATATATGAATGCAATTGTTATACTCAATGTTGAGTGAGCAAGAAATTTATTCATCATCCTCTTCGTCTTGGTTTTCATTGTCTTCATCTTCATAATCTTTGATTGGATATTTGCTTTCCAATAAATTATTCTCATCTCTCTCACCAAGATATACATGAATTTTAATGTACTTATTCAAATAGGTCAATGAATGTTCTGGATATCCACAAATACTGTTCGAAAGTCTTTGAATCCACATTATTAAATCCAAATCAACAAAAACTCCATTATTATTTGGTAAATGTTCAGAAACGAAGAAGCATCCTTCTGAACTATAGGCTAATGCCTTTTCATCATTTTCTAAATGAACACTTCCATATGAATTACTACAGGGAACTTCAACAATTTTGTAAACTATTTCACATATAATTACAATAAAAATATTTCAAAAATTACAAACCTTGATTTGTCAACTCATTCTTAACTCTTGTCAAGAGTAAACTTCCATATCCTGCACATTCTTCCTTAAAAAAGTAAGCATACTTATTTTCACATTCAGTTGAATCATCTGAACCACCATCAAACCAACTACTTGCCAATTGTTTCATTTCCAAAGTTGGTTCAAAGTTTTCATCGCCATCTTTATAGGAACATTCGTCTACTTCACCAACGAATAGTTTAGAATACTTTTTGTAGATATTTTCATGTGAAAGAATGGTCAACTTGGAGAAACTTTTCTTTAGGGCAAAGTGTGCCTTGTGAATGGATGAAAATTTACTTTTCACACTTTCGAATACTTGACCACCAACCACAGGATCTTGTTCATTAATCAGCCTATCGTAATAAACTTGTTGAAATTGTTTCTTCCATTGTGAATCATCATTTAACACATATGCAAAATCTTGGTTGACCAAAATGGCACTCAAAATATCTGGAACAGTAAGAAACTGGGCAATACAATCCACTACTGTACTGGACCATGGAGAAGTGCAATTTGTGCGCTTATTGGGTGTTGTGGATTCTTCCAGAGATCGTTTAGACATTTTTTTTGGTTGTGACTTGATTTCCGGCGGGAATAGGAAAGATTACAAGATTTGCACCAAGATATCTTTGTCACTTTGTAAACTACAAATGTTCTTTATATTCTAAACATTTGTCTGCTCATCATAAATTAACATTAAATGGTCAATTGAAACTGTTGTGGTATCTACAGGTATCTATCCGTGATTTGAAATAATATTCTTAAAGTTGGTTTAACCACAATAATCAAAACAATGAATTTCCAAGTAAAAGATAAAGGTCAGAGAGTGAAAAGTAAGTTAAATATGTAATATTCAAAATAATTAAAAAATTAATAAAAAATGCCAAAAAGTGCCGAACAACAAATTGAAGAACAAAGGTAAGAAGAAATTTCTTGATGATGGATTTATTTATAAACATAATGAACGCGTGATGTTGGATTTAATATCGGAACAATAGTCAAATTCAAGAAATTATTCAAAATATTCTTATTGACCAAGAACAAATTAATCAACTCAGAACAAAACAAAAGCAAGCTACTCTTGCTGAATCGAGCATAGATAAATTAAAGGATGATGAAAAAGTGTGGTCTTGCGGAATTGGAGGATTTTTCATTCAAGTTGACGCAAAGGAAATGAGAGAAATGATTAGAGAGGAGAAGAAAGTTTGCAAATCGGAACAAAGTCAAATTTCAAATCAAATTGAAGAAAGTCAAAAATTATTGACGAGTATTGATCCTACTGATGTTTATAAATTGCAACAATTATACTTGAAATAATCATCATCATCCAATGGAAAATAATTATTTGGTAACCTATCAAACAACACAATCGAAAAAAGCATTCCAAGAAATAGATGAACAAGAATGAAGTGACTTGTATAACTCTCGAAATAAACTATTCAATGCAATCTGTTTATTTGTAACGAGCCTATTTTTGATTATTTGTTGATTAATGCAATATTAGAGTAAATATTAAAATTGCATTAATTTACAAATAACTTTAAAAAAATGAAGAGAAGTCACGAAGGCGAAATTCCACCACTCGATGTTTCTGCTACAACATCTGATGCAACACCAAAAACCAATGATATGACTGATGAATCACCACGATCGACAACATCCGAAGGAGGTTACAGAGAAAATTACAATAATAGAGGAGGTGGAGGTTACAGAGGAAGAGGAAGAGGTGGAGGAGGTTATCGATCAAATCAACCTAAAAAGCCTAGACAATACAAACATGCTGTAGAAAAATTATTTGATGATTATTCAAATTCATTGGATGACTCTAATAATAGAAAGGAAAGAATTTATAAAGCTACCAGAGATGTGACAATTGAAGCAAAACAAATAATATTTAATCTTCATAGATATGATCCAAAGCAGGGAAATAAGGAGGAAATTTTGAAGGAAGCCAAAGAAAAAATTGATTCCATTGTAAATGAACATTTATCGATTGTAAAAAAGGAAATTGATGAAAAATTTAGTGAATACTTTTGGAAATATGCTAGATCTTATTCATTTGGATTGCAAGAATTGATTGAAGCCATTTCTTTCTATTACTATATCAAGGATGGAAGTTTAGTAACTTGTGAAAATATTGAAAAGGATACAAATTTCCCAGTTAGTAGATTGGATTATTTGCTTGGTATTTCTGATTTAACAGGTGAATTAATGAGATTTGCCACTAATCATTTTACAGTGGAAACTATTCCTCCATCAGTTAAGGATTTTATGAGTGAGCTATTCTCCCATTTCCAAAACCTACTTGTTACCTGCAAGGGTCTTTCACCTTATGAAGAAAAAGATCTCAAAAACAAGATTGAAATTATGGAAACCTCATTGTCCAAAGTTGAAAAACTCTGTTACAATATCACTCTCCAAAAGAATGACAAATATGTGAATTATAAATTAATTTAATTTTAATATTAATATTCAACTATCACTTATCATTACAAAATTGAGAAGATCCAAAGAAAAAACTCAATCATGAAATGCTTCATTTGCCATGATGATCAAGACCCCATTAAACAGTGTTCAATCCCATCATTACATTGAATGTTTAATTTAAATATTGAATTGTCGATAAAAAAATGAAATTATGGGAATTAGAGTCCTTTTTGCAGGATCACATTCAAAACTTCCAAAAACCGAAAATTAAATTGGAGCAATACATAACAACTCCACACTTGGCCTCTCATACATTGTACACTGCTCAATTTTCTTTTGATGATATTGAAGGAAAGGAAGTTTTGGATTTGGGAATCGGAACAGGTAATTTATCAAAATTTAAATTAATCATCAATTTGTGATGATGAAAAGGAATGCTTGGATTGGGAGCTTGTTTACTTGAAGCAAAACATGTGACTGGAGTTGATATTGATGAAGATGCATTGAATATTTGTCGTGAAAATGTTAAAAGTATTATTGATGATGTTGATGAAGAAATGGCTCAACATTTTACTTATCGTCTTGATCTAATTCAAAGTGATGTTTTGCAATTTGAAAGAATGATAAAGAATAGAGCTCAGAAATTAAAGGACAAGTATAAAAAAATTGAGGATGGATATAGATTATTCGATACTGTATTATTAAATCCACCTTTTGGAACAAGAATTAAGGGTGCTGATATGATGTTTTTGAAAGTGGCGTCTGAGTTGACAAGAAATGCTGTCTACAGTCTTCATAAAACAAGTACAAGAGATGTAAGTAATCACAAGTGAGATATTTCAATTAATTTTGATTTATTATGTCAATGTCAATGAATAATAGTATGTCACACAAAAGGCTGCCAAGTGGGGATTTGAAGTTAAGGTTGTTGCTGAATTAAATTATGATTTGGAAGCTTCCTATTCATTCCACAAAAAGAAGTCACAACAAATTCAAGTTGATTTGATTAGATTAAAGAGAAAGAAATAGGGTAACATTGTGTCTACCCTTCTGGAACTATTCCAATAAACAACATTAAATTATTATCTTTTAAATTTCCTTTTAAATTAATTCCAATAATTATTTAATTATTTTACACTAAAATACAATTTATTACACTTAGCGGGGGTGTGTAAATGTAATATAATCAATGATGACTAGTTATGATATTGTTTTTTGTGATCTTTCATCACCATCAATCATTTTCACATTCACAAAATTATTGTTGAGCACCTGTTGATTGAGTAGTAACAGTATTAGCAGTATTTCTTGGTTGTCCTCTTCCTCCTCTATTTCCACCACGTCCACCTCTTCCTCTACCTCTTCCACGAGGTCTGCTCATACCTCTTTGAGCAGCACCACCAGTTTGTGCAGCACCTGAAGTTTGAGCAGTACCACCAGTTTGTTGTTGTTGTTGAGCAGTTTCAGGATTTCTTTGACGTGGTTGACGAGTAGTAGCAGTGGTAGTAGTAGTTGCTGTTGTAGTAGTAGTTGCTTCTCCACCAGTTTGTTGTTGTTGTTGTTGTTTACGAGTAGCACCACTTCTGAATCTTCTTCTTCTCTTTCCAGCAGCAGCACCTTCACCTCCAGCACCAACAGGAACCTTCTTAGTAGAGATGATTTGTGGAGCAGTGACTTGATCAGCTGGAATTGGTGGTTGATAACCCAAGTCAGAAGTATCCAAAGCCTTCTTTGACAATTTAATAACAATAGAACTGACAGTACGCTTCTTGGTAACAACATCCATACCTTCTTCCTTTGGTTCGTATTGATCTTCAATTTCTTGTGATTCGATGGAAGTAATTTGATGCAAGCCAGCAACTCTTCTCTTCAAAACCTCAGCAATGGTAACAGCCTTTTGAATAGCCTTGCCCATAGCCTTCAATACAACAGTATCGAATGGTTCGGATGGAGTTTGGACATCTTTTTCTTCCTTTTGCAAGAGAGTTGGATCTAACAAACCAACAGCATAGGAAATGTAATTTCTACTTCTACCTTGAGCGGTAATTCTAATTTCATTCTTTTGAATTTCATTGTTGTTGTTATTGGAAACACCACTACCACCAGTAGCACTTGAAGCCTTGTTGCCAACCTTCTTATAGACGTTTGATGAGGACATTGGTCACTTTGTATTATATTATTGATATATTTTTTTCACACACCTGTTTGTATTAAAAATAGATTGATCGGAATATTTATTACAAAGTTTCAAAAGCACAACTGTTGTTTATTCCGATTTTATTATTTTAACAAGAAGAATTAATGTTTTATTAGAAGAAATATGTAGGTGAATGAAGAAATGAATAATTAGATGACTTTCTCTGCAATCTTGTTATTCAACTTGTCAATCTTGAATAATTTCTCTCAAGAAGGGAATTGAAAAATAAATTACAGACATACCTATTCATCTATTAAGTGATATTGAACTGTGAGAGTTAAGAGTTCAGTTGAACTTTATATAAAAAAAAATGAACAACATTGTTACGAGAATCCTTCTTCTCTATCACATCATCTTCTTTTCATATCTTATCTCTCTATCAATACAACAAACAATGATATCGATTGAACCGAGACAGAATTATGCTCTTTCATCAAAGGCCTTTCGATACGGATACTTTTATATGAGTTATGAAAAATTGGCATCCTCACAGGCTGGATTTAGAGTTTCCAAGAATGTAAACAATCCCACTTCGTTGAATTTGGATTATTTACCAACAGGTGATGGATACAATTCAAATTTTGATGATAGCACGGCTGTTGTTAGCTCTATAATCAAGTTGATACAATTTTCAAATCCGATTGATTATTATTTTGTCCTGTTTAATCCATCATTGAGTGAGACTAGTAATGTGACGATTCATTCAAAAATTGTGGAGACCTATAGACCTTTTTCATTGTCGAGCATGTATTTTACGTATTTGCAAAAAGGAGAAATTGAAAAGACATCATGTCCTTCAACTATTTCTCCGTGCATTGATATTACTAATTCAAAGTTTTATATTTCTGTTAATCCATCTGATATTTCATCAGCTCAGTACAAGAATAATTATCCAGTTAATTTGGAAATTTATGTGCAATATTCAGCAAGTGCTGTTAATTCAAATGGTGAATTGATTTTAGATGCCACTTCACCTTTTACCACTATCTCTTTGAAATCATCACAAGATTCTGCATCTATCACTGTACCAGTTCCACAAGGAGTTTTACAAGTTACAAATGCAAAAGATGTAAAGCCGTACTTGTGGTTTAAATGTTTAGATGCTAATTATATGTAGAGGCACCATGTTCTTTCGGATATACCATTACTAATACTCCTGCCACTGATTCGTCTAATTCATCAGCTGTTATTGGAATTATTGTTGGCATTGTAGCTGCCTTAATAGTATTGATTGTAATTCTCATTCTAATAGTTTTTGCTTTCTTTATGTATAGAGTTAAGAAGGCCAAGATTGGAAATAAGAAAGTTACAGATCCAAACGCAAACAATCATCAAACATTACAGCCTATTCAGCAAGTTGATCCTATAATTCAAAATAGACCTGTTATTAATATTGATTCAATTCCATCATACAAGTCAGATAATAGGTCAGATAATGGAGCACCCATTGCCTCCTATGTTCCTCTATCTAATACGGATTCGAAAACCTCAACCTTAACTGGACTCACCAATAGTTTCAATTCACCAATGGATTCAACACCAACCCCCACTCAGCCTCAAAGTGAACAAGGTGATTTATTGAATATGAGATACAAACCTATTGAAAAGATTGGAAATGGATCTTTTGGAATTTGTTTCCTTTGTCAAGACACAAAGAGAAATAATCAGCTAGTCGCTATTAAGGGGATTAATTTAGAAAGCAACGATCAAGAGAAGATTATTTCAGAACTTTCAAAATCGGCTACCATTCAACACCAAAGAATTGTGGAAGTTTATGAATTCTTTGTTTCCAAACAAATGAATGCATTCTGTCTTGTGATGAAATATTATAGTGGAGATTTGGAAAGATGTGTGTTGAAATATGGAAAAATAATGCCAGAAATTGTTGTCATTCAGCTTTTGAAACAATTAGGAGAAGGTTTCGATTATCTTCACAGAGTAAAGCAAGTAGTTCATAGAGATGTGAAACCGAGAAATATATTTGTAAATAATTTTGATGAGCTGAATAATCAAATATCAGTTGTTATTGGAGATTTGGGTGAATCCAAAGAACTGTTTGTTCAAGAAAACACGATGAGAGGTACAGTTCTTTACATGGCTCCAGTAAGTATATTCTTAATTGATTTACATATTAAGCAATTTGTTTAGGAAGTATTTATTGGAAAGTATGGATTCCCTGCTGATATTTTCTCATTGGGTGTCAGTCTTTATCATGTCATGGTTGGAATGAAAAACCTAAATGTGCCAATTGGTCAGCAAATGCTAGCCAGCTCTGAACAGGAAATTAGTTCCAGAATGAGGGAAGAAATGCTGAAATTAGGATACAGTGATAAGCTTGTTGATTTTGTAATCTCCATGATTCGTGTTAATCCTAATGATAGACCAACAGCAGAGCAAGTCAAAGCATTCACACCACTCGATTTGGCGTAATGAAATGCAACAACAAGGATAGTTTTAAATTATTTCAAATTTTTATTTCTGAAAAAAATTGAATCTTAGGTGATTTTACAAAACAGCAATCTTACCAACAAGAACTGCTGAATTGGTTGGTTCGTGGTGCAAAATAAAAGCAAATGGTCTATCCAAAACAAAATTAGAATCATCTTGTTCTCTTTCTTCAACAAGTTTGGCATTTTCTGGTGTGATTTCACCTTCAACAGTTCCTAATTCACTGAATTCAATAACAGTCTTGTGGAAAAACTCGTTTAATCTCCAGAATTCAGGGACTGTTGTTTCAGTTTGAGTTGGTGGTACTTCAACAGGAGCAGTTTCATTGGTTTGAGTAGAGTTGACCTTCTTCTTCTTTGGTTCAACCTTTGGGAACAAGGAAGGTGCAGAAAATGTCTTGGCTCTCAATAATCCAGAAATCTTGGACTTGGATTCAACTCTGAATTTTGGAATTGAAATCTTCTTGAAAAACTTTTCCTTAGTTGGGAATGAGCATGAAATACATCCAGAATCCAATTGACGATTAACAAATCTATTAAATCTTTCTTCAGAATCACCATAAAGACTGAGAGCATCCTTTGGAACAATGAAAAGCATAGAATATGGAGCATCCTTATATTTCAACTTGATCCATTGGAAGTTCTTTTGTTCTCCATGTTCAAATGATGAATTGTGTTGATTCATCATTTCAATTTCAATATATTCCACAACATCTTCATCAGCAGAGGAAATTACTCTGAACAATTCAATAGAAGTATCATTCAAATCGAATGGCTTTTCCCATTTTCCAACAAATAAACCAGTATCAGCATAGATAGCTTGAGTAGCATTAGTAATAAAACCAGTTCCAATAAATGCAGTTGTTGTTTCATTATTCTTTTCAGAAATAATTCTATTCATCATCTTTCTACTCTCATTAGCAGCTTCATCAGTTGTAAAATTACATGATTGAATAAGAAGATTCTTCATATAGAGATTATCCTTCTTAAAACCAGTCTTGGCAAGGAATTCCTCAGAGGCAAACAATGCAGGAGTCAAAATCAAACGTGCCTTTTCATCATTTAACATGTCAGTTTCATGTGAAAATTCAACAATTGATTGCATTGAATTCTTCAATTCACCCAAATTAAACTTGCTCAACAAGGTAGTCAATTCTCCTCTCTTTGGATCATCTTTTTCACATGCTTCCAAAATAACAGACAATGAATAACCAAGTGAAATCGGAGAAAACATTACATTTTGAAAATGATCCATGATTGAATTGGTTATTAAATTACGCATAATTTTACCAGAAAGTTTAACATTTTCACTTCCAATTATTCTAGTTGGAGTTTCTAGATTTTCCACAATTGGAATGTTTGATTGTAAATTAATGTCAGCTTGAGATTTGATGCCAACAATTATACAACAACAACATAGGAGGAAAAATGAGAGTTTGAGAGTAAATGATGTTGCCATTTTTTTTCGTAATCTTGTTAAAATTGATTCCGAATCATCATCTTTTTGATTACATCAAGTCACTAATCAAATTTCAATACCCATTAATTGGAAACAAAGTAAGATATTGTAGATACTTATCAACTACAATACTATATTAAACATTGACTGATATGTTATGACAAATTTATTCAAAACATTAATGTAACCGATGATAGCTCAGCTGGTAGAGCATGGGACTGTAGCAAGAAAAACTGTCATCCTGTGGCGGTTCGATTCCGTCTCATCGGATCTTTTTAATGTTTTTGGTAATTTTCCTATTCCATTTTATTCTCTTCAGAGTTTCCAATAAGCAGAAATCCAATTCTAAAGAACATGCAAATGAAAGTGAGTGGAATTTGCAATCCCAAACTTGTAAATAAGGCTCCCTCCGTTATTAAAACACAAGAAACATGCAAAAAGTCTCCAATCAATAACATTCGCATAGTAACCTTAAACAAATGACAATTTGACCATTTTTTATCTTCTTGACTCTGTCTCAATTGATCACAACCACACAGGAGAAGATAATGAATACCACCAAATGCTATCATCAACATTCCGATAAATCTCATCAGAAATGAAGTGCCAACCCGGATTGATGAATCTTTCAATACTTGCTCTAATAATTGTTGGTTGACAAAGGAATTTAATAAGAGTGGATTGGTTGGGAATAGGAAGAGTAATAGTCCGAAGAAAACTTCGAACAGGAAGGGTTCGGTCCAGATGAACATGATAAACCACTTCATAAACAAACTATCTTTGGCCATTTTTTTAATTTATTAGAATAATAAAAATTAATATTATAATATTGTAATATTAAATATTTAAATTACAAAAAAATGAGTAAACGAGCAAGGCTTTATAATTTAGTAAATCATGATGATGATTTATCCACCTGCTCATCAAAAAACAATTATTATTATTCGGAGGAGAATCAATTGGATAGTAGATGTGTAAATTATTCATTAGATATTGGTAATGCATCGGAAGAGGAGTGTGATGGTAGTGCTACTGAAGATGATCACAATCCATATTTGGATAGTGATGATAATGAACAGGAGGAGGAGGAACAAGATTTGGAATATGACATTCCGTTAGCTTTAAGATGTGATATTCATATTTGTCAGGAAGAGGAGAAGAAACATTTGAATCATCATTGAAAAAACAGAAATTTAATCATAACAATTCTACTCTAAATATTTCAATTGATCATTTTAATAATAATTGCACTGATCACTTTAGTGACAGTAGTGATAATTCAATTAATATAGAGGAGATTCAATATTCATATTTTAAGAAAACAGGAATTTATTTGAAAGAGACTAGACCTAGACTGTATGCCATAAAACTTGGATCAATAATTGTAATGGAAAAAATTAATGGAAAACTTTATAATTGTGAGGAGAATTATATGGTGGCAAAAATTGGATCGACAGAACAATTGAATGATAAAAGGATAGACAAATTAATTGGTGGATTAGATACTTTGGGTCTTGGCCCTGAGCTTATTGACACTAAAATTATTTTCCCAAAAGGCATATCTTTAGCAAAATGGGAAGGTGATTGGAGGAGAGAATTAGCTCTATACACATTCTCAAAAGAAGATATGTTAGAATTAGGATTGAATGATCGTCTTGGTCCTTCTGAATATATATTAACCTATAGAGATATCAATACTGATGTAACTATTCAGAAACCCAAAAGAGAATTACATTTATTCAAGTCAACTCAACAGGGGAAAATTTTATGGAAAACTACAAAAAACAATCGACACCACAGAAGCAAATTGGTAGAACCTGAACGATCATGCTCTCAATGCAATGAACTAGTGCCCAATAGTCATTTAGTTAGATGTCACTCATGCTGCCAAACATTGTGCAATAAGTGCTGTCTTCAATGTGATTGTTGTGATAATTTTTTCTGCATTAATTCATCATGCAGTACCAAATGCGACATATGTGATATTTTGTATTGTAGTAATTGTGTTCCAAAATGTGAAGTATGCCATGAATTTTGCTGCTCTGAACACTGTTCAAACATTCTACCATGTGAATGCGGATATATTTGCAAAGATTGTGATGTGAAAAAACCAAAATACTGTCAAGAATGTCAAATTCCACTCTGTTCCAAATGCTCAGTAAGATGTAGTGGATGTAAGGCTCTAGGATGTAAGGATTGTATAGCTAAATGCTCAAAATGTTTGGAAAGATTCTGCCCCAACTGTGGTATTGAATCCTGTTACATTTGTGGAAGGGAAGTTTGTAAACACAATTGTTCTGAAATGATTTCAGAATGTCATTCTTGTGGTAATGAATGTTGCCATGATTGCACAAGCAAATACATCAAAAAGACACGATCCAATAAGATGGAAAGAACATGTACTGAATGTAAAAGCTAGGATCTGTATTTAACTAGAGTGAGCCTTTCGCACTCTCTGATACCAAGATATGTTTTACAACTAACTGTACATGGGAATATATTAGGGTCATTCCTCCAACCAAATAGCTCAGCTCCAAGTTACTGCTTTCAATTTGCCTACCACAGCATTGTTTTACAACAATCATATAAGGTGTTACTATTATTCATGTAAGTGCAACAATTCAGTTCATTGGATGGACCATTCACACTACCTACCGGAGTAGATGGCATAAGAAATGCAATTGAATTTTGATTGGAGGAGGATCAGGTTGCCACTATGTTGAAACCTCATCCACCACCTAACCAAGAAGAGGTGCATACAGGGGAGAATACGTTTCCACTTTGAAAAAAACATTCAACAGGAAAATCTGCACCTGTCGCTCTATTTCATCACCATTTTTGCCTGGCAGGAGATTTTTTAAAGCAAGGCACCATCATCCTCTATGATGAGAGTAGAGAGAATTGTCAACAAAGATAATATCAATCAATTAATAATAACATCAATACACACGAATAACAATTACTAGTATATTCAAACAATTTTGAGAGATTTGAAAAATGTTTGGAACAAAAACAAAGGAGGAGGAAGAACAAGGTAGTAGTAGCATTACGAGCAAATTGTCATCATTGGCTAAAAAGATAAAGAAGAATGCTCTGTATAGAAAGTTGGTACCCAAGATACCAATGAGAGAAGAATTAAAATTGAGTGCGTGGGATAAATTCATCAAGGTTTGTACTTATTTCATAGTATTGTATTTATTGTATTTGAAATGCATTTCATAGTATCGTCGTTTCCCTTTCAAATTTTGTACTCACATCATTTTGTTAGCATTGGTTACTGCCCAATTGTTCCTTTTTGCAGGTAATAGAGAAGATTACTTATCCAATGCTGGTAAAATTATTGCTAACAATTTCCTTCCTGAAGGATATCTATCAAGCAAGGATGCAAAGAATGGTTATAATACTTTTTATTTTGATAATTGTGCAGACATTGTTACACATATTGCTTGGACTGTTGGACAATATTATAGGTTGAAAGACAAGGCACCAACATATTTGGAATTAACAGGAAGAGATGGTCATGGTTCGTATTCTCTAAAACCACACGGAAATACACCATTCATGACTGACAGAAAATCTAACAAATTCGGAGTGCAAAAATTATCAATTGGTCCAAGTGATAAACAACAATTACAGAATAGTATTAAGAAGCAACTCTACTTGCAGGAGATTTTCGAAAAGAAGAAACTTGGAAGTGAGAGTGATGAGGACACTGCAGAAGTACCTGCAACTTTATCTCATGATGCAATTCCTAATCCTGTTGAAATGTTAATTTCACGTTATACTAATATGAGTTTACCAATTCAAAATTTCCAAAAGAAGCTTAATAAGGACACTACTAGTGATACCTTCTTTTTATCAGTCAATGATACATTTGGACCATTTACTCCATTTGTTGACCCAGACCAACCAAAGATTATTTCAGATCAAGAAGATGTCAAAATAATTGATCCAGAAGGTCTACAAAAGTACATACTCACATTCACAGAAATTACTCTCAAATTTACGTATAAGAATATTTTCACTCAAGGTACATTCCCAGAACTTTTAATTTGGGATATTGCTCTCAGTTATGATTTTTCAACAGGAGCTGGTGTCATTCCTGTAACTTTGAGATATGATGTTGGATTAGGTCTTGAAAATGAACAAGATTTTAATGCTGCTAACGTGTTATCCTCACCTCTAACTTGGATTTCAATCCTCATTATTGTCTTTGCTTTATTTTCACTTTTCTTGATATTCCGTGCCATTTACAGATCCTTCAGATTTATTAAGAAGGCTATGAAAAAGGACAGAAGCATTTTCCAAATGATGCTTATGGAAAGCACTGACGATATGGATGAAACTGAACAAAAATCAGTCGATCTTCACAACAGTAGTGTTTTATCTGAAAGTACACCTCTTGTAGGCATTAATAATTCTTCTCCACAAACCAAACCAGTTGCAGTTAAGAATGCTAAGAAGAGATTTGATGAAGAAATGAACGAAAGTTATGGAAGTGCTATTAGTGGTATGACTTTCACAAGTCAATACTATCAACATGTACTGGATAAGCACCAATCTGAATTACATCAATTACAAACACAAAAGGAGGAAGAAGAAGATTTTACACCATCAAAGAAAGTACATTTGCCAGGAATACCATTCAGAATTGTTACTGGAGAAATTGGAGTCCCAACCCCAGAACATATCATTGCAGCAAAGGCAGAACTCAGTCCTAACTTTACACCAAAACTCAAACACAAACTCAAATTCTTCAATCCATGGCACGTACTTGGTATTATTTCAAATCTGTTTTGTATTGTTTCCAGTTGCATGGTTTTCACAAACGTTACCTATCAGTATTTCTCCTTGGATGCTACTAATATTTTGTTAGGTTTGAGTGCCATTTTCATGTGGGCCAATATTGTTCAATATCTCTCTCACAGTCCAAAGTTCTACGTTTTGATCAAGTCTTTGAGAAAGGGTCTTCCAAATATTGGTAGATTCATTATTGGTGCTGCACCATTGTTGATTGGTTATGCTCTTTGTGGTATGGTTTTGTTTGGTTCTTACACTGAAAGTTTCCAAGGTTTCCAAAATTCTCTTATCACACTCTTCAGTGCTGCAAATGGTGACGCTTTGATTGATACTTTTAACTCATTATTTGGACAAAACTCAGTTATTGCCTACTTTTCAAGAATTTATCTTGTTACCTTTGTATGCCTCTTCACATACAGTGTTATTAACATCTTTATTCTTATCATGGAAGACGCTTACTTTAGTGTTAAGGAAGCAAATATTAAGAAGGAAGCTGCAGAGGCTGCTGCTCAAGCCATCGAAGAATTCAAGAAGGGAGGAAAGGGAGGAGCAGGTTCTCAAAATCAACAAGGTGGAAATGAAAATGATACTCGTTCAGATTCTATGTTCAATGATGCTGGTTCATGGAAGAAAGGTGGTCAAAACGATGAGGATGATGATGTTGAAAGATTACAGGATGAACGTTCCAAGATTGACGTCCTTATTAATTTACTCAGTGAATTGAGATCAGGACAATTATTAGGTGAAGGTGAAGAGCAAGATCCTCAAAATACTATCCAACAAAAGAATTTGAGTGAAAAACTTACAAGACTCTTGGTTAATAGAAACTTGAAGAAAATTAGAAGAAAGAAGAGTGACCCTTATATGAAGAGTGCTCTGAGTAGCTCTTTCAAAAAGTTTGAAGTTGGTAGCTTTGGAGAAAAGAAAAAGAAGGAAACTAAATTCAATTTGGATCTCAATGAATCAATTGATGATGGCACTCTCATTGAAGTCTATGATGAAGATGATGAGATGGCATCTCCAACTCCTCCAAATCTCTAAATAATTTATTATTAAAATACTTTTCTATTTACACATGTTGGAATACTTGTTTGTAGGTTTTTCCACTCAACTACTACCGAAATATTGTAGGTTGTATTTCTTGTGAAAAGTAAATCTTAAAATAAAATATAAAAAAATACACTAGATCGAAAATGAGTATTACCCTTGATCGTTTGGACCAACTCCTCTCTGAAACCCCTAAGTCCTCATCTACTACAACTAGTACCACAACCTCCACTACTCAAAAAAAGAATAACAAGAATAACAATAACGACAATGGAAAGAAGGAAAAGAAATTCGTAAAGAAGGGTATGTTAAAAAATAATAACAATTTATTCTGATCGTGCATATGATGATAGATAATAATACAACACAAAAGAAGCCTTTCAACAAGCAAAACAAAAATAATAATAATTACAAAAAGAAGAACCCAGCTCCTGAAGACTTGGTTTTCCAAATTACTGTACCAAAATCTCACGGAAAGAAGGATGATGATAAAACATCGTTCAATTACAAACAAAACAAAGTTCAAAAGAATCAAAAGAAAACACAAAATACTAAACCTAAGAAATCAAGAAATTATTCATCCGATGAAGAGGATCACAAAAAGCCAAAGAAATCAAACAATAACAACAATAACAACAATAATAACAATAATACTGAAAATATTGCGGATATTGTAAGACAAGTCCTCAAGGAAACTCTTTCACAACAACCTTCAACACAACAAACTCCAACATATACACCAATTTCTATACCAATCGGTAATCCAGGAGCTTATTGGCCTCAATATCCAGGCAATAATCCTACAACAATTGTATTACAAACACCAACACCACAAGTATCAACAAATCAACAATCTGAACCATCAAGAAAGAAAAAGTCTAGACATAGCGATAGTGAGGAATCTGATAATGATAGAAGAAATGATAGACGTCAAAATAATAAGAAAAATCCAAGAGATGAAAGACGTATCAATCAATCCAATAATAGAGAACAAAAGCAAGATAAGAAAGATGATAAGTATAACAAATTTAATGACTTCCGTATTGTGAGTGAAAGAGGAGAACGTAAGGTAACTAAGATCAATAAGACACGTAGATAAATAAGCTTAATAAAATAACTAAGTTCACCAAGATTCCAAATTTTCTGTTGTGTTTTCTAATAGAACAAGTTTATTTTAAGATTAATCCTCATCAAACAGACAATTTACCGCCAAAAAACTACACATTTTTGTACGAAGAAAAATAAACGGTTCCTTAGATTAAAAAAAATGAGTGAAGACGGGGATGTCTTTCATCCCATAGCCGACGATAATGGTTATTCGAGGCCTCTTTCATCGGCCAGTGATACATCCTCGGCTCGTCGAACAAAGATGAAGAAACAAAAAGTAGTAAAAAAGATGGATGAAAATGGGGAATTAAGATACTACAACCCAAACACTGGAGAGGATGTCACGGAAAAAGTACTTAGACAAAAGAAGAAGAAGAAAACATCCACTGCTGAAAATGTGGTTGAGACTGAAATGAAGGAAGTACAAAGACCATCAATTACTCCTCCACCAACTGTCAGAAACCATTCCCCTATTCAACCTTCTGTACCAGATCAACCAACACATCAGCTAACAACTCAACCAACACAATTAGATGAAACTGAATCGGATTATAAATCACCTGAAGAGGATGAAACAAAAACTGGTCGGAAATATTCCCCTCCTTCGCATCACTCACAACATTCACAACAGAGTGAAACAAAGGAAGTGCCGAGACACACTATTACTCCTCCACCAACTGTCAGGAACCATTCTACTATTCAACCTTCTGTTTCAAATCAGCCAACAGATAAATCAGAAAAATTGGATGAAACTGATTTGGATTATAATCAAGAAGATGAAACCAATAGTGGTAGGAAACATTCTCCTCCAGTTGCAGAAGAGAGCCAAGATGACTCAGGAGAGTCCTCAGTTACTGAACCATCTGAAAACGGTTTGGTCAAGGAATCTCCAATGGATGATCTCTATAAGGAATCTAATCAACCAGCTGCAGCATTAACTAGTGGAGCAGGTGGATTATCTGCAATCAGTCATAATATTCAAAGCCAGTCAAATAACTTGTGGTCAATGAGTGGAATTTCGAAACTGTACCGAAGAGGATTGAATTTTGTGAGGACATTCTCTTTTGTTGACCCTCAACAGGTGCCAGACATTAAATCAACTAAACATGCGCTTTTTGATTCCAGTAAGAGAAATGATACAGAGAAGATGACAAGGCCGATTTTATCTCTGCACATCAAAGGTGCTGATATGTTGACATTGGATGAACATTTAGTTCACCCATCTGTAAAAGTCTCAGTTTGTGATATTACAACTGGTCAATACCTAAGAACAGCAACCCTAAATGATAAATCCACTGAGGTGGTACTTCCACAAATGACCCTTCCTTTCAATATGAAGAAAACCAAAAGCTTAGTTCCAGTTTGGAATGACATTATGTATTTTGACACGTTATACAATCACTTCCTGAAAGATAATGTTGTTTTTATATTTGAGCTAATTGATTTTAGTTTTGAGAAGGGTGAGTACCAGATAGCGTGGGGGTTCCTTCGACCTGTAAGCACAAGTGGAAGATCAAACTCAGAGAAGAATCTAAGAATAAGACTTTTCAAATATCCTAGAAAGTTACAGCAAATTGACTGGTCAAAATTGTTTTCTAGACCTAACCAACAAAACACAGCAACTCAACCAAAAGTACCTACCATTGAAGCTTTTCAACTTTATCAATCAAGAGATAAGGTTAAACTTTATCCATCAACTCTGTATATAGAAATGAAGGCAATTCAAAGACCTCCAAAGAGAAAAGTCGCCTACCCTAATCGCCCTCAGAAACCTAATGAAATTGAAATAGGACGTCTAACATTGACCGAGCTTCTTGAAAGCAACAATGAAGAGGTTGTAAATATTGTTCAGTCTGAAGAAATTAAAGAGAAAAAGAAGGAACAATCCCTGCAAAGGTTGAAAGTTAAAAGAGAGATTAATGAACCTTGTGAAATACCAACAAAGTTGCTACATCAATTTGACTCTGGTGACAAGGGATGTCTCTGTATGGAATTTTCAAAATCAGGTCAATACTTAGCTTGTGGATGTCATTCCACTGATGGAATTGGAATTCTCAAGATATTCGATATTTATGAAGGGTCAATTATGGATGTACTCAATGCTCACGTAGAGTTGATATACAGTATTGATTGGAACAATGATGATTCTGAATTGATCACCGCCTCATCCGATGGTACAGTGAAAGTATGGAATGTGGAGTATGACAAGAAGAAGAGCTCAGCAAGAAAGCCAAAATTACTGGCCACCTTTCAACATCCTTCATTTGTTTATTGTGCAAAATTTCATCCAACTTGCAAGAAGCTGATAATCACTGGAAGTTATGATAAGAGAATTAGAGTTTTCAACAGAGAAACTAATAAGATTGTCAAAGAATTAGAAGGTCATACCTCAAGAATTAGTAGTGTGTCCTTTGATGTAGCAGGTACAAGAATGTACTCAGCAAGTGGTGATGGTGTTATTAAAATTTGGAGTTGTAGACTTCGAGAAGACTCCTCAGTTGAGGATATAACTAACTCGTTTGCTTGTATGAGAACAATACAGGATAATGACCTTACCAAATCAGCTGTTACTTGCATTAGATCAGATCCTAAATATTCCCAGGAAAGAATATTTGTGCATTCACAAGACAACATGCTTAGACGACTTGACACTGGTCTTAAGAACGTTAGAAACAGATATCATGGTGTAAAATGTTTCATCAATTCTCAAAAGTCCAACATTAGTCCCGATGGAAAATACCTGATATCAGGCTCAGATATTGGAAAAGTCTATCTGTGGAATGTTGAAACTGAGGAATTAATATTTAAAGAAGGAAAAGATTATGGTTTTGAAGAATCACCTGTATACGACATTGCTTGGAGCTCTAAAGAACACGTTATTGCATTGTGTTCATTTGATGGAAACCAACCAATAAGAGTATATTGTTTTGAAAAACCAGTTGACCAATCAGCAGAAAAAGAAAATCATTCACAAGTGCCAAAAACTTCAATGCCTGGAGTAGCTATTAAAACAGACAAACCAGAACTAAACAATCCCAACCTTACTGCAACTAATACATCTAACCAAACTGTAAATAGAAATAATTCACTATTCCCTTTCTCATTTGGAAGGGCAAAAACTCCAGACCCATTTAAACTCAATCTTCCAACCCCTAATAATAGTTTAGCTAGACCTAAGACATCAATGATTCTTAAAAGTGCAAAACCATAGTCCACAAATAAATTATTTATTCTCTAGAAATGGATTTAATACTCTCAAAATTATTTAGTTCTTTTAAGGAATCCTTTTGTACAATTTTCAAAATAATTTACAAAATTATTTAATCCTTCATTTGAACTGTATTTTATCCTAACTTTGGCAGTTCTAGTTTCATTAATTGTAGTTTCTATCAAATAAGTAATATTATTGGTGCTCTCACAATAATTATAAAATGTAATAGAATTAACATTTACACCAGAAGCAAGTGTATATATATGAAAAGACTCTAATAAATTATCCAAATCAGACTTGATTTGATCGTTTTCTGCACTTTTGTCCAAAACAGAATATTCCAAAGTAACGTGCATATCTCCGAATTGTTTCCACAATGTTTTGTATTCCTCTGTAGAATATTCCTTGACATTTTGATTCATTCTAATTTGCGATATTAACTCTATCGATTTTTCTTCATCTTCCGAATGATGAAAAGATTCCCCGTGTTTTTGTTGATTTGTATAATATAAAGCCTGTGAAGATTCCATAAATTCATCAGTATCAATTTCATCCTTTGGTGATGTGTGTTTACTCCAAGATTTTTCACCACCACCATTATTTGTGGCTGATGAATCACCACCAAAACAGCAGCACAACATTCGCTTCATTTTTTTTCAATGTATTTGTTATCCGTCACTCAATCTCGAAGAAAGGAATTAGAAGCAATTACAATGATTATCTTTGATGTAAAATAATGATATATATTGAACTTTTTACTGCATGTAATTGGAATAAGGATAAATTTTGTAAAATGATTAAGGAAAATTTTTGTAAAATTTATTCACACATGATGGAACATATTGATTCAGGTTGATTGGGTTGTGAACTAGAATGTAATGACAATTATTTTAGAATCTCTAACAAATCCATAATTCATTAACCTTTCCTTGTCATCCAACAATCGGCCGAAAGCAACCATTTTAGAGGTGTCTGGAAATGGTCGTTCAATATTTAATAAATTTCTTAATTCCCCAACCGTGTAAAGCTGGCTCACTTTGTTTGTTTTAAATCTGATTGGTGTTTTTGCTCCATTTCTACTTATTGAATCAACTATAATTGAAAATCCACCATCAATATTAACAATTTGATCGAAAGATTGATTATTATCTTTGAGATGTTGAGAGAGGTAACTTCTTAATGAGACTTGTTCAATATCAATATGAATTTTCTCATACTTGTGAGCATGATCAAGTTCCTTCACTCTTAGACAATCCTTCAAATGGATTTCTTTCAAGTCATGCAACTGATTTGTAATGTCCTTCAATAAATTGCTATCCATCATGAAAAATCCGTTCAAATTCAATTCTTTGACTCTCAAAAAACATTTCCCAATATTATTTCTCAAACCCTCTCCAATTCTCCTCATCTTTTCAAAATCCAATTTAAGGCTCTCTTTCTTCATCAAATCTGCCTCCGAGGGATCATCCAATCGGAAGTAAAACCTCTTTTCCATGCCAAAACTAATAGTTCCCTCTTTCTTTATCCTCTCCAGAATTGATTTAAAAAGAGGAGACAAATCAACCACAGAGCAGCCATACATAATTCCGTGATGAATTAGAGAGGATTCACTCCTCCATTTCATCCACTGTTTTAATATTGTGAGGGTGCAGGTGCAGCCATCACCAAATGGCTCAACAAAGGACAGTATATAGGCCCAAACCTCTCTCGGAATTTCCATCACACAATTGATGATTTATTGGATATTTTTTTTTATTGTAAAATTGTTCATCGATTTGAATTATTTCAAAATCCACAAATTCGTTACAAAGTATTGTTCATTTGAAAAATTGACCAGTTTACAAAAAGAGAACTTTGGAACTAATATTCAAGATTCTTTTAAAATTCAATCAAAAAAAATGTTTAAACAACTTGGATCTCTTCTCAGTAGGAAGAGGGTGAGGCTGAACAAATCATCAATAAATTCCCTCTTCCATTTTGATAACTGTCAACAATCAAAAGGTTTGCCAAATTATCATGATCGGAAATTTTCAACAATTTTCAACAAACAATTTAACAAGGATGAAAATAATACCGAACCTGATTTTTATACAACACAAGTTACTAAAGAACAGCTTGTCAAAATAATTGATCTCAAAGTAGTGCTTTCTTCCCCTGCATTTGATAAAACTAGACTTGATCAACTTGACCAGAAAATCAAAAAGAATCAAAGAGAATTCCCTGAGAAAGCTCTTCCTTCTGAAATTTTGGGCGAATTGGTGAAAGGTATCATGGACTTTTCCATATTTATGTTTGTAAATCGTTCAATGGAACAAGATAAATACGAGCTAATTGAGAATTTAGATGAGATGAAGAGACAGGCCGTTTATTTAATGTTGAAATTCTCAACTTTTAATTGTTTATTGATTAAGGGAGTTTATCAAGAGTGGTTTAGTTTTGAAGATTTGAAAAATATGTATCCTCCTGTTTCGCATGGAATAGATATTGAGGGAAAGGATATTGTAACAATATGATCAAGTGAATTATTATTCAGTATTGACTGAACTAATACTGATCGACTTTGTAAATGTCGAACAAGTGACAACAAGAGAAAAACTCATGTGCATGGTTAGTTTAATCTGTTTGGAAATTCAAAAGAAGGTACAATTACAATATACAACAGATGATTGATACATAGATTTATTGAATTGTATCCAGTTGTGAAACAAATGTATTCCACACCATCTGAAGGAGATATCGACAAGTCATGGACAGATATTTTAGAGAGGGTCTATTCTGAGGATGAATTTGATTGGTACCACGATTTGGAAACAGATCTTCCAATACATTTAGGTGGCATGTATAACATCTTTAAAGAGTTTATTAGAAATTCTCAAGACGGTTCAATGTTAAGGGTATTAGAAGAAGAGAGTAAGAGAGCTCCTAATAATCCATATATTCCCTATATCAAACTGATCGTCACTAATGACATCTCTTGTACTGATCAATGTTTGAATATCTTGGCAAATGCTTACTCTCCTTCAAGAGTGGAAGATTTGAAGCGTATTGAATTGTTCGAAATTTTCAAGAATAAGAAACCACACTTAAGAATCAAGGATTTCAAATTTTTCCCTCAATTACTGCCCAGAGTTAAATATCAAAGCCGCAATGAAGCTCCTGATATATTGGATTCAACAGTGTTATTAGATCAATTGGAGTACTATTCAAGAATACCATCTCATGTTGACCTTATTGTTGTAAAGTTTTTGGTTCATCTCAAAGCTGGACGATTTGAAGAGGCCTTACAAAATTATCAATTTCTCTCCTATTTTGAAAAATCATTAACCAATGAATTGTTGTTCCTAACAACTAGGGCTGTTAGAGCAATGCTTATTTTGGGCTATCACATTGAGGCTATTGAGCTAGTTGAAAAATTTAAGGATAAGTATGGGGATAAATATCCAGCTTGGGAAAAATTACTGCAAGAACAAAAGAATGTAGTAAATATAAAGAAATAAAAAAACGTTGAGGATGGGATTCGAACCCACGCGGATTTCTCCACCAACTTAGCAGGCTGGCGCCTTAACCACTCGGCCACCTCAACTTCACATTATCGTGAATTCATTTTTTATGATCCTGATTTTCTTAATTTTGATTCATCAGCAATTATATGACTTGGAGAACAATGTGGAATTTTTAATTAGATATTTAAAGTGGGAGTTCTTTTAACGAGTTGATAATAGTCTGGAAAGAAAACTTGTTTAAGGGAATGGAGAGCAAAATCAATTCCAAGACACGACACGACACACAACAAGTGAATAAACCAGAATAGTGGAGATTTGGCAGATTCAAACCAAATCTGAAATAAAGGTGAAGTTTCACTAGCATATATCCAATTGAATCCATAGAAAGTGCCCAGACAAACAAGAACTGCAAAAAAGTGAAATGGTGTAACCTAACAAATTGAAACTCTAAAAAACTCTTCAAGTGCACCACAAGGAATGAGCATGAGGTGACTAATACAACCTTAACCCAAAATCCATCATCTTTCCCATTGGTGAATAAACATGAATCAGTAGAATACATGCAAAGGAAGAAAATTATGGTCATGTGAAGCATTCCACCACCAATCCACTTGACAAATGTGTACAGGTTAAAGATATTTTCCTTCCTCAGGAGTTTGTAGAGAATTGGTCCATGTTTTGCATCTTCCAAATACTTTTCTGAGATATCCTTCTCAAAAATTCCAAAAGACAGAGGATTCAATTGCATAAAGAATAGAGTTGAAAGAATGGTTACAAAATCCTCATTCAATGATTGACCTGAAAATTGAACAAAGAATGCATAAATAATTTGAATGAAAACAATTCCTAAATTGATATAAATGTAATAATGAATGAAATCGGCAATTCTTTTGTATGAATATCTTCCATGGACAACTAGTAACCTTTTAAGCATTCTAAATTTTGGAATGGCAAAGTCAGATGACATTTTGGCTTGATTACCTTCCTTTCCAATTATTCCAACTCCAACATTCGCTTGCTGAATCATTGGTACATCATTAATACCATCTCCAATAGAAAGAATTCTCTTTCCAAGTTTGATTTTTGCAAAATGTACAAGTTGTGATTTTTGCTTTGGTGTTGATCTGCAAAAAACAACTGTTTTGCACTTTGACACCAAGGATTCAAAGTTTCGGCTAGATGAACAAAATGTAAATGCATGTCCATCTAAAACAAGTACAATCTCCTTTTGGTTTTCTGAAGAGAGACTTTGAATCAATGTTAAAATCTCACAAACTTTCACATCACCCTCTTCGTTACTTGTTATGGAACCTAAATCTCCATCAAGAGTGAATACTTGAGAATGTTCATGTATTAAACCTGCAATACCAGCTATTTTAAATGCAGTCTCTCTTTTGTCTCCTGTCAACATCCAAACATGAATTCCTGCCTCAATTAAAAAGGATATTGTCTCTGGAACTTGATCTTGAAGTGTGTCTTCTACAGCAGTACAACCAACGATTTCCAGATCTTTTTCTAATTGGCTTTCGCAATTTTCAATAGCTTCTTTTCTAGATTTTGAAATGAATGACTGAACTGAATTGTAATTGGTCAACCAATTGATGGCCTCATTGGAATCCACAAATTTGAAACAAAATAAGAGAGTTCTCAAACCCTCGCTTGCAAATTGTGAAGATTGCACATTAATCTTTTCATAATTTTCCTCAAAGTTTTTGGTTGCAAGCAATGGATATAAAAATGAATCGGCACCTTTCGAAAAGCAAATAACAAGTTGACCACTTTCGTCTGGAGCTATCCCATATTTCTCAGTTGCAATATGATAATATATTGGGAAATCATTTAAAAACTCTAATGATAATTTAAAGAGTGTTGACATTCGTTTCCTCTTTGGTGAGAATGGAATTTCTGCAATTCTTTCAAAAGAATATTCCTTTCCAAAAATGGAGAGAATAGTTTTCTTTTCTGAGAAGTATTTCAACTCAAACTGGTTGTTCATTGCCCCCAATACAAGAGCCACCTCATCAATACTCTCTCCCTCATAAAAAACCTCATCCTCATTATCTTTCCTTATCTTCCTCAATGAAACATTGTGACACAAACTCATCGAAAGCAGAGTGTTCATTACCAAGAATAATTGATCTTGATAGCTGTTTTGTAGATTGTTTCTGACCCACTCACCAATACTTCCTCTTTCGAGCATGTCATCAAATATTAAATCTAATCCTGCACAACACTTTTTGAAAATCATTGAATTTTCAGTGAGCGTTCCTGTCTTGTCAGAGAAGATCATGTCAATTTTTGCAAGATCACAATTCAAATCACTGGAAATGGCTACTGAAGAAACTAATTGTTTCTTTTCAGGTTCCTCAATCAGGTTTGAAAATGCAACTAGTTCATTATCCATTGAAATAAACCAAGCTTGAACCATTTTTACCAACTCGAACGAAACCAATAAAGAAACTGGAATCAAATGGGCAAACATAATAATGTGAGATAAGAATGCCAACACAACAAAGGATCCATCCGATATTGTCCTCTCTCTATTTCCCAAATAAAATTCTGTTCGTTCCCTGAATTCATAATAAGATTTAACAGCAGTAAATGAGAGGCAACAAATCATTTGAATACCAAACATGATTCCCACCATAATGTTCAACATTTTGTTCACAAGACTGAATTTAACACTAGTCCTATTCATATTTTTCAATGATTTTGTGTCCTTTCCAGTATAGATTACAATTCCATAGGCAATCTCTGTGGAGAGCTTACATCCTTTCAAGAGAAGATTCTGATGAAAAAGTGGAACTTGTTCATGACCATCCACAGTAATTGATCCAATAAATTTGTTCAGAGATTCATTTGGTTCTTGACACTTAATAATGCCACCCAACCCCTTCAAACTTGCCACATTATTAAAAAGTTTTGAGAGTGTTGGAGGAAATCTTGATTTGAGAGATGTTTCACCATCCAAATTAGAGGTCTCTATTTTACAACATGAATCTTCCTGACTTGAACCAATGAGAATCAAGTCTGCTGGGAATATTTGTCCTTGATCAACTTGAACAATGTCACCAACTCTTACTTTACCAGTTTCTATTTTAACAAATTGTTCTTCTCTCAAAACCAATGTGTTGGCTTGGTTGACCTTTCTATCATTTAAAAATCTGAGAAAATCTTCACCTCCCTCTCTCAGCATATTCACACATATAATGAAAATGACAGGGAGAACAATTAATGCAGGTGGAATTGAGGTCACTCCTGGAATTAGTGAAATAATCATTTGAAAAATAAAGTACAATGTTCCAACTCTTCTACATTGATGAAATAGGTTAAGAAATGGGAAATTCCACCACGTGTACTTTGGTTCTGTTAGTGAAATTAACCTAATTTAACTTACCTTTGTTGTTGAGATGTAATTGGATGGAAATCTGCTAGTTCTAATTCCACATAACCACGGTTTAGTTTGTTTTCTATTCCATTCCCAATCATTGATCTTTACAATGTGGGTAGTATTCGAATCTTGTTCCTCTAATGCATTCCTTGTTGAAATGTTGGTCGAAATTAGCTCAATTGAAGAGGAGGTTGTCAAAGAGACATCTGAACGGTTAACAAGTGAATGATTAAATGATTGATAAAGTGGAAATGTTGCAGTTGAAATACTTGAGTTTTGTTTCTGGTTTTTTGTTGACATTTTTTTGTGGTTGTTTAGTTCTAGTACATGAAATTGCCAAACAGTTTACAATGAGATCATAAATCTCACACAACTGAAAAAATGAAAGGAGATAACTTCAAATCTCCTTAGTGGAATCATTGTCAAATAAGTTAAGATAAAGGACCTTGTAACTTAACGGAAATAATATTTTTGAAATTTTTTGAGTATTTTTTAAGGATAAACACACATGTCACTAACCTGAGGCTATTTTCTCAATAGTTTCTAATTATCAGAAAGAAAAAAATGAGCATGTGTTAGATTGGATGCAATACTACTTTGTAGTCAAACTGTAAATATGTAAAAAGAAAGGACTGAGTAAAAAATTTATCTCGAGTGCCGGGAATTGAACCCGGGTCGCCAGAGTGACAGTCTGGAATGCTACCACTATACCACACCCGATTTCACATGTTCTAAATAGGAAGTGTGATCCTAATCTAGTATTTTCCAACAGGTGGTAGCTTTTTGAAAATGTTAGTAATTAACCAATATCGAGTGAAATTGAAGGAACTTTTTGAAGTTATTTTGAATAAGTGATCTAGTGGTAGTCTTGTGATGTGTTTAATTTCTTAAAATTTTTATTTTTGAGATTAATGCCTTGCTTAATGTATTAGAAACAAGTTCGTCCCAAATATTTAAATTTTACATGGGGAGTAGAATTTAATTCGTTCACGAATCAATTTACTTGAGTAAAAACATGTAAATAGGAAAATTACATTAATATTGTAAATATTATTTGGATACTCATTTGGCTAAAATTGTTGTTGGATGAATTCAATCAACCACCAACAATAGTTTCAAATTAGACTTTCCTTTTTAAAAAATATCCGTAAATGGAGCGAGGAAAATAGCGCTCCAAAGTTTCCTTTTTTATCCTCATTCAATAACTCAATCACACCATTAAAAAAAATGTCTCGAACAATTTCAGTGTTTTTCATTCTATTCCTTTGCTGCACCTCTTCATTCAATCAATTAGTGCACGCAAACACAATTGACCTCAACAATCTCCACAAACAATTTGACTTGGTCATGACTTCAATCATGCCAAATTCAATTATGACCTTCCACCCAAAGTTTAAACAAGTTTATACTGTTGGAAATTCGAATAGTGTTGGTCCATCCTCATTGGATTATTGTTGTTTACCTCCAAAAGTTTCGATTAAATCACGAGTTTTCCAATTGGCTGTTCTTCATAATACTAGTAGTAGCACTTATTATTCTGATTGGGTTTTGATGAATGATTTGGAAAACTTTAGAGCTCGTTCAGATGTGCTCAATACTAATGCTGGTTCGAATACTTCAGTTTATTCCTATAGAAATGAATTGGATGGGTTGACCTATAATTATGTTCACATGTGGAATCAAGAATGTTTCTGTACCAAGACAAGTAAGGCAGATTGGAAGAAAGGTTTCTGTACTCCACCTGGTAAATTACTTGAAGAATCGAATATTGCAATGAGAATTGCTAGAAAGTATGGGACTGAACGAAAGGAAACGAATGCAAATTATTCAGGAGCCTATGCATGGACACAATCTGTTGAGGGATTAAATAAGGAATATTGTTGGTTCATTGGTGACTATGTTTTTGAAGTGAATATTTATGGAACTGTTTCAAAAACTACTCAATTTTATGACATGTCATTAAATGTTGACGAAAAGGCATTTGACATTCCAATGGTTTGTCCTCCACCATCCTCATGTCGATTGGTTTAATATTTCTTTTATATAAATCAAATTATCTCAAGTTCTTAATTACAATTTCACCCCCCAAACCTTTCACAATTATCATCTTTCTTAATATTTTAAAACATTAGAAAGAATTTCAAGTTGTTTTACAACTATATATATGACAATAACAATTAAATTGTAATGAAGATGATTTTTCAATTAAGTTGCTTTTGAAAAAACTCAAAAAAATGTTCAAACAATTAGTGACTGTTAGGAAACAATTAAATTTTCATTCAATCAAGAACCTACAAAATTATTATTACGGAATAAAATCATTTAGTACCAATTGTGTGATAAAATCATCCTCGGAGCAAGCAAATAACAATAATGATGAAGTGAATAATAATAATATTAATTTAAAAATTGAAGAAAATAATTCGGAACAATTCAATGATGTAAATAATAATAACAATTCAAAAAGAACAATTGGAGAAAAACAAAATAGAAATATGAGCAAATTATTCAGAAAGAGAGACCAAACATTGGAGACTGCCAAAAAATTCAAAGATTTGAATAGAAAGTTTACTCCTTCAAATGTTGAAGAGCCAAAGAAAAAGAAAGCTTCACCTGACTTGAAAAAGGCAATTAAATTATTGAAATTTATGGATGTAATGGAAAAGGCTAGTCAAGGAATTGATTTTGATCAAGAACAGGAATTTTCAAAATATGATAATGACGATGATCCAAGAATGCCAGAAAAGAAGTCAAAAGTTGCAAAGACTAGAAGAACAATGGATATTCATTTGGATGAAAGAAACTTTAACTTACAAAAACCTGTTCCAAAAACAATTCTGAAAGGACAATTAAAAGAAATTAAGAGAGCTAGAAAGATAATTGATGATGACGAAAAGCATTTGAAAGATAAAAAACCATTCAAGTTCTAAATCAATAATGATTTATTGTGAACTAGTTGTGTGAATTAGGATCATTGAGACTTTGTAAGAATGAGCCTTGCATTATTCCAAAATCTAGTTGGGTTTCGTCCTCACTTTCTTTTTGTCTGTAATAATTATTGTAATCATTTGTTGGTTCATTAATTATGGGTATTTCATTAAGTATACCCATCATGGAGCCTGTGATTTGAGATGGATTTACTTGAGAAACTGCAGGTTGATTATTTCTATCCTCAGAAGAGTCTGAATCGTTATCATTGTTTGCATTAGCATACGAAGATGGTTTTCTATTACTCTTAATAAGTGCTCTAACTTCCTTGATTTGTATTAATGTTTCTGCATCAACACCAAATTTTGAAAGAACTGGAGCAAGGATTTGGTTCAACTTTTTTCTCTTCTTACTTGAACATAATTGTTTAACTGGCTTGTGAATTGTTGACATTAGGACTGTATATTGCCTTGTAGTTTCATTATAGAGTCTTAGAGAATAAACACCTTCATCATTCTCTTCTGAAAGTTTCTTAATAAGATCATCTCTAATTTCTACAAAATCAGACTCTGAAGCACTAGCACCTTGATTAGAGCCTGCATTAGAACCTCCTCTTTTTCTCTTCTTTTGAGAATTTTGAGTTGAGCTTGTTCCTCCGGGGGAAAGAGATGGTGATCCATCTTGGAAAGATTGCCATCCTTGTTGATTTGGTGAGAGTTGTTGAGAGTAAGATGGAGAAACGTTATTGCTAAAGGATGAAGCAGAGAGGTAACTAGTTTGTGGTTGAGGCTCTATGTATGGTTGGAAAATATTACCTTGTTGTTGAGGTTGGAGAGGAGAGTTTGGATTATTAGGTATTATAATTTTGGTATATTGTTGAGGTTGTTGATTTTGTTGTTGATTTGGAGATATTGGAGCAGAAACTAGTAATGAAGGAGAAATTGCATTCATTCCTCTTGTTTGATGTGCTTGATTTGGATCCAGAACACGTCCTCCTGGAGAAGTACTTCTATTATTTGTATTTGTGATGATAATTTGTTGTTGTGATTGTTGATTAGGATTTGTATTGAATGGATAACCAACATTTTGGGAACCCATTGGTTGCATTCCAAATGTTCCTGGGGCAATTTGTACAAGTTGTTGTTTTGGAGAAGTAGGATAGTTATTTTGTGGACTGAGCCTATTCATAACATTGAATAATTGTTGTTGTTGAAGAGCGGAATTGTTTTGTTGAGGAATTACTATGGTAGGAATACTGTTGGAACTATTATTACTCTTTGGTGAGAGTGGTGCTTGACTCATTGATGAAACTTGTTGTAAATTCATTCCATTGATCATATTTAACATATTGGCTGCTTGATATTGTTGAAGGAAGGAAGCATTATTGTTAGAAGGGTTTGATGCTGGATTTGGCATAATAACAAATGTTGGAGCTCCAACATTATTCGGTACGTTCATCACATTATTATTTGGCATCATATTATTTTGATTAAACTGTGATGGATTTCCAAGGATGACGCGAGGTTTCGACTGTTGATTATTTTGTTGATTGTTGATAGTGATGGATCCATTTGATTGAGTATCATTTCTATTTTCTTGTTTTGTGTTGTTGGAAATGGCTGCACCATCGTAGGCTAAACTCACTATTGCACCAGAGAGTGGAAGCACATTATTGAGTCCTTGGGAAATGTTTTGTGTTTGGGCAACAGTATTAGAAGTAATATTGGTAGAAGTTGTAGATTGGGTTGTGGAGGCTCCAGAAGGTGCACACTTGTTTAAATGTCTCGTATACTTTGGTCCTGAAACTAACTTGTGACATTCATCACAATTCACATATTTTGGAGCTCTCTTATTATTCTTGTGATGATCCAGTTCGTAACACCAAATTCCTCCTTGTGATTTATGGTTATTCTCTTCACATTCTAGACATATAGAATTTTCATATTTGATTTTTCTACCTCTTCTAACTTTCATGTCTTGACGACTTTGTCTCAATTTTGCAAGAGCTTCATCTGACATGCCCGGATGTTCTTCCATTTCATAACTGTCATCAGAGGCATTGTCATGAACATGTGTACCACTATTATTATTATCTTCTTCAAAAGTCTGTTGATCAAAAACTTGATATCTGGATGAATCTTCTTGTTGTTGATGAGATGATTGGTTTCCTACTACATATTCGTCATTTTGAAAATCGTTAAAAGTGCCAGGTGAAGTTAAACCGTTAATAATATTTGTAAAGTTATTGAAGTCATTTGAGTTATGATTATTAGAACTCATATTTATCTTGTTTATATTTGAAATACTGTATCTTGTGTAAATTTACAACTAGTTGATGATAAAGGGATGAAGATTGACAAGAAGGAGTGAAAAAGATCTACCGGAATATAAAGGAATAAGAGAAAGGATGATAAATTGATGAGAAATGATGATGGTTTGTTGTTAATAATTATTCAAACGACAACAACAGGTTTTCGTACGAAGGCTTTTCAAATTCTTGTTGCGGAAGAATAACTTATTCTCGAGTGGGTAATTAATTAATTTTTTTTTGATGAAGTTTTTTTAACCAGAGTTTGATGGACCACAAGCAAAGCCTCTCCCATGGAGAGCCTTTTGTGCTATTCACCAAATCTTATTGGAAAAAAACGAGCAAAACGAACAAGAGCACTGTTTCCCTAATCTGACCTTAATTACAGTGAAGAAAAAGAGCGATGGTTGTTTTTACAGAAGAGTCAGGCAACTTGGCCACCCTTTTTTCATTAAGCAATCTGAGAGGCTGTTATTGGGTTGATTTCTTCTGTGGGAAATTGTTTGGACCTTATTAAATAATAGTAGTACAATTTTCAATATTGGTATGCCCCTTCCGTGTGTGGTTGGATACAACCAGATGGAATTGTTCATTTTCTTGTTTCATTTTGGAATCGCTTATTTTGAGATTCTAATGGCTCAGGATAACCAACAGTTCTGGCTGGCTGATTTCTACAATTCAGCCTTCCAACTTGGGATGAGTTTATGACCAAATTGAATCAAGTGTTATAAGGTGTACAATAATAATTCGCGGAATTTTAAAATAGAGGGACTTGTATATTTATTAAGGCGTTGAAGATTGTAATTCTGTTGACAATTATGATCTTGTCCACTTGGAAATATATTTCTCACTGTATTCATCCACACTTAAAGAGCGAAGATTCCCCATATTTTTTAAAGAAGCAAGATATGATTCAAGATACCCTTTAACAAAGAAGATGAAGGACCAAATTCTCTTTTACTTCATCCTGAGGAAGCTTGCTTAAAAATGCGATTTTTCTTGTCATTGTAAATTGCACAAAAATTTAAAAAAATGGGCGCAAAGGAAATTATTAGTAGTTTGAGCAAGGTTGTTGCTGCTTCTCCTGTTGGAAAATATGCTAAATATTTGAATCCATACACTCCAGCTAAGATCTGGGCTGAAAACGGAAAGAAGGAATATGTACGTACTCATAAAATTACCAAAAAATTAATTTTTATCATCATCCGATGACCATCACGAATTTTTAATTATTACTATTTTATTATTTTAATGGAAATTATCATCAAATAGGCTATCATTTACTTCTTCTCTTGGTACGTCCTTGCCGGTCTCTACTTTGCCAACAAGCCAAAGAAGGTCGAACAACAAAACTAAATTATTTTTGGAGAATTAAAGATTGAATTTTATCATTACACAATAACATTCTTTTGAAAGAATCCCTACTAGATATTAAAGGGTTTTAAATAAACGTCCAAGTGGGACCTTTAGTAATAATAATAATAATTATTAATATAATCTACAGTACAACATTATTGATGTGGAGCGATTTGATGAGACTTGATTTTTGTAGAGTGATGATGAAGGGTAGTTGATTAATGTTATTACACTACATTTCAGGGGAATAATATTAATCTGGAATATTGATGATAATCCGAGTTGTATTCAAAACAAACATGAATAAGGATACAACCGAGCCATTCCAAGTATCTCTCATGATAACACATGATGACAAGACGTGACTTTTCTACAAAAGAAGAACAATTATGAAATTAGTAGCTACTCTCTCCCAAGTGAAACAACTTCCTAAAAACAAACGAATAATCAAATACATCAAGCAACTTCCAAAATCAAAGCATGCCAAGTTGTATGTTGATTGTATCATTGAGCATCATATCTCAATAATTGATTCATTCATATAATTGATTCGTAAATGAGAATTTGGAATGAAAATATTTAATTGTCAACTTGTTGACTTTTAACAAAATTGTAAAACTCGATAGTAAATATGGAAACTCTCCAAGCATGTTTCTTCTCTGAATTTGATCGATTGAAATTTTCTTTAAAGAGAGCTTTGTAATCTTCATTACAGAGAACCAATTTACAACTCTTTTCTGGATACTTGTTCTGGAAGAGTGGCACGAAATAATTCAAAATCTGAGTTCGATTCTTGAATGCATCAATCAAGACATAAGTTTTACCTTTCCACTTGACAGAGAAATCGTCCAAATCACCAACTGGTTTCTGAGACTTGGTATGATCTTTTTCTGATTCATCCACAATGGAGAATGAAGTACCATTTGAGGAAGAAACACTTGTTTGTTTGCTGCTAAGTTTTGAAGACTTGCTTGGTTTCTCATAGGATGAGCCATTCGAAACTGGAGATGAAACATTGTATTCATGTGTTGGTGATTCTCTTCTCTTCTTTACAACATTATTTCTTGCTCTGGTTTTGATTGGTTCTGGATTTGGTGGAAGATCAGCACATGCATTCGAATGCAAAACATGACTATTAGAAACTGCACTGTTTAACCTCTTTTCAGATTCATTAATTTGATACCTCAGTGAATTATTTTCTCTTTCCAAATCGATTATCATTACAGATTGCCTTTCCAGCTGTTTCTCCAACTGAGAAATTCTTTCGAATAGAGGGGAAAGATTTTGATCTGCTACTATTGTTGGTGTATGTGGAGCATGTTGATATTGTGGACGTGAGTTATTTCTAGAGTTTGTGGATGATTGTAAACATGCAAAGAATCCATTTGGTGAATCTACTGCAGTTCTACATGGATATGATACAGTATTCGAATAAGTTTCGTACTTTCGTTGAGACGAAATGTGAGAAACATTATCATCAGAAACTTGTCTTTGATTTGAATGCATTGATACATGTGGAGTTGCTGTGTTGTTCTGGGTATTAGTATGAGATGGATATGAAGAATAAGTTTCCTGTAAAAATTCTTTCAAATTTGGCAAAACAGAAACTGGAGAAGCAGAAAGCAGTTTTCTATTATTGGAAAACATGTTAGAATCCTGACTAAACCCATCCATTTGATGTGCTGCTCTATTCATCATCATATCTGAATTAGTAGTAGCCAACAGTTGGTTTGAAGTATTTGAATTAAAATATTTAAAACTTGCTGGTGGTGGCAGTTGACTTGTAGTGGACATGGGTGATGTTGAGGATGTTAGAGCCGGAAGAGTCATGTTACTGGAGTTGTATCTTTCAGGTATAGTGGTGGTATTACTAGAAGTAGTTGTTGAGGAAGTTGTTAGTGACATTTTGTTTTGTTTGTGTTGCTGTGTTGGAAACTATCTGAAAGTCTGTCATAAAGGTTTTTATGTGTCGGCCTGTGTGTTGTCGCAATGTTGTTGCTGTGTTGGATGTTACTTGATAAACAATCGTCGTAATCTTTGTTTAAATGGTCTATGAAATGTCAAACTGCAATACCAATCAAGGAGTGCAAATGTCATGATAGGTTGCGCAATAGGATATAATCGCATAATGAATAACGTTATCAGAGCATGCAGTTAAAGACAAGTGGAACCTTGTTTTTGGCTAATTGTCATGTTTGTAGAAAGTTAGTCCATCTTTGTTGGAAACTAATTTAACGAAGGTTCCAAACTGAATGCTCGCATTGCATAAAAAGTTGTAACTCTCTTGAGGGACAGTGTTGTTTTAGTAGATAATGTGCACATCTGACACAATTATTACATCCTCATTGGATTTTTATCTTTTGTTATGTTGGTTGGACATTGTCCACGTGGTAATTGTTTCGGTTAAAGTTATTGGAAAGGTTGGTTTCAAGATGAATTTAAAGAATAAACATAAAATAAACATGAAATAACATAATGAACAGAAGAATAGATGTGAAACTGTGTTGTATTATGTTGGAGGTGGTCAAATTGACTGGTTGTGATAAAACATGCTCTTCCAGTAACTGTATGCGTGATACTTGTCATCTCTGTTTGATAAATAAAAAGCAACTTTCATAGGTCCCATCGCATATAATCTTGCGCAAGGTTTGAATTTCTTAATTGTTGTGCGATTTGAAGGGTTCACTTGGTCAATTTGGGATGTTGTTTACTTTGATAGAACTGATCCGAATTAAAGTATTTCCTTTTGAAAATCTTATTGTTGTTTTGTAACCTCAAGCTAATTCCAGTACAGAAAGATCTCATCCAATACATGTAATAATTGTTACATGTTTAATATCAAGTCAATGTGAAATTCCAATGAAATAGTTTGGCACTTGACAGTAAGAAGATAAGATATGCAGTTGGTTGTGCTAACAGTTCACGCGTTTGCAGTTATTCTTCCTATCGGCTTTTTAACAAACATTTACAATTAGGGATGGAACGAAATTGGATTTAAAATGATTAGTTTCGTCTTGGTTACTGTAGTTGAGGATATAGGAAGATGATTGAGATTACAATCTAGATGATTTGCCGTGGATATTTATTAGAAACCTTATCTGAAAACTTTAAAGTACTTGCCGAAAGGAAAGACTGTGAGAAGCAATGTTACATTTTAGGCAAGAAATTCTTGAATGTTTTTTACAATTAAATTGGATTTACAGTTAATACAACATTTATCTTGAAAAAACAGTAAATGATTGTAAAGCGAATGGTCCAATTGACTTGACCAAACTAATGATGAGCTACCAAGTCAGCTCAAAAATGGATACGCACAAATAATAAGTTAACACTTATTACCTAGTAGAATACTCTGAAAAATCCGAAAGATGTTTAGGAGCTTGTTATCCAAACAAAGTTGCCTCACCAAAGCACGCAACTCATCTTACAAGATGATAATAGAAAGTATTACAATAGGATTCGTTGTCGACGACTTACTATTGTATAAGAACTGCATTATCTACAGAGAGAGGTAGGTAGGTAGGTAACTGCAAGGTTGTTGAAAATTAACTGTAAATTGATAAAGGGTTGGTGAATTTTGTTAGTGGCAGTTATTAGAAATGATAAAGTTCAGAAATGATGAAAGAATCTGGGCATTCTTGCATTTTGGCATCTTGCTTAACAGAAGTTGTACTACTGGATTCTGAACTTTGTTCAATTGAAAAGTAAGCTTGGCAAAATTCTTACTGAATCTTTTCATGACCGAAAGGAGCTCTTTTCTCCCCTCATTATAACAATGTGGAATATTCAATTCCATACCAAGAACTTGTGTGAATCTCCAATTTGGTCCCAAGATTACGATACCAATGAGAGGATGACTGGTTGAAGACCAACTTGTAATTTTTTCAAGGCAAAAGTTCATCTATGCTGCTGTAGATTGAATCTCCACACACAAGTATGTGAAAAAAACAAGTAAATAAAAACGAGACAAACAAACGAACACTCAAGTGCAGACGTTTTCATTGCAAACTTTTCATCATTAAAATCATTAAAATCATTTAATTATTTACTTATTAAATTCGCCAAGTTACAAATCATGTGTTGGTCTCAAAGTACATCCGGATGGTTTGCACTCATTGGAGCCTTGATGAGTGCCGATCAGTTTAGAAGATTCTACAAATTGTATTCTACTAATCAAGTTGGATCCACAAGAATGTTCTCTCAATTTCTCTTATATTTCACATATACATTGATGGAACTTTTGCAACATATTCAATATAGAGTTGGATTGGAAAATATGGAGGGAACTGAGGGTAGATGTGTACAGTCCTTGTTGGAAAGCCCAAATGTTTTCTTCTCTTTAGTTGCCCATTTTCTTGTGTGGCTTCAACCTGTTGTTCACAATTACTGGATTTTGCATAATTCTAAAAAAGGGAAATTGGCTTTCAAGTTGAGTTTGACATTGGCTTGGATCACTTTGATTGTTGCTACCATTTCTTTGGTTATGGGGTATAATAACATGTTTGGATTTGGTAAACCAGAGATAGCTCACAATCATACGCCTGTAGATCCTGCCATTATTTTCGGAGTTCATGTCCACAATGTTGATTCCAAATTGTGTAGTTATCAAGGTCCAAATCATTTATTTTGGATGTTCCCTTATCATCCAATGTGGAATTATTCCTCTGCCAATTGGTTCGTTTGGTTGGCCATTACAATTATTCCACATTTCTTTAGAAGATCAATTGGTTTTCGTGATTTCTTGGGAAATAACATTGTGGTTGGTTGTGGAGTTTTCTCAGGTTGGATTGCTTCGGTTGTGGTAACCTTAACTGTAGGAAATGGTTATCAACATGAAATTCCATCATATTGGTGTTTAATATCAATGCCATTCCTCATTCTTCCATATTTAGTGGCATTGATTTTCAAACCAAAGAGATTTAATTTTGATGAAACATTATATCTGAAGAATAAGAAGGTTGACTAAGGAATTAGTATTTCGCATCATTAAGACATCTACATATGTGTTAAATTAGATTTTATTAAACTCTTCAAAATTGAAATATTTACAATTATTGCAAAACTTCCATGGTAGCTTCGACATCTCCATGTTCATTGGAGAACAACATTTGTCTTTCGGCCAAATTCTTATAGATACCATGTTCAATGGCCATCAATTCAGCATGGGTACCAGTTTCTTTCAAAATACCCTTAGCCAAGACGCAAATCTTGTCAGAATTTCTAACAGTGGACAATCTGTGAGCAATACAAATAGTTGTTCTTCCCTTCATCAACAAGTCCAAAGCAGCTTGAACGAGAGCTTCAGATTCAGTATCCAATGCAGATGTGGCTTCATCCAACAAGAGAAGCTTTGGATCTTGCAACAAGGCACGAGCAATACAGACACGTTGCTTTTGACCACCTGAGAGTGAGACACCACGTTCACCCAATAAAGTATTGTATCCATCTGGCAAGTCCATAATGAAACTGTGACAGTTGGCAGATTTGGCAGCTTCAATAACCTTTTCCATTGTAGTATTTTCTTCACCAATAGCATATGCAATATTCTTGTAAATGCTGGTAGCAAACAATACAGGTTCTTGAGTGACAATACCAATATTCTTGTGGAGCCACATTGGATCGATTTCGGCAATATCAACACCATCAAGATAAACCTTACCCTTAGCTGGATCGTAGAATCTTTCCAATAAACCAACAATTGTTGATTTACCTGAACCAGATGGACCAACCAAAGCAACAGCTTGACCGGCCTTAATATCCAAACTGAATTCCTTCAAGACAGTAACATTTGGACGTGATGGATAAATAAAGTCAACATTTTCAAATCTGACATTACCAATGATACTATCAAGAGTTTTACCTCCCTTGAAAATAATAGCTGGCTTTCTCTTCAACAACTTCAAGACAGTCTTTTGAGAAACCATGGCCTTACCATAATCAGGGAAGAATGAACCAGCTTGTGAAATACCAATAATAGCAAACAAGGTTAAACCGAAAACCTTGAGCATAGATCCGATATTCATGGTTCCTTCAACAACAAGACCTCCACCATACCAGAAAGCTAAAATAAAATTATTGAGCTAATTTGAAATAATTAAAAAACATACCCAAAGCAGTAGTACCCCACAAGATACCAACCAAAATACCAAAAGTAGAACCTTGAGCAACAGCTTTACCAATACCAGCCAAATACATCTTGGTCAAGTCCTTCTTGTATCTGACTCTTTCCTTTTCTTCTCCGGCCATTGATCTTACAGTTCTCATAGCTCCCATCACTTCAGTAGCAATGGAGGCACTATGATCGTTGGCCTTATTAATTGCCAAAGTTAACTTTCTGATAATACCCCCGAGGAACACTACACCTAGAATCATCAATGGTGTAGTACTCATCATGACAAGGGCCATTTGCCATCCTGATGTCAAGGCAAGAATGACACCAATCAAAAATTGTGCCAAGTTTTGAAGTAAAGTAGCCATTTTGACAGAATAAATTTCTTGAATACGAGTGATATCTTCTGAAAGTGTAATGGTCAATGCACCAACCTTCTTAATATCAAAGAAGCCCATCTCTTGAACTGTCAATGAATCAAAGTAAGCACTTCTAATAGCAACACCAATTCTTTCACTGGCCCAGTTCAAGAAGAATTGAGACATGAAATTGGCAATGCAAGCAGCAGCTGCAATAATGGCAAAGTATGAAGCATAGACTCCAATTTCGGCCTTTTGTTGCTCTGGAGTAACAGTTGATCCATCTGCACGTGTTGGTGAAAAGACATTGATTAAATCTCCCATAACAAATTGGAAACTATTAGATTCAACAATATTAACAATCGGAATGTTAGTATAATTACATACCTAATTGGAATCACACCAGTACCCATAGCTCCGATGCTTCCCAAGAATACTAATATCCAATTCCATCCTATAATTTTATAAATTGTAAAACCGTCTTTAAATGTAAGATTTGGTTCTCTTTCATCAGGAATTTCCTCGGAATCTTTCTTTTCTTCTTCTTGTTTCTTCTTTCTCTTGAAAGGATTTCTTGATTTTCTTTCCGTTTGTGGTTGTTTCTTATCTTCCTTAATTTCTTGTTGTTGTGCTTTAACTTCCACCACATCAACAACTAATTCATTGTTTGCCGACATGTTGTGTTCTATATACAAAGATGATTGTGTATTATCCACTATTATTATTCAAATTTCAAATTGATAGGAAGACCTAAAAGTTGAGTGGATAACAATTCGCTTGTTTTTTTCTGTTGTGTTTTTAATTTTAGTGGAGAGAATCTCAAGCACGTACAATTTTCTTCCATCTAGAAGAGATTCAATTGCGACTGCAAGTCATTTGATGTTGTGACTATCATTGAAATGGTGGCGCACTTGTGGGTGTTGGTATTCAATAGTGCGGTAGGCACGCTTATAGCGAAATTGTTCAACGCTTATAGCGCCAATGTGTCTAACGGTAAGAAAAAACCCGCTCTTTAGTTGAGACTTTAGAGAGGGAGCATGAGATTTTTGAGTGAGGATAAATCCTATACTATTAATACAATACAATTACACAGTGTTAAGATTATCAATATTCTTTAGATTCATTGTTTTAGGGTTATGAATGGCTACGGCCATATCACGATGAATGCACCTCATCCCGTCCGATTTGAGAAGTTAAGCATCGTCGAGCCACATCAGTACTGAGGTTGGAGACAACTTGGGAACCTGTGGTGCTGTAGTCTTTTTTGCTTTTACCACACATTTTCTATTTAGAGACATTTTCATTACAAGATTCAAAGGTTGAGGTGGAAATCAAGGACGTTCTTTCCAGTCACTGGAAGACAGTGTCTATTATCCTCAATCTAAATCTCACAAGCTCATCAAATCTACAGAGATCTAAAGAGAAAAAGTCCTAAATATTCAACACTGGATTTTTAAGAAGCAATTAGTGGTAGTTGTCACCATTGCTAATTATCTTTTTAAATAGAAGAAATGAGAGAGGGATTTTTTCGTATCGTAAACTTAACATATGAGGTAAAATATTTCAGTTGAAAAATAAGGTAATGGCAGTAAGGGAAAAGAAAAAGAAGTAAAATCTGCAGAAGGTGGGATTTGAACCCACGAAGCTTGCGCAGTAGAACTTGAGTCTACCCCCTTTGACCACTTTCAATGTGGCAAACACTAACATACCTACTGCGCAACCCCTGCTTCACATTAAGGTATGTTAGTGTTTGCCACATTGAAAAATGCGACATTCCCCTTTTTGTTGGTTGAGTAGTATCTTATAGTAGATCAACAATGTTTCTAGAGCAGTGTTAGAGTGCAAATGTACTATCGTACTGACAAAAACTATTAGTGGTTCATTTGGATCATAAACTTTAACCTCATAAGAGTAGTATCGTACCTTCTCTAGAAGACTGATAAAAATGATTGATGGAGTGAACATGCGGATTTGTACCTTAATTTTTATGAATAAATGAAAAAACGAAAGTAATTCAAACTTTACCCCGTATATTTAAACATTGAGGGAGGGTCATATGACCTTAATTAAATGAAGTCAAACCAAAAGTTTTGTCACAATATAAAACAGAAGGGGACCAGTGGGAATCGAACCCACGGCCTCTCGCACCCAAAGCTATAATCATACCACTAGACCATGGTCCCTTACATGAAATATGAAGAATTTATTTCTCAATGTAGTATTATATCCTTATTTTTGATACCTTATCTCTTTAGATATTTATTGCAAGTCTTGTTGTCAACCCAAATATTCAACTTGTTTGTCATTGAGGATGAGACGATTGCAGCATTTCTGCTCTCATTCCTTAATTGATTAATTAGTGTGAAAAATCGAATGGACAAAGAAGCTATATTTTGAACATGACTAATCAAAAGTAAGTGTCGGTTTGACTAGCACCGTACTTTCGTATTCACTACAGAACTTAATCATCAAAACTCGTGAACCTCAAGAAATTAAACCTGATATTATTGCGCATCAATCTATTGCATATTTAATACTATTTTATTTTACAATTTTAATCGTCGAAGACTATTGATACATCAACTAGCTTTGAATTTCTGGCACTTTCGATTAATTTCTCCTTTGTTCTTGAATGTTTGGTCATTGTCTTGTGCGAATTGTGGAAAAAACAGCATTGCCATCCACTGTTCAAAACATCATTAAATTTCAATGGGCCAACTCCAGCAAGTGAGCTCAATTCATCTAAATTAAACTTCTGTACGAATGGAAATTTTGGAAATGGTTTTTCAGGAAAATCAGCAAACATTTCACCAATACAAAATACATCATTCTTACTATTGAGAAAATACTCTCCTCTTGAAAATCCTCCTATTTCAATAACTTCTCCTAAATCTAGAGGGCATTCAGTTAAATTATTATGATCTGAACTATCCTCCTTCAATCCAAATGTTGCTTGATGCATATTGTCATAACCACAACAAAATATCTTGTTCTCTTTGGTTCTAAGTATAACATGATAGTAACCTCCTTTAACTTTGTCTATTGTGTGTTTTTTTTCTAGGAAAGTTGATAAATGGTTCAAATTGGAGTCATAATCTGAATAACCTAATCCTGATCTAATGTGATTGCCCAGATCTTGAGCGTAAATCTTATTCTCTCTATCAACAATTAAAAATCCACCATTCCAACAACCTCCACATCTAATAACAGTATCATTTGGTATCTCAATTTTCACAGGAGTTTCTTTTTTGCTCAATTCCCACAATTCGTTCCTGTCGTTGATAATTAAAAATTGATTTGCCAGAGGTCCACTCATTACTTCCTTAATCCTAATGTTTAATTGATACATATGGCCCTCTGGATTCTCGGCAGAATCAATTCTCAAAACTCTTGTTCCATTTACATCAACTATATAAATTGAATCAACATTTCTATAATATTCATTTGGTATAAAATCTGGATGGTGCTTTTTGAAATTAATTTTCAAAAGTTTCAAGGACACGGTTTTTTCAGCAATCAATTGATTATTGCCAGTCAATCGTGATAATTCCAATTTACAACAATCACCTTCGCCATGCCCAAAATAAACAATATCATTATTCTGATCTACAAAATAAATATACCTCTCTCCTCCGAACATTGTTTTAAATTGAAAATTAGTAAATTGGCAATAAAACAACATAGTACCAGAGGAATTGAGTGGTAAATCTGCAATAATAATTTTAGTATTTTGATGAAGAATATTTCATGATGATGATTATGATGATTGCGATCAAATATTTTGATCACGAAAATACATACACTCAGAATCAAAGCTAGCAGCATGGAAAAAGCTGTTTGATAGTTCAGTGTTCATTTTTTTTTTGATTTTTTTGAAAAGTTCATTATTGTTGTAATCGGAATAATTATTAAATGTTTAATAATTTAATATTATTTAATATAATCCAATTAAAGGTTAAAGGTTTAATTTAATGACCAGAAAGATAGGTGAATCTTTCAGAAATGAATATTCTGATAATCGTTTATCATTTTCCAAATGCATTCCAACATAAATTAGCATTTGCTGCTCAATTCGATAACCCTCCTTCTCGAAAATTATTTCCTTTACTCTTCTAATCGATTCATCCCGATCCATTTCAATACTAATCGCTTTTCCAGTCAAAGTTCTTACAAAAAATTGAATAATGCATTTATGTTGGCAACTTAATAAGGAATTTGGTTCGATATTGTAATCGGTTATAGTTTTTGTATTTTCCAACAATCGACCATCATGAAATAATTTAATTTGATCGGAGGAGGAAATATTTGGTTTCAGCTGCTGATGAACAATTTTTTCCTTAATACTTTGAATGGAATCTTGCATCTCAACTTGAAGAGTAATTAAATAGTTAGATATTTGAACATTGAGTGGTTGCATTTGATAGGGAGTTGAATTGAAATTGTTGGAAATATATAGGGAGATGACGATTAGGAAGAATTTGAATTGTTTTCTATTTTTTTGAGTAAGAAATGAACTTCTTGGAGATATTTCATATTTTTTGAAACTTAATAAACAAGGAAATATTAACATGATTTAATGTAGTTGGAGATAAAAGATAATATTCAATATTTTGTAATGTTCATCTTGCAGTGTTTGTTGAATGTGAAAAATGGCTTTCCATAAAGCAATGGTGTTGAATACACATTCAATGAATTTCCCTTTCAAACAACTACTTTATCACCACCTCTAAACTCTGACTTAACAATTACTCAACAAGACATCTCCATGAAGTCCAATTAGATATGAAACACTTGAAAATAATTCACTTTGTTTTCTTCCACTGCAACCCTTATTCAACAGAAAATTAGAAACTAATCAGAAAGCATATTTAAAAAACAGGGTAAAAGTTCAAACTTCCTTCTTTAATTATCCGTGTTGATGGCTATTGGCCACATTGTTTCGAATAACAATAAACTTAAAAAATGATAGCAAATCAACCAACCACAACTACATCCTCCTCTTTAGAAGACACCAACTCAACAATTGATATTGTTGTTGTTGGTGCTGGTCCAGTCGGATTGTGGACTAGTTGTCAAATTAAACTTTTAAATCCCAAGTTAAATATTCGAATCTTGGAGAAACATGAAGAATATAAAAGAAGTCATGTGGTTGTTTTGCATCATAAATCTTTGGAAGGACATGTTGCTCATCCTACTTTAAACAATTTCAGAAAAGAAGTTACTGAAAATACGAAAATTAGGACGAATAGAATTGAGCAAACTTTGTCGAATCTTTGTAAAGAATTGAATATTGAAATTTTTAAAAATTTCAATGTGAATGACATGAAATCTATTGAAAGCATGTTTCCTAATGCAAGATTTATTATTGGGGCTGATGGTTCTCATAGTACAGTGAGAGGGGCTGTTTGTGGAGGCGAATTGGAGTATACGAAACATTTCCACACTCTCGTTGAGGTGAAATATGAAGCCATTGGGCAAACCAAATCTCTAAATACAGTCATGTTCGGCTACCCAACCATGAAACTGATTGGATTTATAGTCTTTGAACTTATTGGAAAGGTCAATAAGGAAGGAAACACTCCAGTCACCTTACAATTCTTTGTAGATGAAGAATTGGGTAATCAAATCAAGAATGCCACTTTCAAAAACCCACTCATGTTTGATAAAAACAGACATGAGCTCCCTGATGAAGTAAGAAATGCAGTAGAAACTTGGATCGCTATTCGAAAGAAGGCATGTGATGAAAATGCAGAGATGAGCTCCATAAAAATCACGACAACCAAATTGGCAGCCTATGCAAGTAATACATTTGTGAAATGCTCAAAATCAGGTGGACCAACTTATTGTTTGGTTGGTGATGCAGCCTTTGGGATGCCCTTTTTTAGAAGTTTGAATAATGGCATGTTATGTGGAACTGAACTAGCTCAAGCAATTTCACTTGACTTTGCTGGAATGAAAAAGAAAGAGTCAATTTTCAAATCATTAGGAACAAAGATTTCAGGTGTTGTTTCTCAACAAATTGGTGGAAGAACTTCACCTTCCGAAGGTCCCGTTTCTGATACTATGGTTGAATATGCAAATTATGTACGAATGTTGGAACAGAAAGAGTATAATTTAGCAAAAATCAAGAGCTCAGGTCTAGTTGCATTTAGAATGTTCACTCGTGTGAGCTCTAAAGTGCCATGGCAAACGAACAAATTTTCACAGGAAGAAATAGATGAAATCAATAAGTGTAAGAATTCGTATAGTGATGATAATCGAGTTAGCTCGTTGATGGACTCTCTTTAACAACATAAACATGTAACACACAGTAAACAGCTACCGTAGTTTTTCGCTTTGTACATGTTGTGTTTCTCATTAATTCGCGAATGGTCCAAGTTGGGGTGGCACTAATTGCGTGCAAATTAGCGCCCGCAAAATATCTTCTGTTTTCTCACTGGTCCTAGCATTTCATATCTTTTGTAATCTCTTTGAACATTTCACACAAGCATTTTAAGGCAAATTTTAGATACTTTACTCTACTCCGAACTAAACTCCTTTATAAGCATGTCTAAATCAATAAATAGTCAACTTACCACCAACGTTCGTATAAACGATTAGAAAAAATATGAAAACCTCATTGATTGCATTAATTGCCTTCATTCTTTCTTGCCAACTAGCTTTAGTAACCTGCGCATGCCCACCAGGCATGTACATTGCTAATTCTCAATGTAAGCCTTGCTCACCAGGAAACTATTGTTTAAATGATGAATCCAAGCCATGTCCTGCAGGAACCATCAATACTGATGTTGGACAAACCACATGTCAAGCATGTCCAAAAAATTACATTACCAACCAACAACATACTGCATGCATTCCATGTCATTACAGAACCAATGAAGATTTGACATTCTGTCTCTTGCCAAACACCCCAATGAATGCTTTGGAGATTACTAAAGTAGAAAATCATTTGACTAATATCACTGAAGGAGAATCTAACTACTTTTTCAAAAAAATCAAATTTGGAAATGGTCAAGCAACTGAACTAGTCACTGTTCAAGAAACTTTCTCCCTTCTCGTCAATAAGAGATTGATGATTTTTGCAAGCAAGTTGACAGGAATGCCAGGTAAAGATAATTACCAATATGTTGGAAGTGGAGTGAATACAACTTTGGGAATTGTTGGAAAGGCTGGAACTGAAGAAATGTACTATTTCAATGTTATTTTAATGGAAAGTATTCCAAGATTTGCAAACGAATTGTTTATCCAAGACTTTACAACAGTTATTCAAGCAGAGCGTCCATTAATGGGCATGGGTAAAAATATAGTTTCACTTTCTGAGCATGTTGAAACCATCATTGAATTTAAGAATACCATTTATATGAATGATCCATTGAATTTCAATTTGGAATTCAGTGATCCATCAGTTGAAGTTTACTATTCCACAAATCCTGATATTCAATTTCCAAATCCAAATAATTCCTTCTTTGTTTCTTATAATTCAAAGTCTGTTTCATTCCAAGTTAGAAATCCTCCTACTGGTATGATACGTGTTGCTATCTATAAAAAGGTAAATAATGGCAAAGCAATTGTAACCATTTCACCAATCAAGAAATAAAGGTAATACTTGGCATGTCCAATTCTATTTGTTTCGTTGTGGAGGTGATTGAGAAATAAAATCTTGAATGTAGGAGGAGTTAGACAACTTTATGTTGAAGGTTAAAAAGTGCGTGCCTCATAAAGAGGAGTAGGGAAACCAATACGGAAAATGATGTGGGTTTTGCTGCTTGATATCATCCCAAGAGAATTCAGGTAGTAAATTCCCACTATTTATGTCCCTGTAAATCTTTTTGAATTCCTCATCTACTGGCATGTATTCAACTGTTTGAAGATTTTTGCAGTCTTTGAAAGGATTGCACGAGAAAAAAGCAATTGATAATTTCAATTGCTTTAGTTTGGTAAGGGATTTAATCATCTCGGCAAATTCATCATCATGGAATGAATTATTTCCAATTTCCAAAAACTCTAGCTATGGGTTATTTGTAGGAATAGTTCTTAACAAAGTAGTATGATAATTGTGAAATACCAATCTCTTTAAATTTTTGAATTTGGTAATTACTACGTGTTCAAGGTATCTGTCGTAGCCATAGTCGTGTAGCATAGAAAATTCTGAAGAATCATAAATAATTAAGTTCTTTGCATTTTCTTGCAAAAGAGGAATATTTAGCACATTAAGCATCATTTCTCTCTTGTTAGGGGTTTCTTCTTTTGGAAGGAATAAATTCTTAACAAGAGATGTAATAGCTTTCTTATCTGTTGTGATCAAGGAAGCACAACTAATATGAATATCATTCTCCTGTAAGTATTTCTTGATAAACATTCTTGTATACTTGTTAAGTGAAGATACAACCAATAATTGCTTGGTTTGAAGGAAGGACATGATGTGAGATAACGCATCCTCATTCAATAATCTAAGATGGAATAATGGTAATGGTTTAGCAAATGGATTGAGGAGTTTTGCCTTATGTTCATCGCTCTTCTTTTCAGTCTCCAATCCCAATCGTCCATAGGAAACAGCTCTCATTGTGTATACTATATCTCTTTGCTTGAGGAGAGGCATCAAAGAAATAGACTTGGTAAAGTCATTGATAGCAAGTTGTAACTCTCCTAAATAATAATAGCATAATCCTCTATTGTAATAGGAAGATTCAACATATTCAGAATGATAACTTTCTCCCAATTCAATAGCTTGATTAAAGTATGGAATTGCATCCAGATAGTAAGTGCCAGAGTAATAAGCTACGCCAGCTCTAATGTACAATAATTCCAATGTAATGTATGTATTTGGTTTAGTCTTGAGTACTGGCTTATCAGTACCAAGCATCAAGCTGTGATTGTAATAATTCTTTGCTTGATTTGTAAAATTGGTTACACTAGTGGAATAGTAGGACCAATTTCTCGACCAGGAAGCAGCAATTTTCTCAATTGGTTTCTTGGCTTCCAATTGCATTGAAAAGAATTTCTCTTCTAAATCTAGCAATGATTGTTCAGCATTTTGATTTTCAACCAATTCAGTTTCAAGAGAAATTCTGTGATCAATTGATTTTTGGAAATAATTAGCAGCTTCCTTATATTCTCCATTTCCATAACAACAAATTCCAAGTAAATATTCAAGTAAATAGAACTTGGAGTCACCATTATTAACAACATTCATCAATGAGAGAGCTTCGTGTAAATCCTCTTTTGCCAAATCAAAGTCATTCCCTTCCAATCTAGCAACACATCGTTGAACCAACAATGTGGCCAACTTATCCTTATCGTCATCACTCATACCTTCCGATTGTTTTTTAATTTCTGTGATGGATATTGTCGATCGCTTCTCAACTTGATTAGAGGCTGCTTGATCAATTTGTTGCTTCTTCCTCTTGAAGAGGTCGAACATCTTTAAATTATTAGCCTTGATTGCTTCATCCATTGCCTTGATTCCACTGCCAATTTCTTGAACGCCTTTAATCAAAAAGATCACTGGTAAAAGGAATAAAGGGGGTGCATAGGCTCCTCCACACATCTTGTTTTTGCTGTTTTAATTTGTAATTATTATTTAAATAATATTATTGTATGAATAATAATAATATGCAAAAGGAGCTATGATGGCTTTTTTTCTCTTGTTGATGACGAGTAGAGAGATGAAATGTTAAAAAGCAGGATAAACACATGGATAGGTTGTGATTTTGATGTCGAAATGTGATTTGTTGATCAGAGAGAAGTAATAGAACATTAAAAGTTAGGAATACCTCGACCTGAGTACTATCCAAAGTTCATCAATATTCTTCTCTGAAATTACAATCAAAGTCTTCCATATCGTAATAATATTACATGAACAATATTTAACTTGATGTTTCTTAATTTTTAAATTTTTTTTTAATAAATTATTTCGATTTTAATTTTTTTTCAATAAAGATTTTCCTAGTGATAAATTTAAATGGCTACACTTTCATTAGGAACACAGGATTGAGTATTTAACCACCTCTTTGGCATTATCTAATCAGAAATACACCTTAAATTCATGTTTAGACAATTGAATCAGTTCCCAAAAAGGAAACATAATTAATTGGTTTGATTTTAAGCAATCGATTACGATCTATTAAAACTGTGTTCTCTTTTCTAACTTTCCATCACAAAAAAAATGAAAAAACACAGATCAACACTTTTTGGCATAGCTCTGTTAATTACCATCATCTTGACATTGTTGATTATTGACAGAACAACTGCATCCACAAGTACATGTAATCGACCAGCTGATCCTTCTGTATCAGGTATCAAACGAGGTGTAGTTGCCAATGTATTGGAATATGATAACGTTGAAGACAATGATGATTATGATGAAGTTTCGTCTCCAAAAGTTGTGATCGAAGGAGATGATGACGATAACTCAACTTTGCCTCTTGTAATGGATACACCTGGTAGTTCAATTGATACAATGGGTGTTTTACGTGAAATTCCTTCATATGTTCAAGAAATTATTGACAAGCAACCTGAAATTTTCAATAATGTGACAGGTGCCACTAATAAGAATTTGAAACATAGAAAAGAATTTATTGGAAAGAAGAGAACGCATTGCGTTGCATGTCGATTAAATTGTATGAATTTGGGAGTTTTTGCTGCATGTGAAAGAAAGTAAGTTTATGCTGATCTTTCGAATAATTGTATTAAAACTGAATATGAAAGGTATCATTTCTATGGTTGTAAATTCATCTCTCCATGCATCACTGAAGTAACTGCCACAAAGGAAACCATCAAAGCTGCAGTAGGAATATGTATCGATAGAAATGGATGTATACTCAAGAAACTCAAAAACATATTCGAATATAAACTAATCAAAAATCAAGATGGGCAAGTAATCAAGCACAGAGTCAAGATAGTTCCACGTTTACCAAGAGTGTACAAGAAGGTAAAGAGATTGGCGCACAACATTTCTGATGAATAAACTGTAGAAATATTCTAAAGCAAATACTAAAGAACTCCAATTAAGGAAAGATTCGATTCAATCGCTATTTGATGATTTACACTACTTTTTATTAAGTTTTGGTGCAATCACAAGTTGTGTTTCTCAAATTCAACATGCATGGAACCTTTTTCTATATATATTTGAGTTTTGTAATCATGTTTCAATTCTCCTAACAATTTCCATTCACCAAACACAAGAATTTTCCTAAAATCTCACTAATTTCATTTATCACTTCTCTGATTTACACTTGCTGATTCTTCACAAAATTATAAAAATCAATCGTGAATATTGAAATTCTCCATGCATGCTTTCGTTCTGATTGAGATCGATGAGTATTCTCTCTAAATAATTGTTTGTACTCTTCACTGGAGAGAACTACTTTACAATTCTTGTCAGGAAACTGACTCTGATATAATGGAACGAAATAATTCATGATTTGAGTTCGATTTTTGAAAACATCCACCAGCACATAATTTTCTCCTTTCCATTTGACTGAAAATTGCTCAATTCCTCCAAGAACTGGAGCTTCTTCAATATCAACTGGTTGCTTACTAGCTCCTGATTCATCAACTAATGAAAACGTTGTTTGAGTAGTAAGTAAATTATTCGAAAGTTGTTCATTAGAAACAGGTGAAGTTTTCCTCTTTTTCTGTGCTTTCTTTTTCCTTGGTTCGTTTTGATTTTGCAATTCAGAATTTTCTCGTTTGTTAGGTGCAGTTTTTAATTCATAATTTTCTCTCTGCAATTCAGTAATTGTTTTGTGTTGAGTTTCTAATTCTCTTTCCAATAGATGGATTCTTTCTCTTAGTTGGTTGATTAAATGTTGTTGAGAATCTGCTGCATGTACTTCATGTTGAATGTGGTGATTGTAGGGAGAATTTGTTGAGAGAATGTTTGTTGGTGAAGAAGTGGAAGAATTGAAATCTTTCGTCTGGTTTCCAATAGATGCATATCCATAACTGCTTGATGTACAAGATGATGTTCTGTTGAAGAGGTTTCGTTCTGTTGTTGGAGGATACTGTACATGCCCTTCCTCATGCCACATGTGTTGTGATGGCATGGAAGCGGATGGCAAACTGCAAGACACATTATTAGAAAGATTATTAGAAAGGTGGAGGACATGATTGTTTGGTAATGTTGATCCTTGGAAGTTATCTTGGAATAAATCTCTCAAGTTTGGTAATGGCATGGGTTTCGTAGTCCAATTATCTGAAACATTTACTTGCCGAGAGTCTTCGAAAGTAGACGAAACTTGTCGTATTCTTGTTGGTGGTGAAACAGATGAAGAATAAACCTCTTGTGATGATGATGAAACTGGATAATTGGATGAAGCAAAGAAATTGGCCGAATTTGCACTTCTTTGATTTGGATAGTTAGGAGACATTTGTTTAGTTTTTTTTCGAATAGATTAAACAATTCAGTGGTAAAGTCTGCGTCTAAAACAAAGTAAACAACACACTTTGATAAAGGAAATATCGGATGAGTCTTGATAACGAAACAATTCTAATGATTTTCACAAGATGAAACCTCGTTTCGAATAAGCTTGTTTAAGTCTTAAGAATTTGCACAAATTAGACAGGTGTCACAACTTACAACTTGAAATGCTGAGGTTTCCTCGCAAGATTCCTCTTGTTCATGTAAAGGAAACAAGTGTCCCTATTTAACTCAATTGATTTGCAAAGAAAACTGAAAGATTTATAAGGAACTTTGTGCGATGAGATCATTAATCCGTAAACGATAGTCCAATAACACGATGTATCAGATTGCATCCAATGTTTCAAGTGTAATTGTGTCTTCTTTTTCTTTCGTACAAATAGCTGTTATCATGCAAAGCCAACCGATATTACCAAAAGTGGAAATGACATCCTAGTATAAAATTGTGTTGTTTCCAAAGGTCTGATAAAGGACTCCATTGTCTTGTCTTTATTATATTCATTTCATGTTCTCTTATAATAATGGTTAACTTTAGGCAAGTTTCGTCAAGGATTCATTTGATTGCAAATTATGATAATCCACACAGGTATATATATTGGATCTCCTATTCTTTTCATTTTACCCGAAAGAATTTCACCTCATTCTATAATTTGTTTCCAAGTGGCCACGAATGCTAACCTCAATATTTATAAGGTATTACCCTTTCTATCATATGATCTAGAGTTGGCAACTGAATGTATCAAATGTACCAAGAAGAGAAGGTCTCGCAAAACACTTTTGTTTGTAACTATGGAATTATTTTCACCATTTCCAACCAATGTTGAATTCACTGACAGTGAAGATGATACGCCACGATGATGATTGCACTTGTTGTTGAAGTCCTCCTCCATAAGCATCCGCTCCAAATATTGAGAATGCGAATGACAAGGTCTAACAACATTAGAAAATTTCAGTAAATGATAAGTTTTGTAATAAGGTTCTTCATTTTAAATTGTAAATTTTCAAGTCCTTATATTGTTGGAGATGAAGCTCTTTGTGTATAGTATTTTGGAATGAATGACATGATTCAACAATGTATTTCTATAATTTGATCATGAACATTCCAAACGAGTTTAAAAAGGACATTAGGTGATTGAAATATGTGTTCGAATTGTTGGATTAGATCCAAAATCAATTTTTCTCGTTTAGGTTAATAAGAGATCTCCCAAGATTGGAAAATTGAGTAAATTTGCTGATATATTAAGTCTTTCACTTCTGGTTAGATCTCTGTCAATTGATTCAAATCCACCAAGTATTTGGCTGTCTGAGAATGAATCATTGAGATTCGTCATGTTTCTGATTGTAATTATTCTTGATCAATCTCTTCGTATTTAATTATTTCTGTCAAATTACATTTCATTTATTTTGACGTTTCACAAACTCATAAAATTCAATAGAAAATATGGTTATTCTCCAAGCTCTCTTTCTCTCACTTTCTTTAACATGTGGATTCGTACTAAACAGTTTCTTATATTCCTCTCTTTCTAATACCATTTTCGAAACCTTATCTGGATTATTCGATTGGTAGAGTGGATAATAATAGTTTACAATATCTGATTTGTTACTGAACGCATCGATCAAGACGAATTGTTCTCCATTCCAGTCAACTGTGTAATTTTCAAGGTTTTTGACTTGATTGTTGGCTTTTTGTTGACTCTTCTCAAATTCATCAATCACGAGGAAGAGCTTTCTATCCTTTCGTTTGGTTTCGGTGAAATCTAGAGTTTCGTCTCGTTTCTTTAGAATTTCATCATGCTTTCTCTTCTTTTCTTTCATTTTCTGGTTTTCATTCTCGAGAATGGAAATTGTGCTGTCTTGTTTCTTGACATCACTTTCAAGTTTTTGAATTCTTTCGTATAGTTTTTCGATAAGGCCATCCATGGTTCGTCCCATTTCGTCTCGAATTGCAGAGTGAAAAGGTATCTTGTCATGTCCCTTTGGAGATGTAGAGACACTACTCGTAAAGTATGGTTGTGACATTTGTTTCTTCTCCCAATATTCGAAACTATTTCCCCATGTAAATGTACTTTTCCTTGTTGAATTACATGTTTCGTCTCTACTTTCGAAAGGTTTCGAGACGAAAGTATCTCTTAGAAATTCATTGAAATTTGGCAATGCTGCCACTTCATCTTCTTCACCACAACTTCTTTCATTATTTCCTGGGCCCACAACTGCATCATTTCCTTTCGAATAATTTCTACCGAAAGGTAGGCTAAATAATGAACTATTCATTTGTCTTGTTTTTTTGTTTGTTATCCTTCCAAGCGACCAACCAACACACAACTCCATTTAACACAAACACATCGATTCGTTCATAGGTTTAGTTTGCCTCCTTAACCTATCTGTTTCCAATAGTGGTTTCTTCTCAGTCCTTTCTAAAGTGATTAACCTCCCGATTTGTAAACTTTAAATCAAGATCTTTGTGTGATCTTTAATTTTCCGCCCAATTAAGATGCCACCTAAGGATTGACTTACTCATTAATTAAAGAGATTCAAATAAAGGTTTCTAATAGTGGTGTGAAAAATGATAGAATTTGACGGCAAGTGTCCGAGATGGTGCACATTAAACATAAATACTTTTAAAGTGAAATGCCAAGTTGTGCAGTAACATGAGCAATGTGGCTATGGATTTCTTTATTTGGGAAATGACAGTTGTGATGGACACGACTCTTATATCAATGGCTATAAAGCACAACATTGAGAGAACATGACATTTAAAAGTTTCTAATGTAATATGAGGAGGATCAAATCATCTCTGGTCGGGGTAGCAACAGTTTCGAATAAGATACACGAATGTGTGATAATGTTTACAGATTTTCTCAAACTCTTATATGGTTCTTAACAAAATTATAAAAATCGATTGTAAAGATTGAAATTCTCCAAGCTTGCTTCTTTTCTGATGTCTTGATGTGCTGATTCTCTTTGAATAGTTTCTTATATTCATCACATTGCACAACTAATTTAAATTCCTTATTTGGAAATGTGGTTTGATAGAGTGGACAATAATAATTCATAATTTCATCTCTATTCTTAAAAACGTTGATAATGACATATTGATTTCCTCTCCAATTGACTAAATATTGATTTAAATCACCAACTCCTGATTCCAAATTTTCAATAAATGATGTTTCTTGGACAAGTGTCATTTGTTTTGATTGGTTGGTGAGTTTTTTTCTACATGCAGTTGGTTTTCCAATTTTTCTTGTTTTCAGTGATTGATTTTCTTTCAAGAGATTTGAAATTACTTGAGATTGTTCATAAATTCTTCTTTCCATTTCTTCTATTTTCTGAATCAGAGACGAAACTTGAATCGAACTATCATTTTGTAAATCAACATGTTGACCATCACATGATAAAGATGAGCTCGATTGTGAAATTGCTTCAAATCTTGGATTATCCACTTGATGTGTTTGTTGCCCTTCAAATTTCACCTGACAAAATTCTTGATTATTAAAATTCTGTAAAGATGAAGAAGAAGGAGATGATGGAGAACACATGGATTGTGAAAGGAATTCTCTGAAATTTGGTAAAGCATGTTGTGGAGTTTCTTCCTGCTTGATTATTGCGTATTGAAGATGTTGATTCATTTTAGTCAACTGTGAGAATGTTAGTGGAATTGATTGTGTTTGTTTTTTAAAGTTTGTTGTTGCCAGATGCTTATCATCTGATGTTTGCATTCAAAATTGCGCAGCAAGAAGATGTGTAAGCAGAAAGGATGAGGTTTATTCTACTTTCGGATGATCAAACACCCGCTGTTATGAGCAAACCTCCTCGAATGTTTCTTGTCTGGAAGGCAGATTATTGTTATGGTGTTTGATAGCGGGGCGGTCAGTTGGCTGTACTACACTATGCGATATGTCTTTGTCCATCTATTGATGCGAATTTGAATGGTGAAACAAGTTTATTAGAAACTAATCTTTTGAAGTTGTTCAATAGAGTAAGTTTAAAATTCGAAAACATACATATTATCCAATGAAAATCAAAGTGTTTATTCCAATTCTAAAGAAAGGTTTCGAATATTAAATAAAGCAACATGCCATGTTAAATAATCTCCAAAACCTTGAAACTAATGGTAAACTGAGTTCATAAGTTGCCCATCAATTTAAGATGACACAAAGATATAAATGTCAAAGAATAATGAATAATACCATGTCGCCTCCTCAATTTCAACTACAGTTTTATGTCAATAATCACAATTGACATTAGATTGGCAACTTTCCTTTTATTAATACAACAAAATGTTACAAGTTAGAAATAGTAGCTAACAAGTTGGAATGTGTTTAAAATTCTCCTGAGTAGAGCCACTACCAACTCATCTCGAGCTTATCAATCTTTATCCTGTTGATAGTGTGTTACAATTGATCAATTCATATGATTCATTCAATTGTAGATGATAATAATTGATAGAAATTTATTAGAGATGATCTGCAGACACTTGAATGGTTTGTGTTTACTGTCTTTTTCGTTATTCAATTACTATCTGGTTCTCACGAGTTTGTTTTCATTCTGATCTTTGGAATATTCTCTGTTCGTTTGTACAACACATGTAGTTTGCAAACATGTGTGGAGAAACAAGTAGACTCTAATTGTTGCCATTCTGATTGCATTCTCTTACAAAGTTTACAAATTCCATTGTAAAAAGTGAAACTCTCCATGCACGTTTTTTGAAAAGTGGAATAATGTGTGGATTCTCGCTCAATAATTGACGATATTCATTCTTCTCAACAACCAATTTGTAATCCTTCTTTGGATAGAATGATTCAAACTTTGGACAATAGAAATGAGAAACATCATCCTTATTAGTGAAAATATTCGAAATGACATAAGTGGCTCCATTCCAAACAACAGAATAGTCATTGACATTGCTCATCACAATATCTTGCTTGTTATGACTCAGTGATGATTCTGCTATAACAGTAAACTCAATTGGTGAACTGCTGGCTCTACTAGAAGTATGACTTGGTTGTGGACTATTTGTTGGTTGAGTGCTGTTTGATTGAGTATCTACCTTTCTCTTCTTCCTTTTGAGAAGTACGTTCTCTTGCACAAGACGAGAAATTTCAGATTGTTGTCTCTCAATTTCTGCATTTAGCCGGTTAAACTCATCAACAGGGGATGTTCTCTTCAATGATTGTTTCATCTGGCCAACTGATGTTTGCTCAGTGACAGAAGATGGTATGTATAATTGTCTGTTACTGCTTGTTGATACTGCTGCTGTAGCTGGATTAACATGTGTGAATCCCGGTTGGTTATTATTTTGGTGGTGATATAAAACAGTTGGGTTGACCAAATTATTTGCAAAGGTGTTTTGGATAAATTCATCAAAACTTGGCAAGGTATTGTTTAATGGCATGGTGATTATTGACATTATCGAATAGATAACAACAATTGATGAAGGTTGTTCGTTTGTTTTTTTCTCTGTGTATGAGAAATTCTCCAAGCAGCTTGCTGGGCTTAAAGATATTGTTCCCAAGAAAAGTGACCATTTCAGGATTCTAGGAAGGACCGATACCACCATTCTTCCACCACAGATTTACAGAGCTTTTCAAGAAACTGGTTTAAACATGTTACATTGTGAGTGCTTGTACGGATCAGTACTTGCCAACTTCAAATGTCAATATAATTACCCTGAAATCTAGTTTGGACTTGTGTTTAGAGACGTTGATGACCAATACATTGAACAAGGAAGGATATCAGCTTTGATTAAAAAGTATTTATTGTGATGTGAGTAGGTACATTTTGCTTTAAACTTATCATTCTATCCAATTAATGCATTCCCTTACGACTATTGTTTAAAATGATAGGTTACCTAATTGAGAAGTGGATTGCATACTTGGAGTTTGGAATGCAGTTTACAAAGGTTGTATTAACAATTCTCATCACATTTCTAATGTTTTCATTGTTTGCCATACAGTTAGTTGGACACCATAGATGAATTAAGAAGAAATGAATCAATTGACTTACATTTAAAATACTAGGATTTATTCATCTTAGTTGTATTGATTAGTTGGTAGTTGACCAGCTATTCCACATAATTTGCTTAGAAAATATAGTTAGGGGATGGAATGTTCATTCCGAGACTGTTATTAATCTTTTCAATAACTTCTTCCTTAATCTTACTCTTATCCTTAATGTGCAATGGATTCAAAGCAAAGTGATCAGCAACAACGTTAATGTTGGCAGCAACCTTACCACGAGTAATGGCCTTGACTTCATCACCCATAAAAGTAATACAGAGATATTTGCTTCTCTTTACATTATCTAATTCACATGCAATAACACGCAAAAGAATATGGTAGGCCTTATCTGGCAACAAGAGTGAACAACATTCATCGAATGAGGTACCCTTCTTGAACAATTTGAGGAGTTTCTTATCCTTTTCATCATATTCAATAATAGCATAACTAATATCAGATTGTTCATCTCTCAATTCATTGTAAGCAGCTCCGATAGCTTCTTCAAATTTGATACCAGTGGATGTTGTGGCGACGAATGGTTTGGCAGATGGTGAAGCAACCTTCTTTTCAATAGTTTCTTCAGCCTTCAATTCTTCGAACTTTGAAATAGTATCATTGATCTTCTTTGGAGTGGATGGAGCAATTGTCTTTTCTTCAACAACAGGTGTGACCTTTTCGATAGCAATTGGTTCAACCTTCTTTTCGACAACAGGTTCTGGTTTCTTTTCTTCAACTTTTGGTTGTTCAATCTTCTTTTCAACAACAGGTTCAGGCTTCTTTTCTTCGACAATTGGTTCAGGTTTCTTTTCTTCAACAATTTGAACTGGTTCAGGCTTCTTTTCTTCAACCTTTGGTTCTTCTACTTTCTTTTCAACAACAGGTTCTGGTTTCTTTTCTTCAACAACTGGAGTTGGTTCAACCTTCTTTTCTGCAACAACTGGTTCTGGTTTCTTTTCCTCAACTACTACAGGTTCTGGTTTCTTTTCTTCAACTTTTGGTTCTTCAACCTTCTTTTCTACTACAGGTTCAGGCTTCTTTTCTTCAACAACTTGAACTGGTTCAGGTTTCTTTTCTTCAACAATTGGTTCAGGTTTCTTTTCTTCGACAACTTGAACTGGTTCCGGTTTCTTTTCCTCAACTACTACAGGCTCTGGCTTCTTTTCTTCAACTTTTGGTTGTTCAACCTTCTTTTCTACTACAGGTTCTGGTTTCTTTTCTTCAACAACTTGAACTGGTTCAGGTTTCTTTTCTTCAACCTTTGGTTCTTCTTGTTTCTTTTCAGCAACAGGTTCCTTCTTTTCTTTCTTCTTTTCAGCAACAACAGGCTTTTGTTCAACAGGAGTTACAGTACTAGTTGTGGCAGCAGCCTTCTTTTCCTTCTTTTGAGTTGAAGGTGTTGATGGAGTGGATGGTGAAGATGAGGCTTCTGGAGTAGCTGGAGTTGTAGCAACTTGTGGAGTACCAGCAGATTCTTGTTTCTTCTTCTTCAAGTCTTCCTTAGAGAAGCCATCCTTTTGTTGTTTCTTGACCTTCTTTTCTTGTTCCTTACGCTTCTTATCTTCTCTCTTCTTTTCTTCATTCTTCAAATCTATTTTCCATCATCACCAAATTATTTAATAATAATAATAATCATCATCCAATTTTATCAATATAAATAATATCATCAACATCATCATTTGGTAATTTTATAAACGACAATGTGAACGGTTCATCATCAAACCATTTTTTTCATCATCATTATGAAATCGTAAATTTGTATTTTGGCGGGAAATGTTCATCCTTTAGCAAAAATTCATGTACAAAACATACCATTGAGAATTTGGTCAATATCTTCTTCAGACTTGGTAGTGGTGGTGTTCTTCCTTGCTTTTGTCATCTTGTTGGTGGCAATGTGTTAATTTTTTTTTCGACTTTTGACGTGAGTCATTTTGTTAATTGGGTGTGAAAGGTTCAGCGTCAACAGTTTGCACCTTGTTACGAATAAGTAGAATAGATTTCGTCTTGCAAAAAATCGGTCAACCTGTGTAGTAATAAGAAGCATTAATGGTGTTGTTGCTTTGCTTTTGTCAGATGGTTTAGATGAAGGAGATACAATTGTTATTCGAAAGGTTTCGTTTTTAGTGTGTGATGAAGAGACTTTTGGATCTATTCCATTACAAAAAATGAAGCATCAGGAAACTTCCGATGTTCCACCATTCAAATTCCTAGAGGTCTTGTTCCATCTTTCGAATATTAAATAATTTAATTTTCTTCTCTCACTTTCGAATATCAAAAACAATGAGAAAAATAACACACAAACAATTTACAAATATAGCCAGTACTGTGAATTAACCATATAAAGCCCATCCATCACCATAACAATCATGATGACGTGTGCGACGAATTATTGTAAACAAAGATGCAATAATTTAACTATTTAACAATTTCAAAAAATCTTTAAAAAATCTTTAAAAAAAAAATGTCAACAACACACCAACAAGAAGAATCCAACAAAATTGTCCAATACTTTGTGAAAAAGTACAAATTGTTGCCTCACGTTGAAGGCGGATATTATTCGGAGATTTTCAGAAACCCACTTTCTGTGAATATTCAAAATTCTTCAACATCTTCTGATTCTACTATTAGTAGTGCCAGTAGTGAAAATTCTGTTGAAAATCAACGTAGTTTATCAACGAGTATTTTCTACTTGTTGGGTGGAGGTGATTTTTCATGTTTTCACTCGATTAAATCCTTTGAACAGTGGCATTATTATACGGGAAGTTGTAATTTGATAATTCACGTATTGGATCCTCAAACAAAGAGATATGGAAAGTTTGTGTTGAATAATAGACCGAATGTGGAGAGTGATTTGTCATTGCAACAAGAGGATTTGTTGACACCTCATTGGGGAAGTGAAAAAGTTGAATTGACAAATTTGTCGTGTTTCATTCCTGAAAATTGGTGGTTTGCTGCTGAATTGGAGGATAAATCACCAGAAAATTATGTTATGGCAGGTTGTACTGTTTCATTTGGATTTGATTTTAGAGATTTTGCTAAGGCTAAAAGAGATAATTTACTTGCAGAGTTCTGTAAGGATGGAAATGATAAGGAATTGGAGGAATTAATTAAAAGATTAACGAGGGATTAATTTTTATTAGAAATTTTGAAAATGTTGAAATTATTTGAACTCAAACCATACATCCAAAATATTCATTCTCTTTTCAATTCTTGATTATATTTACATTTTTCTTAATATCAATCGTTTGAACTTCTGAATTATTTTCTTAATCAATGAATATAATTTTTCTTACTGAACTTGACAATGCTTCTTCTTTTCAGAATTATCATTGTATGAATGTAATGCAGCTAAGGCTTTCACACAAACAGGCATAAAATCCTCCAATCCAATCTTTTTCAAAGAAGATGTTTCAATATAAGTGATACAACCAGTATTTCTTGCAATAGCTTCACCTTCCTCAAACGATATTGGGGTTTTCAGAGATTTGAGTGATTCTTTTGAGAATTTTAGCTCTCTGTCATCAATCTTGCATCCAATCAGAATAATTGGAGTAGAAAATCCCTTATGTAGTCTTATTTCTGGAATGTAACAAGAAATTGCCATTTCCAATGACTCTTTCGAACAAACAGAGAAACAAACACAACTCAAATGAGAAATAGTGTAACCGTGAGGTCGGAGCCGTTCAAATCCTGGATGACATCCTAAATCCCACAACTCTAAACACACTTTCTTTTTTTCCAATTGATAGAATAGTTCAAAATTTTCGTAAACTCCTGGAATGTATTCTGGAAACTCTCCATATCCCAATGTGAAAATCATTGAAGTTCTTCCACTTCCTGGTAAACCAAGCATTGTGCAATTGAATTTCAAATCTTTTGAGATGTTTTTCAATTTGTTTGTGAGTGGAGCTGCATCTTGATGAATATTTTCCAAATTTTTCAATTCTTCCTTTGGAATAAACAATGTCTTTTGATGGTATGGACTAATAAAATTTGGAACTAGTATGTTTTTAGTCATTTCCATATAGTCCATCTTTTCATTCATCACTCGATTGTCAATTTCATGAAATAGTTCAACCAATTTTTCTCTGAATTTTTCTCTAATTATCAATTCAACTTGTGGCATTCCATTCGTTTTGTTTGATTCAACATGGAAATAATTTTCATAAATTGGATGATGCAAATAATCGGTGGGATAGGAGGTTTCTTGAGCATAGAAAGGTTCACTGACAAGCAGTGCCAATGCATTTAATTTAGTTTCCACTCTTAGTTTCCACAAATCATCTTCCAGCAGGAGATATCTAGAGAATGGACAAGTGTTCATGGAGGTGAGTAGAAGATTTCCGAGAGAGTAAATATCAAGGAAACGAAAAATTTCTCGCCACATGTCATCGTTTAATAGACAAAATGGCATTGTTTTATGATCTTGAGATGACATTTTTTTTCATTGTAAACAAATTAATTCAAGAAGTGATTTGGACACATGGTAATCTCTCTTGCAAGGTTATCTTTAACAGCTAGAACCATATTACTAGCCAATCTTTCAGTACGAATCTAAATTCAATATTTGTAAATTACATTCAATAATAATACTAAATACACACGGAGTGATGATGTCCTTCAAGTCAAACCAACCAAACAATATTGTTAAATATTATCTTGTGTGGGGCATGCACAAAATTGGGAGGAATTTTATTTTTAACTAACATTTTTTGATATATAACGTAAAGCAAATTGGCGCAGCGGAAGCGCGATGGGCTCATAACCCATAGGTCCTAGGATCGAAACCTAGATTTGCTATGACTTTTTGGCTGATAGTCAATGGTATTGGTATAGTAATATAAGTAAAACTAATTTTGGTACAGTCAATCTAGAGTGTTATTTTCAATGATTTTAATGTGGAAAGCTGATTCTCCATTCTTACTGTAATATCATAATTTTCCCGCAAGTCTAGTTCTGTTAATTGTTTCATTAAAAGAATGGATTTAACTCCTTCATCACTCAACTCATTCTTTCTAATGTGGAGGATTCGTAATTGTGTCAATTCACTGATTAATTTTGCACCCTTATTTCCAATTTGATTTTCACTAATGTAAAGGGTTCTTAATTGTTTTAGTTGATTGATAAATTGAGCTCCTTTGTGACTAATATTGTTTCCACCAATGTCAAGAAATGTTAATTGTTTCAATTGGATTATCGATTTTACACCCTCGTTGCCGATTTGATTGAAATCAGCCTTGAGTTTTGTTAAATGTTTCAATCTACATAGTGATTTTAGTCCTTCATCATTGATTCGATTGCTTCCAATTGAAAGCTTGGTTAATTTATCAAGTTTGCTGATCAAAATAGCTCCTCTAGCACCAATTTGATTGCTACTAATTTTGAGTCTTGTTAATTGAGACAATTGACTGATGGTCTCGACTCCCTCAATGCCTATATGATTTTCACTAATAGAGAGGTTTGTTAATTGTTTCATTTGAGAAATAAATTGGGAACTTCCCACATTAATATGATTATTATGAACACTCAATTTTGTTAAATGTTTCATTCCACTTATTACTTTCATTCCTTCATCACCAATATTATTGTAACTAATATTAAGCTTTGTCAATTGATGCAATTCGCCTATAGAACTTGCACCCTGTGAGTTGATATCGTTATATCTCACATAAAGTTTGGTTAATTCTTTCATTTGACTAATATATTTAGCTCCTATATCTCCAATATCATTCGCAGTTATATCAAGTTCTTTCAATTGGTTCAATTCGCTCACTGCCTTTGCTCCCTCTATTCCAATTCCATTACAACTAATATCAAGACATAACAATTGATTAAATTGACTGATAGTTTGTAATCCATTCTGTCCAATTTGATTTCTATGAAAGTTGATCTTTTTTAATTGTTTCAATTCAGCAATTGCTTTTAAACCGTTTGTTACAATGTAATTGTGATTATAGCTCAATTCATTTGTCGTAGTGGAAAAATCAAGAGATTGTAAATTTTTCATCTGAATAAGAGATTTCAAAACACCAGAATTGTATCTTGATAACACTTCCCCAGTCAAATTCACAACATTATCCAAAAATGGACTGAGTAATAATTGTTTGATTGTTTCATCGTTATTTGAAAATTTAAATGAAAGTTTTCCTCTTTGCTTGATGACAGTGAAAAATTGTTTAGAAATTAGCAAACAACGACTCAGAACAAATCTAGAATTTAGAAATGACAAAATTTCAAAGCAAATATCATCGGGAAATACCTCATCTATATATTGATCAAAATAAATTTCGAAAATAATCGCTGTCAAAGCATTGTAATTACTTACTGTCACTTTCTAGAACACACTTTTTACTTGCTCGGATGCAATTCTGATCATACTCTGTGTTGCTGTTGTGATCTCTAACGCGTTTGTTTGTTGTCATTTTTTTGAGGGTTCCCAAAGATTTCTTCCAGATTCAAATCGAATTAAGAGGTAAAGGGTTTGTGTTTAATGCGTTTGGTTGTTGTCAGATTCAAATCGAATTAAGAGGTAAGAGATTTGTGAGATTTAATTTGTTTTGTTTCTCAAGGTAGCTTTGATTTTGAGGTTTGTTGGTCTGATTGTAACTGCAACAGCTTTTCCAATTGGATCAACACTTTCATCATTCAATAACTCCAATTTGTATTTTCTGACAAGCTTGGTAAAGATTGCATTCAGTTCAATTAATGCAAACTTGTAACCAATACACTTTCTGTTGGCCATTGAGAATGGCATCCAAGAAAATGAGTGTTGATATCTCAATTGTGTTTCAGCATCAGGGAAACGATCAGGATTGAATTCTGTTGGATTTTCCCAATTTTTGTCTGAATTACAGGCTTGTGCAAGACTCAATAATATACTGGTATTCTTTGGTATTTTGAATTCTCCTAATTCGACATCCTTCTTTGCAACCTTAATAATTCCACCAACAGGTCCATGCACTCTAAGAGTTTCCATAATAAAAGCATTAACATAGGTGAGCTTTTCATAATCATCAAAAGTTGGTTCTCTATCACCCAAAACGTTTTGAATATTATCATAGAGCTTTTGTTGAATATCTGGACGTTTAGCTAAAACGTAAGAAGCCCATTGGGATAAACTGCTACTAGTATCATTTCCGGCAAGCGAAAAAATAAATGAATTACTCTTAATTTCGTCTTTGGTCAAACCACCATGTTCAGACTTGGTATTGTCGAGTTGAGATTCAGTTAGTGAAGAGTTGGTTTCAATCATCATGGTTAACAAATCATTGTGTTCAGTACCTTCCAACTTGTCATTTTCGTAAATTTCCTTCTTTTCTTGAATGATTTTGTCCAACTTGGTGCTAACCAACTCGAGTGCTTTATCAACTCCAAAGTAGCTCATTACGTATGGATACAAATATTTGAGAATTGGAGTTTCTGACAAGAATCTCTTGAATAAAATACCCTTTGTTAGCAAGATTTCCAATGACTTTCTAAAGTTGGATTCATTCTTGGTTGGATCGTCAGAGAATAAACCAAAATCCAATCCGAAAATAGATCTTCCCAAAACCTGTAATGTTAAATCAGAATAATCATCAATAGGCAAGATGAATGATCCATTTGCATCTGGCAATTTTTCCCATCTATGAGCTACCATCTCATCGAATGATTCACAAGTTACCTTTGTGACAAACTTTAAATTATTTGAAGAGAATGCAGGAGAACAAATTCGATGGTGTGGCTTCCACGTGTCAGCTTCCAACATGGACAAGATATTGTCTCCAAATATTTTAAATGCTTCATAGGAAGGTGGATACTTCTTGAAGAACTTTTCCTTAGTCAACAAGAGCTCCTTAATATGATCCTTGTGACTAACAATGACAATGTTTCTTCCGAGCATTGACATTCTAACAATACCAGTCTTTTTATCACCAAACTTTTCAACCATTTCTGGAACGTGCTCTGTACCAAAGTAAATGTAGGGAGCAATGAAAGGAATTCTGAAAGGAGCGAAGGCAATTTGCCAAGAACCAGGAATATGCTTCACTGCACTATATCTTGAATAGATTGACCATGTCAAAACAGTCAATCCAATAATTATCAATGCAACAATCCACTCTAACATTTCCGAACGATGAAAATCTTTGTTACTATTTAACTATTTAATAAATCAATCACTAATTCTCTATATAAAGTACTTGATATTAATTCTATCAGTAGTTATTATGTTTCAATTTTTTTATCAGTGTTTGGAGATGGAATTCATCAATTCATGGAGTTTTTATTCATCATCACAAGGTGCGTCGAAGAGTTCAACTAAAGTGCGTCAGACAACATGAAGGCTATTTTTTAGAGATGGACAAATAGGCTTTGATTGAGTCTGCCAAGAACAAGGCAACGCAACAAAGACATTTATGGAACATGTGTGCGTTTTTTTAAGGCGCACCAGCAATGATTCAATACTTAATAATGTCATAGGTTGATGGAGTAATGGTGGAGTATTGACTTATTTAATAGTATATTATTCAAATTGTAATAATTAATAGGATGACTTGTTCAATTTCAATTTTTACAAAAATTCATTCTCCAGTTTGATATTGATGTTCCAGCATGAACATTGATCATCATTAAAAAAAAAGATTCAAGTCATCACACACTGATTTATTTATTAATAATTATCATCACCACATAGAATATTTGAAGAATGGTCAGATTTTCATCTTCCGAATTGTTTTCAGCCTTTTCTTCTGATGAAGAAAGTCAGGTTGCCGATCCTGCAGCACTTGACTTGATAGAGGGTGAATTGTCTGATGATGAAGAGGTAATACAAAATGCTTTTGATCAACATGCAATTCCTGTTCAATTCAAATCACAAAAGAAGAAGAAAATTAAAAGAAAACAAAAGACTGTAAAAAAGGAAAAGCAAATTATTTATGAATTTGAAGAACAAGTATCAGCTCCAAAGGTTGTCAAGTCAACTGTGGAAAAACAAAATAATCAACAAGAGAAGGGATTGTTGGATGAGGTTAGGTTCAATTTTCCGATATGCTTTTCTAAAAATTTGTGGAAAGACGTAGTTCCAGAACAGATTACAACTTATCAAGTTGATTCAAATTATATTTCAGATGTTATGGACATTTCATTTAATTATCATAGATTGAGCGAGGCCAGAAGTAAGATATTTAAAGAACCTTTCAAGAATTTCACAGAAGCTGTTGAAGAGCTAGTTAGAATTCCTCGATTTAGAGAAAGAACAACTTCCAGAAAGCTCAATTCCTCCTCCACAAATCTCCTTTCACAATCCAGAAGTATTGAAAGGAAGATTTTCAGTTGTGTGGCTCACAACTTTTCTTACATTTTAGAAAAGAAAGAGAATACCTTGCATTTTCTTATTTATGATAGCGCAAGAAATACTCTAGTAGATTATTTGAATTTTGAAAAGTTGTTTTTCCTCAAAGGAAAGCACAGTATGATCAAACTTGATTTGGAATTTAATTCTGATTACAAAATCGCAAAGTTCGCTGATAATATACTCATATTTTGTGGAGATCATTCACTTACCGAGTCCGAATATTTAGAACAAGGAGAGGTTGAAAATGCACACTTTAGTGCTCATGATAGGGTTCAATTTCGTAATATCAAGGCCGATGAAATGATAATTTATAAGATTATCAAGGTCGACACACCAAAGGAGATTGCAATTGTCCCATGTTTTTCAATTAATAAGGACGGCGATAACTGTATCACCAAGAGAAGCGACTACTCGGTCAATTCTACTAATGGCTCTTTCATATACGTCTTTGGAGGTGTAGAAAAGAATGGAAAATTATCTAATGCTCTCTTTATGCTTACTAGAAGTACCACTCATAATGGAAGACTTGACAGCCGTCTTCAAAACAATGAATGTGCTCCTTGCCCAAGATACAAACACTCCTCTTGTATGATTATCTCTGATTTGTTTATTTATGGAGGTATTGGAGAGAATGGAAAAGTATTGAATGACTTGTACAGATTCAAGGATGGAAAATGGGTTGAAATTATTGTTGATTCTCTACTTCCTTCTCCTACTGCAGATTGTTCTCTATTTTCAGATTCGAGAAACGTGTACCTATTCCAGAAGAATTCTGACAGCTATTGTATTGAGGTTAATGAAAAAAACCCAAGTTGGAAAATTCTTAATGGTTTGATTAAAGAGAAGAGAGATGGGCAACCTCCAATCAAAATAGATGCAACCAGTAGTATTTTTGAGTTGAGTGATGAAGGGTTACACTTTTGTCCAAAGTATCTTTTTGATTTCCGTTCTCAAAGAACTTCCCTTCCACAATTCTTGATGGAAAAGAGAAATGAATACTATATGGTAGATATGGCTTTCAAATTGGAAGACTCTCTCAATGATTTGTCTGATTACATTCTCGCCCACAAATGTGTCATACTTGCTAGATGTCCTGGTTTGTATAAATACATTGAAGAAACAAATCAAGAATTAGAGAAGGAAGAATTTATTGGAGTAATTTTCCCAAATGATGATAAGGCAACAATTCCACTTGTAAGAGTATTACCAGGTTATGAACCTGTTTTCAAAACATATTTGGACTTTTTGTATTGTGGAGAAATTATTGTCACTGAAGCAAAGAATGTGCCTCTCTTGTTAGATTTAGCAAGAATTCTCTCTCCAGAGAGCCATTATCCATTCTTTTTGAAGCTTTTCAATAAGAGCACCAAGATTGATATGTCGTTGTGTAGAGAATCAATAAGAGAATATGAGAAGAATTTTGAAAATCTCTTCAAAAATAACACTGGCTCAGATTTAGCACTAGTATTTCCAGATAGTCATCCAAATATTGAACTCGATGACTGTGGAATGGTTGCTGATCAAGAAAAAATTCCTACAGGAGCACTCAATGTTCACAGACTATTCCTCTCCAGAAGTCCATATCTTTCCAGAGTATTCGTTACAAGTAGAATGTCTGAAGCAATGTCCAATGTTGTCTATATGGAGGAGTATTCATATGATGCCTTTAAAAAGATGGTCGAATTTTTCTATACAGACAAAATTCAGTTGGATGGCCAGAATTGTCTTGCAACCTTAATTTATTCTTCCTTGTTTGAATGTGAGGATTTACTTTCTTGTTCTAGATCTGTTGCCACAGAATTGATCGATACTGCTACCGTCTGGGCTGTCATGGGTATTGCTCTACATTATCAAGATCCAGGCCTTCAAATTGCATGTGAGGATTATATTATTAAGAACAACTCTCTAATGGATACAAGAGATTTTCATGAACTTCCAAAAGATGCCAAAAGAAGAATCAAGGAACAATTCAAAAAGAAAAAGCCAAACAAAAAGAAATAAATCACTGAAACCTCCTGTCACACTCAAACGATTTATTAACAACATTATCTTGGAACAACTTGAATCTCATCCACCTCTCAAACTCAAAATCAAGGAAATGGTACTATCCTGTTTCATTTCATAATCTTGAATTGTTTTTCCATCTTCAAGTTTTTTGCCATTTAAAATCATTCGTTGACTTGGTGGTGGGATTCCCAGTTTTTCGTTCACCAGTTCTTTAATTTTTTCGATAGTGTCTGTGCATTCTACTTCGATAGGTACGGAATGACCTGATAGGGTCTTGATAAATAGTTGCATTTTTTATCGTGTTTTAATAGGATAATAATAAACATGAACTTTGTTCAGAAAAAAGAAACTAAACCCTTAAAAATTAAAACGGAAACCCCCACCGTGGGGGTCGAACCCACGACCACAAGGTTAAGAGCCTTGCGCTCTACCGACTGAGCTAGACGGGCTACATTGTATGATAATAAGAAAAAGAATAAGTAATCATAAGTCTGTCTGAATACTGTTAAACTCATTTTTTAAAAATTAATAAAAAAATAAATTCAAAAAAATGTTTCCAACGGCCCACAACAATAATGCTGGTGGTAACATGATGCAAACGAACAATAATCCAGGAGCATCATCATCAGTGGCCACTAATGGAGCATCCAATCAACTACCACCACCGGAACAAGGTTATCTTTCTCAACCTAATATGCCTATGGGCATAAACTATCCTATCCCACAACACCCTAATTATCATAGTACCAACTCGTATCAAACACCACTGATGTCCCACAATAATCCACCAACACCATCCAAGTCGAATACATCACAGGGAATGATTAATCCTTCTACTGGACAACAAACTATGGAAAATCAAACTTCAGTTCCTCCTCATCAACCATATCAACCACAACCATTGGTGCACAATTCACCAGGAAAGGCAGGATATTATTCTGCTCCAAATGCTGGTATTGCATCATCAAGTAATCAAAATATACCTCCTCAATATGTTGTAGATAATCATCAACATGGTTACACTGTTGTGGATCATCAAAATGTTGCTCCAACTTCTGTTAATCAAGTGGAAGCAACAATTGAGGAACCTAGGACAAGAGCAAGTGATGAACCACAACTTGTATTTTCTTGTAAACATTGCCGAACAATATTTATTGATAGTAATGCTCTATTTTTCAATGGTGAGGAACATGGAATTATTACATTCTTGAAAGTACACAAGGTGGAAGTAAGAGAAAATGTACAAATTGCACCAAATGATAGATTTGATGCTGGAAGTAATTACTATCCATTATTTTGTAAACAATGTCAAACACTTGTTGGAAGAAAATATTTAATGAGTGACAAGTCACCAATTGTAGATATTATTGGATATTACACTTTGGATATTGATGCATTATCTCTGTATGAAATGTGGACTGCTGAACAAGAAACTGGAGAAATTCAAGGAGGTCACATCGATAACATTAAATCAATTCCAACCAACAGATCAATCATGAAAGAAATTACGTTATTGAAAAATGCTCTATTAATGTTACAACACAATCAATCATCTCAAGGTAAAGAAATACATCTCCTCAAACAAGAAATTAATGGAACTGTGGATAAGAATGATAGTGTTAAAAAGATACCTGAATTAATTCAAAAAATGGCACGCATTGAAAAGGAACTGAACATATCCCAAGAGGAACAAAAGAAAATTTCACACATAAACAGAAGATTAAATAATGAAGTTGGGCATATCAAGAAGGAAACCGGCATCACTCCCTTGGGAACAGAACCTATTAAGCCACCACCACCAACCAACCAACCATCAAACAAAAAGAGAGCTAGTATGGGCAGCACAACAGCAGCCATTGAAAGTTCTCACACACCAGAAACCACCAACTCTAAGAAAAAGAAGACTAAATAAATTTTCACTAGTGTAAATCCTCCAATAACATATATTCTTTTAAAACTTTTCAAATTTCAAGTCATTTTACAATTAATTCTTAAATTTCAAAAAAATCAAATTTAATAATTAAAAAAAAATGTTCAAACAAGCAATCAAGCAAACCTCATCACTTTCATCATCATTTGCTTTCCGTAATAGCTTCCTCCTCTCCGTAAAGAGATGTTTCTCAACATCTTCCCTCCAGGATTGTATCCTCAAATTACCAGATCCTGTTACTAATCCTTCCGTAGCTGTTCTCTCATTCAATAGACAACAACAACGTAATGCATTGGGAGTTAATATGGTCAATGAATTGCTCTCTTGTTTGGAATTTATTAAATTTAATCATACTGAACAAGGAATTCGTTGTTTGATTATTAATAGTGCTGTCAAGGGAACTTTCTGTGCTGGAGCCGATTTAAAGGAACGATCACAAATGACACAAACACAAACTAGTCAATTTGTTACAAAACTTAGAAATTTGATGAATGATATTGAAAATTTACCAATTCCAACCATTGCTGCTATTAATGGTTATTGTTTAGGAGGTGGAATGGAATTGTCACTTGCTTGTGACTTTAGAGTTGGTGTTCAAAATAAGGATGTGGAATTGGAAAAATTACCAGGATATTATGGATTAGTTGAAACTGCATTGGCTATTATTCCAGGTGCTGGTGGTACTCAAAGATTGCCAAGATTGATTGGTGTTCCAAAAGCTAAGGAATTGATTTATACTGCCAAGAAGATTAACGTCCAAGAAGCTTATGAAAAGTATGGAATTTTGAATGATGTTTTAATTGTTGATTCTTCAAATGTTGCCAATGAAGATCAATTACTCATCGATTTTTGTGTTGAAAAGTATGGTAAACCAATTTCACAAAATGGCCCAATTGCTGTCAAGATGGCCAAGCAATCAATTCAACAAGGAATTCAACTTGATCTTGCCAATGCCATGAAAACTGAAGAACTCTGTTATGCTCAAGTTATTCCAACAAAGGATCGTATTGAAGGTTTGACTGCTTTCAGAGAAAAGAGAAAGCCAGTTTACAAGGGAGAATAAATTATTTATTTTGTGGAAGTTTGGATTTTTCGTCGTTTGTCAAATTTTGAGTGTCAACAAGTAATTCAGTAAGGTGAGTATTGCTTTGAGCAGCAGAAACAATGGTACTGAGTCCAGAAGCAGTAAATCCAGTTCCAGTCAAATCCAAAGTCTTGAGAGCAACATTATTCTTTACGAGTTCAACAACAAGAGGTGCACTTTCATCAGTGATGAGTGGATTGTTTGACAAGTCCAACTTGGAAATGTGGCTGTTTGGTTTGACATTTTGTAAAACAACTCTAGCAACATCATCGTCACAACCCTTATTCTTCAATGAAACAGACTTTAAAGTTGTTGCATATTCAAGAAGGTAGCCAAAGTCTTGTAATTGTTCTCTATCTAAATATCTCAATTCGAGGATAATTCCATCAAAGTCCATATCTGGAGTTTCACCATTTTCAGCAGCATCCAAAATATCATCAAATTCTACAAGATTGACATATGACTTGGTTGAGCTAGTTTCACTGACAGCAGCTGGAGAAAGGTCTTCGTTAGAAGTTTGTTCTATCATCTTTTCCTCCGATTCATTCTGTTGTTGGAAAATAGTTTCCTGTAATTTGGTTTGAGTCTCAAGAGATGAGATTTGAGTCAACATTGCTGACTTTTCCTTTTCAAATTCAATTTGAGTTTCGCTTAATTGTTGAGAGGAAATTTCAACTTGTTTGGCCAAATGTTCAACCCTTTGTTGCATTTCATTCAATTCTGATTCCTTACCGTTCAAGGTAGTATTCAATTCATCCAAGGATTGTTTGAGCTTGTTGTTTTCATCAACTTGGTTATCCAAAGAGTGTTGATTTGACTTTGTTTCTTCAGAGGCCTTTTCAACTTGTTGAGTCAACTCAGCAATCTTTTCATTCAAAGTCTTGAGGTTATTTTCAGATTGGTTAATTTCATCTTCCTTCTTCTTGAGTGATTCCTTCAATTCAGTAACAGTATTAGAAAGATCAGAAGCAGATGATTCCTTTTCCTTGTTCAAGACATCAATTTGTTGTTTGAGAGTTTCAGCAGTCTTCTTTTCATTGGAGAGCTCTTCAGTGAGAGATTTGACAGATTCAACCGTATTCTTCAATTCAGTGCCATTCTTTTCCAATTCAGAGGCCTTTTCCTCGAGTTGCTTCTTGATAGATTGCAATTCTTGTTCGAGAGTCTTGCTTTGAGTTTCAAGAGCAGATTCTTGCTTCTTGGAGGATTCCAATTGAGTAGTGATTTCTTCAACTTGCTTCTTGTATTCATCGATCTTAGCATTGGTAGTCTTGAGTGTTGATTGACTTTCTTCGAGTTGCTTTTCAACTTGTTGCAATTGACTCTTCAAAGTTTCAACTTGTTCATTGGATGAGGAGCTGGTAGTCTTGAGAGATTCTTCAAGCTTGGCAAACTTTTCACTTTGTTCTGTGAGTTGTTGAGTGAGAGCTTGAACTTGAGAAGTCTTGGATTGAGTTTCTTCTTCCAAACTCTTCTTCAATTCTTGAATGTGAGATTCCAATTCTTGGCTCTTCTTAGTGGCAGCATTCAATGCTTCAACAGTTTCAGTGGATGTCTTCTTTTCAGCATCGAGTTGAGTCTTGACATTATTCAAATCGGTTTGAGAAGTTTCAACTTGTTGAGCGAGTTCCTTCAATTGCTTTTCCTTTTCGGCAATATCTTGTTCGAGCTTGGTTGCCTTATCAGCGAGTGAGTTCTTTTCTGATTGGAGAGTTTCCAATGAAGATGAAACCTCAGAGTGATTCTTGAGTTGGGATTCAAGGGTGGAAATTTGAGATTGAAGCTTGGTCAAGTCGGTTTCCTTTTCCTTTTGAGCATTTTCCAATTGTGATTGCAAATCTTGAACCTTTTGAGAGAGTTCAGAATTTTGAGTGGCAGCTTGTTGACTCTTGTTTGATGATTCAGCAAGATCTTCCTTCAACTTGTCAGCTTGCTTTTGTAATTCAGCCTTTTCAGAGTTGGCAGTTTCCAATTTCTTGGAAAGTTCTTCCTTCTCATTTTCAATGGTTTTAACAGCAGATGAAGCATTTTCCTTTGATTCTTCAATGGTCTTTTGAAGAGTTTGCAAGGTAGATAAAGTAGCTTCATTTTCACTCTTAATCTTGTTCAAATCATCGGCCAACTTGTTCTTTTCATTTTCCAAAGATTGCTTGGTTTGATTGATTTCTTCTTCCTTTTGCTTGATACTTTCCAAGAGTTTGGAATTATCTGTAGAAAGATTGGAAACTTGTTCTTCGAGAGATTTGGCCTTGGAAACTTGAGATTCCTTTTCTTGAGTGAGAGTTTGAGAGTTGGCATTCAAGGTGGCAATTTGTTCCTTCAATAAGGTAATTTCCTTTTCCAATGATTCCTTTTCCTTTTGAGTGGATTCAGAGGATTGGGAGCTAGAATGGATAGTCTTTTCCAATGATTTGATTGTTTCCAAGGATTCATTATATTGAATCTTGACCTTTTCCAATTCAGCAATTGACTTTTCAAGGTCACTAACTTGTTTTTCCTTTTCGGAGAGTGAAGCAGCATGTTGAGTGGATTGAGTATTGGCTTGTTCCAATTCTGTCTTGAGAGTTGAGGACAAGGTTTCAGCTTGAGTAAGCTTTCCATTCAAAGTATTGATATTTTGAGTCAATTCTTCAATTTGAGTCTTGAGAGTGGCAATTTGCTTTTCACTTTCAGAGATTGATTCACTGGCATTCTTTTCCTTAGATTGCAAGGATTGGTTCAATTCATCCAATTGCTTTCTCAATGATTCAGCATCTTGTTCCAACTTGGCATGAGAAACCTTACTTTCACTCAATTGCTTTTGTAAATCAGATTCGGATTGTTTAGTCTTGTTCAAATCTTCATTGAGCTTTTGAATGTCTTGTTCCAATGAAGAACCACTTTGTTTGGCATCTTGTTCCAACTTTTTGATTTGAGAATTCAACTTTTCTTCACTTTGCTTTGATTCAGAAAGAGTCAACTTGAGTTGTTCAACATTCTTTTCCAATTGTGAAATGGTAGCAGTGTAAGTTTCAACATTGATAGATTGCAATTTCTTTTCTTGCTCTTCGACTTTCTTGTTCAAATCTTGAACTACCTTTGAATGGGAATCTTCAACTTGTTTCTTTTCCTTGTTGAGTTTTTGAACAATTTGTTCGGATTCTTCTAATTTCTTCTTCAAATCTTGAGAAGTTTGATCCAAAGAAGATTTTGCCTTCTTGAGTTGCTCATTCAATTCTTCAATCTTCTTTTCGGAAATTTGAGCTTCCTTCTTCTTGTCATTCAAAATCTTGTTCTTTTCCTCATCAAGTTTAGTTTGGAATTTCTTTTCCAAATCGGATTCACTCTTCTTTAATGATTCAGTCTCCTTGGAGAGTGTCTTGTTAAGTTGTTGTTCCTTTACCAATTGTTCATTCAATTCTTGATTTTGCTTTTCCAACAATTTAACAGAATCTTGTTGAGTTTTCAAAGTTTCGACTTGTTTCTCAACCTTTTCACTTTCTTCTTGAATTTTCTTCTTTTCAGAGTTGACTTTCTCAACTTCCTTTGTTAAAGTTTGGTTTTGTTCAGTCAATTTCGAAACTTTCTCTTCTAATTTTCCAACTTTATCTTCATCTGGATTTTCTTTCTTTTTATTCTTGGAGAGGAGGAATAAATTTCCAAGACCAACAAGTATTAAAGTAGCCAACAAAGCAAGAATAGTTGTATCAGCCATATTGACAATTGATGATGAAAATTTCTTCGGTTGTTGATGATGACAGGTTTTCTCACTGAAGTGTGAAATTTTTTTTTGAGCGGTCAAAGTTTGCCTGTTGATTGGAGATAACAAATAGTCGTCAATTTATTGTGTGATGGTAATGAAAAAGGATATTATGAATGTAGAATAGATTACTTTTTATTGTATCCTAATGTCCTTCTTTATTTTCAAAAAGCCAGTGGAATGATGGCTTGGAATTTTCCCTCCAAAATTTAAAAATATTTTAAAAAAATTGGCAACCATAAGCAAGAAAATAATCAGAAGAAAATGGCCAGAGTGATGGTGGGTTTGTTAAGTTAGCTTGTTATGTTTTTCAACCCAGAGAATATGTTGTGATGGTTATTGGATCATTGCAGTGGTATTGCTCACTCGGGTGAAGTTCTCCATGATTAAAGTTCTTGTTTCACAAGTTATCCCTATCTGTAAGAAAATGTGAAGATAAACAATATGGTAAAAATTGGATGAGCAAATTTTAATATTTGAATTGTTTTTATTCTATTATGAGATTATTATTGTAATATTCACAATACAGACAGGTTCATGATTACAAGGATCTAAGTTTGTTCTTAATTCATGATGTTAAACATGTTGTGACGACAATAGCTGTTTTTGATACATTTGACTAATAACGTACCTTTTGTGGTCGCCTATTCCACTTGAGGGGTTCACAATCAAGGCAACAAATCACTCATCAGCGATTACAATTGTATGAACTATTGAAAATGCTTTGTGTGGGTATTACCAATAAGAATCAATGTTCAATTAAACTCTGTTGATGATGAGCAACGGTCGCGAATAATTATTATTAAATTCTCAAACAAAAAACCATCTCTCAATATTCCCACTCTTGTGTGTGACATTTATTTGTTCATCATCAACAGCATCAACAACACTTTAATAATATTTTAACAAACTTGATCGGTATCAAAATATTGTCAACAACTCAACAACAACCCTTGTAGAGTTCATTATCATCATCTTATCCATACAAAGTCTGTGAGAGCATAGGCCTAGATTCTATTCTTCTAACACAATTTATACATCACTACCTTTTTATCATCACCACAAGTATTTTTGACCATTATTGCAATACAGCTCTCTATTGTAAAGTATATTATCTCTTCCTCATCAAGAACCAATAGTAAAAAACGTGCTAAGAATATTTAGAGTAAATAATAATATATTTAATTTAAAAAATGATAAGTGGAGGAAGCGCATCTAATTCCAATGTTGTTGGTCCAATTTCATCTTCCCTCCATACAACAACAACAACATCCAACTCAAGTGCTTCTAATGATAATAATAATAATAATAATACACAGATCCTTCCACAACAACAGCAACATCAACAAGAAGCAAGTAGTTTGACCTCTTTCTTAACTTCACAACAAGGAGTAGGTAATAACAACAACAACAATAACAACACTACTCCAATAACAACAACAACAATATTAGCATCAGGAGGAGGGGAACAAATTTCCCAGCAACAATCTTCTCATCATGCTATTGTTATTGGTGGTGCAAATACTAATACCTCACTTTTACCACCATTGGCTAAATCCACTCCAATCATGACTACAACAACACTTAATGGTACTAGCGCTGCTAATCAACCAAGTTCATCATCAACAACATCACAATTTGTGCCTATTGCCCCAGCAACGAGTAATCCACACAATAATTCACTAAGTGTACAACCAGCTCATTCCTCAGATCATGTAGCTGAACATCATACAAAGAGTGTTCCGTCAAATTCCTCCGTGAATGTATCCAATAACAATGTGCCATCTAATGTTTCTTCCTCACAACAAGCTAGAAGACCCAAACCTGTTCAAATTGGTTTTATGCCACCAGTATCCTTGTGTGTTTTGATGGAACAAATGGCCTCTAAGATTCATCAACACTATCAACCTCAAAAACCACCTAGTTCATCTAAGAAATCAGAATTATCCTCTCAAAAAAAGGATGTAGCAGGGGAATCATCTTCCACCCTTAATTCCAACAGTAGTGAAGATGCTAAGAAAACAGAAACAATGTTAACTGATGATAAGACTAACAATCAATCTAACGAAACAAATGCTAATGTAATATCTACTTCTAGGAATGTTTCATCAACTAGTCAAGGAAGATCCAAGTCACCAGGGTCAACTCCATCTCTCTACGATATTTTAAATGAGGAATATCATTCCAACTATTCCAATTATCAAGAATTGATTCATGCAACAAATTTGATTGTTGAATTTTTATATGGAAATACTGATCTTAAAGAGAGATACCATCCATTTCATTCACAGTTTGCTAGTCAACAACATCCATCCTTTTCTTGGGTTTATATGGTACCACCTGACCAAACTCCTCCAGTTATGTACCCTAGTGCACCATCAACAATAGGTTCATCATCTTCACATTCTGGAGTTGCAATTCCAATTTCTACTCCTGTAAAATCTGGAAGAGGCACAAGATCTGACATTACGCCAACTTCTAATTTCAAATCTGCTTCAACGGGCAGTAGTTCAGCAGCAAGTTCACATGATACATTGGAAATTCCTCCTCCAGTTTTTGCCATGCCAAAACCAAATAATGGCAGTTCAGAGGCTTCAACTCCAATGAGAGTAAGAATTGCACCAAATACTGGTGGCGGTACTGCCATGCTACCAATACCTGAACATCAACATATTTCACCATTCCCAATACGGGCCAAGGAAGAAGATTTGATGGAAGAAGATAAAAGAAAGAGAAGAATCAGCAAGAAACCAGAAACTGGAGAAGGAACAACTGGAAGTGATGAACAAGAGAATAAGTTCGTTTGTTATATTTGTGACAAATCTGTTATTGATAAGAGTACCAAATATACACTCACCTCAAGTAATTTTTCATCATTCCATGAAGTTTTCCCTCATTTAAAGACTCCACTTTTGGGTGAATCAAAGAGAATTTGTGCTAATTGCTATCACAAAAAGTATAGAAATTCTAGAAAAAAGAAGGCTGACGATAAGAAGGATGTAATTAGTCAAGGTTCTTCCAATGTCATGTCAGTTGATGCACAATCTGAAAGTTATGAACCAACTTACTGTTGTTGTGTTTGTAAAAAGAATGGAAGTGATGAATTTACTGAAACTAACTTTGTAAATGTACAAAATTATAGATCATATCTTACCTACTTCCCATTCATATCGGATACTCCAACTGCAGATAGACAAATACCTGTTTGTGATGCCTGTCATGCAACATATTTACAAGCAGAAAATCAAGAAAAGAAGAGAAAGTTCATGCATATGCCAAATATTCCAAATGCTGTTGACACCCTTGAATCCCTCAATAAGAAACTGAAACCAGATACAAGCCATCTGTAATTGTAATAAATAACTGTAGACTAGTTTTGTAAAATATTATCTTTTAAACAGTTACTCAGGAGTGCTGCAGAATACCCAACAACTAATTTTGATGACTCAACATCCTCTTACGGACTGAAATTAGGCGAAATCAATCCTCACACAAAGGAGTGTTAACAAACATGTACGAGGAATTGCAAACAATCATGCATTTCTCAGTCTTTGAATACAATAAAGTGTGAGAACAGTTACAATCTTCCAAAATCATTACCATGTCATGATGGAATGGTTTCTAACTTGCTAATGAGAAGGAAACAGTTCTATTTCATAGATTTTTAACTTTGATGCCCAAATCCAAGCAACCACTTAATTACTTAAGATTGTTATTAGCAGACATTGTTAATAAATTCAAGTGCAAACCATTAAAATTGTTGACAATTGACGCTTTAACTGAAAACTAACCATGTTTATGCTCCGCCCACAGCCATGAAGAGAAAATGTGGCAAGTGTAGCTTGTTTCGTTTTTGATTGTTTGGGAGATTTAATTTTCCACATCACTTTATCTGAGCAAGGTGGAAATCCTCACACAAACGCAACTTCTACAAAGAGCAAGCACGTTTCTTCCACGGAAACACACAGCAAATAACAATGTAATCTTGATGAAGATAACAACAGTATTATGTTAGGACCACACCAACTGTAACACTTTGTTAATATAATCAATGACATGCAGCTCTCTTGTGGAGGTAAACTGCACGAAACTTCAAACGAAAGAGAACGATCACGTGTGGAGATTGAATATCCTCCACAACCAAAATAAAATTCCCCACAACAGGCTATTTCTAAACAATTACTATCTTACAAAAAAACTCAAAGAACTCTGCGTCTCATCATCGTTTCTGACTCAATTAGAAAGGAAGACACACAAGCAACAGCTGCAGATATTTTCATCCTTCATCACCATTATCAAATAACCAACAAGAATCAACATCATCACCCACACAGAAACAATATATTGTCCATTTCTTGAACAAATATATTCATCGTGGTGCACTTGCAAAAAAGACATAATAACAATTACAGTAGACACATTGCGATCTTGTTATTAGGTTTTAAAAACATTGTTATAGAAGTGGAAGCGAAATTCTTCTTGCTGATTTTTCTCTATCTCTCTCTTGCTTACCAAGTAAGTTTTTCAAACTGTCTTGAATGTGCTAATACCCAAAAATGATTGCCAATTTTTACATGTGTACATATTTTACATACATCGTAATGTATTGGATCGATTTAATGTTCCATCATTGAATCTACTTGCAAATTCCCAAATGTAATCATGTGTGTGTAATGATGTGGCTACTCGGTTTCATCCAAAATTATATTGTATGCTTGCTCTATTGACTTTAAATGTTAACTTTTTGTTCAGCCTTAAACGAACATATTCATCAGAATAAGGTAGTACAGCACCAAAATAATTCGACTGGTCAATAACAAAAGAACCGCTTAACTCTTTAAGGCATTTATTCAGCCTTATTTGAAGAACTTTAAGAAGCGAAATTCTTGGTTCCTTATTTTTAACTTGTTGCCCTTATTTTACTTTAACCTGTAGATTTCAAGTCAGCAAGAAAAACATTGTTTGACTCATTTCGCGAAACACTCTTTTCCAGAGAGAGAATTAGTATTTATTTCACGCTTAGATTCCTGCAGCAATACCTCAAGAGTTCGCGTTCCTCCTTAGAGAAGGGTCATCATCATCTCTCGCACTTTTTACCAAACTAAAATTCGAAGAGCCTCTTACCGCTGTAAACAGAGTTAGAAACACAGAACAACAAGAACTACCAAAACATCTTAAGAGGGATAAGTTTCAATCATTCAGAAACATTCCTTCGCCATATTCTTCAATAACACTCTCAAAAAAATTGCCTCTGCCTTAATAGAGTTCTCAGAACAGGTCATTAATAACTTATGAATAGTCATCATCAAATTTTTGGTGCTGCTTCCTCTCATCATCAGATGCAACCACAACAGAAACCATTATCACCTACATCATTGTTAGCAGCCACCACTGCTAATACATCTACTCATACAAATATTGCAAATAATACTACATCCAGTCATACTATGAATTCACAACAATTAAAACCTCTAAACATGGTTGTCCCACCAACAACACACTATAGTGAAATGAAATCTTCCATATCCTCCTACCCTTTTAATCAACCATATTCCATGCCATCATCGACGACGACGACCACCAATAATTCAACATCCCCAAATCCAACTTTGCAATCATCCACTAAGATGTACAATAATTCAGATTCCTATCATGGTAGCAATTATCAGACTTCCCTTTATTCGAGTGCAGTTCAATCCAATAACCATCCATCATATACATCCAATGCTACTGTCTCCAATGCTGCTAATACATATACATCCTCCATGTTACCTCAAAACACTAATCCATATCAACAAACCTACTATACATCTTCATCATTCCAATCCTCTCCTCCTTCATCACACCACCACTATACTTCCTCTCAAGCACATGTGCCAAGTAATCCAAGCAGTAGACATAGCCCAAATAGTTATTCTACAAATCTTCAATCTACACCTTCCGTAACAGTAGCTACATCATCTTCTGTTCATTCCATGTGGTCTTCAGCACAGCAGCAACAAGAGAAACTTCCCAACATGAAGGATATATTTGGTAGTCCAAATAGTACATGGTCACCATCAACATCGAAACAACAATTACCAAGTTTTATGGATGAGTCAAAGAAGAGTGAATTACCATCCTACAATAATTTTAATAATCAAAATTCTCATTCATCATCCACTTCAACTACGCATGTGTCTCCTATAAATTCTTCGGAACATGTTGCTACTGCATTCATGGAGGAATTGCAACAAAAGTTGAGACACCAAGATGCAATCATTAAGAGATTGGAAAAGGAAAATATTAGATTGAAAAATGAATTGGATTCTTTCAATAGAAGTATTAATCAATATAGTAGTAGTGGTAATTCAAATAATATGAAAGCATCCTCTCCAAAGAAGAGAAAGATTGCAACAGATGCAACTGCTGGGACTTTGGAAATGAAATCACAATCATCTCATTCCTCAATCTCTTCTGACCAATATTCGAATAGTAATGAAGACATGAGTGATGCATTGGATGATGAAGACGATGCAGATGAATTTGAGGATGGAACAGATGGTAAATCCAAGAAGAGAAAACAACCATCCAATCTAGTTCGTTCTAAAAAAGCAAAGGATGAAATCAAGAAACAAAAGCCCTCCTCTTCAAGGAGTAGTGGCAGAAGAGATGCTACAGTTGGAGATTTGGAAAAGTATACAGTAACATGGAAGGGAGAAACCTATGTCTTGGTGAATGCATTCAAGAATAGAACTCAAATATTGAACTATTATGTTCCACTCTATCAGAATAATTTCCCAGAAAAGACATGTAAATTAGTATTATGCAATGACGAATATAAGGTTCTCTCTTCGGAAAATCCAAACACTGTTGAAAAGAAGAAGCATGCTTGGAGAGTTTCTGTCTTTACTATGGATTTTTATAACTTTGTTAAGAACTTTGATAAGAGAACATTGAAGATTATTAATTCATCCTCTGGTTTCATTCCAAATGTAAACTTTGAAGGTGGATCAGTATCCTCTCCTTCTGTTCCAACATCCTCTCGTTCCAATCCAACTCAGAATGCACCTCCTTCATCAATGAACACTTCCAGTTCTACACCACTATTAATTGACAATAGACGTCCTTCTCTCCCTAATTTGCAACCAACACTTTTGCCACCACCAATCCTTTCCTCTTCAACAGATGTAAATGCATTGGACATGGCACCAAAACCAATTTCTACCATTCACAATAAATAACTCTTAATCCTTTAAAGTATGTTATTAAGGCAAGTAAAGTTTTGACTCTTGGAGATTAAATTGGTTAGCCATATAAATAAATTTTACAGCTTAGCTCTAGTGTCTTTTATGGAAAAAATCATGGTACCTGACTAATAAGAGTTTTGTACTTATCTCAGCTTATTTAAACATGTTTGCAGTTCAAATTACTTGATATTACAATAAAAATCATTTTCTACATGTATGTAGCGGTTATTCCTTATCAAGATTTAAGGAATAATCATCACAAACATGCAGCAATTCCTTTCAATTCCAATCTTAAATATACAACTATTGTTTTCCAGTCCAATTAATATCTCTTCAATCTTATTGAATAATTACTGAAACTCATCTTAATATTTTTTGATTATTGAAAAGTATCAATCAGCCAATTACCCTTGCAAGTCCAAAAACAAACCATTAACACTCGATATTGAGATGGAGAATCATGTCATGCATGGTTCATAATAATAATCATTATAAATAATTGTAATCCCGAATGATAATGAAAATTTCATTTTCCCAACTGCGAAAAAAACCAATCATCATTCAGCAAAGAAAAGAGGGTTGTGTGTTTTTCGGATAACCGCCACAAGAAGAGATTTTCATCATCATCATTAATAAATTGTGTGTGATTGGAAGGACGGGATTATCTGTTACTACTACTTTGCTTTGATTTAATAATATATTCATTCTAACTTTTACATATTTATATAAAAGATCATGAGTAATATTGCACTTCGTTTAACGGATTATAAAATTGAGTATGATTCACAGCTGACGAATAACAAACCACTCTATGTAAATTACTTTATTCGATGCTCGTACAAGGCTAAAACTTCATCATTATCCAATGAACAATCCTACACGGTGATAAAGAGGTATTCCGAAATATTAGAGTTACACAAAAAGATTTTGAAACAATTGGGAAAGAGGCTAACATCAAATAATGAGAAAAAGTCGAATAGTAATATTGAGGAGGGACTTAAATTTCCTGGAAAATTGTTATTTGGTAATTTTAAGGTAAATTAATTTTACATTAATTCATCATAAATTAATTACATAACATTTTACGTATTAATATCACTTAATTGTATCATATATATATTTGATAATTTAAATAGGATGAAAATATAATGAAGAGAAAGGATGAATTGCAAAAGTATTTTGATCAAATTACCTCAATGCCAATGATTACTCAGGATCCATTGGCTTGTCAAATTATTTATGCATTCTTCAGAAGAAGTTTGCAACGCATTTCACCAAGGAGTGTATTTGGAGATTATTATGACAGAGTTTTGGAAAAGGTCAAGAAAATGTCTGTTACATCCGATGAGGATTTGAACATGTTCAATTCTGTTACTTCACAAGCTTCAAAAGGTACTTCTGATGTTGTTTTCCAAACCATCGATCAAATTAAGGGGTTGGATCAACTAGTTTACTTGAACATGGATGTTCCAAGTGTGAGTACTACTCACATGAAAAATGAAGAAGATGACTTGGATGATTTGTATTATATTGTAAATAATTCACCAAAGGATAATTTCAATGAGGACAGAAGTGGAAATCATGGTAAAAAGAAGAAGAATACTCGAGAATTGAAATCAATGTGGTGCAACATGTTAATGGAAGATTGTATTCCAGCATTTGTATCTGAAGATTTGGATGTGTTAAATAATTTGGATACATCATCAGTTTTCAGCTTGGATTGGAATGGAATGATTACCAATCTGTGTCAAGTGATGAATAATTACAACAAGGCCATTCAATATCCTAGAATGATGATGTATAAGGAATGTTGTGAAGTTTATGAAAAGTTAAAGCAAGAACGTGAGATTGCCCTCATTCTGATCTACAATAGAATGAAGAAACTGTTCGAAGATGATAAGAAAAATCCAAGAACTACTGAACAAGGAAAGGCAGCCAAGAACTGTCTCTCCGCTTTGGCCCAAAACTGTGTCGATATGGCAGTAACTTTTGAAGAAATTTCAGAGAGTTTTTCCTTATTGAAAAAGTACTTTTCTGAGCTTGCTAGTAATAATCCAATCACTCAAAGAGAGGAATTTATTTGTACTCTTGGCTATTTGAATGAAATTTTAACCATCCTAATTGAACAAGTCAAGAAGGGGCATCAAAAGAATGTTACACTCCGTCAAATTCTCAAGACCATGTTTGTTGTTTTTGAAGATATTGCCACAAGTAGAATGAAGCTATTCAAACAAAGTCAAACCTCTCAAACATCAAATAGTTCTGATGAAGAAAGCAAATCTAAAACATCTGAAAATGAAGATCCAGACACTGATACCTATAATGTTCATTGCAGAGAATACTTGGAACATTTCTTGCTTCCATTTGCTTCTATCGGTTTCCTTTCAGAGTTGACTTTTATGGTTCCAGACTCGATGAAATATTTCATCATGTATAATTGTGCCTTAAAAGAAAAGAGAATCAAGGCAATCATTTCACAAAAATCAGAAAATGACAATAATGTTGATATCCAAATGAGACAGTATGCTGAAAAATTCTTCACAGAGAAGATGCCACACTCAGATGAGACAAGAGAGGCCTTGGCTAGAGCATTCCAATCTGAACTTCAAAGTTTAAGCAATAACGATATTGTCAATCCAGACAATTTGCTTTTTTGTATTCCCGAACCATTGCACAGAACATGTACATTATACTGTATGCGTTTCTTGAGCTTTGTCAATGAATTACCAGAGATGGAAGGTATTCAATTTTGTAAATTAGTTCACCAACAATATTCCAGAACAACAATGCAAGAAATTGATCAGTGGAATGTAATGATTCATGTATGTGAAAAGACACTGAACATTGTCAATCAGGTACACAAGAGCTACTTGCAAAATAATTCAGTAGATATTGCCAGTACTTCTGACTCGGTCAAGATTTCCATAACATACGAAACCAAATCCAGATTAGATTTAATTTCCAAACAATTTTCAGGCTATTCAGATAGATTACATTTCTATAATAACGAATCTAAACGTCTCAGATTACTTTAACTTTGTTAATTTATTAAAATAATCAATTCTAACAGGGTAAAAATTGTTCATGAAATCTTATTCTTCATATCCATATATTTCAATTCCGATCATGAACAATTTTAACAGTAAACTTTCAAAGTTTTATAATGTAATGACATCGTTGTTTTGGTGAATAATTGTTTTTCAATAAAATTAAAATTAACCTCCTTACCAAAAAAGACAAACAAAGATATTACATGAAGCATATGAAAATTCTGCATCCCATCATAATATTGTTAGTGGATTCAAAGAAGCTTGTGTTGTACCACTTGATACAAAGTCAGCACTTGCCAAAATTCAACATTCCAAAAATAGTAATCAAGAAATTTGGAAATTTATTATCGGAATTAAATTATTTTGCCCTATTTACACATTTTACAACAACAAACACAACAGCAAACCAAGATTAAGATTATAAATCCTAAAATCATAGCTCCTCCAACAACAACACCAGCAACAATTCCACTTGAGGCACTTCCAGGTGATTTGTAAACAAGTGCCAAATTGGTAACACCACTACTTGATTTCTGGCATGAAGGTGTGAAATTATCAACTGAGGAACACAAGATAAAATCAGAGGTGAATGCAATTTCACCTTCCTTAATATTGAAACAAATTGGAACACTATCGGAATTGTACTTTAGAATGGCATTGTACAAATTACTTAATGGTCTCTTAACAATAGTTCCAATTGAATAGGTAAACTTGACAATGTTATGAGAAACTTCAATACTGCTCGGTGTTGAATTCAACATGGTGAGTGGAATCATTTGTTGATTGCAATTTTCATCGTACAAGGTTAAATCACCTAATAACCAAGTTCCGGATGGGATTGTTGAGGATTGACGAGTGTGTTTGTTGTTACTTTCGAGTTGGTTGATAAAGTTTTGGCGAGCTTCTTGGCTGTATCTTGTCTTGGCTGTTTGGATGAACGAGTTTAGTTTGGTTTCGACTTGGTTGAGCTTTTTGTTCCATGATGATCGGAAAGGATTGTCAATACAGTGGACACTGTTTACCATGAGCAAAGCTGCAAGAGAAAGCAATAGGAGAATTGGGAGAAGGAAATTTCTTCTCTTGTTAATGTTGCGAATTGTGTTATTCGAAACTTGTGACGACATTTTTTTATCTTGTTAGAAGAGAATCATGTAATTCATCTCCTTCCTTTTATTCTCCTTTCTCAATTAGTTTTTTTGGAATGGCCCTCTCACGCATTTCCTTACCACTTTGAATTGGCAACGATTCATCACCCAACGTCAGTTTCGACAAGTTTCTATCATTGATTTTTTCACACAAACATTCTAAAAGGAAAAGTCAACTACAGTATTCCATCTCATTCTCCTAAAATATTGAAACTCTTGTCAATTTTATTAATAGCGAACACTTGTTGTGGTAGTAGTATTGGGAACCGAACCATTGTGCGAGATGAGAAGAGTTTCGTTCATTGAACCCATAGCCATTCTGTTTCTTCTTCTTCTTCTTCGGCCATGCAACAGCAACAACAGACACAACAAGCAATACAGAAAACAATTACCAAGACAATGACAATGACAACACCAGCAATGGAAGCTGAAGTAATTGTTCCTGGACTATTGTAAGTAATTGTAACGGCATCTAATACGGATGAACAAGTTGGTTTTTCATTCACTGAGCTACACAATAAGAAATCAGTTGATAATGATAAGGCACCATTCTTGAGATCGAAACAGACTGGAGCTGAATCCTTTTGGTAAGTTAAGACACCATTATAGAGAGTGCTAAAAGGTCTTTGAACTACACTGTCAATTGTCAATAAGGAAACTCCAACAACTGAAACAGTAATGGAAGATCCAGTTGATTTCATTTGAATGAATGGATAGGTTTTAGTTTCACATCCTCCACCACCACCAGATTTGGCAGTATAGACAGACATATCACCTGTATACCAAGATCCAACTAACAGAGTTGTATCAAGAGCCTTTCTCTTAATGGATTCCCGAGCTAGTTGTGATGAAAAATCAACTCTCATCTCCTCTGAATACATTTCCTTAGATTTCTTAATCAATTCTTCAATGGCTTGATAATTATTTTCGGAAGAGCCATAGGATGACCATTGCTTAATTCTATTATTTACAGTTTGATCTTGGACCGCTTGTTCCGAAACCCTCAATGATGATGATCCCTCCACTGCTACCTTCATCATTATCATCATCACAAAAACAAGCAACAATCCAAGCTTACTTGAGAGAGAAAAATTAACGTTCATCATTTAAGATTTTTTTTTAAGGTTCAAATTTTCCGTGTTTTTGAGGAAATTTCCTGGATCATCCACAATTGGGAAGGATTATTGGATGTTGAGATGAAATTTTGTTTATTTGGGAAGAATTGAGTTATATTGAGGAGAAAAATTGGCACATTTTATATGGAAATGAGTGGAACAGAAGGATCTCTATAATAATTCTTATCAATTACTCTTTCAGAGAGGAAGGTAGTATCAATCTTTGTCCACAATGATCTGTTTGAGGAGAGATGTTCATGAATATCGACGTTTGGTGGTCGATTTGCAACTTTTTCCTTTTCAATGCAATGAATTCCACCACTTACATACTCCTCAATGCAATAACACTTGGAATCGGTCATGAGATATGGATTCACAACGTCATTATTGCCAATTGGACAGTAGACAGCTTGAATTGGTTCATTAACTGTGAATTTTACAATACAAATTCCAAAGAACCAACATTCATTGGCAGATTGTGGAAATCTGAGTAATACACATGCTCCATTGTAATCTCCATTTTTAGAAGCATATGCTTCTCCATATTCTTCTCTAGTAGTATCAACTCCAATATAAATTTCGAATGGAGTTTCGTCTGCATTAAATTCCTTGATAAATGCCTTGAAATATGATTCAGATTCAATAATTGGATCTCTGTAATACATGCCATCACGAGAAATGACAGTTCCATTGTCCAATTCCATATCCTGATGGACCATGCACTCGGAAGTTTCCCTTCTTGCTTGCTTGTTAAAAGTATCTTCGAATATTTTCACAACTTTCTTATCCTTTCGAACAAGAAAAACGAAAGAACGACCACCATTATCATGAGTAGCATAACAATCATAATCAGCAAATGATTGTTCGGTAAGATCGGTTTCCTTGAAGGAAGTAATTTGTGGTACGGTTGTTTGTGTTTGACATTTTTTTGAAGTATTTATTCTGTCAGCAGTCAAATTTTTGTTTAAATTGCCGGTAAAGAATGTTACTGTTTGGATTTTGAGACTGTTTCTAAAGAAAATTGAAAATAGTAACCTTCAGAAGGGTAATACTGTAAATTTTAAGTTACAAAATATTATGATCGTTGTTTCAACTTTTCTTCGAATGAACTAACACCCTTAGATGAACTTGATTTCCCATTACAAAAAAAAATGCCGTTATCATCATCCTCATGGTTTGGGATGTCCCAATGCAATGATAGTGCAAATTCAGATGTTGATGAATTCTCCACCGAGAACCAACATGAAAGCAATCTCTTTTCCGATCAATTATCATCGGAAATTGTAATTTTAATTGCCTCCTATTTGGATTTACGATCCTTGTATTGTTTTGCTAGAATTGATTCGTTCATGATTAAATTATTATTCAATATGGACAGGAATAGAGTGATGAAATTGGGTTATTTGAAAACTGTTATAAAAAAGCAGAAAAAGCAAGTGACACAGAATGAATTGATTCAATCAGATTCATTGATTGAGGAATACTCAAAAGAGGAAGATTGTAATTTTACAATGACACAAGAACAAGTTTGGAAAAATCTCGTCTGTTATTATTTTCCTCAATTTAAAAAGGATTTGACTGTAAAGAATTGGATGCATATTATGAGGAGAAGAGTAGCTCATTTGAAATTATACGCTCCTGAACATTTACCTTTGGGAAATAGTATTCCAAGAGAGGTTTTCTCATTGGATTCTAAAAAGACGAGTAGAAATTTCATTGAGGGATGTGAATTTAATTACAAATGTCCACTTACGATTGAAATGACTGATAGTACGTATGATTGTACAGTTTGTAATAAGATTGTGTATTATGTTGACAATGAGATTTCATTCAAGACTCATGCTTCTCAAGGTCATTGTATCTATTATAAGAATATTGAAAACAATATTGAATTTATGGGTGATATTTATGTACCTCCGGTTACTGGGCGTACCACTGGCATTAGCAATTTTTTTAATTTCCTAAATTAAAACTAAGGAATTGAAAATAGGTTACAAAAATTTAAGTTACAAAACATTGTGTAATTTTGAATCGTTGAATAATTTTCTTCCAAGTCTGATATTCATCTTGACCATTTCACTCTCCAATTTTGATTCTGCACTCACAATTACCATAATAAAAGTATTCATTGTAAATTCCTCAAAGAATGCAGAAAAATCACTTTTCACTAGTTCCATACTTGAGAGTTGGGAATGAGCTTTGGAGCAGCTCAGTTTGAATTGTTTGGTAATGTTGGCAATCTTTTCAAATCTGTGATCATCTTGGGTGACTTTCTCATTGGACCATTGAGAAATTAGGAGAAAGGTAGATCTTTCGAATAGGACAACTTCTTCAGCTCCACAAATTTTTGCAAATTCTTCGAGTTTGGATTTGATTTCATTAATTTGAGGAATCAATGTATTGAGAATTGATCCCCAAGCTCTATACAATGACTCATCCCAAATTGAAGTCCTAAAACAAGTCAAATCAGTCAATTCAGCCACAGCCATAATTTCCTTTTCCTTCCTTTGTAAAATCTTTTCTCTCTCACTTGGAATTAACACATCAGTCTTATGCAGCAAACAGAATACCTTTGTATTTGATGAATTTTCCCCAAGAGCTTGCAAACTTTCATGAAAATCCCTCAAAACTTCCTCATCTCCATCCGTAGAAACATCAAACACATAGACAAGTGCATTCACTTGTGAAAATATCGATTCTCTCCGATTTTTGAAATAATTCAACATCATATTTTGCTGTCCTCCACAATCCCACAAATTAACCTTCATATTTTCCATCAATTTAATCGGAATGTATTCCACATCAATTGTCGGAGCTAATTTTCTGCACTCCATCGGAGATGTCATTGCAAATAATATGGAACGCATTGAAGTCTTTCCAGAGCCATTCTATTAATTATTTTAATATTCATCAAATCTCTCTTTACACAATTAATTATCATACCTTTCCCATTAACAATAGTTTCATTTTTTTTAAAATGTGTAAATTTAGAAAATGCACTTTATTGTAAAGTTATTTACAATGAATTTTGTAAAGGTTCAACCTTTGTCTCACTAATTATTGATTAGTAAGACCTTCAATAGAATGTGTTGGGAAGGCAGAGTAGGAAATCAATCCAATGGCTATGAAAATTAGTAAATACGAAATGGCTATCAGAATCTTTTCTGCCAATTTAGTTCCTCTCAATTCCAAGAAACACAATCCACAAATAATCGATGTCAAAATGGCAAAGAATGCATGAATGATAATTGGGAAATTACTTCTCCCTCCATATAAATGTTCTGCCAAGATTAACAGTAAAATGCTGCCATACCAAAATAATCCTTGGAAAATTGAGACAATGAGTCCTAAAATTCTGAAAACTCTGACATTCATACCACCTCCCATGCAGACAAATCCACCAGAGCACAGGGCCATCTTTTTGATTGTTCTATTGTAGAGCAACAAGACGAAACATCCCATAAATACGAAAGGATACGAAATTGGGAATGAAATGCCAATAATAAAAACTCTAGCTCTAAAGAAATCAAATGGAGTATTAGCCAAATTATTTGGATCTACAGTTCTTTGTAACTTGTCAACCAAAGATCCTGAACTGGTTGTCACCTTTGCAAGAAATGCAACTTCAAATAGGAAAAAGACAATCCCTGCCAAAGCTCCCAAAAACAATCCAATATAATACTTGAAGAGAACTCTCATTTTCAATGTTCGTGAAACATTTTTCTGACGTTCTGTCTCCTTCTTTACAACCTCAGTCCAATTAATTGTTTTTTCCATGTGTTCTCCTTCAGTTCGAGAAACAGTTTCGTCCTCCATTCTCTTCTCTCTCGTATTCTTCTCCACGAAAAAGTATCCCAGACACAGAAACAAAACTCCGAACACTATAAATGGTAATGCCACACAAAACACAATTCCCTTCGAATTGGTAAAGATGTATTGAAGTGGATAGGCATAAATGGAAGAATTTGCACCATTCTCATAATCAACATCCTTTCCAGCAACCCAATATGTCATTATATTGAAGAATGAAGCAACTCCATAGACCATTATTCCACTCCATCCGAATCCAATGTATTCACTCGAGAGAGCCCACATTGAAAAGCCAAACACGACCCAAACAACGTGAGCTACCACCACACCAATCCAATCCTCGACTAGAAATAATCTAGACGAATCTAAACCATCCGAAACTTGTGAAAGATAGGTCGAATTAGTCGACGATTGATGAAAGTAATATTCCAGTGATGAGATTGGAACTAAACCCTGACAGAATAGCCCTACCAGTGGCCAAAACACCAAACCAAAGAACATACTAATCAACCAACTATTCTCAAATCTCCACAAAGTTTTCCTGTGAATTAGTTTAGTAAAGACTGGAGTGGGAACTAGGAAGAGAATGGAAAATATGCCACCAAATGCAGCACACAAGACACCTAGACCTGCGTTTTGTGCTGAGATAATGTCACTGGTAGATGTAGAGTTGGTGATGGTGTCATTGACAAGTGACGTTGTGTTGTCTAGTAGTTGATAGATAAAGACATCATAAGATGATAAACTGGACATTTTTTTTGTGTTGGTTATTTGGACATTTTGCAGTGACAATGTTGTGATGAATTTTTGCCAATAACGTTGATGGCTGACATATGGTGTCAAGTTTTTTCAAACATCATTAAAATTTAGGATGTAGGTGGCATTTTGGGAATTTCTTTGAGTTTCAGTGAATGTATTTAGGGTGAAGGCCTGTTTTTGTAATAAGGAAGTGATTCAAGTCAATTATTTTTCACACAAAGTTTACTTGAAAACTGTTAGAAAGTTCTTTAGAATTCAGTGATAATTCTTCAGTCATTCACATTCAAATATTCAAATATTTGTTGCTTTAGAGAATATTACCTGATTATCTAACTCAATTCACTTTTTGTAAAGTTTTTATTTTCAACGATTGTTACACATGACAGCAATTATGATGATTCCTGTCAAGAAAGCAAAGAAGAATAGAACGGAGAAAACAATGCTAGCTGCTCCCCATCCAAGTAAATTCTTGTATAAATAGCTATATCTATTAGAAAAGAGAGTTTCTCCATTCGAATTCGTATAACAATTCATATAGTCTCCTACTTGTTCTTGTTTCGAAACTTGAACCTTGTCGCTTACCTGCGATCTGAGTACTTTCTCTATCATTGTTAGAGAAAGTGAACTATTAAACGATGCTAAATTTGGATAATTTGAGCTTGTGAAAGAATTGGTCAACTCTGAATTTGTTCCATTTACAACATATTCAACCATAGCTCTACAATTAAAATCCAACCACAAATTTCTAGGATAATCCTCAGAGTAATATTCATATAAACTAACATTATTTGGATTAAAATAAAAAGGTGCATTAATTTCTTCTCTCTTTTCATATTTTTGCGTATCTGTTGTGAGTTTGTAATAAGCAGAATTCGATTTTTGAACTATTTCGATCAGATTTTGTAAATTTGATGGATATTTGACAGTAGCTCTGCAAAATGTTGTTCCCCTGCTGCTCGTCTCACAATTTTGTAACGATGTAATTTGACAACAGTTGACCATCTTGAATTTCACAGCATCAGGATCATTTACATAGTAATAATCAATATTAATACAGACAAAGGTAACGATAGTACTAATTAAAAAGAGTGCCATTCCAATAAATCCTCCAATCAAACAGGAACTTCCCAATATTTTGTAAAATCCAAAAGACATGTTGTATTTATAATGGTAATAACTGAAAAAAGATGGTTGTGTGTGTTTTCTTTTTGTTTTGAATTTTAATGTGGGGACTGGTGATTTTGATGCTGTTGTTGCTGGATGCAATTTCAGTGACTCACAGATGGGTGTGTTGGTTGAGATGTTGCGATGGTTTTAGAAACAGTTAACAAACAAGGCAATTAGATGGGATCATGAAACTTTTTGAGCTATGGGTCTTCTCATGGCCAGATGGAAGATAAGTTCAATGGGACTTGAGTAACTTTACCTTCCTAACCGAGTTCTTGGATTCTTGGCTAATGAAAAGCTGGTATCTTGGACTATTAGAAATGTTCAACCAGGTTTGTGCTCAAAAGTCAACAAAGCTAATTGGAAGTAAACTATTCGTTTCGAATAATCTGTATTATTTATTTTTGAGTCTTTTCTCAAGATCTTCTGCATCAGATGACATTACAGCATGCCAAGCAAATTTCAATAAATCCTTTCCATAATTCACAACAATATAATAAATGAGGAGAAGTTTCAAAATTAGTAAAATTGCAAAACGCAGGGCTGAAGAAAAGATTTCCTCCATCAATCCAGAGATAATTTCACGAATGTTTCCGATAAATGACAATTTTTCTTCTTTTTCTTCTTTTTCTTTAGGAATTTCTTTCTCTTGATCTGCTGGAATTTTCTTTTTGAAAAATTGGCGGGAAATTACATTATTTAATTGAAAATTATTTGTAGATTTAATTAATTGACCATGTGATGATGGCGATGATAGGGGAAGCACTGATTTTGTAAATTTGCAATTCCACAACGGTTTTGTGTTAATGGAGGTAATAACTCGTTTCAACATTTTTTTTCTGAGCGGGAATGAAATTTCAGCCAACTGGAAGGTTGCCACATAAAGGTCAATGGAGGATCTTGTTAAGTGTGAGAACACAAGACATAAAAAGAACAAAAAATGATATTGATTTGTAGAAATGATGAGTTTAAGAGAGGATGTTTAGAAAGTTGAGAATTCCCAACTCTATTTGATATTGATTCAATCCCTTCAAATCAAATTCTTGGTATTTTGTAAAGTACAGAGAATCAAGACGCCATTTCGCTCGATTTATCTCTTAAATTACTGGTCATCTTTTAAAAATCACAAATTGGTTTATTTCAGATTTCAATAATTAAATACAACTTTCACTCCATTTCATTGTATTATGAATTGTATATTTTGAATAGTGTTTCTTCAAAGTATTGTTGTTATTATTTTGGCGGGTTGTAGTTTTCAAAAATACACCATGTGTCACTTGACATTTAGAAAATTCCTTAAATACTGAACTGTTTTCGAGAAATGATTGAATCAAAACAAAAAAATGAATCAAAACAATAGATTCCTAGTGTTTGCGCTTCTAGGTCTTACTTGCTTGATTAGCTTCATTCTTACTAGCTCTGTAGTTGAAGGTAGAAGAGCTGCAGTTGTGCGTAAAGTTGCAGCTGTCAAGAAGCAATTGACCTACAAGAAATGTGAATCTGTTGGTGACCCTCATTATCTTTCTTTCACTGGTCAACGTTTCGATCACATGGGATTAGGTGATTATGTTCTTGCTCAATCATCTGACAATCAATTCACAGTCCATGTTAGAACTAGTAAGTGGGGAGGTGCTGCAGCTGTCAATTCCAATGTTGCTGTCAGATTAGGTAAAGGCGAGGATGATACTTTCGAATATGATGTCGAACAAGATGTTTTTTACCTTTCTGGTGTTAAGGCAAGTTTGGGTGTCAATCAAAAGGTTTCTCTTGGAACTGGTGATGTTCAAAGAATCAACACAAACACTGCTGTAGTTTCTGGCTCAAATGGTATCAAGATGACCATGTCTTGGTATCGTCATGCTGCTTGGAAGCAACAATTGGGTTCTGTTGGTTATATTTCAGTTGTCATTGATGCTCCAAGTGATATTACTTTCAATAAGGGTATGTGTCTTGGTGCTTCCGAAGCTTCTCAACAAGCCATTGATATTCTCCACAACCATGTCCAAAGAAGAATTGCTAGAAAGGCTGAACTCAAGAAGGCTACTCCAAAGAGATCTAGATCTGCTAGAAAGGTCTGTAAGAAGGCTGGTTTGAATAAGAAGCAAAATCCATTCGCTTGGAAGTCTTGTGTCAAGGATGCTATTCAATCTGGATCCAAGATTGGTTTGAAGATTGGTCAAAACATCAAGAAGGTCAAAGTTGCTGAAAAGAAGGTTTTGAAGAAGGAAATCAAGAAGAAGGCTAAGAAGATTGTTCGTAAGGAAAAGAAGGCTATTGAAAAGGCAAAGAAGGAAGCTGACTTGTTGAAGAAGAAGGCCGATCAAGCTCAAAAGAAGGCAACTCAAAAGAGAGCCAAGTGTGCTAAACGTGCTTCAAGAAAGGCCAGACGTGCTGCTAGAAGAGCAAGACGTGCTGCCAAAAGACTTGCCAAGAAGAAGCAAATTCTCAAAAAGGTCAAGAAAACCATTAAGAGATCTGTTCGTACCAAGATTACTATTGTCAAGAACTGGAAGAAAATCATCAAGAAGGTTTTGAATGATAGAAAGAAGGCCCTCAGAGCTGCTAAGAAGGCAAGACAAGCTGCTAAGAAAGCTATTAAAGAAGCTTCAAGAAAGGCCAGAAAAATTGCTGAAGAAAAGAAGAGACAAGCTGAAGAATTGGCCAGAAAGCTCCAAAGAGATGCTGAAGCTGCTGCTAAGAAATTGAGAGATGCTGTTGAAGCTGCTGCTAGAAAGGCAAGAGAAGCTGCTGAAAGAGCTAGACAACAAGCTGAAAATGCTAAATTGGAAGCAACTCGTCGTGCTAGAGTAAAAGCTGCAAGATTGGCCAAGTTAGCTAGAGAAGCTGCTGAAAGAGCTGCCAAGCAACAAAGAGCTATCCTTGAACAAATCCAAAAGCTTGCTAAATTGGCTGCTATCAAAAAGGCTCAACAAGAAGCTGAAGCAAAGAAGAGAGCTGCTGAAGCATTGAGACTTGTTGAAGAAGCCAAGAGAAAGGCTGCTGAAGCTCTTGAACGTGCTAAGGCTGAAGCAACCAGAAGAGCCATTGAAATTGCTGACAGATTAAGAAAGGCTGCTGAAAAGGCTGCTGAAGAAGCTGCTAAAAGAGTCAAGATGGTTGAAGAATTGAAGAAGAAAGCCCTTAAGGATGTTGAAAAGCAAGCTAGAAAGCTCCTTAATGGTGGTGTTTCCAAGGGAAAGACTGTATGTTTCAGACTTCCTTAATTGAAAGTTCTAAAACATTCCGAATGTTGGAAATGTAAATATTCAATTATTGTAAAATAAAATCATCTATAAAAATTAATGTAAAAAACAGTGAGTGAATAGGAAGTGTAAATATTAATAGAGTAGTGTATTTAAAATAATTAAATTGAATGAAATTTAAACAACATTTTTTTAACGATGGTCCAGTTAATAGTATTTTAAACAACAATTTTAAAAACAAAAAATTGGGCGGGAAATAGTTTTAAAAAATAAGGTGACATGAAACTCTCACAACACATCATCAACAATTAAAATACATCATTCTCAATTAATTTAAAATTAGTTGAATCCGATTGTATAATGGATCCCGCCATTACATATTGTTTCCATTCATTAATCATAAAAAATGTCTTTGAATATCAATAGTCATTCAGGATCAAGAAATCACTCGCGTAATCCCTCACCAATGGTGCCACCAACTTCGATATTGAAGAAGGCTGTGATTCCTCCGAATAATTCGGCACAGAATAGTGTCACAATTAATATGTCAAAGAATGAAACAAAGAGTACAAGTTTTAAATGTTGTTGGTGCATGGATATTTTGAAAGAACCTATTCAATTATCGAGCACGTGTTCTCATTATGGATGTGCCAGATGTATCAATCTGTTATTGAATTTTGAAAAGTTGAAACGTTGTTGTGATAAATAGTTGAGAATAGGAAACCTTATGAGATACCATGTCCTTGTTGTCCCAATAGATTGTCATTGTTGTATGATAAGGTACATTCAGATCCTTCGGTATTTGAGCAGAACCAGGAGGGCTATTATTCTACATTTAACAGTGCTCGATCAGATGGATTTGGCGGTGAAAAGATTAATCCTTACCTATTTACTCTTATTGATGAAGAGTTTAAATCACTCGCAGATGAGTATGGTAATACAGAATTGGAAGGTAGAATGTGTGCCAATTGCGAGACTACTCTAGCTACTTGCCAATGTGAAACATGTAAATTTATTCTTTGTGGTGAGTGTTTTGCCTCCATTCATGACCAAAAGTTATTGAGCTCACACAAAAAGGCTGATCTAAGGCCTGGAAATTATATTCCTATTAATGAAAAATGTATGAAACATGGAAAGGATTTGGATTTATTTTGTATGAACGATAATGAGAAAGTTTGCAGTTTATGTGCCATATCTGAAACTCACAAAAATCATCAGTGTATTCCTGTAAACGAGCATATTTCACACTTACACGATGATTTGAGGGTTCAAGCTGAACATCTATTTGCAGATGATGATTCAGCCATTCATAATGAAATTAGTAATATTACCAGTTTTTTACAACATGCAAATGATTACTATGTACAGTCTAAGAATTTTATTGAGGAAAACTTTGGAAAAATTGAAGCAGCACTAAAAAAGAGAAAGGAAGGCTTGTTGAACACAGCTTTAAAAACTTACAAAAATCCCAACATGGAAGAAAAGGTTAAATTGCTGAAAACATTCTCCTTCTCTGGTTGGAGAGATTCTATTGCACGATTTTCACGAAAGCTCAATGAAGAAGACAAGATTAATCAAACATCTAAACGATTGGAATTCATTGAAAATCATCTCACCATTGATCACATGTTGAACTCGGGAGATATCATACCTGGTAATAATTTGGAATCTAGTCAAGAAGATAATGCTTATTCCAGATCTCAAACACCAATGTTGGAGGATGGTATTGTTTCAGATATTATCAATATGATTGAAATGATTACGATATCAAAAGATGAACATGCTCAAAATCAAGAAAATATCAAACATGATAAGAAATTCAAATCAATAATCGGAGACATGATGCACCAAAATGAAAATTCAATACGAAAGTCCATTTCCATCACTTGTTTGAGCTCTAAAAAACGATTAGGATCTACGCAATAATCTCATTCAATCATTATTTGCATTCTTTCAATAAAGTATAATATTAGGGATGTAAATTGATCTCCGATCCTTTATTTACAGAGATATCACAATAGTGATTCAAATTTTCTAATAAAAGTTTTGATCGATTTGAGTTCCACAAATGTTTGTTGTTCCTTGGAATTGCTTAATGCTTGGGTGACTAAAAGATTTGAATTGTAAAAATACGAATTAAATAAAAAGAATACTTACCTCCATCCTCCAAAAGATTGGAAGTTATCAAATGATGCATTGTTATCATAGTAAGCCCACCATAATTGCAAATTGGAGAAGGCAGTAGAACCACAAGTAATTGGTTGCCATTGAGAATGAGAAGAATAGATGTGAACTGGATAACCTGTAGCTCTACCAGCATTAACCATTCTAGAGATAAAGTTAACATTGGTTTGACAATTATTAGTCCAGTATTGAGGACCTTCAATATCGAGCCAAATTTGACCAAAGGTTGCACCATTACTCTTGATAAAGTTGACAGTATTTTGAACTTGAGCAGCAGCATCTTCATTAATATTTGGGAAGATGTAAATATCAACATATTTAATACCAGCAGCCTTGGCACGATTGATGTCATTAGCAACATATGGATTGACACGTCCAGTTGATAATTGAGCTTGAATAATAGCAAATTCACGTCCAGATTGCTTTAAACAATTCCAAGAACTTTGAGAAACATCTCCTTGGAAATACGACAAATCAAGACCCAATGTAGCATTGGCAACAGAGGCAGCAAATGCCATCATCAAAACCAAACCAACAATCACAGAGCAGTATCTCTTCATTTTTTTTAATTGTTAGTTGTTTGATTTGTAACATCAGATGATTGCTTTATTGCTTTTCATAAGATGATTGCAATCATGTTATCTTCCTGATGAAGATCAGCTGGCTGCCTCCAACAGACAAAAATTCAACTCATTGGACAACGATGATGATCATAAAAGTTTAATGTGGCTTGTTTTGTGTGGCGTTTAATGTCCTATCGGAATGAATCCATTTGGTAGACAATTATTTTCGTTATAGTAATCAGGAATGATGGTTCCTTTCTCTTTACAAAGTTGCTGTTGTTAGCAAAGAAATAGGATTGTTCAATTCATTGTTTGGAAATTTCCAAGTTGTATTATTAAACGTTTTTGTTCATGTAATTAGCGCCATATTGACCGTTACATATTTTTTAAATATTCAAATTTTTTTAAAAAAACAATTTCAAACAAATAGGATGAAAAGGAATAATTGTATTATTGGCAATTTTGGCGGATGATAATAGTGCATACCCGTGATACTTTTCAGGTCCATACAACAAGTGGTGCAAAATTGGTTTAGATAGTGAATAAGTGGTAAAGTAATGGCAAAAAATTGGTGGAATTTTCAGAAAACAAAATGTTCAAAGGCTCATACTACGAGAAGGTTCTTGATGAAGAGGAGAGTTTCAAACCAACAACAACACCATCATCACCATCAGAACAACATGAAGATGTAGATAGTACTTCTTCGGAGGAAAATAATATACTTCCACCAATGATATCATCTCCAATGGAAAAGAAGGAAAATATAACGGTTGATCGAATGGAAACAAAGGCTTGTTCGAAGGCTTGTTGTTCTTCATCATCATCATCGAAGGCTGGTTGCTCAGAGGAAGAAGAACAACACGAACATTCGGCAGTTAATAGTACTCACAAACATAGTAAAAGAGGAACGAAATCAAAGTTGATGTATGGAAAGAAGAAGATCAAAATTAGTCAACTGCAACATTTGACAAAACAACATGATGAACATCATCACGAAGAAGAAACGACGTCAGAAACAACAAACATTTGCGAGAAGTCAAGCTCTTCTAATTGTTGTTCTTATGGTTCTTGCTCAAAGGAAAAACAAAAAGAACCAAACAATGCAATTGTTTCAGATTGCTGTTCTTCAGGTTCCTGTTCCAAGAAAAGCAATGTTCCAGTTGAGAAGAAATCAACATGTACTTCTGGTTGTTGCCAGTCAGTATCAACTTCCACTGAGAGCAGAACAGAATTGAAATTGGATAATTTACTTCCTAATCACAAGTCTCTGCATTTGACTGTGAGAAATTTGCATTGTGCTGATTGTGCCAATATGGTTGAGGGAGTTTTAATTAAGAAGAATGGTATTCTGAATGCCAGAGTGAATAGTATGACAGATTCAGCTCATGTAGTATATGACGAATTAATTATACAAGAAACATTAATTGTAAAATCAATTCAAGACCTTGGATTTCCAACTAGTGTCTCTCTATTGAAAAACATTTCAAATTCTGATCAGGAAACTCTTACAACCATGTTCGAATTCAAACAGGAGTTACAAACACACAAAGTAGATGAATTAGTTAAGAGCATTGAAAAAGGGGATGGCATTATTCATACGGCCTATGATACATCGAGTTGTCTCCTCCAAGTGGCTTACAATCCTGATATTACAGGTACAAGAGATATTAAGAAAATGATTGAAACCATCGATTCGAGCCATATGTTTACAATTATGAGTGGTAGTAAAGCTAACGAGATTACCGATCAGAACAATAAGAATGAAATCAAAATATGGAGGAGAAACCTTATTGTTTCCTTCATTCTTAGTATTCCAGTCATATTTACAGCATTCATCTTTCCAATGATCAAACCAGTTGATGAATTTTTGAAGAAGGAATTCTTACAAGGCCTCAATAGTTATATTCTTATTGGATTTATTTTCTCAACACCAATCCAATTTTATTTTGGAAGACCATTGTACATGTCAGCTTACAGAGCTCTACGATATGCAAAAAAGCCAAACATGGATACACTTGTAATGCTGTCAACTACCACTGCTTATGTTTACTCGTTAGTGAGTACAATAATTGCAATGTTTGTTGAGACTTACAAGGCCGAAGCATTCTTTGAAACTTCGGCACTCTTGTTGACATTTATCATTTTGGGAAGGTAGGTTTTCTTACTTGTTATTAATTTTATTTATAATTACTATTAAGGTTTTTGGAAATACTTGCCAAAGGACAAACTTCGAGCATACTTACTTCCATTTTGAAACTCAGATGCACCAAAGCTTTTTTGATATTCAGAGGAAACTATGAAAGAATAACATGTCAAACCGAACTTGTAAATAATTCACATGCTGTAGAGGAAGAGGAGATTGATACTGATCTTGTTCAAAGAGGCGACATTTTAAAATGCCTTCCAGGTTCAAAAATTCCAACTGATGGAGTAGTGTTTTATGGCACTACATCGATTGATGAATCAATGATTAGGTAAGTTTTGAACCATAATTTAATTTGACATTATTCAACCATAATAGTGGTGAATCTATTCCAGTTAACAAGGATGTTGGAGATTTTGTTTATGGCAGTACAATCAATCAATTTGGAACAATCTATATCCGTGTAACAAAAACTAGTTCTGAAAATACTCTTTCTTCAATTGACAAATTAATTCACGAATCTCAAAATGCTAAAGTACCCATTCAAAGAATTGCTGATAATGTTAGTGCAGTGTTTGTACCTGTAATTATTGGTATTTCCTTATTGGCTTTTATTATTTGGATCAGTTTGTGTTATGCTGGAGTTTTGGAAACTGACCTGCATCCAATCACCTTTGCTTTACAGTTCTCTCTTGCAATTTTGGTAATTAGTTGTCCTTGTGCTATTAGTTTGGCAGCTCCAACAGCTGTGATGGTCGGTATCGCCAAAGGTGTTGAGTATGGTGTACTATTCAAGAATGGTGCTGTAATTGAGATGTGCCACAAGGTTAACACAGTCATATTTGACAAGACTGGTACCTTAACCAATGGAAAACCAGTTGTTACAGACGTGTTGCTTTTTGAGGGAGATGATTTGAAGCAATTCAAAGCAATTATAGGTTCTGCAGAGTTGGGAAGTGAACACGTTATTGGAAAGGCTATTTCAACACACGTAGAAAAGGAGGGAATAGCTATAGAACAACCTGTTGATTATCAAGCAGTTCCAGGAAAAGGATTAAAATGTACAGTCTATGGAAAACAAGTGATTGCAGGTAATTGCACTTGGATGAAGGACAATTCAATTGAAATTTCAGAAACACAACAAGAACAAATTTTAACTTTGGAGAATCAAGGAAAGACAATTGTTCACGTTGCAATCGATGGTTCTTTACATGGAATTGTTGCCCTCTCTGATACTCTCAAGGTGGAATCCAAACGAGTTATTGATGAATTGAAGAAGAAGAATGTGGAAATTTGGGTGGTTAGTGGAGACAACCAAGTCACAACTAGATATATCGCCAACCAATTAGGCATTGAGAATGTAATGGCCAATGTCCTTCCAGCCTACAAGAGAGAAAAAGTGCTTGAATTGCAACAAGGTAAAACTTCCAATGGTAAAAAGAGAGTTGTTGCAATGATTGGAGATGGTATCAATGATTCACCATCTCTAGCCCAAGCAGATGTTGGTTTTGCAATTGGATGTGGTTCAGATATTGCCTTAGAAACTGCGGATATCATTTTGGTAAAGAGTGATTTGAGAGATGTGCTTGTGGCTTTGGATTTGTCAAGGACTACTTTCAGAAGAATCAAACTCAACTTTTTATGGGCCTTCCTTTATAATGCTGTTGGTATTCCATTATCTGCTGGAGCATTCTATCCAATCCTTGGTATTGCAATTCCACCAGCTATTGCAGGATTATCTGAGATTTTCTCTTCCATTCCTGTAATTCTCTTCTCCTTACTTTTGAAATTCTACAAACCAAAGATTTATTAACAAAGAAATACAACACTTTTATTGTAAACTCACTGTCTGTTAAAGAGAATTGATCGCGCTAGGCTTAGTTGAGCTCAACTAACCTTTCTATTTTGATTGTAGTAATCTTGCGGTCCTGACATTGACTATTTGAAACGAAAAAAACTAAACAATGACCTCCACTATTTGTGAAGAAGAAACTAACCAAACGAATGTGGAGCAACAACTTTCAACTAGTAGTAGTATCAACAATACACCATTATCGGATACTGTGGAAACAAATCAGGGTGCTAATATAGGAGAAACCAAAAAGATGGGAGAAACTAATCATGCAAACAAACGCAAGTCTCAAAATCAGCACAAAAGAGAAGAAACTCCAATAATATACAAGGTGAAAACACCGGAAATTATATTATTCAACTCTCCCAAGATGGTGCTGGAAAGGATGAAAGTAGATGGTATTCGAAAGTCCAAGCTAACGGTTGACCAAATAATAATCCTCTCCTTGTTTGCTGGTTTATTCATCGGATTGGCTTGTGCTATGGCCATATTGATTGGAGGAAACGTTCCAGACCTAGAAGAAAAAAACCCAGGTCTCCAGAAACTTCTCTCCGGTGCGTAAGTTTTTCACACTTTCATTTTCATTTCACACACGAGATTCGAATAGTGTTTTTCCTATTGGATTGATTCTTATAGCCATGACTGGTTCTGAATTGTTTACTGGTAACGTTTTGGTCTTGTTAGTTGCCTTGTTTTCAAGAAAATGGAGAGCCAAAAAGTTTCTTCTTCAGTAAGTGAAATAGTTTGAAATTAATAATTGAAATTTTCAAAGATATACACAATTTTCAAAGAATTTGTTCGTGAGCTACTTGTTCAATTGCTTGGGAGCATTTCTATTTGCCTACTTTTTCGTGTATTTACCACAACCTTGCTGCTCTGCTTATTGGATTAAATACATACAGAACATGTCAGTTGCCAAAACGACAAAAACTTTTGGAAATTTAGTGTTATTGGCAATTATTTGTAACATGTTAGTGACTGTTTCTGTATTCTGCTGTAATGCAGCAACTACATTGGGAGGAAAATTTCTTGGCATTTGGTTTCCATTAATGACATTTGTTTGTTTAGGATTTGAACATAGCATTGCAAATGCTTTTTACATTCCTCTTGGCATGCTTGTAAGTAATTTTTCAATTAATTTATGAAAATTTATTGTAAACTCAATGTTAGTATGGAGCTAATGTAACAGGATATGATTTTCTTATTGGAAACTTACTACCTGTCACTATTGGAAATATAATTGGAGGAGCAATTATTAATGGATGTTTATTATATTATGTACATGATTTTAGAGTGAGACATCATAGAGCCATATTCAATTTTGCAGAGAAAATATGGGAAAAGATAAAGAAGAGGAAGGAAAATACAGAATCAAACACATCTTCATCTATTGAACTATCCGAAAGTAAAGAGAATATGGTCTAAATATTTGTACAATTTTGATTACAACAAGATTTTCAATTTTCATATGAAAGTTATTCAATAAACTTATCAATTTTGTCCACTAAATCTCTTATTTCAATTAAATCATTGAATATCTTCGAACAATCTATTGAATTCTTCAATGCCAAAATGTAAACTTCAACATTTGATCAACAATTTCAATAAGCGATTTCGAATAACTTTTTCAAAAAAAAATGTTACCTCCTCATCTCTTCAAATCTTCTGTTAATATCAAACCTGATCGTTCCAATTTTACATTGGAAAGGAATTATGATCTGATTCAGGAATCTCTGATGGAAAAACGTGAAATTTTAATTCCTGGCGAGGAAATTGAAATTGATTCACATGTTTATTGTGTTAATTTGTTTAAAGTAGCAAATTCGGGTGATGAAAATAAAGTAGTGGAAACAGTTGATGAAAAGATGAATTCGGGTGATGGAAAGGAATTGATTCGAAATAAGGATCATTTGTTCTTGGTTGACCATTTGTTGCATCAGGAAGAGTGTAAAGAAATATTAAAGAAGGAAGAATCGTTGGGTTTCGAATCAATTACTTCTGAATATCCGGTTGAGTATAGAAATAGCAAGAGAATTCTTTACAATGACAAGGAATTGGCTGCCAAGTTATGGAAAAGATTGAAAAAGTACATGATTGATTGTAATTTTATGAAACCTTATGGTTTAGACAGTGAAGGTTATTGGATTCCAATATCTGTAAACGAATGTATGAGATTGAGCAAGTATGAACCTGGAAATTATTTCAAACCTCATACTGATGGTCAATTTGTGAGAAATGATGATGAGAGAAGTATTTACACATTGATCATCTATTTGAATGATGGATTTGTTGGTGGCGAAACTAAATTCATGAGAAGAGTTGATCCTCTCGCTGAAAATGAAATGAAATTCAAGAATTTATGTGAAATTAGTCCCAAGATGGGAAGTGCATCTGTGTTTAATCATGATTTGTATCATCAGGGATGTCTAGTAACAGAGGGTGTGAAATACATTTTAAGAACTGAAATAATGTTCAAGAGAATTGACTCAGCTGAGCAATTAGTGACTAAACAAGATAATGATGAGATCTATAACAAAGTTATGGATCTTTTGCATGAAAGCGACCAACTGGAAAGGAAGGGGGACACTTACCAAGCAACCAAACGTTATATAAGTGCACAGGAATTATTGATCAAAAGTGGACATTCAACTTCAATGTTAATGAATCCAAAATTTCTTTCTAAAAGGAAAACTCTCAATGCTGAGAATTATTCAATGAAGAGCTCAATTTCTCGATTACCAGATGAGATTATCTCACATATTTGCAAATTTTTGAATGACTGGGAAATTTGCAAGCTCATTCTTCCACTCGACAGATATTTCAATGATATTGGACGAAACTCACCATTATGGGAATGGATGTATATGAAAAAATGGGGACATTCTATCACTAATTTACTGAAACAATTTCACTCAAGAAATATTGAGGAGCTTAGAAATCTCAATTCACAAGACAATACAAGCTCACTTGAAGAAACACCAACTGAGGAGCAGGATTGGTTCCATATTTATATCATGAAACGATATTTTGAAAAGGAGTTTGAACCAATTTGTGTGGATTTTGGTCCTGATATGTATTCCTTTACATATTTTGCAACCATTAATGGAGATATCGAAAGAGTTGTAACTAGACCCATAAAAGGGGCCACCAGACAGTAAGTAGAATATTTGTGAAACTTTCCAAGATCTTTTTGAAAATAGTGCAACCATCACTAAATTTTGCAGTTATATCTTACCAGATTATCATAATCAAAACTCTCGATCTCTGGCTGGAGCAGTTAAAATTCATGATTTAAATAATGGTGGCTATTCGAAATATGTTCAACCATTCGTCAACTTGCTTTACAAAAAATTGAACAAGAGTTGTCAAAGGAATCCGATTATTATCAGTTGTGGATCGAGTGAATTTATGAATTTCAATTCTTGGAAAGAAGTATTATTGGATTACATGGTAAGTATTTCACATTAGTTCATCAAATATATTCTGAAATCGTCTAGTTCAAGATTAAGATCCCAGCTGTTTGCGTGCTCCCAAGATGTTATCTATTAGCAATTTACTTTAATCTACCAACATGTCTAGTTATTGATGTTTTAAGTAATGCAGTTTATGTACATGCCATCATTCAAAATGACAAGGATCAAATTAGAACTGTCTATAAACCCATCACATCTAACAGGAACGTGTATCCTATAAGGCCAGCAGAGGATAAAAACTCATTCGAGGGGCCAATAATTAATGCCATTGACACCCTCTTGGATCAATTTTCAGATAATGCCAATCTGAAATCTCATTTAATGGAAAATATTATACTTTCTGGAATTATTGTTGAAAATTCTTACGAATTTAATTTCAGAAATCTTGGTGAAGAACCAAAATCAAAAAGAAAAGATTTGGAACGTAACGATATTCTCGAGGTATTCAACTCTCCAAATTCCAAATATCAAGTCAAATATCAAGCTAGTGGCGAAGAGGCCATTAAGGGAGCTCAACAATTTTCTAAAATTCCAAACTTTAAGGATTATTGCACTTATTGGTTCGATTGTGAGAAGTTTGTCAAGCAATTCGATGCATTTGAGTAAATGATGAATTCATTAGTAAGGTATTTACACTTTATCGTCATGCTGCTGCTGCTGTGGTTGTGGAGGTGCTTGTGGTGAGGGAATATATATTGTGGTTGGTGCCTCATTATCACATGTTGATTTTCTATAATTCATTGAGTATTGAATGGATTCGTTTGATTCGAATTGTTGATTGGAAATATTTGGATTGACCATTCCATGATTATTCGTCATTGCTAATTCAGATTCGTTGTGATTGTAATATTGTAAACTTGCATCTGATGTGTTGTTGGTACCAGCAACAATATTACTTTGAAAATTATTGTAATAGATGGGCTGTTGTTGATTAGGTGGAATGACAGTTGCATTATTTGGAGGATATTGATAATAATTCATCATCATTGGATTCGGTTGACTAAAATAATAACGGTTTACAAAACCTGTATTTTCAATAATCATAGGATGTTGCTGCACTGTTTCGCCTGTTTCTAATTGCATCACAGAAACATTTGCCAAACCAATTTCACTTCCAGTATTCATTGCAGCCATCTTTCTTCTCTGAATAATCATTCGAATAGACAATAGAATAAACAAAACACCCATCACCAACAAAATACCAGCTGATGCACCCAGAGGAATCATAATCGAATCATAAACTGGACAATTATCTTGTTTCGGTTGCTTTACACAAGTTGCCATCAAGACTCCCAACACCAAACATGCAATCAACTCTGCAATTGCAATCAAACTGAAAACTCCACCCAAAATCAGAAGTGTTTTTGGATTATTTCTAGAACTGCCACCTGAAACTCGTAGAACTCCACCACTTGGCCTTCCAGTTGTGGTATGGAGATTAGTTCTGTGGTTTCGTCTTGAGAATGCACTTCTTGAGGGAGTGTGGTGATGAGTTCTGTGTCCAACACCACCTGTCCTTCTGGCTCCGTGTGATCTATTGCCTCCACTTCTGCCACTTCTGCCACTTCTTCCTTTGGCCATTTTTTTGATTTTGATTTTGACACAAAATATCTATTTTTCAAATGTCAACACTTTGATTACATGAGTTCTACTTGAACTTATGTTGTTTTTAGAGAAGTTTTTAATATTAAGACAACATATTAGATTCTGTGTTTGAGGACATGGTTGTTGGTTATTATTGTTCGAGCCAGAGCTCGAAGTCAAAAAGTTTGTTTTTCAGAACAAAAAAAAACTTGGAAAGAAGTATTGCAAATTTTCTCTTTGGATTTTCTAAACGGTTGTTTCAAAACTTAGAATGTGCCAAATCATGATGAGGAGTACTAGTTTCGAAGAAGAAGAGGAAACATCTGATGAGGAACAACAAGAACATACCAGTCCTATTCATGCTGATGAAGAAGAAACTGCTGAACAAAGTTCCTCCGAAGATGAAGAAGAAGAAATTATGCTAGCAGAAGATGACGATTTATTAACCCAACAGAATAATCACCATCAGCATCACCCTAACGAAGAAGAAGAAGAAGAGGATTTAAATAATCAACAAGAAGAAGCAGCACCAATTATTGAAGAAGAACAGGAGGATGAAGATTCCGATTCAACTAAATTATCATCACCTGTTATTAGTACTCATCATAATAATCAACACAACACATCTACAGCTAATAGCAGTAGTGGTGCTGCTGAGGAATCCATTCAAATTGATGAAGATGATTTAGAGACGCTGAGAAGGGATGATCATATGGAAAATGGTCTTTTGGAATGCGATGAGGAGATGGACTACTTGTTGAATGATGAGAAGATCATGATGCCACAAACACCTCTGCTCATTAATAATGATAATTTTACGACGCCAAATAGTGCTGGATCTGTAACTGTGGCTATGCCTTTTTTGGATGATGTGGATGGTTGTGTGGAATCAAAACCATTGAATGAGAACGAAATAGAGTGTAAATTAGAATGTAATATAGTAACAACAGAGGAAGTATCAGAGAAAGAAAATGTAGAATTGGCCACTGAGAGCTCAGTTCTACAGATGAATCAGCCAATTGCACATAACTCTGAGAGTTTAATCGAGAATCGTCAAACAATTTCTATTGCAGATGAGCAAATGAATGTTTTAGTGATGGAAGATGATCAGATTGTTGTGAATCAAGAAGTAATAGAGAAACCATCTCTAATTCAACAACAGGAAACCCAACCAAATAACACAGATATCATCTCATCAATTAATTTGGATGAAGATTTAGATATTGAAATGATTAATGACTTCCTGCAATCAGAAAAGGGAGCCGATTTGTGTGAAGAACATTCAAAGGAAAATTCCCCTCATGGAGACTCTATCAGTAATCAGAGTATGAATGATTCTTGGAATACCAATTACACCACCGATAGTTTAGGTTCAACAATGCACCATCGACAACCAATGCAAGGTTGTACTCCATTGATATCGAGAAAGAACTTTAATCATCATGCTCAAAGTATTCCACTGGAAGACTTGCTGCAAAATTATGATCATCGAATTGAGTACTCTACATTGGAAATGCTTATTAAGGAGCTTGAGGGAATAGGTGTTTATACAGTCAATAGTTTACCGCTAGTGCCAAAGAAACATATAATGGCTCTTCCAGGTATGGATGATAGATTGTATGAAAATTTGATGGATTCTGCTCAAAGCTTGGATCCTTCTCAATCCTTTGGATTTTCCACAGCAACACAATTTCTGCACGAGTTTCACACCAAAAGATACAAGGTCACTACTGGATGCACTGCTTTTGATGAGTTGATTGGTGGTGGTTTTGAATCCTCCTCAGTGAGTGAACTTTTTGGAGAGTCTAGCTGTGGTAAAACTCAAGTGTGTTTCACACTCTGTTTAACTGCACAACTACCACTAACTGAAGATGGTCCCTCTGGAAAGGTTTTGTACGTGGATACAATGGGAACATTTAATCCGAGTAGAATTCAGAGTATTGCAGAAAGATTTTCTAAAGATGATGAGAGAATGACCACCCTCTTCATGAATAATATTTTGAAAGAAAGAATTTATACATCAGATCAATTATTTTCAAATCTCAATAGAATTACAACTCTTTTGAAAAGTAATAAGGGAAAACCATTCAAATTGATTATTGTTGATAGTGCTGTCAGTGTTTTCAGGTCTGAATATAAGGGAAAGGATGAAATCAACATTCGTCAACAATACTTGTTAAAATATTTGGATTCTCTGAACAAACTAGCTGAACAATTTAATATTGCCATAGTAATTACCAATCAAGTTATGGACACATTCGATAAGCCACTAATGTACTCACCTTACAAACAAAATACTTCATCTACCATTAAACCAGTTGGAGGACATATTATGGGTCACACCATTCCAACAAGAATCCAACTTTGTAGAGAGAAGCAGAAGAGAATTGCCAAAGTATTTAAATCTTCAACCAGGCCAGAAGGTGTCTGCAACTTTTCAATACAAGCAACAGGTATAACAGATTATGAAGATGTAGACTAGATTTATCTTTTGGTTATTGCCAATCTGAACTCAAAACCTTTTCTCCAAATAACCATACTTAATCTTTCTTAGATCACCTCTTGGGATCATCTTTGTTTTGATTAATCTTTGGAAGGTTATTCAAGTAAGCAACAATCTCTGGTACCAATTTTTCTAGTGCTTCCCCTCTAAATAAATTGCATTCTTTGAATAGATTTCTGATAAGTATTGGTCGCTGAGAAAGTAAGTGTTTAGAATATAGATAATCACTAATTCTGTCGGTAAAAATGATTCGTCAAAAAACAGCATATTTTCCATAGTTATGGACTTCCTAACTTGACCATCTGAACTAGCTGATCATATCTAATTTTTTATTGAAATACAGCCCGGTAATGACACTCTTACATTTTTCTCTTCCAACGTCCTTAATAATGTATTTCTTTGCTTTTTAGGTAATTTTCCTCTGTTTTTCCTATTAGCTCAATATTAAAGCAATTTCAATAATATCCATTTTTCATTTCATTTGGCAAATAAGGATAACTTTTAGGATCCAAAGCAACCAACTTTTTAACAATTTTCTTATCTGATAAAACCTCTCCAAAAAAGAGATCGTCTTTTTCAGGGTGTTGTTTAGCTCTGTTTCTTAATCCTCCATAGAGAATCGAACTTGTCACTCTCTATCACTATTGATCTCTTATCGATCGTCCAGTATGTAGTAATACCACTAACCATCACAGTCCTCGTTGTTTTAATTGCTGGCTTCCTGTGGGCTCTAATTATTCAATTAATCAAATAATAATAATAAATTGTAAAAGAAAATAAAAATCAATTTAAAAAAAAATGTCTTCTTAGGGAACAAGGATTTTGTTGAAGATGCACACAAGTGGCAACAAATTATGGAAGTTGTAAAGGATATGCAGCTTCCATTCTAATGAATTATGTAAAATGAAACCTTCTAAAAACAATTCAATTTTTTAAATTCAAATAATTATCAAAAAAATGATACGAAACGACAAGTATCTACCAATCGAGCTAGGTGATCCAATTTCCAAGTTATGGTTATTCAAACACAATTTAAAACTTTATGATATTTGTCCCTTGTTGTTGGGATCAGAAAATGCCTTGACACACTCTCCGATCTTATTTTTCTGTAGAGGTTTGTTTCAAATGTTTAGAAGAAACTAACAAAATGTCATATTATAAAAGAAACCATGTTTATTTTGAAATTATCGAGCGTGATAAACTCATGGAATAATGACAAATCAACACACTGTGAAATTGTAGAAGAATTGATCTGGGAAGAAATCATTCCAAATAATGTAATGAAACCACCTGTGGACCAATACTCATCTTGCTATGACAAACTCTCTCAATTTATTTACTTATTGGGTGGAAGTGGCAACTTGTGGAAATTTGATTTGAAAACCAAGACATGGGCTAATATTGTAACTGTTAGGGAAATACCAATAAATCAAACTGGTCATTCAATCATGTATACTAATGGAAAGTTGTATGTTTATGGAGGAAAGTATATGGGCTATTCATGTCTGAATGATTTTTATGAGCTAGATTTGCAGACTAAAGTGTGGAAAGAACTGAAATATGAAAGTGTTAAACGGTCAGGCTCTAGCATGAACTCTTATTTTTCTAACACTAATGGGTTTAGTATATATAATTTGGAGAAGAGGAAGTGGTCAGGATGTTTTCATATTTTTCACAACTTTAATTTCAATACTAGAATGTGGAATAGCAAATCATATCAATCATATAACTACTATGATCCAATTTGCATTTGTTGGCAAGATTCTACAAGATTCAACAATATATTGAACAATAGTTTTTACATTCTTTATCAGGATTCTGGATATTTTGATTCAGAAAACGAGGTCTATGTACATGGAGAGAACCAATATTTATATGAGTTTGATGGAGATAGGGAACAACTAATTACTCACCCAGTTTCGAAAGAATTGAATTATCGCTTGAAAGGAGGGGCATTTATGAAAATGTTCAATAATACCATAATTGTGATTGGTTCAAGTGAATTATATCTTTTAAAAGTTAAAGAGAAATCTACAAATAATTTGGATTTTTTCCTTAATAATCTAAAAGCAAGAAAGAACTTTGTGGATTTGTCATTTATTTACACTCATTAATAAGGCAAAGGAAATGGGTTTCTACCACCGCTTCTCTCAACAACAATTTGAGGAACGAACTTGTTTGGTATAGTTTTCAGTTAGATCAAACTGAAAAAGTTTATTTGAAGAAAATGAACAACTGATCTAGACAATAGAGCTCTTCCAAAAAATCCAAATTTTCATATCATCTTTGATTTCATTGTAATAGATTGATCTTTCCGTCATCATAAAAGAACAGAAAAAAAAATATCAACAACAACCTATTAAATGATCGTCTTTGATTTTATTGCCGATTTGATCTATGAAAAAGTCTTTCGATTTTTCTATTCAATTTATGATAATTTCCGACCACAGAAAAAGTTTTATTGCTATTCTTTTGGAATGAAGGATACAACGCAAAGCCATTCGTATGATGGCAACTTAATTACGATAAAGGAAATAAGTCGTCTCCTCCACCGATCGAATGATATCATAGATAATCCTGATGATCCGAAGAATATCTATATCAACCAAATAGAATATAGGAATTTCTATTTGCAGGATTGTTGTGTTGATTATTTATCGAAACAATATTTGTATCCGTATTACATGAGAGGAACCGAAGGAATAATTATTGGTATTTCTTGTAACAAGAAAGAAGATATTGAAAAAACACTAACTACAAAACATCAGGTTTCATTGTTTGATATGGTGAAAATTGCAAAGTGTGACGATCGATTGCCCTTGCCATCTAATATGCATTTACTTTCATGTTCTAGCGTACCTGAAAGGAAGAAGGATTTTAGACCAATATTGTTTTTCATTCATTCGGTAGAAAGAAAGGATGTAATTATACAGATCAAATCGATTATTGAGAGAGTTATCGAGGATACTGGATATGAAACACATAATACCATGATAGTAGTTCATTCGGATGAGGAAAGTAATTTCTATGAGGGTTTGGAATGGCTTTTTGAAAAGAGATCTGATTAATTTTTTCAAAATCTAAAGATCAAATTCACTGTACTTGAGAAGGATATTGTGGCCTTTAGGTAGAATAGTTTGAGTGTTTCAACAAAGGAGTAAAGCTATTGAAAACAACCCAATATGACTCATCAATACATTAATTGAATAAATCATTATGTTTGCCCAACATATTTAGTTTATTTTCCTTTCCATTTAAAAAATGTCTCAAATGCTAGAGGAAGATTTTACAGAGGAAGGAGGAGAATTAAATCTTCAACATGATGAGCTTCAAGAACACAATAATAACGATACAATAATCAAACAATTATCACCATCATCCGAATATATTGATTTAAATACATCCACTCTAAAACCTCTTCATCGTTACCTTTTAATTGGCTTTGTTACATTTCTCGTCTTGATATTCTTCGGATCATTGATGGGAGTGATCATCAAGAATCGGAAGAAACTCAGACAAAGTGGTTTGACCTTTCCACAGCCTACCTATACTCCAAGTGATGATAAATTACATTTTCTAGTGATTGGAGATTTTGGTAGAGAAAACGATGCTCAGAGGAAGGTTGCCAATTCAATGGGTGAATATTGCAAGGAGAATGATGGTTGTGATTTTGTGGTTGGAGTTGGGGATAATATCTATCAGAGTGGAGTTGAGTCTATTTATGATGAACAGTTTAAAACCAAGTTTGAAGATATTTACAATCATAAAGCATTGGAAGATTTGGATTTTTACATGATTTTGGGTAATCATGATTATAGGAATGATGTAAAGGCACAGATTCTGTATACTCAATTGAGCAAAAGGTGGAAAATGTTGGATTTCTTCTATGAAATTAACAAAAAGTCGAGATTGGGAGGATTTGATCTCAATTTACTTTTCACAGATACCAATCCATTCCACTTTTTATTCTTTTTGGATCCATTGACTAACAAGACTGTCATTAATGAACAGGCCAAGAGAATTCCAGAACAAATGGAATGGCTCAAGAGCAAGTTGAGAAAGCCAAAAGGAGACGATCAATGGACCATTGTGGCAGGTCATTCACCAGTTTATTCTGCCTCCCAACACTACGATTCTCAACCATTAATCCAAAACTTTGAACCTCTATTTAGAGAATACAGAGTCCCACTCTATTTGTGTGGGCACGATCACCAGTTGGGTTGGATGGCAAATAGAGAAATAATCAATTCAAGAGAGCAAACTCAATATATTATTTCAGGTGCTGCTGGTGGATCCATCTATAGAACAATCAAGTACAATCCCAACTTGTTTAATTATTATGTGGGAGAGGGTGGATTCTACTCTGTAGAAGTTCAACATGATTTCATCTTTGTAATAGCCCTTAATGAAAATGGAGAAGAGATTTACAAGTTCAGAATTGACAAACAATGAGAGCAATTGAATTATTGTAATGAAACAATCTAGTCCGTAAGAATAATGATGAACTTGTTTACTCAAAACACTTTTTAAATGTTCTGGTTGACTTTAGTGATGGCAAGTTACCGACACTGGTCCACTCTCACTTGAGAATGGTTATCAGGTCAAGTTGGAGTTCAACGTTATTAAAGGAGGAGTAGGACTATTGGTTGGAGATAAGGGTGTCAATACCGGCATTCTCAAGATGGAATAAAGTATTTCAATTATTCCAAAATATTAAAAAACATTACAAAAAAAAATGATTAAACAAACCTCTTTCTACGCTTGCGGAAAGGGTTTTTTTCAAGATTGTTTGCCCACTTGTTGTTCATCAAATACCACAAAACTACCAACAAGTGCAACATCGGGAATTAGTGAATTGACCAAAATCAAACTTTTCGATCATTTGTTTCATGGTGACGAAGAATTGATCAAGATTGAAATTAAAGGCTTGAATATGATCATGCTCACCAAGTCAGGCTCTGTCTATTTTACCAATTCCATGATTAGATATCCATCCCAATTCACTCTTCCGAATAATAATGATGAAAATCATGCTCGGATATTTATTGATTGTTCTTTAGCAACGAGTCATGCATTGTTTTTGACGAGGGAAGGACACGTCTATTCATGGAATTTGAAAAAGAAGACTTTGGATGATTGGAGTGGCATCAAGAAAGTGGAACATAGCTTTGATTGTAGGATTTTGAGAGTTTTGGCATTTGATAATGGTCAATCGTACTTTATTGGGTTGAATATGAAAGTTTATATGAGTGAAGGTGGAGGATTACCAAAAATTATTGATATTCGAAAGATTCAACTGTGTGAAGAGAAGGCATTTGTGTTTGGCTGTGACAAAGAAGAGCAATATTTCAAAAAGTTAGATAGAGTGAGAGTGACCAATTATCATGAGGTTGACCAGTCAGATGAGAATATTTTTCTGGTGGGAGAGGTTTATACTTACAGATACGAAATGGGAAGTTTTGTTTGCTTCAATGTATCGAATGGTGAAAAAATTGTGGACATGTCATGTTCTAATAACCATATGATTATCGCAACAAATCAGAATAGACTTTTGGCCATGGGACATAATATATCAGGTCAACTAGGTGCCAAGCATTTTAATACCATGTTTTATAATGATAATTGTGAGATGATTCTGCCATTTGAAAGAGAGGAAGATGATAAGATTATATTGGCTACGGATGATAATATGACCTTGGTTGCTCATACACGGTTAGTTAAGAAGCAATACATGAATTATCCATCTCTTTTTAAAAATATTGAGAGCTTGACAGTTGGAAATTTCATTCCATTGATTGAGTTGATCTCCAAGGATTGCTCAAATTTGATTAAGAATGACAATTTTCAATCCTCTCTCAATGTGGAAGAAAAACAGTTATTTATCAAATTGTTGGAATTTTTTTCTTTCACATTGTTTGATTTTAATTCAATTGAAGATGAAAGCTTCACAGATTTATTACATGTAGATTTTAAAAAAGATATTAAGAGTACTATAACAACTCTCTTCCTTCTCAATGACATTTCAGATATTGGCAGCAGAATTAAGGAAACTCTATTCTTAATCTTTGTAGAACAAATTAGTTTGGAAAATGTATTGGATTCATTAGAACAAATATCAAAATATTTGAGTATGAAGGTCTTGACTAATTCCAAGACTAGTGTACTAATGGTGGCAGTTAAAGCATGCTTTACATTTATGAAAAAGAATTATCAATCAGTTTCTGGATTGTACAAGAATAATCCACATTTTCAAAAGATTGACACGAAAGTGCAACAATGCAAGAATTCCTCACTTTTAGAAATTTCAATTACTTGGATTGACCCATATGAATGTAATACCCCATCTGCTGAAGTTATTAACAATCTTTACAACAAGGGAGAGTTGTCATTTATTGTGGATCATTTAGGAGAAAGGATAGTCAAGGTACACAAATCAATAATTTCCTCTAGTCCTGTGCTTGGTACATTGACTGATGATGTTTTTGGAAATTCAGATTCTGATACTTATAACATTTTTGATTTTGTAAGAAATTCACAGGATTCTGAAGAGGAAATGGTATTAAAATCGAATGCCATTGAGTTTATCTTACAGGCATGTTACATGAACATGAAATCAATTGATAATTCTGATTTTAGACAATTGATTCATGTATTCCTCATAGCACACCAATTCCAAATTGAACACATTCTAAAATATTCTGTTCACAAGCTCTTAGACCAAATGAGTGTTGATAATTTTGAAAATCTCCTCTACATTGCCTCGATGGCCGAACAAGAGGAATGGAGTACTGATTTTCTGGACCGATTGACTGTAGAATATTTGAGAAATGTGGAACCTTTACAAGTGTCATTCCAAGCTGATACTGAATTTAAGAAAAAGCTCTTGGAATACAGCAAGAGTTTCTCCAAGACAGCATCCCTTTCTGTTGCATTACCAAAACCAACACTAGACAAATTCCACTTCTCTAGGCAGGTATTTTTCACAGCTTGTAATCTCCAAAGTTTTTAATGCATTGGATTAAGTGATAATCACTTTGTCCAATTGGATGACTGTTAAACAGTAGCACTCAGTGCAAGAGAGTGTGAACTTTTAATGGTACTAACAAGAAGAAATTTCTTAGAGGGTAATGAAAGCAAGAATGAAGAGTGACGATTGGCAATTCTTATATTGTTCTCTCTTTGCTTTGTACTATTATTTTCTCAGAAATTCACAATTGTTCCGATATCTTTCAGTCAACAGCAAATTCTTCATCAAAAATTTTTCATCAAATATTTTGAATAACCTCAAAAAAACGATTTTCAAATAAAATTTAAAATTATAAAATTTGGATAAAAAAATTGAAAAAATGTCTACGGCTACGACATCATCGAAAAAGAAGTCAAGATCCTCATCATCTTCGGGTGGTGTTGAACGTGGCAAGACCATCAAAAAGTCGAATTATTACTTGATGGGAGAGCGTGAACCAACCAGTGAAATGTTTCAAACTCATATGGACAAGTTGGTTCAACCTCATGTTTCATCATTCGATGCTTTTGGTAATGAAATGATGGAAAATATTGCTAAATTTTTATTTCCACTTCACTTGTTCCCAATTAGAGTCGGAGGTAAGAAAACAGATGATAGTACTACTACTACTCCAAATACTACAGCAGCAACAACAACAACCATAACCACAACAACAACTACTCTCAGATACTCAACATATATTGAATCAATGAGTTTATCAAAGCCTGTTGTTGGAGATAATTTAGTAGACCAAACTGTTTTATCCGAGAAGAGAATGGATGATGAATCACAACAAACACTAGGTGCTTTTACTTCTTCACAAAAAAGAAAAGGCTTACGTAAGGAAATGTATCCAAAGGATGCTCGTATTGCTGGTGTTAACTATGGAGGAAGTTTAAAGGCAACAATTTTGTTAAAGAACGAAGAAACAGGAGCCATTGAACGTATTCCTGATATCCAACTTATGGAAGATTTCCCAGTTATGATTAATTCATCATTCTGTAACTTGCCTAAACTTTCTCCAAAACAAAAGATGTTGCAAGGTGAAGAAGAACACGAATCTGGTGGTTATTTCGTTGTTAGAGGAAGTGAAGTTGTCTATCGTCTCTTAACACAACAACGTGCCAATTTCCCATTTGCTATTACACGTCCTTCTTGGATGGGTTATAAGGAAGATTTTACTGATAAAGGTATTTTGGTGAGATGTAGACATCCAAAGACACTTATAACGAGATTGGTAAATATTCACTACAGAAGAGATGGTGTCGTTTTCATGAGAGCTGGTAATCCAGTGCCATTCTATATTAACATTGTTTTGGCATTGAAAGCTTTGAGAGAATGTTCCGATAGAGATTTGTTCTTGCTACTTACTGCTGGTACCAAGAATAAGGTTACTTTGGATCGTGTTGTTGAACTTTTGGGTGATTTTAGAAAGACTTTCCCAACTGTTCAAACTCGTGAAGATGCCATCATTGCTTTGGGTACAATTTATGATCCACACGGATTGAGAAGATTGGAAGAACCAGTTGATAAGAACAAATTAATCAAATCTGGTTATGAAGTTCTTAAAAATATCATTTTACCAATGTTTATTGATGAAGATGCGGATATGGAAACAAAGGAAGATTTGAGAATTACTCCAACTGCTTCAGAATGTCAAAAGAAATTCGATTTTTTGGTTTATTGTGTTCAAAAATTATACAAATTTGTCGATGGTGAAATTGCTGAGGAAAATTTGGACGATTTTGATAACCACGAGCTGTTGACTGTTGGTGAAGTTCTTTCCAACGTTATTCCACTTATTATTTATAACAAGATTCAACTTGCACATGGTACTTGTGCCAAACTATTGATGAAATCGGCAACTACAATGCAACCAGATATGTTGGAACAAAAATATCTTGCTCTCTTTAGAGACAAGTGTAAGAGTATTCTTTCTAAGGCATGTCCAAATGATATTAACAGACTTTTCAGTGTTGGTGATGTTTCAGTTTCTGCTCCTTTCCGTCCAGAATTGTCTCAAACTCGTGCTCTCTTTACCAAACTTGAAAGAATCAACTTTTTGAGAGTTATTTCTCACTTCCGTGCTACTCACAGAGGTATTGCCTTCTTGGATTCTAATTCAACACGTATGAGAAGATTGACACCATCATTCTGGGGGTTCATTTGTCCTGTTCACTCTCCTGATGGTCACTTGTGCGGTCTCGTAAACCACTTGTCACAAACCACTGAAATTGTTACACATCAAGCCAAACCAAAGGAATTGAGATCTGTTGTCGAAATGTGTTTGAAATTGGGTATGCTTCCTTCATCTACTGAAAAGTGTATTTCAGTTTCTATTGAAGATGAAGCTCCGGTCATGCTCGATGGTGCCATTATTGGTAAGGTTTCACATGATAAATTGCAAAATCTTGCTGATCAATTGAGATATTGCAAGGTTTCTGGAAAGTATGGATTACCTAAATTCATGGAAATTGCTTGTCAACCAAAGTACTCTGCTATGGATATTCCATATTTGCCACAATTGAACATCTTTACCGATATTGCCAGAGCTGTCAGACCAGTCAGATATTTACCAACAGGTCAAGATGAATGGATTGGTAGTGCTGAACAAGTTTTTATGAATATTGCTGTTACTGTTGAAGATATTAAGCCAAATACTACTCACATGGAAATTGATCCAACTAACTTTATGAGTTTCCTTGGTAATTTGACACCATTCTGTAACTTTAACCAATCTCCTCGTTGTATTTATCAGTGCCAAATGGCCAAACAATCTATGGCAGCAGTTTTCCACAGTGTTGACCATAGAGTTGATACCAAGTTGTTCGACATGAAATTACCACAAAAACCACTCACCAGAACTAAGCATCAAACTGATTTACCTTTCGACGAATTTAACAATGGTTGTAACGCTGTTGTTGCTGTCATTTCTTATACAGGTTACGATATGGAAGACGCTATGATTATGAACAAGACATCATATGAAAGAGGTATGATGCACGGTACTGTTTTCAAGACTGAAGATATAGATTTAACTGAAGGAACAGCTTTCCTTACAAATAGAGTTTTCGACAAGACTGAAATGGATTCTGATTATCAAGCTAAGGAATTTGAAGATTTGGATTATGATGGTCTCCCAGAAGTTGGTTTACCACTCGATGAAGGATCTATCTTTGCTAATTATTATGATCCTGAAAAGCAAAAATTCATGCCAATGAAATGGAAAGATGTTGACTCTGCTACTGTACACAGCGTTAAAGTTATTGCAACTGACCCATCTGACTACAAGAAGGTTAAACATGCTTCCATAACTTTCAGACTCAATCGTAACCCAATTATTGGTGACAAGTTTTCATCTAGACACGGTCAAAAGGGTGTCTTGTCCATTTTGTGGCCTCAAGAAGATATGCCTTTCACTGATGGTGGTATTGTCCCTGACATTGTTATTAACCCTCACGCTTTCCCTTCACGTATGACTATTGGTATGTTAGTCGAATCAATGTCCTCCAAAGCTGGTGCTTTGCATGGTTACTTCCCAGATGCTACACCATTCAGTTTCAGCGAAGAAAATACTGCTGTTGATCACTTTGGTGAACAATTAAAGAAGGCAGGTTACAATTATCATGGTAATGAAGTTATGTACTCTGGAGCTTTGGGTACAACTTTGAAAGCTGATATTTATATGGGTGTTGTGTACTATCAAAGATTGCGTCACATGGTTTCTGACAAGTATCAATGTCGTGTTGGTGGTCCAACTAATGCCATTACTCATCAACCTGTTAAGGGTAGAAAGAAGGCTGGTGGTGTAAGAATGGGTGAAATGGAACGTGATGCTCTCGTTGCTTATGGTGCTGCTGCTGTTGTTAAGGATCGTTTCTTTGATTGTACAGACTCTTCAACTGCAATTGTTTGTACATGTTGTAACCAAATGAATACCATTGTTAAACCTGATATGGGAACTGGAAGTGGTCCAATTGTTAGTGGATCAGGAATTGGAGCTAATTTGGATGAACTGTTATGTTGTGTTTGTAAAACTAATCAACATTTGCGAACAATTTACATTCCATACACAACCAAATATCTGCACAGTGAATTGGCTGCTATGGGAGTTAATTTGAAGATTTGTGTTGATGAACACACTAGTAGGAATATGTAAATTTTCAATTTTATAAAATAATATGTTATCATTAAGAATGTTGCAAAATCCTTAATGTACTAAGGCAAAATACCAAATCCATTTGCACGTGATTTCCTTTTCAAAGAAACTAAGAACACCAGAAGAATCGTATTATTGTGTTATCATCTCTTCCTTGTTTCGTCTTTACATTTATCTGTTATCCTAATATTGACGATAGCATCACTGCTGAAAACAAAGCCTGAATATCCTTTAAGTCGTTCTTGCATTACCCCACTAATAAAGTAGAAAATTGATGGCTTTCAATTTTTTTTTAAAATTTATTTTTGAAAAAAATACAACAAGCGCGCGGACAAAATTTGCCTTCATTTTTTGGTCAATTCATCATCATTATTCATCAAGAGTGTGCGCTGTGGCCAAATTAGCATCATCATCGTCTATTGTTTTCAGTTCTCTTCGTTTTGGTTTTGGATAGTATTGGAGAGTTGAAGAATTGAGTTGAACATTTAATATATTCGAAAGAGTTTCATTTTGTATTAATTGTTGTTGTTTGATAAGAAAAGTAAATTAATTGTCATCATCAATACGTGATCATCATCAATTTAAAATAATATATAAATAATAACAAGAGAGAATAATGGGAAATTGTTTCGGCGGTGATCAACCGGATAAAGGCAAACAAACACCAGTTGGTGACCCGAATACTGTAAAGAAGAGTAATGGAAAACGATTATTGTTGGTGGGTGCAGGAGATTCAGGAAAAAGTACGTGATTGATATCTAGTTGAGTCTTTAACTATTTTATTATTATTATAGGTACGATATTTAAACAATTGAAAAGATTATTCTCGCAAGGTTTCGCACCAGATGAACTGCAGAATCTGAGACCATATATTTTGGATAATGTCAGTAGAAATATGATAAACCTGTGCTATGCCACACAACAATTAAATATTCCAATAGATCAGGAAAATATAGAGAGAAGAGATTTGTTTGCTGGTATGTATGCAGATACGAGAGCATCGATGGCAAATGCTAAAAAGTGGAATGCAAATACAGCAAACGATTTTAAATTACTGTGGAAAGATAATGGGTAAGTGAAAAACAAATAATAATTATCGAATTAATTTGGAAATTCAATAGAATTAAAACAGCATTCAGACAATACAGAGGTACATATCAAATAGAAGATGGTGCACCTTATTATTTCGATAAAATAGAAGAGTTAGCTAATCCTGAATGGGTACCACTTGAAGAGGATATTTTAAGAACAAGAATCAAGACAGTTGGTCTTGTGGAGCAGCAATTTGTTTGTGATGGAACCAATTTTTCAATTATTGATGTTGGTAAGTTTTGTAATATAATTCAGAATTTTGTAAAATATTGTAATCATAGGTGGTCAAAGAAATGAACGTAAAAAGTGGTTGCGTAACTTTGAGGATGTCGACGCAATTATATATGTCTGTAGTTTATCAGAGTTTGATCAATCGTGTTATGAAGATGGTATCACAAACAGAATGATAGAATCTCTATCATTATTTGACAGTTACATTTCATCAGATTATTTTAAAACATCACTGGTGTACTTGGTAATGAACAAACAAGATTTATTCGAAGACAAAATCAATCTCGGAATTAGATTGCAAAACACATTTTCAGATTACACTGGTAATGACGTAGCATCAGCAAAACAATTTATTGAAGAAAAATACAAAGTGTTAGATACTTTTGAGAGATTACGATCGGTAATGTATTTAACTGCTTTGGACACTGCAAAAATTAAGGAAATGTTAACTTTTATCATAGGAGACATGAATCAAGCTGAAACTGAAATATAATTATTTTCTACAAATCATCAAGATATGACAAGTCATCAAAATCTATTTCTGTTGGAGTATTCTTTTTTCCTTCATCTGTTTTAGTATTGTCCTGTGTCAATTTGATATCAGAGTTCATTTCACTAAAATTAATCGTTGGTTTAAGTGTTTGGATAGGTTCATTAAATGATAAATCCTTTTCCAAGTTTGTTGAACTGGTATCTTTCTCAGGAGTCGGTGTCATGAACTCAAACTCTTCAATAATTTCCACTTCACTTCCTGTTGAAAGTTTTTTCTTTTTTGGAGTGTTATCTTGAGCTTGAATTTCCTCTTTTTCAGGTAGGGAAATTTGATCTATCTTTCGTTTAGAGCTACTACCCTCTTCCATTTCTTTCATAATCTCATCAGCGGCATTAAAATCAACTTCTTCATCGCTGAATTCATACTCATTTTCTTCTTCCGTGGTGTTATTAATATTAGTGGTTGGCTCTTCAGGTGAACCTGATGGTTTGTTCTCTTCAAAGTCATATTCCATTTCATCTTCATCAACCTCAATTTTATGTTTGTGTCGAACAGCAGAGAGCTTTTCCAAGTGCTTGTTCTTTTCTTTTGGTTTTGAAACCAAAAGATCTTCACTCAGAATACTGTCATCAATATCATCGTCGTCCAATAAAAGTTGCTTACTAGGCTTATTGATAGGATGATAACAATGTTTAAACTTGCTTAAAAAGTCAAAATCGTTATTGGCCAAAATAATGTCGCTAAGCCAAATAGAACCTGGAATTTTTTGGGCATGTCCAATAACTTTGCTCCAATATGATCCTCTCAATAGAGTTTTCATTTTACCAACAATAACCAAGTGATTTCTTGCTCTAGAGAGTGCTACATTCAAACGTTGTTTTTGTTCAATGAAAGCCAATCCGTATTCACTTGTTCTTGATGTTGAAACAAAGACAATATTCTTTTCACCACCTTGGAAGGCATCAACAGTACTCACTTTAACTGGCTTTAAATTGTTGGTAATGAATTGAGTTTTAAGGTATGTCTCTTGCGTCTTGTATAAGGCAATGACACCAATATCTTCGTGTGCAATACCATTTTGAAGCAAGAGTTGAATAAAGTGGATTATAGCCTTGGTTTCAAGTTCATTCTTATACGAGTTGTTTTCTAAAGTTTCAGTTCCATTTTCACAATCAATTACAAGTACAGGTGGCATTCCAGGAATGAGAGCCTCTCTGTCTTCTTCAGTTATACCATCCACCAGTTTTTTGTCATAGAATAGTTCATTGGTAATTCTTGAAATTTTTGGATGGCAACGATATTGTGTTCTAAGCAAGTGAGGTTCACAACCAATATTTGACAATCTGATAAATATTGTCTTTTCAAGAGAATCTTCCTTATTTTCGCCACTTCTACTACCTGTAAGAGTTGGTGGAAGCTGCAAAGGATCACCAACAGCAACAAATTTCATGCAACTAAATCTAGCAAGTGGAAGTAAAGCAAGAGGTTCCAAACACTGAGAACTTTCGTCAAGAATGAGAATGGAGAACTTTTGATTTTTTAAAACTTCAAAACCAGTGGCTGCACATGTAACTCCAACAACACGGGCATCCTTGATAGATTGCTTTCTGTTTTCATAGACACCACTTTTGAGATCCTTGATAGCTTGCTTGATACCAGCTTCTTCATCAGCATCAATGTCCTTATCCTTTAACATATCCTGAAGGGATTTGATTTGGTCTTTAACAGATGTGTTCTCAGTGCTAACAGTGTAGGGAAGGACCGATTTGGCGATCTTCTTTTGACTACCAACTCTGACAAGATTTTTGTAATTTTCAGTGATAAGACCTTCCAGAATGTTATCTACGGCAACATTAGTAACTGAGGCAATGAGAATTCTTATTGAAGAGTTGTCTGCCTCATCCAATATTCTACACATAAATAATATGAGAACAATCAATAATGTGGTCTTTCCCGCACCAAAAACACCATGAACTAGTTATTGTTAGAATAATCAATTAAAGGAAATTAAAAACATACCTAAACAAATTGGAGAAGAAACATCACCCTTCTCAAACCACTTGGCACATCTGTAAATAAGATTACCCTGATCCTCATTAAGCTTGTATTCTTCTATAAATGATTTGGCAGTATTGTATATTTCGTCGTGATCCATTTCCAATTCAAAAGAAACAACTTGTTGATCGGATGCATCTTGTTTCTCTTCATTATCACCCTTGGATTCATCTTCGGTTGCAGTTTTTTCAATTGGTGGTTTAAATTTTGTTTTCAATCTCTTTCTGAACAATTCCAGTGATTCTTGTTCTGTTGTACCCAATATTTCAGTTAGGAGTGGTAACTTGAGTGGATCCAATTCTGTCAAGTTTTCAATCATTTCAAATTCAGTAGAAAAGTTTGGACCTCTAATAGCAAATAGTGTCTCTTGCTCTAAATTGACTCCAAGTCCACTAATAATTTCCAATTCAACTTTACCATCCTTGTCAGGTCCATGGAAAACACTTTTGGCAAGTACCAAGTGGCCAGTTTTGTATTGGAAATCCTTAGACTTTGACAATATCCAAATGTCATCCTTGGCATAAACGGCACTCTTTTCCTTGTTTTCTATTTGTAAGAACCATTGAGTAATGGCAGTCTTCTTTCTTGAAGAACCAAAAGTTTGCTTTACAAGATCACAACCAAAATAAAAATGAATTCCATTTCTTCTAAAGAAGGACATTCTATCAAAGTCTCCTGTCTTATTTTCCAAGAAACCATTTCTACTATTTGTAACAAAGGATGGATGAACATTGTTGGCCCAAGAAAAAAAGTTGCAGGTATCATTCATAGTTGACTTTCCGCATCCATAGAATGGTTTGCCCTTGTTTGGTCCATCTTTCTTGACAATCTTCAATTTGGCCTTGAGGCTACATTTGCAATTAGGAGCATTATCATTCTTTGGTGCTCCTGCCATTGATCCAGTCTGAGTAATCTTACGATAGGTTTTGTAAAAATTATTGGCCAGATTGAACATTTGTAAATTCATTTCCTCAAAGATGGCATCCAAAAAAACAGCCTTATAGTGTTCAATAGTTGTGAATTTGTTTGGAACCTCAATAAATCGTTTTGGATGAGTATTGTTCTGTTCATAAAGATCATTCATTTCCATATCTGGAAAGATTATTTCATGTTTGGTCCTCTTGAGTTTTTGTACCAATGATAGAATTGGAATATCGGTTGTATTGGAGTGAGATACTGATGATTCTTTTGGAGATTCTTTCTGACCCATACTCAATTGAGTTTGTTTAAATTTCTTATTAGGTGAAACTCTTGTTGGTGGAGCAAACTTTTGAGCGGGAAGAGAGTTTGGTGGAGTAGCATGTTGACAAGAGGAAGAGGATGATGCAGAAGAAGGAGAAGGAGGAATAAATCTTTGAGGAGGTGTGAAGGTAGTTGAACCACTAGACTTGTTACTGGACACTGATGATGGAGCTTGAGGAGTTGTGAAATTAGAGGAGCCAGTATCATCATCATCGTCGTCATCGTCCATTAAAAGTTGTCGCTTATGTGGTTGACTTGGTTTTGGTGTCGATTTCACTGGGGGTTTCACTGTTTGGGTTGGTGGATTAAATGTGGACTTTTTAACTTTTGGTGGACTATCCAATTTCAAATCCTCATCTGAATCTACATCAAGATTTTCCAAACTGAGATCAAGTTGTGGGGTTGGTAGTTTTTGTTTTTGTACAATTCTCGAAGCTGACTGAAAGTTTGAGCTGGTATTTACATTATTTACACTCGTAAAAGGAGTTGTCTTTTTAGGGATATTGGTTTGTGATTGAATGTTTGGTCTAGAATTTGATTTGGTTTCTGGAATGGAAATCAGACCATCTTGGAAGTCATCGTCATCCATAAGAAGATCAATTTTTGGTTTGTTGGCTTGGTTGTGAGAAGCTGGCTTACTCATTGATTGTCCTCCTACAGCTCTGTTTGATGAAGCACTCACGGGAGGGTGCTGTTGTGCCTTAGGTACTTGAATCTCGTCCTCTTCCTCTAATATGTAATCACTTTCATTGTACGGCACCTCCTTTTCCTCTTCTTCAAATGATGGAGGTCTGTACAGGGCTCTAGTAGGCTTATTTTGATTATTTTCAAATTTACTCTTTAGGAATGAAGCTGTTGAGGAGTGATTGGAAGTTTCCTTTTCAAACTCGAGTTCAGTAAAATCAAATGTTTCGTCATCCTCTTCGTCGTAGATCTGTGGAGTGGATGATGCCCCTCTTGCATAACTAGGTTGTTGTTGTTGAGGTGGATTATATCTATTATTTAAATTAGTATTTTGATTGGCAAGGTTTGAAACTTTTTGTTGGTTGACGACCTGCTTCGGAGTAGCTTGACTAGCACTCTTAAATGATGAAGTATTATTTGCTTGACCGTAACGACTAGTTGGTGTTGTTGTGGCAGAATCATTCTTGAAGAATTTACTTGTTACAGCAGGTTTTGTTGATGGAATATCAACATCTCCAAAATCTATTTCACCATCCTCCAAGGAAAACTCATCATCCAAGTCTTGTTGTTGTTGAACAGCTCGTGCTGGAGGAAGCCTTGAAGTGTTAGTGGAAACAGCTGAAGGTTGTTGTTGTTGGAAAATTGGTGATGGAGTCAATCTGGAAGGCTTTGGATTGCCTTCTTGTTGATTTCCCTGTTGTTGCTGGTCGCTACCATAATTCTTCTTCCATGAATCATAATTCTCCTTTAGAGGAGGCTTGAATTTCTTGACTGATGTAGTAGTAGTAGTTGTTCTGGTTATTGTTGGAGTGGTCCGAGAAGGCTGCTGAGAAGATTGGGAAGGCCTTGATTGTTGTGAGGTTGATGTTATTGATGATATATTACTATTATTATTATTGCTACTCGATGATGAAGCCTCTGATGATGATGAAATTTCGTCTTCAATTTGAATTTTCAGACTCTTTGTTGTAAATTCCTCTCCATTCTCCACATTTGTTATGCCATCACAGTGAGACATGAAAGTTTGCTCCACCTTGTTATTCTTCTCATCGAGAATGATCAATGATTTAGTATCCACATTGTACTTTAAAAATCCGTCCTTGTATGATGGAGCCTTCTTTCTCAATTGATTGGTGTAGAGAATTCGGAAGGTTTTAATATTATTAGTATTAGAAGACATTCACAGAGAGATCGGAACCTTCTGTTAATTCCGATTAATGATGATGATAGCTGAAGCCTTCTCAACTAAAAGATTTGATGACTGGATAAGAGCAGAAAAACACAGCTTGAAATTTTTTGTTTTTTTTGTTTGTGGCAATTTTTATCGACTCTTCACTGGAATTTCGCAATACCAAAAAAACAAAGAAACTGGAGGCTTGATGGTGAATGAATTGACAAGTCTTTTAAAAAAATGCATTGTTGTTTTGATTCAGTTGTCTCGTTGTGTGTATTGAGTTTTCTTCATCACAGAGACTGGCCAATCACAAAGCCTTTCCTAATTTCCTACACTTTCCGCAAGGTATTCAATTCCGATCGTTTCACCAGAGAATTTTTACAAAGACAATTGAAATTGGAGGATTGTGATAAATTGGAGGAGACAATTCACAACATGTACTACAAATTTAATTCATCAAATATTAAATGTTACAAAAGAGATCAAAACAAATACCAAATGATTACCAAGCCAGGTTCTTTGAGGGATGTTTTTCGAATTTATTTTATTTCATCTATTAATGGTGAAGAATCAATGCTCACTAATAAGATTGACACTATTATCAAAGTGTTTAACAAGGAACGAAATGCCAAATTGTTGGATACGGTTGTAGAACTTGTCAAGGATGTCAAAAATAGTGTAGCTACTTTAGATTCTTTTTATGACTTGACAGAGAATGAAGATACTCACAGTACTGTTTATTATTACTTTGGAGTTGATGAGATATCATCTGAAATCTTTCCAAGAATATTCAAGAAATTGAAAGGAGTTTATTTCCTCAATCAAGAAGAAACAGACATTTATGATTGTGCAGCATTTAACACATCAGTCGTAGTATTCACAAATTCTGGCTATCCTCTACTTATTAAAACAGAATACACAACTAACACGGATACTTATAGAGGCCGTATTGTTGAGGAGGAAAATTGTTCAATTTATTCAGATATGATATTCACACACTCGAAACATTTCGATCAACGTGGAGATTTTCGTCCTGAATTTGAATGTAGCAGATCTAAATTATTGAAAAGTATTCAACCTTTGATATTTAAAAAAGATAGTGCAATAACTTTGATGGATGAAGTTGAACATCCTGAAAACCAAGCGAAGGATGGCTTGATTTATGCATTCTTCCAATGTGCATTTGGAGTAAAGAAAAATTATTTTGCTCAAAATGTGAAGGATGATGATTGGGTACCTCTTTGCATAGTTAAAGATGGTAAATTCATTGAAAACCATGCAGATAGTTCAGATGACGAATTTCCTTCCAAAAAAAGAAAATACAAGTAAACAACAAGTTGTTGTGGCAGAATGGCAAACAAACAAATCGAACAAATTTCGTTCAACTCAGAAATCTTCCCAGTTGTTGTTTATTTTAAACCTAGCTTAAACAGAAGAAACAGTTACTTTCTTTCGATGTGTCAAAAACCATAATCTCAGTCCAAATGCTATACATGCCACAAGTCCCATACCTCCAACTATTGGAATACTAATTAAGGCAAATAAGGCATACATGCTATTATCATTGGATTGTGAACAAATATTACTTTTACATCCATCTCCACAATAATTAGCTTGGCACTGATCACAATTTGATCCAGTCCAATAACCATCTGCAGAATTGGCTTTACACTGACATATGTTTTGTGAAATGCAAAGTCCGTGACCTCCACAAACAGCAGAATTGGTTTTTGGAATTTCAAAACATGTCCAAGAATCTGAATTGCCTGGAGTTTTTGTGGAATTTTGTGTTGTTGATTGAGTAGTATTATTTACAAGAGTGTTATTATTACTTGTCGTGGTAGTATTTACATTATTGCCTATAAGTGTATTATTATTTACAATTGTGTTATTTGAAGAGTTAGTATTTGTAATATTATTATTTGTTATATTGTTTACAGTAGAATTATTATTCAATGACACAGTCTCATTTGTATTCATTGTTGTATTATTCGAATTATTGACAGTAGTGTTATTTGTAATAGTATTATTTGTAACGGTAGAATTTGAATTAAGTGTTGAGTTTGAAATAGCGTCATTGCTTAATGTTCCATTATTGTTTGGAATTGAATTATTGGTATTGGAATTATTCATCTCTAGAGTGGTAGTATTTACAATAATTGAGCAATCCAATCCCTTCCATCCAAATTGACAATCACACTTATTTACAGTTGAACAGTTTCCATTTCCGGAACACACTGAACTATCATTGGCAAAAATGTTAAAGCAAGAAGGGATGGAACAATCGAATCCAAACCATCCATTAAAGCATTGACAAGAATCAGTTGCTGTGCAATTACCATTTCCAGAACAAACTGAGCTCTCATTGCTTACAATTCCAAAACAAGTGGACAATTCACAATTATTTCCATAAAAACCAGGATTACAAATGCAAGTATTTGGTGAATTACAAACTCCTCTTGATGAACAAACTTTTGAAGAATTTGAAATAATTCCAAAACATTTAGAGAATTCACAAAATTGACCACCGTATAAATCTCCACAATCACAAACATCAGGTGCAAAACAAACACCCAAGCCATTACAGACATTTGGATTGTTGGCAAAGGTTCCATTGCATGTACGAAGTGTGGATATTACTCTTAGTCGACTATTGTCAGAGTCAATTACAATTATTTCACCATTTCGTCTTAAAATTACTCCAGATGGATTATTGATTTTTGAAGCGGAGGCAGTGGTTCCATCTTCACTGTAACCCAAATCACCAGTTCCTGTAATGGTGGTGATATTACCATTAGAGAGAACTCTTCTAATTCTATTATTGTACGAATCTGCAATCAAGAGTTCATCACCGTCAATGGCAATTCCTTGTGGATATTTGAGTTGTGCATTTGTTGCTTCGATTCCATCACCGTTATAACCTAATGTGCCTGTTCCTGCAACAGTTATAATTGTTCCATTAGTAAACATCTTTCTTATTCTATTGTTATAAGTATCTATTTGAATTAGTTCATCAATTGAAGATTCTTATTTCACTTACCTGCAATGTACATGTTATTACTTGAATCAAATGCGATAGATTGTGGATAATTCAGCTTGGTATTGTTCGGTAAGAGATAATCACCATTAAAACCAACAGAGCCTCCAATAACTGTGGAAATATTTCCACTTGGTAATATTAGTCTAATTCTATGATTATACGTATCTGTAATATAAACAAGATCATTTGAATCAACAGTTACTGAAACTGGGGAATTGAGTTTCGCATTTGTTGCTGGAATTCCATCGCCATTGTAGCCACCTAATCCAACTCCAGCTATAGTAAGAATTGTACCATTTGTCAAAATTTTTCTAATTCTATTATTACCAGAATCTGGTAAAGTTTCAATACAAAAAATAATGGAAGATTACTTACCTGCAATATAAATATTACCAATGGAATCAAATGCAATTCCTGTTGGTTTGTTAACTTGAGCACTTGTTGCCAAAATTCCATCTCCATTATAACCAAAAGATCCAGTACCTGCAATGGTTGTGATGGTCCCATCCAAGTACGAAATCTTTCTAACTCTGTGATTGCTTGTATCTGTGAAAATCATTGAAACCTTAATAAATTTCACACAATCAACTGAAAACTTACCAGCAATGTAAATATTTCCCAATGAATCCAATGCAGCACCTTTAGGTTTACTCAATGCGCTCAATCTAGAATCAACATTTTCACCACAATATGATGGAGAACCTTGTCCAGCTATTGTGGTAATAAATCCATTTGAAATCTTTCTAATTCTGTGATTTCCCTTATCAGCAATATATAAATCACTTGTGTTCTTGGCAAAATTCATCAATTCAGGAGAGGCAAGAGTTGCCAAATTGACCGTAGTATTATCAGTAAAACCATACAAACTCGTTCCTGCAAATGTTGTAATGGTTCCATTGGTAGACACCTTTCTAATTCTATTAGAATCTGAAAAATAAACTTCGCCTAATGATGAAACTGCAACTCCATAAGGTGAATTAATTTTAGCTAAGGTTGCCAGGCCTCCATCTCCATAATAATCACCTGTTCCAGTACCGGCTATGGTTACAATAGTGCCATTCAATAATACTTTACGAATTCTGTTATTATTGGTGTCAGCAATATAAATATTGTCTTTCGTATCAACAGCAACACCAAAGGAAAGAAACAAAGTTGCACTCGTAGCTTTCATGTTATCTCCATTGTAACCTGTGAAAAAGTAATAAATTAAAAAACAGTTCCGTTAAAATACATACCTTGAGAATTGCTTCCTGCCACTGTTATAATTGTTCCATTGTTGAACACTTGGCGAATTCTATTATTGTTCACGTCGGTAAAGAGTAATTCTTCCTTGCTATTTAATGTAAGGCCATAAGGATAATTAATAGCTGCATTTCTGGCCAATCCATTATCTCCAGAAAAGGAATCAACTCCAGTTCCGACAATGGTTATAATAGTACCATTGGTTAATATCTTTCTAATTCTATTGTTGCCATTATCACTGAACAACACCTCTCCCATAGAATTAACAACTACTGATACAGGATTTTTCAATTGAGCTCTAATTGCTTCAATTCCATCTCCGTTATATCCTGAAAATCCAGTCCCTGCAATTGTTGTAATGGTGCCATTTGGAAATACTTGACGAATTCTGTGATTATTGCTATCTGCAATGAAGAGTGAACCATCTGGACCCAATGCTGATGATGCAGGATTTGCCAAAGAAGCCTTAATTGCCAAGCCACCATCACAAACACCTCCACCTGCAATTGTTGTGATTCTTCTCAATGATGTAGTATTCTGTGCTTGAATTGTTGCAAGAGCGCTTGAAAGTAATAGGAAGACGCTGAGCCAGTAGAATGGATTTTGAGTATTGTACATGGTTTTGATGTCAACTGGGTTTTTTTCTTTTTGTTTTCCTGTTGCATATATGATTAATAAATGTTCTAGAGATGCAATGAAGTGTAAGAGCTCAAATTCTAGCTGCATCCAACCAAATTAAGCCCTTAATCATTTGATCTCTATTGGAATGATATATTTGGATTTCCATGGAGATCCTTGGGTTGTTGAGGAAGAGTTCAACACACAACTCGTCGAACAACATAAGAATCCAAAATTCCTTAGATATCCTACACTACACTCGATCTTATTAGAATTAATAAATAAATCTGTTGAGTTTCCACATGAGTTTCTCTAATTGTCAACAAATGTCATTGAATTACACAATCATTGCTAGACACATTCATATGATTTATTCAATTCCAAAACAACTTTGAAATTAGACACTGCAAATAAAATTAGTGTCAACCCAACCAATAGAGCTTCCAACCAAAACCTTTGTAACATAAATTCCTTGTTCAGTATAAATTGGATCAGACAATACATAACCGAATTGACCTTGAACAAATGTGAAAGCAGGCTTTCCATAAAGCAATGGAGTTGAATACACATTCAATGAGCTTCCCTTACAAACAACTACTTTATCACCACCTCTAAACTCTGACTTGATTGCACACAAATTACTCAACAAGACATCTCCCTGAATGCCATAAACTGAAATTGGAAACATGAGTTTTTCTCTGCCACAGAAGAAACTTTGACCAATAATTTCGACACGAGTGTTGGCTGGAAGGAGGAGTGTGTAATTGTTGAGATTGCATTTATCATTGTTAATGATTGGTGCAAGTTCTTCTTTTGCTAAATTGCAAATTTCAACATAGATTGGCTTTCCAATAACTAGAAAACTCAATGCTAAGACGAAACAAGTGAATAGAATTGACTTGAACATTTTTTTTTCAATAGGAGTTTGAATCTAGTTGGATATTCGAATGTTTTATAGTTTTGGATTGAATGTTAAAGCAAATTCTTAATAATCTTCAAGTAACATTTATTTGAAAATCTTTGAATTGCTTTCATCCAATTTAGTTTGAATGTTACCGTGATTTTCACCGAAATGTCACTCTGAGTAGTTCAATTTTGATTCTACTAAAAGAAGAACATATGAAACACTTGAAATATGATTATATTCGAATCGTTTCACATGATTCTGCCCTCCAATAACATTACGGTAAACTAATAACCTCAATGTTAATTTGAAACCAATCAGAAATTTATTTTTTACAACAAATATTATAAAGGTCAATAAGGAAACTTTATAAATTTTTGAGAATCAATACTACTAGTTTCGAATAGGTTCCGTTTGGAAATTTCTTGCACCTTTAGCAAGAGATAGCATTCGTCCTCAGCACAAACAAACATCACAACCCATCAAAAAAGTGTTTTCCCTCCATAAAAATAGAATTTACAGCTCTACCAAAAAAATTTGCAATCAAACTTTTCCTTGCCAACAACTTTCAATAGAAGAAGATAACCAAAATTGTTGTGTTGTGAGGCAAACCCTATATTCATCTATTCATCATCAAGAAGAAGAGAAGATTTATTCTGTAGTGTACCGTTCATTTGAATTATTGTCTCTTGATTGTGATCATCATCAAGTCAACCCGGTTGTTCAAATCATCATTGTATAAAAAAACATCAAAACATCATTAGCATCATCATCAATATTATTAACGTTAAACTTTTAAAAGAAACAAAATCATATAACAACAACAATAATAACAAATTTATAAATTTCTAAAGAGAAATCACAAGAAATAATAATAATAACAATATGGGATTAGGAAGTTCAACGCATGCAGGAGAGGAATTTAGTGCTCCCAAGAGACAATCATCTGCTTCATCATCAACTCAGAAAAAGCCTGAAGATGTTGTTTTGGAGAAGGTTTTAGCCAATTCGATTATTAAACAAAAACTTGGTAACAATATTCAACAAATGAAGATGTTTGCTCAGCAGTTGGCCTATCCAGAAGAATTGAAGGAATCGTATTTACACACTGATTGGGTACAAACAACAAAGTTGATATCAGACATTTCGACCAAAGTTAACGAAGATGTTTCTAATTTAAATGATGGCAGCAGTAGCCAAGATTTGATTAGGAGAGGATCTCAATTACTTCAATCGACACAATCGGCCAATGATATGAAGATTATTGGCTCTTTTAATTCTACAATGAACTCACAAGAAGGAGATAATTTTAATAGCGAGCTTGCTAAACAGCCTCCTCTCCAATTGAAGGACAAGATTAGAATTAAATTATTAGTAACCGAAACTGCAAGAAATAATACTGATAGAACTATTAGACAATTGTTGTCGCCTGTACTGAATCAATTTAATGTTCTACCAGAGATGGGTATGTTCCATACTGCTCTTATTGTAGGTCCATGGAAATTGGAGGTATGTTCTAATTAACTGACATTTAACTAACATTTAATTTTCTAATTATGTTCTTCATGGTGGACAATGAATATTAATCATCATCATCATTTAATAATAATAATAATATGAACTATAGTTTAATGATTCGGGTATTGTAGTACCTAGAAAAATCATGTCACAAGCAGCTGTAGTTACTGCTGATATTGATTATATTTCGACTGTTGACAGATTGGAACAAGTTATCGACAGTCTTGCTAAAGTAATTTGTAAATGGAACGTGACAATGTATTATAAACAAACAGGTGGAGACAAGTCAAAATATGGAAATTGTCAAGATTTTGTGGATGACTGCATGGAAGCATTAGGAGTAAAATTAAACTTTGATGGAGCCTTGAAGAATTTCCTGACGCGTTTGAGAAAAACAGGAAATAGCAAACTTCAATTCGAAATGACCAGAGAATTTATTGAGACTTTTAATCTAGTTGAAATTTATCCATCACTTCAGCGAGCTTTACAACAACACCAAGACAACTCGAGTAGTGGATCGAATAATTCTTCAGAGCAGGATGAAGATCCAGCTGGTGCTCTTATTTTTAATACCCATAAGGAACTCGACAAGTTTGTTTGGATTTTGATGAATAAGGACTTTGAATTTCAAAATCATTACCCATGTGAATATCAACTTTTGAAATCATTTGATAGAGCTTTCTGGGTTAAGGCTATCACTTATCCAGACATGCAACAATTCCATCCACTCTATGAAGATGAGGAAAAGAATCAACCACCACCAAAGAATGAAGAAAGGAAACACAAGTGTCCTTTCGGAGATCCTTGTGCAGCATCATTCATTTATCTTCAATAAATGTCACATTTTATTTCCAAATCACAAAAGAATCTCCTATCGATTCGAATATCTGAAATCGCCTCCTCCTTAATGTGGAAATAATTGGTAAAGTGTGCAACAGGTAACATTTCTGCTTTCATCAATTCAAAAGCATGATTATCAACCTTGGATGAGGTAAGGAAAGTTTTCACAACAAAGCAATCCTGATTCTTACGAAATGGTCTGAAAGAATACATGCTTCTCTTATTGATTGTGAATTTTGGCATATTGAGTTTTTCCAATTCATTCCTAGTAAAGCCATTAATTTCTCCTCCATAATTAGTTAGGAAATGTCTTGGTTGTTGTTTCCTCTTCTTTGAAACGGCTGTGAATCCATCTTCTAGCATTTCTTCGCTTCTAGTCTTGTAAACTGTTGGCCTAGTTTCAGTAAGTGTCTTTTTGGATAGATCCATAATTAACCATTTGGAATTTTCAAACAATTCCAAGAGAGTAATCTCTTCTGTATTGGTTCCATTATTTGCCCTTTCTAAAAGAATCAAATATTTTGATTCTGTTAATTTACAAACTTCTCCAATTTTTAAACCTTCCAAGTGTTTTGTTAAGCTTTCCGAAAGAATTTCATCCTTTTCCAAAGTAAAAGCTGATCCATTACTTCCAATAGAAAAAACATCAGAATTAGCAATCATGAACATGCCTTTGTGAGATGGTAATTCACAAGAAAGGAGCAGTTTCTTTGAGTTTTGAAGTAAACTAGGAAGAGGAAATAATCTCTTCTCAATTGTATCCAAATCGTACAATACCAACTGATTTTCATTGATTGTGAGAGTATTTGTAGACTTTCTATCTGGGAATATTCGATTCAAAGGAGTGAATTTACCAGAAATTAATTCAGATTCTCTTTCAAATGGTGAACTCTTTACATACTTTTCAACCAAAACTCGCGTGTTTGCAATTTCCAATCTATCCATAATTAATCTAAACTGTACATACATTCCTTCACTCAAGAATGTGAATTTCCCACTATTCACAATATGATTATCCTCATTCTCAATTTTCACGTCATTTTCAAAAGTAAACATGTAATGATTCCTCCTGGAAAAATCACCTTCCAATTCCAAATACTTTTTCATCTTGCCATCGATTTCCAAATCCAAGAATATGAAATCCTCCAAATCACTCACAATCCTAAACTTTCTCATATTTATGAGTGCAATCTTGTATTGAGATATTCCCTGAGTGAAATACTCTCCCTCCACACGTTCAGAATCATGATGAAACAAACCACTCGTGTCCTTCCTAATCATCACCAACATGAAAGCATTCGTCATTGCACTCTTAAACCCCTCAAATTCTCTCAATTCCACGCCATTCTCCTCTACAAAACTAAAGTGCGCAGCCATCATTTTACTCTTAAACAATTGTCTTCTCTTTTCCTTCCGAGCATCCTTAGCATTCATCGTTGTATTTACATTCTTATTATTTACATTATTTGATGATGATGAATTATTCCTTTTCAAAGCCTTTGATTTTGTATTATTATTATTATTATTATTAATTTTAATATTATTATTATTCAAAGCCTTTGATGATGCGGAATTAATTGGCTTAAATGTTTCATGGCAAATCAAGCCTAAAGGAATGACCTCAGTGGAGGCGATGAAACTCTGTTGTGTTTCCTCTGGTTGATAATAGTAGTAATCATCGGTTTGGTAGAGATCGTTTTCATAGCCTAATAGACTGTTATATTTGATCGGAATGATACGATCGGCCACCATGATGATCTTGTTTTGCTAATTTTTTTTTGTTAATTTTATATATAGAATTATTTTAAATACAGTTTACAATAATATTTTGTAAACTTTGAACTCTAATTACCCTAAAAACATGTCCAAAAAAAAATGTCGCAACTCAAACTGCTATTCTCTTTGATGCTGCTCATTTCCATCATCCTGGTCATGACGATGAATTTTCAAATTAATGGAAAAATCAATCATCACACATTGATGAATATTAATTCCTCCGATGTAGACAAGAAGAAGATGATGAATTATAATAATCAAAAGCGAGTCAGGGTAAAATCAAACTCTCAATGTGAATGTTCTTCCTATCCAAATTTAGAAATTCATGATGACGAAAAATTGTCTCAAATTTTGTTGGAGGCCAAAATGGAATTTATGAAGGGTGTTGTGATGGAAAAATTCAATAGTTTGGATGTTACGTTGATGCTACCTGTCAATGGGACTAAGGTTTGGAGGAGAGGAAGTGTCAATCCTAGAAAATTGACCTATCCAGCAAGTTGTGTGAAATTGGCTTATTTATTTAGTTCATTCCATTGGTGTAAGAATGTGAAGAGGGAGAGAATTGTGGATTGTATTGATATTCATACTCATCCAATGATTACTTGGAGTGATAATTTGGAGACTGGATATGTTGTGGATGCCATCTCTGAACAATTGAATTTGTACGATTTGAATTCTGTCAATGATGCAAGATTTCATTCATGGTTAGAGAAGAGAAATTTCACAATGAAATATTTGGAGAGTAGAAATTTGATTGGAAATCAAATTTTCATTGCCAAGACCTATCCAACCAATAGTGGACAAATGCCAATTGGAGCAGAGGCAGTTCAGAGATCTTTCACTGGACCTAATGCAATGGCTCCATGTTGTGCTGCTTCATTGGTATTGCAGACAATGTATGGACTCGAGAAGGAGGAAACTGATTATGCAAAGAAGTTGTTATTCCATAGAAGATTTGATGATTGGAGTGCTATTGCTCCAGCTCTTCCACCTGGAAGTAAGTTTATTTTAATATTATTCGAAATTGACTACTTATTTGAAATGCTCATCAAATGAATGAATTTGTAATGCAGCTCTCTTACATAACAAGATTGGAAATGCCTATGATAATATTAATGACCTAGTTCATCTTGTTCTTCCAAATGGAAAGGAAGCAATTGTGGCCATCTTATCCAATGGTTATCAGAGATCAACTGATTCTACTATTCTAGCTCGTTTCACAGAAATTCTTCTTCAAAAATTGGAATTATTGAAAGGTTTGCCACCAATTATTACCTTGACCACTGATTCTGGAAATGCTCGTTACAATACACAAGAGGGATGGATCTATTTCAATAATCAAACTATTCAAACCATTGGAAAGGACAGAATTGGAAACTCGATTGTTGTTTTACCTCCAAATCAAAAAGTGGCCACAACTCTCTCATGGGATGTTGAGCTACCTGAAGATGGACTCTACGAAATTACTGTCTATACAGCCACTGTTGAAACATCAGATGGATCTAGTCAATTTGATGTTCCTTGTATTGTTAATTACTATCCGAATGCTAGTTCTGGTTCTACTTATCAAACTCGTTTCTCAACTTGGACAAAGATTGGCGACTATTTACTCAACAAGGGTTTGAATAAGAATGTTGTGCAAATTCAAGTTCCTCTCAATTATCCGTATCCAGTCTCAGTCAATGCCATCAAGTTTAGCAAGTATCCAAATTATTAAATTTCATTACGAGGTGCATTAATTTCGGTTCGAAATATATATATAATATATATCATTTTCATTTCGCAATAAACCTCACTCGCATTAATTTCAAATTACAAAAGTAAAAAATTTGTTGTTAATAGTAAGGTGAACATCGAAATTTGGGTTGTTGAGAATATTAAGTTTTATGTAAAATAATATTTATTTAATGGTAAAAAGCGATGTTTAAGCCTCTTCTTCCTTGAGGTTTGCGTAATTAATATTGTTGTAATTTTCCTTCTTTTCATCACCACTGCCCGAAGAGCCTTCTTCTTTCTTCTGTAAATAACAAAGGCTACCACTCCTACAACAAGAATAACAATTACCACTATTAATAAGATTAATCCCAATCCAATGAGGTAGTAATAGTTGTGATTTTCTCCAATAATAACACTGTTAGAGTCTTTTGGAAGGCCTTGCTGACTTGATTCATGAGTTGGAGGAGGATTTGGTGCAATCATTTGGGATATGATGGCAACGGAAGATGTCCATGATTTTGAGGAGCAGGATACTGAGAAGATGGTTGCTTCTCCTTGTTCTATTTGATTAAGGATGGTTGTAGTTACATTATCAGTGTTCCAGCTGTTAGAATCATAGAATGCACATGAAAGACTTGTTGCTGCCTCTTTCTGAACTGAAATGTTGTGCATGTATAAGTGGATAGGCTCTTTGAGATTTGTTATTTCAATTCTTTCTGTTGTTCCATTTTGCAATAGAATGAAATTAACTATTGGACTAACTACTTTGGAATTCTCTTGTGATTTTGATGATTCAGGAATTACAGAGGAAGCCATTGTTAGAATCGTTTGTCCTAAAGTATTATTCAAAAATACATATTCTGAAATAGTGGAAGGTAGGACCATGATGATATTTTCATACTTTTCGAAGGTGATTGTGAGATGATTGTTAATATTTTGCACTTCCACAATGTTTGTTTCTGTTTCATTTGATTTCGATTCAATATTTGAACAATAGAAAGAATCTTTCTCAGATTCTGGACACAACACATTTTGATCACATTCAGCTCCAAAATATCCATACTTGCATTGACACTTGTCTAATGAAGAGCAGAATCCATTACCAGAACAAACACGTTCATCAGAGAATGCAATACCAAAACAGTTGAATAACTCACAAGAATCACCAAAGTAGCCACCAGAACATTCACACTTATTTGGAGATACGCAATTCCCTCTGGACGAGCAAACTGTCTTGTTGGACATTAGAATATCAAAACATTTGAAAAGTTCACATTCATCTCCTTCATAACCCTCTAAACATTCACATTCATTATATCCAATACAATTACCTTTTCCAGAACAAACATTATTAGCAGAAGGTATCTTTCCATAGCAAATTGTATTATCGAGGGTCAATTGAAGCATTGGATTTGGCTCTCCAGCTTTACCAGAAATAGCAATAGAAAGTTCCACATAGCTCGATGAAAATTCTGTTATTGGAATAATTAGTGATCTGTCATGGTCTCCATTCGAAGAGTAGCTGCTGTAGTCTGGGGAGTAAATTTGTTTAGCAACACCGACATTCACATAACCTGAAACAGCCTTAATATTCAAAACGAGATAGTCAGAATATGGCCGTCCGTAATAATTGAGGATGTTGGGCATTCCATCAGTAGATGCCTTCATCAATATAGTATCTCGTAAACGGATGAAGGCGTCATCTAAGAAGGCAGATAATTTGAATGTGGAAGCAACTAGCCCGTAAACTCCAATGTAATAGCATCCAACTTGTTGATTGCTTAACATGAGAACTTGACCGTATTGAGTTTCAGGATCCACTTTCCAATTATAATGAGTTTCATTCGCAGGTTGGCAGTCATTAGAAACATACATGATTGTGGAGCCGGTAATATTGATCAACGCAAAGGAAAGATGTGAAGCAATGTTTTTTTTGAGATCGAATCTGAATTGATGAATCTCATTGTTAGCGACACTATCTTCCCCAGAAATTCTATTCAAAGGTAATACTCTGTAAATAATTTTCACTTTCAACTTATACGAAACAGGAGTTGAAGAACTCGTCTTGACAGCAATGTAAAGGTAACTTCCTGAAAAGAGGATTTCCTGGTTGTAAATACCATTAATTTCTTGTGGTGCACCATCTTGCCCTATTGGTTTAGGATTTTCGGTACTGTAATAAAGGTTAATGACACCAACACTTTCAATTGAAATGAGCAATTTCATTGAACCATCCAATGGATATTGGTAAAATTGATAGAAATCCGTATTTACAATTTTAGAGGAAACAATCTGGTCATTTGATAAGAGAATTGACTTGTTTGATTGTAAAGCCATTATTGAGTAGTATGAAAGTGCTGAAAGTTCTGAATAAGTTCCTTCCACTGTAACACGAAACTCATTTGAAGTTATGAGTTTAGAGATTCCTGGAATTAGCAATGCATTTGGTGACCGTGTACTCCAATTATAATCTCTTGGAGAAGGAAAGGTATTCTTGGTATTGACATACAACTCAACGCTTCCAACTGATGTTGAAATGAAGAACATTATATCAGTATTGTTAAGTTCCTCTTGCTTGGCTTTGAAAGTGAAGTATCCATATTTTCCATAAGGTACAACAAACAATCCAACTCTTCTTCCATTGATCAATTCTGTTGGAGGATTTTCTGTTGAATATGTCAACGTATAAGAAGAGTCAACTTCACCAAAAACAGAAAATTTGAGATCACTTCTCTCGTTAATAATCAGTTGTCCAGGTTGACCTACTGTTCCATTAGCTGCCCTAGTGTGAACATATTGATTTGGTCTTTCACTTTCAAAGGAAAGGAACAATTTCACACTTCCAAAAAATACAGTCAATGTAAGGCTACTTTTTAGCATATCTTTCTTGTTATGTTGGTAGTAATTCAATTGATTTGCAGCAACTGTTCCATTCACAGCAACATCCTCTTGTAAAAGCACGTATTCTGGCATTGATTTTACGGTCAAAGTTACCAATCCAATCTTGATTCCAATGTAATAAGTGCCAACCTTTGAATCACTCATAGGAATTTGCTTTACTTTTTCTCTATTTGCCAACATGTAATAATCATAACTGTTCTCAGTTGGTTTGGTTCCATACTTGATATAAAAGTCTACCATCTTGGTTGTTCTCACAATAACTTCAAACCTTAAATTTTGTAATATCAAGTTATTGTAAACAAAATAGTGCAAATCTGAAGTTGGTGAATCCTCCCTGAATGCAATACTAAGACTCTCAGATATCATTGTTGAAGTATTTGCTTGACATGAAACTATTGTAAACTTGTTGTCAACAAAATATCCATACACTCCAATCCAGTACTCTCTTGGAGAATTTTCCTCCACTGGAATGGTAACAGAATCAGGTCCATAACTACGTGATGCATAATCATAATCTGTACTGGTTGGAAATTGAGATATTCCTGAAACATATAGATCAGAATCTCCCTCTTGAGTACCAATAGAAATATAGAGCTTTGTTGGTAGTTGACCAGTGACTTTAACTTTAAAATAGGAATAACCATTTCTCTCTACCTGACTGTATTGTGGTTGACCATCAACTAGAGTAACATGTGCTGTTTAGGTTCGTTTCCAATAGTAAAAATTTCCCATGTTTTACAACTTACCTGGACTAGTACTTCCCCACAAGTTGAAAGTAAACCTAGCAGGAGTATTACCATACACACCAATTGTGAAAATATTTCCATTACTTGGCCATGTTCCATTCGCAGTGACAAGTAAACTTGGATACGAAAGCAAACACTTTTCACACTGTAAAGTTGGTTGACCATACGTGCTAACATACATGTAGACTTCACCACTCAACGGAGTCAATGCAAATGTAGCAACAGCACTAGAAAAAAGACTTGGATCTACATAGTAATAATGCCATCCTCCTTCTTCTACCATACCATTTATAGGAATACCAATTTGTTGAATGATTTCTGCTTGATTTTGAGTGGACAGTAAAATATTTAATAATAAAATGATGGTTATCAACAAGAGGGAAACAGGAAACAGCTGTGTACGGACCACCACTGGTGGTGTGGAAACCATGTTGGGTTGATTTTTTTTTTGAAGGAGATTCGAATAAAGTTGTGAGATTTACCTTTCTCCTTTCAAGTCAAACAGCCAATAAAAAATTGTGCGTACTTTTGTTTGCTTTTTACAACTTTCCATTTGGTATACACTCAATTGTGTCATTAAATATTTTCACAAAGAAAAACTTATAATGTTGATGAAGGTCAATTAAAATCAATTGCAAAAATTTGACAGCTCTTATTTTATGGATAAACAATTCAATGATTTTTTGAATGATGATTCAATCTTGTATGAGAAATTAAAGAAATTACGAAAGCTTTCCAATAAGAGTTCAACCTTGGAATAAAGATTACAATAAATATTATTATTTTGTATTATTCTATATATATTCCTCTAGGTACCAACCAAATTGAAATATGATTCTACTCTATTATTAAAATTAAAAATAAATTCATCGAAAAAAAAATATTCGAAACAAAACTAAAATGGCTTCTAACGGCAAAAAAATTGATATGCACGTTCATATCCTCCCATCAACCGTTCCTGATTGGAAAGAAGAATTTGGCTATGGCGGATTTATTTCTATCGAACAAGAAACAACCTCCGACAATAAAGTAAAAGCAAACATGATGAAGGATGGTCAATTCTTTAGAGCTGTTGAAGAAAATTGTTGGAATCCAGAGGCTCGTTTGGAAGATATGAAGAAGACAGGTGTAACTGCACAAGTTTTGTCAACTGTTCCTGTCATGTTTAATTATTGGGCTAAACCGAATGATGCATTGAAAACTTCAATGTTTTTGAATGATGACATTGCTAATACTTGTAACAAATATGAGGATTATTTCTTGGGACTTGGAACTGTGCCAATGCAAGCACCTGATTTGGCATGTAAGGAAATTCGTAGATGTATGGAAGAATTGCACTTGTCAGGAGTAAGTTTTTAAAAGTTTTAAAATTTGAGAAAAATGAAAAATTGGAAAATAGATTCAAATTGGATCTCATATTAATAATTACTGTTTGGATGATCCTTCATTATTCCCAATTTTTGAAACTGCTGCTGAATTGGATTGTCCAATAATGATTCATCCTTGGCAAATGATTGGTTCTGATTTGATGAAAAAATATTGGTTGCCTTGGTTGGTAAGTTTTTCAACATTATTTGAATGGAATTTAATATTGAATCGAATAATAATAGGTTGGTATGCCTGCTGAGACTACTTTGGCAATTTGCAGTTTAATTTTCGGTGGAGTATTGGAAAAATTACCAAATCTCAAAGTTTGCTTTTCACATGGTATGTTTCATTGTTGAAAATTGAATTTCTAATAATATTTAAATTAGGTGGTGGTAGTTTCCCATATACTATTGGTAGAATTGAACATGGATACAATGTTAGACCAGATTTGTGTCAAGTAGATTGTAAAGTCAACCCAAGAGATTTCTGTGGAAAAATTTGGGCTGATACCATAACACATGATGATGACGTAAGTTATTGAAATTCACAATTTTCAAATTGACATTGACATTTAATAGGCCCTCAAATTACTAGTCAAAGTTTTTGGAGATGATAGAGTAATGCTTGGATCTGATTATCCATTCCCATTGGGTGAACATCATCCTGGAAAATTAGTTGAAGATTCTACAAGTTTCTCCCAAGAACAAAAGGATAAGCTTCTCTATTATAATACTAAAGAATTTTTGAATATTCCAAAGGATAAATTTTAAATAAATGGAATTGAGATTTAGAATTGAGATTAAAGTGGAAAATATTCGAAAGTTACAAAATTATTAGATAAGAAATGGTAATTTATTTATTTCATATTTTTGAGATTACCATGATTGAATTGGCTTCGAATGTGAAAATTTAAATATCAGCAAGACCAGACCAAACGTTGCTTTCAATACCACATTCGTCCTTTCCTCTCAAAATCCAGAAGTGTCCATCCTTTGAAAAATGTTAAACTAAACTATATTCGAAAGTCGTAAACTTACAATTCCCCAAGAAGTTCCCCAAGAATTGGCAACAATCCAATATGGAGTTTCCTTTCCATCAGAAGTAACACCCCAACCTTGATTTGTAATTTCAATTATTTAACACTTTACAAAAAATTTCAATTCTAAACTTACCAATAACCTTAATAGCGTGACCACCCATAACACCACCAGTAACATGTCTATAAACACCCTTCTTATAAGAGAAGAAATCCCTATTTTCCATTAAAATTTCGTATAAATTATTATAAATTCAAAAATTGTAAACTTACTTGTAAACAGTGAAAGCAGCTTGAACTGGACCATTAGCTTGAATATCCTTTTGAATATCAGAAACTGATCTCAAGTGAGCAATACTATCCTTCTTAACCTTGACCAATTCAATTTGAGATCCATCTTTACAATTTCTAGCACAAGTGTTAACTTTTCCATTTTCACCAGAATAGTATGGGTCACATTCTTCGGTTGGGATACCAGTTGTGGCTAAGAACTTCCAGGCCAAGTTGAGGTAACCACCTTCGCAGCCATAGTTGGATTTATCGCAAGAAACCATGTATTGTGGGGAGAGAACGTGGTCAACTGAGCCATTGGTGGCAATACAGAGTCTGTCAGAGACAACTTCTGAGGCAGCTGATTGAATTATTAGAGAATTGAATCGATTTTTGATACTTACAAACTATGTAGAATGTGAATATTGATTCAAATATGAAAAATCAAACTTACAAGCCCAACAGGAACCACAATTCTATAAAAGGAAATTCTATTAGTTTCTAATAGATTGAAAATACTTACTCCTTGATCACGAACTTCATGAACACAATGACCCCACTTTTCTCTTGAATCAAAAGTAGTGGCAACTCTAACATTTTGTTGAATAGTCTTTCTTGGAAGATTATTGACAGGATCAACAATGACAGCTCCCAATAATTTTCTAGCTTCACCCAAAGTCATTCCTTCAAATCTTGGATACTTGGTAGCAGTCCAACCAACATCACTATTAGCATTAATTCTGGCGATCATTCTATGATCATGAACTGGTCTACTGTCCAAGAAGGATTGGCACATGACAGCAGAAATTGCAACGAGCAATAAGACACAACAGGTAACAACTCTCATTGTTTTCTTTTGATTTTTTTTGATAATAAGATGACAATAGAATAGTTTGATTGGGTATTTATTGGATTTTCTTATTCGGATTTCGGAGATGCAATGTGGAGAAGGAACGGAACGGAGACGGAAAGATTTTTATGGATTTTTTAAAAAGATTTCAATGTTAAAGAAATTATTTTATTGTTGTAAATATCTGCAGCCAACAAGATATAGTAAATAAATCAAAATCAGCTTCAATGTCAAGGCAATGACAGCTGCATTGGTTTCTGTTGAACTAGTTCTGAATCTCTTTGATGCAAAATAATCTGGATAGATCTGTTCTGTTTTAGTGAGCTTCAACAAGTCATCAATTGACCATTCTCCATTTCTATTTGGGGAATGATTCAACAAACGCAAGATGATTTCCTTTCTGCCTTCATAATCTGCAAGTTGATAAATTTCAAATAATTGTCCAGCTAATATTCTAGAAAGCAAAATGTTAAATGTTTTGTGAGGTCTTTCAATATCCTTCTTGGATAATAAACTTGCATAATTTACATTTTTAGAAATTTCCAAAGTTTCCAAATTTGGTAGTTGTTTTAAATAATTTACAAATTCGTCATTGAAAAATTGAACTGGATCTACTTCTGTCTTGTAATGAACGAGGAATAGTTTGAGGAGGAGAATATTCTTGATAAATTCTTCTCTAGTTTCCAATGGTCGAGTGAATTTCTTATTAAAGAACTTGGCCACACGAACAGTATTGAATCCAATGTCGAAAATTGACATTTTAGAATCAGTAGCAATGGTTTCGAACAGGAAAGGAATGACATGTTTGAAATTGGAAGATAACGTGTCCAGTTCTGTAAAATTATTGAGATTCAGCAAGATTAATTCATGTAAACTGAAAGCTAGAGATCTAATTAGAGCTCTATACTCCAAAGAGTTCAATTTCGTGTCATTTCCATACAGTACAATCACCATGGCAGGTGTTCTTCCTTCCTTAATAGTAAACGTCTTACAGGGAAAATCTTCTGTTGAATTTTCCTTCTTTCTTCCTTTAACAATGTAAATAGTTCCGAAACTCTTCGATTTCTTATCACCTTCATGGCATTGAATTCTAACAAATGAATTTTCATTATCCTTAAAGAGTGAAAAATAGAAATTTCCCTTATTCATGGATATGAAATCTTTAACTGCCTTATCAGTTGAAAATTTTCCATATTTTTCAATATTCAAATGAGGGAAAACCAACAGGGTTCTAATAAAACTCAATCTGTTTTGTAATTTCCAAATTGGAATACTTGATTTGAATGGAGAAAATCTTAAAACACTTTCAATGGAACGTTGAGCATGTGGCTTGACAAGTTCCATTCCAGTTTCGAATATTTTCAAGAATTCGCTTGGCTCTTTCAACATTAGCTCTTCTCTATGAATCTTGCCTTTGATAAATTCATCTCTCAATAAATTCTCCATGTCTTGATTGAGAGAATGTGAATTTTCATAAGATTCCAATGATTTTCCATCATTTTTCCAACTTGGTTTGACATTTGGCAACTGAAATGATGGAACACTTTCATCTCCTCCAAAATATTGCTCTAACAACTCGTCCATGTATGGAACTTTCTGATTATAAACTTCATTCGAATATTTTTCAACCATTTCCAAATTTTTCTTCAATTCCAATTCAAGAATTTTCAATTTTTCCTTTTGATTTTCAATAAATTTTAATTCTTCTTCTGTTAAAATCTCATTCATCACATAAATCCATCTCTTGATTGGTAAATAATGTGAAATTATCAAATCTTCCATTGTTGGTCGCATTTCTGCTTGTTTGTTTCGAATAGCAAGTCGTGGAATGGTTTTTAATGCATTTTCCAATGAATTTAATTTAGTTTGAATTAAATTATGGAAGGAATCTTGCCAGAAGGGAGAATTTACATTCTTCTTGTGATGATCACTTCTTGTAATTAATTTATAAATTGTTGGAAAGGAATCGTCCAGTTTCGGAGTGGTCTTAACTTGTCTATAGAAACGATTGACAACTTTTCTGGCATAATTTCTGTAAGAATGTGTTTCGTATGAGATTAAACTTGTGCCAATTCGATGAAATTTTCCCACAGAACCCGAAACTAAAGGTTTCATCATTTTTTTATTTACATTTAAATATTAAATTTTGATTGAATTGTTATTTACAAATTTTCTTTTTGATAAATTTCAACTTGCTTGATCATATTGAAAAGCAAATCTTCAACTTGCATGGCAGATTTTTCAATTCCATTTACAAATTGACTATATAAGGTAAAATTAGTTTCCTTTCCACACATGCCAAGTTTCTGAACGAGTGGCATTCTGTCGAATTCTTCTATTTGTTTCCTTCTTTCTGAATATTTCTCAATTCTTTCATTTTCTGAATAGATAAAAAAGTATAAATACCATTCTAGGTAAAGATCCAATTTTCTACTTGACAATTCGTCAACAGATTGGTGACCAGTATGGGAAATGAACATTCTCTCGAGGGGAATCCAATAATTTTCATAAATTTGCAATTTGCTTAGTTTCGTCCAGTTTGGAAAGTAAGTGATTCTTGATTAGGTCTGAATAGGATAAGTCAATTCCAGGAGTTTTGATGTAAAAGAGAATTTGATTGGATTTTCCAACATCGTACCGTTCTCCAAAACATTCTTGTGCATTAATTTCAGATTCTTCATATTCAATAATCACAAATTTACCATTTATGGTAAGAATTGGAATAAGGCTTGATTTTACAATGGCCAAACTATTAACTTGTTGTTTTACAAGTTGTGATTTGAAGATTTTGTAAAATATTTGTCTGGTATTGTGCATATTAGAGTTTTGAAGAAGATTAGTTTGATCACCTTTGAATCCAATAAGAATTTCGATATTCGAAACTCTGTCGTCATGACTTGGGATTAATCGAGAAACATTCTTTGCAATTTCACTTGCCTTTGCATATTTATCTTCACTTGACAAGTATTCCTCTTGCAATTTCTTCAAATCAACTGACTTGACAAAGATATACGAATGAATTTCGTCTAAAATCTTTTCACTATCTACCAATTCCAAAGCAGCATCTCTCAAAGCACAAATCCCAATCAACAAGGTAGTCAATCTCTGTTGACCATCAATACAAACTCTACTTGCCAACTTCTTTTGAAAAAACAACTTTCCAATATGATGACCGAATGAAGTTCCATTGAAAACCAAATCATTGTACAATTGCTTGACAATCTTACTATTCCAGCAATATTTTCTTTGATAGATTGGAATCTGAATCTGTGAACTCTTACCAAATGAAGGATCTTTAAATAGAGAGCTAAGTGTATGTGGTTCGATTTTCATTCTTTTTTTTTGATTTTGTTTTTGTGTTTTTACAATTTTGCGCTATTTATAGTTTTTACAGTGCTCTTGAAAAATTTTGTAAAGTTCTCAGAGCAATGTTTTTTATAGCTGGGAAGAATTTAGGAGTTTAAAATTTCAAAATTGTTTTTTTATTAATGATATGTTTGTGGAATTACATGATTGTGCATTTCCTTTTTCGTGAGGGATTTTGAAGTTTGCTTTTTCTTCTCTTCAATTCTTGTGATAGGGTGGCATCGTCCTTGGCCAATGCCTGATCAATGATTGGTAATGTTTTCACATACGTCTTGACTCGGGCTCTATACATCATGGCTGAAATTTTCTCAAAGGAGCTTTGAATATTCTCCAGAGTGTCTGTATTAACAATGACCACATCCTTAATAAAGTACGAGTAGGTTTTCTGAACCTCCCATAAATCATTCAAGGAAATCTCGTGTAAGGTGGTATTTTTCGTGATTGTTCCCAGAATGATGGCTGCTGGAGGATCCATGGTTGTTCTTTGCTCATCCTTCTTTCTAAACTCGATACACTTTTCAATGTACTTGATCATGGCATCGAGGGAACTTCTGCTCGACATGTAGGCAACGAATATGACTCCATCAGTGCCTCTGAACTTGTATTCTGCACTATTTGGAGCGAGGGAATAGTCCATAAAACTGCACGATTCTACCTTTACTTTGAATTCTTCCTTGTTAAATTTTATACTCTTACATTCAAAGTCAGTTTTGCCTGGTAAGGTGAATTTCATGTAAATAATTCATGAATAAATATTTGAAAACTTACTCTCGAAAAATAGAGATCTAATTGTTTGCACAACAAGAAAGTTGACACCAGCAACCAACAAGTAAAAGTAATTGGATGGATCGTAAACTACATTCTTCTTTTTAGGAATGACAACCTTTTGTTGCAGAGATTGAGTATTCACATACGAGTAGAGTCTCTTGTAGGAAATGTTCAATGACTTTTTACATTCGAGATCCCTCATGTACTCTTCCAGCTTGTCAATGGTTGGAAAATTAGGATAGACATATTGCCACAGTATCATGTATTTCCAAAAACCTTCCACAATACTATTCTTGAATTGATCTTCATTTTCAGGATCAAATTCAAGAGCCGAGTGAAAACTTTTAGAAATGAGCATTAAATTAAAATAATCACGAGTAAGCTCTGCTGGGAATGGTGTATATTTCGGATAGTGGCCTATTCTTCTCATGGTTGAGCTGGAATTTCTTCTCGATATGGTAGAATTACTCGAATCTATAGGTGTTATTGAACTAGGAGAAAAGGAACCAATCATGTTAGTACCTGTTGGTGAAAAGGAAAAGTCAGCAAACAAGCTTGACGTATGGGTTGTTGTACATAGTATAAAACTGGCAATGTGTAAAATAATTTCTTGTGGACAGTCAGAAAGATTCGAATAATTCCTAATTTTTTGTCGTTTAGGTTTTTGACTAGAAAGCTGTGACAGTGTACTACTCAACCTCCTGATGAATTTTAAATTTGATGAAGGATTATTAGTCGGTGATGAAAGTACTTCATCTTGCTCCGTGAGACAAATTATTGTTGTTGGGTCAATCAGGCATGTGGCATTTGCCGTCATTTTTTCACCATTATTTTCAAGTGTTTGGTTATTTTTATCTCCTTCCTGATCAATCTGGGAACGATTTTCCCTTCCCAAAACCTTGTCATTAATCAAACAGTTTTCTGCTGGGTTGCCTTCTTCTGTATGTCTTTCGTTTGAGGAAGAATGAAAGCTCAGTTCTTCTCTACTACTGCAACTAGTATTAGTTGTTGGTGATTCGACAAATGGTACGACATTTGATTCATTACTGCAACAACTAATATTTGATAAGCTGTGATTCGTATTGTGGACTCCTGAAACAGATGAGGAAAATGACTTGAATGAGGATAAAGTATTAGTGGTTGAATGTTTCTTCTTGTTAGGTGTTATTAGAGAGCCATCTACTGTTAGAAATTGAGTGTTAGAAGGACTCTTATTTAGTGGTGGAGAATGGTAATGTTTCTTTGCCATCTTGGATTCTTTAGATTTACGTAAGAGTCTTGTGAGAATGTTATTTCCCTTAATGGTCAAACTTTGACCATTAGTTAGTAGTGAAGGTTGAGTAGTATTTGATGTTATTGAGATGGTTGGAATGGCAGTGTTAGTGAGGGCAATAGAAGGAGGACATGCTTGATTATTCTTATTATTCGAAACGAGGGTCTCTGAGCGAGAGAATGAATCTCTAGATTTCTGAGAAACTTTAGGTAATGGATTCGAGCTGGATCTTCCTCTTGTCTTACTTTCATCTGGAGCAAAACTTGGACTAGCCATTGAATCTGTCTCATGAATAGAACATCTCTTCAAATTTGCTGATTGACTAGCCAATAAATCATTCCTCTCCTGAATACCAACATCATGCTTTGAAACTTGATTTAAATTTCTACTAAATATTGAAAGAGAGCTAACGACACCATTAATACTATTTGATGAAATATCCAATCTTGAAAAGGATAAATTTGAGCCTTGATTTCTCTTACGACGTTGTTTCGTATAAGATGGAGCCAATTGAGCAGTTGAAAGTAGTACTACTTGATGAGAGGGCATGATAATTTCATCAACAACAACAACAATTCATCAAGATGTTTTTTCTTCTTCTTTCCTTATTGTATTTTCCGTATATAATGTTCTAATGAAAGGCTTGATGTTTTTCTCTCAAAGAGTTTGCAATTAATAATGATGATGATGTATTCAACCAACAACAACAACAGCAGCTAGCAATACTTGTCTTTTTTTCGTATTTGGTTTCATAGAGAACAAAATCTACAAGAGATAATACAAAGTGAGATGAAGGGAAAGGCTTCTTCATGGCATATGAAAGGTTGATGGATTCAATCGTGTTTAGGGACGGAAACTTGCTTATTCTCAAATGTTATCAAAAACTACCTTTCTCTTCCGAAAGTTGATGATATCTCTTCAATATGATGATAGTGGTTAGAAGTTCTACGTATTTAATTAAATAACCAATTTAAATAATATATTTATAATATATAGTGGGTATGATTGATATGACTTGAAAGAACATAAATAATTAGATTCATCATTGTTGATTTGTTGATGGAGAAATCTCTCTTCCGTTCGGTGTTATGGCAAGCTTTACTAATGAGAAAGATGCGTATTGGGAGATTGGAATAGAAGAGTTAATCTCTCTTAGATATTACTATGAATACATGGAATCTTTCATGAAGTCCTTCGCAGTGTGATGAATTGATGAAGCTAGTAGAATTTTTTTAAATGTTGTTCAAAAGTAAAGAAACTAAGTGAACAAGACATTAGCACAATTAATTGTTAGATAATTCTATCGATCAAAGATACCAAAACAATATTTTTATTTTTTTAATTTAAATTTAAAAAAATGGCGGCTAACGGCTAGTTATTTACCATAGACACTTTTCAGGCTCGTTTGATCAAAAAGTAAAATTTAAAGTAAAATTTTCCTTCTCCCCTCTCTTAGGACAATAAACAAAATTCATTATCATCAATTATTGAACCATCATCATTCCTCTTCACCATCACCCAGATAACTTTTGAAATACAAAAAGAAAAAAACAAAGAACTTCATCATCAAGAAGAACAATAAGAAGAAAAAAAAATGTTTGATTGGATACGTTTTATATGGGCTTTGATCGTGATTTACCTCTTCAAGGGAAAGGAAAATATCATACAGACAAAGGCTGAATTGGCCAAGCAAGAACACTTTCCAAAGAAGAAGAAACAAGAAGAACAAGTCTCGCATCATCATGCCGAAGATGTTTATCACGAAATTGTACCATCACATAAACATGTTACTCACTATTTGGTAACTCCTTTTGATTTGGACTGGAATTTGCACATGAATAATGCTCAATATTTAACTGCTATGGAATTGGGAAGAGTTTCATACTTTTTGACAACAGGATTACAAACAAGAGCTAGAAAGCTTAAAGTTAATCCATTGTTGATGGGAGTATCATTCCAATTTAGAAAAGATGTTGGTTGTTTTACTAATATCAAATTGGAAACACAAGTAATTTCCTATGATGACAAATTCATGTATTTTGAACAAACCTTGTCAACTGGTAAACATCAACATATTGGAAGAGGTATTGCTCGTGTTGGTTTTGCTCAGAGAGGAAAGGGATTGCTCTCCAGTCAAGATTGGATTAAACTTCTCCCAACAAACAGTAAATCAGAAGAGGAAATGAAATTGGCAGAAGCTATGCATCTTGATAAACAAATCGAAAAGGCCAAGACTTTCCTGAGAGAAGATCAATCACAAACAGTTAGTGTTGATGAACACGCTCAAGCTAGTATGGCAAAGGAAGTTTTAAAGAGATTGGAAAGAGTCAAGACTTTTGCTGCTCACGATTTGACTTTGAAGGAGTAACACTTTGTTAATTTTGGATATTTACTTAATAATTAAAAAATTAATTATTAAATATTTCAGCAAACGATATTTTCCAATATTTTCGTCTAATTTCTGATCGCATCACCAGACAGGAATTAACAATGATTTAATGAAACAATACATTCTTTTTATTATCAAGTCATGAAAACCAATGAAAAGACAAGCAATAATATCATGTCTGACAACTGCTAATTTTGTACAATACTGTCCCCAATTATTCATTTGGTAATACTTGTCGCAATTAGATGCCACTTTATGAAAAAGAACAAAAGAAAAAAATGGCACAAGTTGAAACGTTAGATTCGTGTAGTTCAATTCAAGAGCCAATAGTGCCAGAAAGTCAGCAAGAGACTTGTCTCATAAGTGCTGACAATGATTCTAAACTTGAAGAATCTCAAGTTCATCTCTCCGAAATATCAACATCATCTTCACCTTCAGTTCACCAACAACCCGAAAATCCAAACTCATCCCTATTTGAATTGTCAAATTACTTTGGTATTGGCCATTTATTGGATGAAACACAAGAGTATTCATATGAAACTTGTCAATTTACAAGTTGTTCTCAACAATGTCATGAATTTTTATTTAAATTCCATCACGGATTACTCTCTTCGAAGCCTAATTCATTGATGATAGATTTCGATTGGGAAGATCACATTGATGTAGTTTCCGTCATCCTTCAGCTTGTAAACCAATCTGAAGAAAAGTCGATAGACATGGCTTCTACACAGTTAAAAGCAAAAATTTATGTAAAATGTGCTGAATCAACTGTTGATTTGCAGATCAATGCAATTTCAGGCATTCCTTTGACAAGTTGGATTGGAAAATTGGTCTTGCCGATTGTGAAATTTTCTCACTTGCCTTCAACACTTTCAAACTTGAAAGAATTCGTTCCACTGAGCGAAGAATTGAGTGAGGAGATGAAAATGGTATTCTTCTCTAGTTATCCTTCACTATTCAGACAATATTTCAATCATTTTCCAAGTGTTAATGATCAGAAAAATGCAAACATGGTATTATCCGATTTTTTGATTGGTTTATTATGGATTGGTTGTTTGAATATTGAAAAATCCAATGAAATTTCATCCAGAGTGAGGACTGTCATGCAAAGATCGATAGGATGTCTTCAGTATTGGATTAGTAATTATGGATTTTGTTTTGATGTGCTGAGTAGCAATTTTGTCAAATCATCCCTTCAACAAATTGAAGAATTATTGAACAAGATTGAAAAGAATGAGTGGAAAGATGAATTAAGTGGAGTTTTGAAATTAATTTCAGAAGATTCATTGAATCAACATGCATTTCCATTATCTTTCAATGATTGGTCGGAATATCTTTCAAACAAGAGGAAGGAGTTGGGTCTTGATGAAGAGGAAGAAGAAAATGCAGAAGAAGAAACTCAAGAAGCAGATGAAGAAGAGGAGTATACTCAAGTTGAAGAGGAAGGAGAGGACGAAGATGAAGAGGAAGAGGAGGAAGAAGTAGATGTCTCTGAAATGTTCAACAAGCTATCCTCCTTCATTCTCTCCCAACATGATTTGCAAGCCACTGAAATTCCTGAAGTATTTGCAAATCAAGAGGAAATTCTGCTTGCTAATTTACCAAATGACATTGACAGTGTTTATTCTATCGTTTTGGATATAATGAGAAAGTCTAATCCCGAAAAGGCATCATTTTTTGAGGAGTTAGCACAACCTGATTTGTATCTTCATTTCATAATGCAATGGTCTCCTCTTGAAATTGCCAAGCAATTGACAAACTATGAGTTTACTAATCATTTTGAACAATGCAAGACTCATGACTTTTTCTCAACAGGCGCACTCAGTAATAATCAAAGTAATTTGGATCAAATGATTGACAGATTTAATTGGATGTCATTGTGGATTGTTTACACCATTCTAAGACAAGAAAGTTTGGAGAATCGTGTGAAAATTATTGGATATTTTGTTCAAGTCATGTTTTTCACATTATCCTTACAAAATTATCAAAATACCATGTGTATCATTAGTGCATTCCACAATAGTTGCATCTCTAAATTGGCAACAGCTTGGAAGGAGGTTAGCGAATTGAGAGATCAGACCAATGCTTTTACTTATCATCAATTTCTTGAAGGAGTCAATGATTTACTCTCACTTCAAAAGAAATTTTTCAAATTGAAATATCACATTATTCAAAATATTGAAACAAGTTTGGAAAACAATGAAGAAGGCACTCAATTCTCCTGCATTCCATATGTTGGTGTTTGGCTTGGTGAAATTTCCAGTATTGAAACTTATTATAATGACTTTGTTTCACCACCAACTCATCTCAAACAACATCACAGTCACATTTCAAATTCCAACACGACTCTTCACACCCACCAATATCCTCATCACTATCTGTTCAACTATGAAAAGAAGAGATTAATCACCAAACCTCTCAAGGAAATTCAAACATTCCAAAAGCTTTCCTTGCACACTGAAAATGAAAACATTTCACTCTTCAAATCTGTACCATTACTGTTACATGTCCTGTCAACTAATGAAATGATCAAGGCGCTTCCTCTCGATCCATCAAATAGTTCTAATAGTCCAAGCTCAAATGGACCAACGAATGAGAGTGCTCTTTCTGTAAATTCTCAACATTCTGATTTGAGTCCAGCACTTTCGAATATTTCATTGAGCTCGAATGGATCTGGTTTCTTCCAAGGTCAATCGACAGTCATGTTAAAATCCGTAACAAATAGTGAATATATGAAGAAGATATTCCGTGAAATGACAAAGGAAATTCTTCAAAAGGAATAAACACAGTCTGTCAAGTTTATTTATGCCACAATTTATAGAAATCTGTCAATCCTTCACACTGAACTGCTTTAAGAGTCAATTCATGATCCAATTCCAAATCAGCATTTTCCAAAGCTGTTCTCATACCAAACACTTTCCAACCATTGAACAGAACAAAATTATAAGAACCTTTTGAAAAGAATGGGGTTGTGTAAATTAATACACAAGTTGTGGTATTTGCAGGAATTGTAATTGAAGTGTTGTCATTCCAATCTTCAGCGTTGGAAGTGTAATTGTAAACACATGACCATGAAACTGAACTGACAGAGTTTCGTTTAGTATCATTTTGATTAGGAGTTCCCAAATAAACACTAGCTCCTTCATAACCACTGCTCCAACCACAACTTCCTCCATGAGACAATGTAAATGAAATATTCGATGCCTTGGTATTCTTGATAAAGAAACATCCCAACATTGCTCTCGGATACTGATAAAAGTTTCCATTATTATTCAAGCAAGTATGCTGTTCCTTAAAAAGGAAAGTTCCAGTGGAACCTTGAAGAAATTCAACAGCAGGAGGTCTACTGAAAAGCACATACGTATTATTGTAGCTGTGAGTGCCACACAATATGGCAGCCATGTTCTCAGCACCTGCAGAATGCCATTGACCAAGTTGAGAAGTAAAAGCTGCGTTGTCACTATTCGAATCTTCACATCTTGAAAGAATTCCAAATACGAAAGGTAACGAATTGGAATTCATTATCAAACTCTTGTCCATTTTTTTAACCTTTCTTGCATTCTCCTCAAATAGCTCCTTAATTTCCTTAACTTCATCCCTTGCTTGCATGTACATTTTCTTCCAATATTCATTGTCTTGGGAGAGCATGTTGATTTTGAAAGAGAAGGAATCGATCATCTTTTGGATTCGTTTTTCCAACAATTGTGCATTCTTTTCTAGAGCTGTTTCTTGGGTGCCAGTGTTGATTTCGGATAGAGCCAAGTAAAATACGAAACTTTCATCACTAATGCTATCGTAAATGGTGAATCTCAAGTAGAGGAAGGCGCCTCCTACCTTGGAAATGATGCCAAGAGATGGTAAACTGTTAATTCTGGCACTAGTCTTGTAATTTTCCAAACTTTTTGGACTAAAGAAAAAGTATCCTAAATGTTGTTGATTATTCGAAGGTTTGGAGAATAACAACTTGCAAGAATTAAAAAAGGCACGCAAATTGTTCTTTCCTTCACAATTTTGGGGAGTTCCAATGGAGAGAATTTCTTGGGCAGATTTTACAGAGCTGACAAATGTCTTGCTCTTGTTAGACAGTTGGAGGGTGAAATTTTCTTCTGACAAGGAGAGGTTCACTTTGAATGAAAGGTTTCTCTCTGGATCAAGAGAAATATCGTTTTCGAATTGCATATTTTTTTTTTGTTTGACAAGTTTTCTTGCAAGACATTTGACATGATTTGTGAATTCGAAAGCAAGTTGTCAAATTTTCATATCAAGTCATCAAACATTCGTAAAAAAATGCAAAAGTTTGAAAGTTCTTTCAATTTCAAAGCTTCTACTCCAGTTTCTTCTTCTCCTTCTTCCCAGCTCTCAAGTTTAATCCAAGTTAAGCGAGACGAAATTTTAAACTATAGTTCAGAATCCAACAAACGTTTCTTCAAGGAATCTCTCAACATTGAACAAACCAACATTTGGCTATTTGGACAACCAGGTGTTGGCAAGTCAAAACTTACAAATTCCTTGTTTAAATCATTACACGGAGTTTTCGACAAGGAAACAGTTGCAATCTCCGGAGGTTCCACCAATAGCCACGTGACCCAAGACTTGAAGTACATTCCCCTTTATTCACCAATACTTTCTGGTGGAAAACCTGGTAATGTACGTGTTGTGGATGCTTGGGGTAACGATGGTTCCAATTATGATCCAACCCTATTCGAAAGTATTTTGAAAGGAAAGGTTTCGAATAATTCACAACAAAAGAGTTTGAAACCAAGTGCAAAAGAAGATAAGAGCAGACAAGTGCATGCTATTGTTTTTGTAGTGACTGCTTCTTCGTGCTCTTCTGATCAGGACTGCAAAATGATTGCTCAATATAGCAAAATTGCAATGCAAAATAATCTTTATCCTATTTTGGTAATCACAAAGGTTGACTGTTTGAATGAAGAATTCAAGACTCATCCTGAAAAAATTGATTCTGATCCTGCTGTCAAGAAGGCTGTCATGGATGTTTGTCAAAATACTGGAATTGAACCTGATTCAGTTTTTTGCACAAGAAATTTGGCAGTTGACATTCAAAAGGAAAGAAATGATTTCATTGTTTTGAGAAATCTTGAAATTTTAGAAGCATGCCTATCAGCAGCTGATAGATTTTTCGAATATAAGGCCTATTTCTCAAATGAGAATGAAAATGTAGAACTTTCTAATAGTTTAGTTTTAAATGCAAAATACATTGGTGATTTATTGGAATAATTACAATAAACATTGCTTGAGTTTTGAATGTAATTCATCAGGGAGCGAATCTATTGAGATTTCTTTTGTTGAATATTTGAAAGGTATCTCAATAAAACCAATGGAATTGAATTGTGACATTTCGTCAAATGACATTTTTGGTTGATTTTTAAATCTGAGAAATAAACACGTTCCTGAGGCATTTCTCACAAGATCATCCAAACTAGCATGAAAAATTTGATCTAAATTTCTTTGAATTTCTCTTGCATCACTTTCTCTCAAAGCCACAAACACGTTGAGAATTTTCTTATTCGAAACTTTTCTTTCACAATATTCACTATACGAAAGTATACTATATTCGATATATCTTCCAACATTTTTCAATGGGTTGCTACTACTCTCCACAATACTAATCTCCAAACAGTTGGAAATGAGTGAAACAACTTCTTGAATCCATTTCTGCATGTTTTCACAATTGTCAACTAGGATGAAGAGAAGATCAGCAATTTTTTCACTGGTTGTTGGTTTTGTTTGATGAATGGAAACTGCAGAAACCGAAGGTTGATTAGGATGAGAATATCTTGTTGGATTGACATAAGAATTTGATTGATTCGAATATGTTGGTGGATTCGAATAATAATTTCCCACTCCTCCACCTCCACCTGTGTAAATGTAATTATTATTGTTATTTCCACCATAAAAATTTGATTCTAACTGACTCACACGAATCTCCAAACGCGTGAGACGATTACTAATAATCTCAAGAGTTTCTTGTTGTTGTCTATTGTTAAGTTGAAGCAGATTCGAAATACCTTCAGTAATCATATCATAGGCATTATTTTTCACCTGGAGAGTTTCAATAGTGGACGATGAAGAATTGCCCATCTTGTTTTTTTTTTTGATTGATGGGAGAATTCTCATGACAGTTTTATTGAATACAAATATTTGTTGTGATGACTGACAGGAAGTTTACAGGTTGGATCTTCTCTTGTTGTGCTCTCTCAAGCAAAACTCAATGGTTTCCCTTCCAATATTAATTTCTCCGCAATGAGCTTGTTCAAATCCTTCACAACCTGGCGATGAATTAATTTCACAAATTTTGTAAACATTTTCATGATCGAGTAAAATGTCAACTCCTGAAATATCCAAATGACATTCCTTTGTGGTCAACCGTGCCAATCTTTCTAGCTCTTCATTCATTGGAAATTTTTCACACAAAGCTCCTTGATGAAAATTTGCTTTGAAATTTCCATTCGTTGATTTTCTCATCATTGAGCCAACTACCATATCTCCCATTACAATAATTCGTAAATCCTTTCCACTCGAATTGGAAATAAACTCTTGCAATATCCAATTATTTGAGGTTGAAATTATTTCATTTAAATCTTGAAGTTGATTTCTGTCCTTAATTAGAATAATTCCCTTTCCTTGACTTCCATTCGTCTTTTTCAAAACCTTTGGATAGCCACCTAGTTTCTGCTCAATCCATTCGAATCTAGTGAGTGGAAATGTTGCAGCAATTGTTTTTGGAATGGAAATTCTCTTTCGTGCTAGAGTTTGCATTGTAACAAGTTTATCCTTTGAAATTTCCATTCCTTTTGAAGAATTCAAAACCAAACACTGTTCGAAACTTTCCAAAAATCGTAAAAGAGCCATTTCACAATACGTAATTTTAGCTCCACATCTATTAATGATGACATTTGGCAATTCCACTATTTTCCCATCATATTCCACTTGATTTTGCAACAAGTCAGTTTCTGAATCAGCACACACTGAAAACAATCCAGTTACCTTACTCGAAACCAACACACCAGCTCTCCATCCTTCCTCAATAATCCTTCGTCGAGTATAATTCAATTCCTGATTGGTTGAAATAATCCAAACTCTCAATTTTGCTTTTTTATATCCAAAACCTTTAATCATTTGCAAGCCGTGCTCTTCCGAGTTGTACAATGTATCATCCTGTGCATTCAAATAAATAATCATCTTGGAATGGGATGAAGAGGATGAAGAGGAAATATATTTTGGTTTTAATTGAAATGATAAAGCATATTCAGGAATTGTAATTTCTCTTGAGGATGACAATTCCGATGCAGATGATGATGATGATGAGGTGTAGATCTCTTTCGTCATTGGTTCTGCCTTAATTGTTACTAATTTTCCATTGGTTAGCAAGCAATCCGATTGGATTATATTCTATTTGATGAATATCTTGCTGTGATGATAATTCTACCGTGCAACTTTTATAAATTTCCTTCATTTCTCCTTAATATAATTGTTTGTAATTTTTTTATAAAATTGTTGTTTTTTCAAAAGTATAATTTCAGTGGTCATTTCATTAATTTATTATCAATCAGCTGTAGGTATATGATTGTTCTTCTTGTAAATATTAAGTACATTGAATCTTGCTCTTTGTAATATTAAGGTTTCACATACAAGAACAATCAAAGGAACTACTATATAGCAATCATTGTTAATTTATCTCGATTTATTGGGCGGAGGATTGATAGCCCAATCACAATAAGCAATGGCCTAGGTAGTTAGATTGAAATTGAACGTTACACCTGTGTTTGGCCAATCGAAATAGGCAATGACATCGCTAACATCACCATGGTATCATTCAATACAAACCAACTTATAAAAATTGTTGTAATTTTCACAGTAGTACGTATTTACAGTACTGTAAAAACACCTTAAAAACACTTTAAAAAAAATGGCATCACACCTTTTGGTCATCACCATATGATAACACGCAATTCTTTTGAATATCCTTAAGTGTGGGATCATCAGCACTCGAATAATACCACAAGCTGAAATAATTTCAGAGACTTTTAAGTAGGTGTTAAATTTAATTTAAGTATTAATCATCAACAAGAAACTAAGTTAACAATTCTATCAATCGGAAAAGTTGAGAAAAGTTCGGAGATGGATTGCATTTGTTATTGGTGCTGCCATGATGATTGCTGCTGGAACACAGTATGCATTTTCATCGATTAGTCCTAATTAGTCCTTCTTTGAAAAAGTAAGTTGTGTGAGAAAGATCAAATATTTAGTAATAATTATTTTAATTATTAATCATTGGAATATTAAAATAGACGATTTGATTTGACTCAAACTGAGGTGAATACTATTGGAACAGCAGCAAATTTGGGAACTAATTTCAGTTTTCTCTTTTCTTTGGTGAATGATGTTCTTGGAGCTCGTTCTTGTAGTTTTGTTTCTGGTGCCTTCTTGTTTGGATCTTATTTTCTGATGGCATTGACAGTTTCTGGAGCTATTCCAGGAGCAGAGAATTATATTGCACTTTCTGCATTCATGTTTATTATGGGTAACAGTAGTGGTGGAGCTTAGACAAAGAACCTACTGCCACTCATACCACCTTGTCCGAACATTGGTTTGTGTTGCCAGCACTGTGGCATTCTGATATGGCTAAGGGATATCTACATATTCAGAGGACCTTATCTTGAATAAGATGGTAATCCTTCATTGAACTTATTATTGATAATAATGTAATTTAATTTCTATTTTTTAGTGTAATTAGAGTTGGAAGATTAAGAGGATAGAGAAAACGAGTACCATGATCCATGAGCTTCCCTTAGCAAGGAATGGTTGAGCATTACTGGTGGCAGTAACATTGAGATTAGTGAATGTGGCTAAACCATATGCAGTATCCCAAGCCTTGACGGTACACCCACACGTACCGTTCATCTGTCTATTTGCCCAATCAAAGTAGGCAATAGCATCACCTACAATGGCGTGAACAGCATTATTCTTGACATCAGTATATTGCAAGTTGACAGCTGCATACTTGACATAGGTGGCAGCTGTCAATTCAGTCTTGATGAAAGTGGCATAATTAGTTCCATCATATGCTGTTATATTTTAAATGAATGGATTGTTATAATTATTATAATATTTCACATGAAAAGATGATGATTGGAATATTTCACATGAAAAAATTGATTATAATTTTGCCAATTAATAATTTAAAACAACTTGATATACTTACCACCAACTTTGATACCAGTTTGATTCAATTGGTAGATATCATTAAAGACCTTGTTTGGTTCCAATCCAGTTCTGATCCATCCCTTTGAAGCTCCTCCAAAAGAACATTGAAAGTGAACATCCTTAACTCTATTGTCGACATCAGGACGAGTATTAGCAGTGACCATGTCGCCTGTAAAATATTCAAATATTATAAATTTGAATAAATTTACATAAAATTTCAATTAAATGTCAATTTTGATTTTCAAACTTACATTGATTAGTTGAAACAGCAAGTTTCAAAGTTTCAAAGAAACCCAAAGCAGTAGTGTTGAATCTGATAATATTAGTTTGATAATTGCTTCCATAGTGTTCATTGATCTTTCTGACAACAGATTGAGCCAAATAGGTCTTGGTTGATAACCATGGTTCAATAGTACCAGTTTCCCTATTAAATGTAAAATTTTAACAAGATATTGATTCAAATCAATTGAAATACATACCAACACATGTTTAAAGCAGTTCTTCCAACGAATGGATCCTTTGCAGGCCATTTAACAGTACCTGCACATGTTGGAACGTTGAAATACATATTCTTCGAATAGTAGGCAATCCATGCAGTGTCAGTTGTCAAATCTTGAACAGCAGCATCCAAAGCATCAGAAACAGCTTGAGTGATGGATGCTTGGCAGTGGACTTGAGTAGCAAACAAGATGGCAGTTGTTGCAATTAAGAGAATGAGGATAGAAGAAGTACTTTTCATTGTAGTTTTTTTTTTGAGTTGGGGAGAGTAATGAGGACAACAGCAAGTGTCAATAAACAACTTCAGTGCATAATACCATTTAAATGACCGTTTGTTTAAATGTCAGTTGATGTTTGACGTTCGCGTCTGTATTTCAATCCTTTTCTATATCATTTTCACATTTAGACAATCGGCACACCATATCCATGTCCTTTAATCTTTCCATATTGGTCTTATGCCTCAACTGTTTCAGTACACACTAGATAAAACACACCATTTAGTGTCAATACCTTATTGCTTAGAGGAGGAATGCAAGAATTCATGAAGGTGAGGAATGACCCAACCCGTGCATTCCTCAATCACTGTACTGGATGATGGAGAGATGAATGGAAATGAAATAGGAAGTCGTAAACAATGATGATGATTAGCAAGGCTTTGGATCTGTGTTTTATCTCTCTAAAATATCATTTCGAGTCGATTTATGTTGTCTCTCTTGTATGATAGTTGGTATTGATAAATAGAAGTTGGTATTGAAGCTTGGTGTCGATAGGTAAAGAGAGGTAAGTGGATCGTGGTGATATTGGATGATGGAGAGGAGTTGGAGGAATTTAAAATTCATGCAGAATATTTGCCGAAAATGTAAATCTATATTAACAATTTAATCATGAATATTAAATATGCAGAGGCGAGATTGTGTGATCATCGAGGAGAAGTGATTGTATCGTGATCGAAATAAATAAATAATAAAATTGAATTTTTAATTAAATATTAAAATTATATTGATTATGAAATATCAAATTATGAAACAGATCAAACCCTTTGAAATTATCTTTTCTGCATTCCTTCCGCTCAGTTCAGATATTGTGATGGTAAGAAGCTTAATTTAATAAAAATTTAAAAAAGTCACCAAAGCGCGTTAAAAATGTTGGTTCATACAACATGTTTAAAAAGTATATAATATCATGTGAGGGTTAGTGATCAGGGCATCTACGGTTCATATCAAACTTGTGCAGAACTTGCAAATATTTCCTTCCATTGCCATTACATTTCCGAGATGTCTTCCATCATTTGGAAATTAGGTGAATACGCAATGCTAATTATCCTTTCGTCATCACATCATAAATTGAAATTAAATCCACTTGTAATATTGGTAATCAAATAACCAACACCAAAAACAATGCCACCAAAATATGTCATTCAACAGCAAAAATTGAAACAACAGGCAGTGTCTAATCAATCACCACAAGCAAATTCTAATGGTTTATTTGTTCAACTGGGTGTGTTACCACAAACCAATCCACAACCACAACCAACTTTAGTTGATTTACCTCCTCTTGTTGTTCCCACCAACAGTATCATTACTCCGTCCACACCAAATGATCAATCATCTACACCACTGTCAGCTGTTTCAACATCATCCATAAGTTTGCAAGCATCATCAACACCAACTAGTTCATCACCTCCTGCAGCCAAACCAGCAACAAAGAACGAAACTAAAAAACCAAAAGAGAAAGACAAGAAAGAAAAGGACAAGAAGGAAAAAAAAGAAACGAAGGATAAGAAAGAAAAGAAAGAAAAGAAGGAAAAGAAAGAAAAAAAGGAGAAGGAAGAGAAGGACAAGAAGAGAAAAAAGGTTCCAGAAAAGTCTTCTGAAAAAAGTAAAAAGAAGAAATCCGATGCTTCTACTCCAACAATCAACACAACATCAATTACCAGTAGTAGTGCAACTCCAACAGTACCATCTCCACAAAAGGTTGTAAAAGATGTTGAAATGACAGATGTCTTAACAAAGGAAGAAGTGATCAAAGCAGTGTTTGAAAATATTCCAAAACAAGTTATTGTTAAAATATCATGCTTGGATTCTAATGAGTTCCAAATTGATGAAGATATTGTATTAAGTGAAGAGGGAATTCCAATTGTTAACGGTATCAAATTGTTTCAATCAATTGATTGGAACAATTCATTAGAAGATCATGAATCTTTCTTTAATTTCAACTGCTCACTTGTTCTTTCAACTATTGCCAGCGAAAGTTCAATAACAGTTCAAGAGTTTATTTATTCTATTGATGAGGCACTCAAATTGAATCAACAGTATTGTAAGGATTTGATGCGTTCTATGAATATTTCACACGAAAACTATTCCTTTGTGTACGATTTGCAAACCAACTCAATGAGCTTGATTTTCAAGAGAGAAACAGAAATAGTGGAACTTGCTGAAATGCTCTACGAAATCAAGACTATTAGAGAACTGAAGGAGGCTGAAGAAATGGAAGCCGAGGAGCAAATTATTACAGAGGGACCAATAGATGAAATTCAAGTCAATTTTGAGTTTAATTTTGAAAAGGAGGAGAAAAAGTATGTATTGGAGCTTCGTGCACCAAAGGCAAAATCGTACAAAACCATTGTCTCATCCCATCTCCAAATTGCTGAAAGTGATATTTTGAATTATGGTGAAATAGCTAGCGAAACACTGGTTGAAGCTAATGGTGTATTACCAACAAAACTGAAGGACGTTCTAGCTAGCAGAGTTGATGTAAAGGTAGTGCATCGTCATGTCTATTATGAGCAGAGAGTAATTTCATATGAAATATTCGAAAGAATGAAGGATATTATTGGACAGACTGAGTTTTCATTATATAATCATCTCTGCTTTCTAGTTTGTACGCCTGATCAGAATACCTTATGGCATCAGACAATGGAAAGATTGGAAAGATCCAACATTCTGCCACCAAATACCAAACTTTCACATGTCTCAATCAAGTATAGAAAAGATCACGTCCAGATGTTCGAAAAATTCAGAGACAGAATTGCAAATGAAAAAGAAACTCTCTTCATTATAATTGTAGACGAGTGTCACTATGCAATTACCAAAGAAGGTGCTCACGACAAGATTGTTAATGATGAGCTCGCTCTTCAACACAATAACTTTTTCATTCTATTGGTGAGCGCAACCCCTTACAATGTCCTCTCAGTTGATAGTAATATTCCAGAAGTGTACAAACTCTTGAACAAACATGAAGATTTGGAAGTTGGTACAAAAATTCAAGTCACTTCCACGAATTATAACAAGATAGGATTTGGTGTATTGATCAAATATGAGGAGCAATATTCTACTCCTGTGTATGAGCTAATTGAATCCAAGGATCAAAATATATTTTTGGAGGATGTAGAAGAAATAACTGGTAAGATTATACCACTCATGAGTGATGAATCTGAAGAGAAAAACTTTGAAATTGGAGAAGTTGTGGAATATGAAGAAGTTCCTGACACAAATCCTCAACCAACTTCTAAGAAATCAATCTCAACAGTCAGGTACATAGTCAAATCCCTAACAAGAAACTTGGAAATGGAAGTAAACCTCTCAGATAGAGATTTACGAAAGATTAATACTTCAAAAACTAGAAGAATTACAAATCAAGCAATTGGCAATATTCCAAAGGGAAAACTTGTTGAAATACATGATATAATCAAGTGGAGTGTAACTTTCAAACCAGTGAATAATGATCCAGCAGTATCCAAAGAATACACCCTCAATGATTGGCAATTCAAACACCTTACCAATTACGAGGAGTACAATGTTGTGAGTTGGAGTGAAGTACAAAAGCGTACAACCTTGGAAAGAACAGAGCAAGATAATCAAACGAAGAAATACTTCAGCAAACAGGATTACATTAATTCTCTCAAGCAAGAAGAACCACTTGTTTTCAAAGATTTAGAATTTGAAAGAGTTCTGAAAAAGATCAAGGTTGCATCCAATACTTTAAGACCAATCATGTTAGCTATTGACTATCACTTTTGGATTATTACTGAAGGATTGAGAAGAAAACTATATGATGAAGTTACTGCTTACAGACATTTTAATTCCATTGATGCTGCTCTTGATATTGAACCAAAGCACAAAATATACGTAGAGATTTGTAAATTAATTTATCTAGCTTACTTGTGTGCTAAACATTTGAAGATGGATGATGTTTTGGAGAATCAAGAATTTGATGACGAGGACGATGACTATGATATCCTTGATGAAACTAAAAAGACCGTAAAGAAAAAGAAGGAAGATTTGGAAAAGAAAATTCAACATTTACTGGAATATTTGAAAAATAAGTTCAAGCCAAAGAATCCTGAAAGATTATTTTCAGTTTTAATCGATCAAGAATCCCACACCAAAACTCTCATTAATACCTTGATAGAATCTGGTAAAATTCCAAATGATAACAGTGTGACGTTGAGAGGGAAAATGAAAATATTGAGAATTACAACTACAGATTTTGCCAACACTGTTTTCAAGCTATTGAGAAGTTCCATTTCCAAAGTAGCAGCAAGTGGCTACATTTCACCAGATATTCTCATAGACACTGGTGAAAATCCACTCACTCTCGATCAATTATCTTTCATCTCAAGAATGAAACTTGCTGAAAAAGTTCTGTCCACAGAAGATTATGAAGTTTTCCAAAGAAAACCAAGTAGACTTTCTAAGGAGAAAAAATCTTTGGAATACATTAATTTACACAATTTCCCTTGCATTCTAATCCTAGTTGCCAAAGGTCGTCAGGGAGATACCTTCCCTAATTCATTTGATTGCTTGGATATGAGAGCCAAAGGTGATTCCTTGCCAAATTACTCATCTTTTACACAAGAATTTGGTCGTTTGTGTAGATATGTGGACGATTCTGACAAGAAACCTATTGCACTTGTAACAGATTCAATTTATAAGGATTTATCCAAGTGCGGTGAAGGTGGAGCTACAATAGTAGGTAACACGAGCATGAAGCTTGATACCTACATGACCAAGATGAAAGGAAAGGAAGGTCAAAAGTATTGGTCCATTGTTACATTCTGTAGAAGAACCATGACTGCAGTTGATGGAAAAAAGCTTAAAGGTGAAAAGAAAAGTCCTCCTTCCTATGATTCAATGAGATCAGGTTCTGATAAGGATATCTCCTCAAAGAAAAATCACAAGAATCGTATGTTACTATTCGCCGAACCACAAGTAAGTATATTTATAGTATTTGTGAATATTAATAACAATGAAATCAGATTGGTAAAACAGACGCCTTTATTCACTGTTTGGAAAGAGTAATTCATGACATTGAGAAAAATAGAAGTGAGCGTATGGTTGATATTAATGAAGAAGAACAACCATACGATGATAATTCTATTGGTGTTGATGCTGTTATTTCTAACTATTCTGAATTGGAACGTGTATTACCTTACTTTGAAAATTTACAAGGTCAACAAAGGGGTGAATACAGCTCAATTTCTGCTGGAAAGTATGCCAAGCTTGTTTTGAAAACCAGAGAGGAAATATTCACTGAATTTACACCTGATAAGATCAGGTCTGTACACAAATTATCAAGAATTGAATCTTTCATGACAAGTTCCAATCATTATTGGAGCAAGTTTATGGAAAAATTGAGTAGCCACAACTTTGATTTGGAAACATTCCAGACATTTGATGGAAGATACAATGATATTTTACATCCTTCATCTGGATATAGAACGCTGAAGTTTGGAGAATCAAGTTCTACATCATCCTCGAAAGAAATTATTGAGAAAGTTGACTTATCCGAAAAGATGAATATTGGTCTTGCAGATATGAATTATAAGGATAAATTAATTACCATCCAATTGCAAAAGGTATTTGGATTGAAGATGGCCATGCTAGAGTCTTGCTTTCCAGGAGAAAAGCCATTAATTTCCATTCCATCAAGCAAAATGAATTGGTTTGTAATTTCATCAGATCAACAACATGTCACCAGATTCCTACTGCCTGATGATCCTAATGGTGTTAGAAGTTGGATATTTGTCCCTTCTTGGAATAGAAGTGCCTCAGGTTTATTCTATCTGAAAAGTATGAAGGTTCCATATAGACAAGTAATTGTTGTAAGACATTCCGAATTCAAGTGCTATAGAAATGTTTTGGGAGGAGATTTTGTGATTATGAGCTTACCAGATATTGTGAATATGAAAGATCTTTTCAAACTATTCCCAATCCCAACAACTGAACAAAGAAAGTTACAGTACAATGAAATAGTGGATGGAAAAACTCTTATTGATTATGAAATGAAGGACGATGTTGGAGGAATTGGCTACTCTAGAATGGTCATTCAAATTCTTTCCTATGCATTTGGTTTGGAATTTATTTGGATGATGGATGATAATTGCCATCACTTTGAGAAGGTTGAAAATGGTAGAAAGGTTCCTTGCTCATTGGCAGAAGTTTTAATTCCACTCGAGAAAATTGTCTATGATGAAAACAAACCAATTTCAACTATTACTCAGTCAATTCAACCAATATTTAAAAATAGACAAAATCCATCTCTGAATATCACTCTTAATGATAGTATAAGCAGTTTTACTCCTGGAAAGGATAAAATTGCCATGATTGGAGTTAGAAAGGATGGATACAGATATTCTTCATCGATCAACTACAAACCATTTGTAAACAGTTTCACCATTTGTTCTCTCTTCCTTTTGAATACAAAAAGAACAATTGATTCTGGTTGTATATTCCCATCAAGAAGATATTTAGAAGACATTGAATTTGAATATTTATGTTTGGAAAGAGGCTTATATTGTGTGAAATCACAAAACTATTTCCTTCATAAACCTGCGAATCCGTTGAGAATAGATTATGTTTTACCAGTTCCAACCATGTATGAAATTGAAGAGGAAATTTTTAATACCATTTCAAACTCAATTTCCACCTCTCAAGCCAACGAACCTTCAAATGAATTCTTAGCAATCAAAGATTTGATCAAGAATTCAAATCCTCAAGCAATCATATTTGATGATTCTAGGAGTTTCATCATGCAAGCATCTTCAATCTTTTTGACAGCTCCCACTTTTGAAATGTTCACCTTTTTTCAAACAAACGACATTAGAGAAAATCTCAGATCCATCTTGAGCTTCCTTCCTTTTGCCAAATCGCAAACCTCTGTGTTTTATTATTCCCCAAGTTCTGATGAATCATCAACCAAAGAATTGATACTAAAGTTTGTGAAATAGTAATAAAGTAATTTATTTAAGATAGATATTTGCATAAGCGGAACTACTGGTACTACCTCTGAATGGATTTTTATAACACCGAGTGAAAAGATCAGCACTTCTGGATGGCCCAAAACCTAGGAAACAATAATCCTGGTTTACCTGATCACAATCAAGTTCTCTCCAGTACAATATAGGATCCTTAAGTGAGTAAGCGAGTCTCTTACAATTACCTCCATCTTTCAGTTCACTAAGGTCTGCTGTTGTAAAGCTGGTTTCAATAGATTCCTTGGTCTTGTACATTAAGTAAGAACTTGTTGAAAGTAAAATATTCCACTTGTCATCTGCTAATGATCCTCCTGAATAATCGCCTACAACTCGTTCAATAAATGACGGATCATATAGATTTGATCTCGATGAGACTAAAGTCCATCCACCATCAGCAATCGATTGTTCACAATACACAACAAAATTGAGTGAGTTTTCATCAGGCCATATCCAATAAAACCCAGAACCTTGATTTGGATATCTAGCCAAATATTCAGAACAAGATTTCAATCCGTAATCACCTTCAATGAAAGCTCCATCTATATTATCTATCTTGGTTGTAACAATAGTTGATGCAGTGAACGGTTGATTTGCAAAGGTTAGCTTGTATGTTGAGAGGGAAATGTTTTGACCAGAATATAGATATCTACTAGAGAAATCATAAGAATAAATATACAATGTTGTAGAGTTATCAACATATGGATAAGTGATTCCTAAATAGCTATCAGAAACTCTTTGTAAAGTGTCAAACCATTGTAATGGAGTATTCTTGTTAGCCTTAATTATCGATGTATTTGGCTTATACTTGAGTCTAAAGCCTCCAATCAAGTAAATTCCATCTGGGTCCATTATAAGATTGGTTTCTGATAATGGATATGGTAGCAAAGAGTTGGTGCCTCTCCACTTCATGTCAAATATGGAAGCAATATAAATCTCTGAAGTTGGTTGATTACTAGGATAAGCTCTTCCACCAAGAAGGTAAAGAGAATCGTCCAAAACGTATACTACTCCATTATAAATAGGGAAGGGAATATAGAATTCCTTCTTCATTTCTTCCCACATTAGTAAGTTCGAAACATTAGCTCTAATAACCTTGTAGGTTGGCACGATTTCATCTCTATCAAGGGTTAACCCACCAAAAATGTACAAGAATTCATCAACCAGAGCAACCATACCTGATGCCACTGGATAAGGAAGTGTTTGATTGTAGACAGTCAAGCAATCCAAACACCTTTTAGAAATGATTCTATCCGAGAGTGTGTTATTGACAAATCCTCCAAAGTAGAAAGTTACTCCATCAATTTGAAAATCGTGAGTGCTGTGGAATGAGAATGCATTAAAGTACCCTATTTGTGCCTTTGTAGAAACTGGTTTATCGAGAGCAGACTTTTTGAAAGATACCAGGTCAAAGCTTTCTGCAGTGTAACTAAAGAATGTTGATTCTGTGACAATGGATCTATGTGTAGCATTTTCATATACTGGATATTTTCTTTCCATTGGTGGAGTGTATTTGATATTAAATCTAATTGCACTAATCATGGTTTTGTATGTTCCAGTTGCTATATTACTGAAAGGAGAGATGGATTGTCTTCCTCCCAACAAGAACCCAATAGTTGCCTTGTAAGAATACATTGAAATAGAACCTTCTTTGAGAATACTCATATCATGAATATTATCAATTGTTGGAATACTAGCAAAATCTGGCTCCCATTGAGTACTACATTCTTTACCAGTTGCACATTGGCAAATATTATTAGCACCCCAGACAAAGAGCCTTCTATCATCTGAAAGGGCAAGAGTGATTTCATTCTTGTGGGCAATCTTAATAATTTTACGATAGCTGCCAATAACTGCTTTTCTTATAGTTACTGGCGTAGTGGAAGATACACTGTCACCTGTTCCAAGAGCTCCATTACCATTGTAACCAAATGATAATACTCCACCATTGCTCAATAGTAAAATTGTAGAATAGTCCCCACAGTGGAAATCCACAATGGCTGTGTTTGTTGGATAAAAACTAGTTGGAAAAGTGGTTGGGGTTGTTACGTTAACTGGAACATTGTTATTTACAAAACAAGTTGTTGTTGGAATGACATATCTATCAACTCCATTATTACCTCTTCTTCCCTAAATTGATTTAAATGTGTGAATAAACATGCGAAAATTGTAACTTACCCAATAATAAAAAGTACCACTCTGAGAAACACCAATGGCATGATGCATACCAAAGCAAATCTTTGAAAATTTTAGTGTTGCAGATATTATAGTTGGAGTGGTTTTATCTCCCCAAACTCCAACACCAAGGTTGTACTCAGTGTTTCTTCCCCACGATCGTGCATACCCATTATTGTCTATTAACACTGAAGTGTAAGGACCTGCATTAATATAGGAAACTGCTCCACTATGTGAGAGGACCAATGTTGGAAGAGAAATATCTACCTTACTTCCAATTCCAAGCTGACCATATGAATTAGAACCCTGTAATAATTAAAGTTGAAATAATGTGAATTATTGAACAACTTACCCAACCATAGATTGCCTTATTTGTCAGAACCAAAGCGTGAGATGCACCACATGCCAATTGTCTAATATATTCATCTGACAATAGAGTCAAACTCACAGGATATTCATTCGTTGTAGGATTACTTCTACCCAAAGTGTTTAATCCCCATGAATATAAAATACGAGTATTTGGATCCAGATATAATCCAAAATAATCACCAGTACACATTGTTGTTCTTTCTCTGAATGTATCTTGAGCTGGTCTATAGAATGTTGTGTTGATTGCTTTCAATGTTGGATACGAACTATTCATCATTCGAGTTGTCAGTTCCTGTGTAATTAAGGAACTATTCATCACTGCGTTCATTCCCAAAAGACTTGTCGAATATCTTTGAAAGGATGTTTTCAAATTAAGTGCTGAAATGTTTTGCATAAAGTGACTATCCCTTGATGATAATGTAATGAACTGAAGTTTCTCTAAATTTTTCTGCTCATAGACTAGATAAGCCTTTCCTGGAGCAAGGTTACGAGACATGGCAATGGCTCTTCTCTGTGTAGAGACTAGCTTCTTTTGATAATCCACTTGTTTTGTATAGTTTCCCCATTGTTCATCCTTTTGAATAATCATTGTCCTCAACTCTTTTCGTTGTATCAATTCATTAATATAAATCTCTGAAGTTTTTTGTCCTTCTACAACCATGGTTGATAGCTTGTTCATATTGACCATCATGATCACTACAATCAATCCAATCAAGCATACCAATCCCTTAATTGATCCTCTCATAATTTTATCAGCAATGTGATGATTATTATTATACAATAGAGAGGATGAGAGGCAGTTGTGATCCCTTAATTGACGGGTTACAAACAAAGTTTGCGGGTGAGGACGAGCATGATGTGGTCCCATTTTTTTTTGTGGTTATTTGGTTTTGTTTTACCATTGTTTACAGTTGAATTACTGGGTGATAGCTGCGGCTTTTTTCGAATGGATCGAAATATAATGTTGTGGGTATTTAATGAATCATTCATGGAGGTTGATAAAGAGCTAATTGTACTTGATGAGAAACTTGAATTTTTCCACGATGATGAAAATTCACCAATAAAAACTACTACTATTAAAATCATGTTGAGATGATGTGAAACCACTCCGAAAATCAGCATTGCCACAAAGTACCATTGTTGAATATTTTTCAAGATTATTTTGTTAGCTAACATCTCATCTTCAAATTGATTCGGTATAGTTGGAAGGAGAAAGGAATTGTGGTGAACCCTGTATTGAATAAGAAGAATAAAAATATGTTTCCGCTAAAAATTTTAAAAAATAAAATTCAAAAAAAATCAACATCTAATCATCTCACATCATCATGTATATTCAAGCCAACAATATTAACATTGGTGTGAAGTTGAATCTTCTCCACAAGAAGAAACCTACCACTCAAGTTGAAGAAGCCTTTGATTTACAAAAGTTTACTTCTTTGCAATCTTTCAAGGAATACATTATGGAAAAGTATTTTAAATTGGAGAAAACTCCTCTTCTCCAACAACAACCAGAACAACAACCAGAACAAGAGCCTCTTGATGATCAAAAGAATTCCATGATTCTTATTGTTAAAGTTCAAAAGGATTGGTTGAACAATAACACTTCAAAGCCAAACATATTTAAACGTATTGAAGGTGAAGAAGAGTGGAATCAAGTTATTCAAGCTGTTCTACTTGCTCATACCAAGGAACAATCTATCATTGTTGGTGAGAATTTGCCAAAGGCCATTATAGTTGAATTCAAACTCAAGTGTAAACCTGCAAAGCGAATGATCAAGAAGCAATTAAAAGAGTTGAAGAAACAAAAGAAGCAAATCAAGAAGCAATTCGTAAGCTTGAAGGAAGAGAATACTTCACCATCTGTTGCTATTGTTGCCGAAAATATGTATCCTACTTTGAATGTCCCAGTTGAAGAAGTTGACAACAAGAATAACACTGAAACAAACACTCTTAAAGTAAAGAGAGAATTACTTTTGGAAAAGAAGCTCAAATTACAAGAGATGAGAGCCAAGTTAAAGATGATGAAACTTGAAGCAAAGCTTGGAGAAGATAATGGAGAAAAGATTGAAAAGAAACTTGAAAAGCATCAAGCAAAACTTCAAAGAAAGAAGGAAAAGTTGGAGAAGAAGGAAAATCACAAGACTGAAAAGTTAATCAAGAAGCAAGAAAAGAGAGAGCTCAAGTTGAAAGAAAAGGAATTAAAAATTGAACAATCCAAAGATGATGTTCAACTCTTTGAAGAAAATGGCCAAGCTCTCGTTTTAAAACCAGAAATTAAGAAAATTTTCATTGATGGTAACAATATGTTCTTTATGAATAGAGCTATGAGACACATTCTTTTGGAATTGAAGAATAGAAAGTTAGCTGAAGACTTGATTTCAACCACTTCTAAAATGTACTCACAACTATCAGAATTGTTATGGAATCAACAATTGCACTTGATGCAAGTTTGCTTTGATTCCTCAAGTCAACAAGTCATCAACAATCCTAATGTTACATTTGTTGTAACATCTGCCAAACAGGAAGGATATCCATCTGCTGATGATCTACTTGTTGAACTTGCAAATAGACAGAATATTGCTTGTCTTTTGGATTCATGTCTATTTGTAACATCTGATAGAGTTTTAAGACAACGTTTGAGAAGTGTTGGAAATGGTGCCAAGTGTGTTGGTTCTGCAAATTGGATGAAATTTATTTATTCCCATTTGTGTTCTAATACCAATGAACTATCTTTGGATGATTGGTTGTTACAACTTTTAAATGGATTAAATCATTAATATAATAAACAAATGAATACGTATAATTCCTTCTATTCAGACACTGTCACACGCCATTGTAAACCAAAACCAAAACTATTAAAACAATGAATGTATAGGATTTATTTTAAATGTGAACGTAGCCCGTCTAGCTCAGTCGGTAGAGCGCAAGGCTCTTAACCTTGTGGTCGTGGGTTCGACCCCCACGGTGGGCGATTCATATTTTTTCTTTTATTTGAATACTGCTGGTGTTTTTGTTGCTCTACTATCGTATCTTATATGAGTTTACAACTTAAAGACTTCCAAAGCTATGAAAGCTGTTGATGTATGTTATAAATTGGCAAGTTGACTTTCCTTCACTGAACTTTATTCTTGTCCGACCATACCATTTTCTATTCACAGTTCCGATAACTGACATTTTCAAAGAACTATTCTCCTTCACTTGTCTTCACCAATGAACTGAAACTAGCTGAAACATATTCACTTATTCGAAACAACTCAACAACAACTTTGCACCGAAAAAAAAACAAACAATTAGAAATACAACATGACAGTCACCCAACAACCAATCCAACAAACCTATTCGAATCCAAACGATTCAGTACCCACCACTGAAGTTTTCAAAAACTTGATTCGTGAAAAATCTCCATCTCTCCACGAATACACTCTCCAACATTCATTCAGCACTGCCAAATATCTATGTGGTGCCAGTTGTGGATGTTTCAGAATTCCATGTCTCAGAGATGACATTTCACACATTACAATTTTCCCACCTCCAAGTGATTTCTCACCAAATCATGCATGTTCATCCTCATGCAATACCAAACTTGGTAAAGATCGTGTCCAAAGAGGTAATTCATGCTGTGATGCAGGTTGTTTTGATTGTTTTTGTAGAACTTGTTTTTGCTGTTTGAATTGTTGGACAAATGCTGAAGGTTGTTTGATTTTGTGTTGTTTACTTGTTTTGGTGTTGAGTATATTTTTGGGAGGGATTTATTTGTTGACTGCTCCTGTGGCTATTTTTCTCTTTGTTTATTATGAGAAGGAGACAACAGTTGAATTGGATGATGAGAAGAGACAAGTTAGAATGACTAGTAGAGGAAAGTATATTAGAAAGGAAACTATTCTTTCATCCTATGCCATCTCTTATGATCAAATTCATGATATTTATGCTCAATTGGTTAGTGAAGGAAGCAATGGTCCTATTGATTCAGAATATTGCCTCGTTCTTCAAACAAAAGAAGGTCAACTAGTCAACTTGTCCAAACCTTTGGATTTGAAATTTGCTGATATCAATGGAGGTGTAAAATATTTGAGAGATTTCTTGAGAATGAGAGGAGTTATATTTGTGAGAGATTCTCAATATGGTGGAATGGCAACTATGAATAATAACACAATGCCAATGAATCATCAAATGGTTTAAGTTTAGAATAATTTCAACATTCAACTAATAAATATTGCTTAAATGGAGTTGCTTAAGTTATTGATCGTAACAAGATAAGTCAATTAGAATTGACATTGAATTTTCAAGTGATTTTTCTGAAATGAAATAATAATTAATAATGTTATGTGAAATATGGCCACTTACAAACTGATACCTCACAATAGCAACTGAACTGACAAGTATTCCAAACGAAATTAGTTTATTTCTAATAATTACATTAATCTCTGTTTCATTTAACTAGTGATATGTTTTGGAACGTTGACATCTTGCATGCAGCTTGACCTCTCAATACCACAAATCCAAAAAATCTTTGCTGATTTTTTATTTAATTTTTTGTATGTAAACGAACTAAACATTTAGTCTAACTCTATTCGAATTATAATCCCATTCCATTTAGAAAGGATGTGTCTTGGCATATGAATCAAACTCTACAATCTCGAACCAGTAGTGAAGAATCGAAATGACTCCTTCCTCCAGTTTTCTATCCAATAATTTATCCTGAACATGTCTTTCCAATAACATGTGGTATAAAGCACAGAACATTACTGAAATGACAACACCCAAGATGACATCCACAGTGTAATGTTCCTTTGCAACAATGATCAGGAAACATCCAACGAAAGTAACTGTAAACAGAATTGTGTTAAAGATCATTCGTACAGCTTTCGACCATCTATCCGAATGTGAATAGTACCAGACGAACCAAAAAACGAGAATGAGAGCGGTTGCATGTCCTGTTGGTAGAACGTGAATTCAATTTTGTCGATTGGCAATTAAATTTTTCGTTTACATGGTCAAATCAAGAAATTAACAATACGAAACTTACCTGAAAACACATAATCTCCACAAGTATCACCAAAATTTGTAATATTCAAAGCCTTCCCAAGCCTCTCTGCCAAGCTTAAATTCTGCAATCTGATACAATTCTCCTTATATTCACTCGTTGGTATACTAAACGTTGTAACACTAATGCATAATGTTCGAATGTTCAATAAAGTTGCATGAATAAACAAGTATCGATGAAAGATGGCAAGCTTATTTCTCTTTCTAAAGAAAGCCACCATCAACATCATGACAATACCAACCAAAGCAAGAATTTCAGAGATTGTGAAAGCTGTCTGACTTGCATGTGGAAGATTCTCTAAAAAAACATCTCTGGCTGGCTCCATATTGGTGGACACACGTGGAATGACAAAGAATAGGAGTGTGAATTTGGTGATGAGGGCAGTGGCTATAAAGTACATGATGAATAAGAATAGACGAAGCAAACTCTTGCCATGTCTGAGGAGGAAAGCTTTCGAATTGGATTTGGAGGTTGTTACATATTTTGTGGCTTCACCTGCTTCAAGACTTGCTAATGGAAATTCTTCGTGTTGTTCTTGAGAATAGCTGTCTGTTAAGCTAGTTGTGTCTGAAGACATTTTTTTAAAGTGTGAATCGTTATTGAGCGTATGCCTCACATGAACGACACAAGTTTCGTCTAATTGTTGAGGTGTCCTCCATTATTTCTTCCACCACAACATGTGCTTAGAGTCATTCAGCTCACTCAATTGGACTTTGTTGGAGGTTGAGCGCATTCATAGAGGACTTGCTCAACTCTGCTATTTGGACGCCAAAGAACGCCAAATGTTTGTAACCGAAAGGAAAATATTACCGTACTTTAAAAGGGAATTCTCAACGATTTTTATATAATTTAATGGTGCTTCTTTTTTAGAGAAAGGATGCGATTTTTTAAACATTTGGGACAGTGCTGCCTTCACAAGTCTTCATATTATTGCATTACTATTTTTGGCAAGTTGACAGCTGTTTCAAGCATGATACAAATGTTGTAGTGTGTTTTCTTTTCTGTATTTGATATTTGAAGATAAAAGGCAGATTTCTCACACTGCTTGATGAAATTGTTAAGTGGAAATTGCCAAATATTTGATTTTTGGATTAAATTTTGCATGGTTATGGACAAATGCAATAAATAAAGAATTACAAAGAGAAGTTAGCAAGATGATTAGTAATCTGAAAGGATAAAACATTCTGAAGCAGTGAAGACAGATGAAACACTATTCGAAAGTGTTCGAATCTCTTCCTAGATGCAAAGCTACCTTGATTTTTATCATTTCCAAATGTTGCATTCAATCACGATAGCAAACATTGCTTTCGAATAATTCGATACAGTAACCAGCTAGGCAGTGATACATTGATTACCAATCAATTTCGAATAAAGGCACCAATGAATGTTACTTCTAACTGTTAAAATAAATCAACATTAATTCGCTAAGGCACTGCCTAGAAACCTAACCCTTTAGTCCTATTAGGAGTTGCAACGTGCAAACATTCGTGTGTGTAATAGTACTTTCGGATTAGTCGGTAGAATTAGTCGTGTGCGATTCATTCATCACTTCTTTTTCTTTATTACAAATTTTTATTATTCAAATTTGAACATTTTGAATACGAGTACTCTAACGATAAGAGAAAAAGAGAGAGGATTGATTTCGAGACAGTTTTTTCGTTTTTGTGAAGTAAGCAGATTTCCAGAATTGCTTTTCGGAATTGATGCCAATTAGAAATGTGTTCCTTCTACGATTCTAATAGGAACATGAAGCTTTTATGCCTGAAAAAAATATCATCAAGCAACATGTGAAAGGTATGAATAGTGGAGAGGTTGTTGGATTTGTTGGAGGAGGTTAAATTTCTTGGATTGATTATTTAATTGTGTGGAGTTTGGAAGTTTAACAATACTAATAACAAATGTTCCGAATATTTAAATTAAAGCAGGGTTGTGCCGTTTGATATTTCACATTTTAATTGAATGGCTATATCACGATGAATGCACCTCATCCCGACGATTTGTGGTGCTGTAGGTTTTGTCTTTTTGTTTGGTCCTTCAGCTGAATTAAAAACTAAAGTTTGATAATTTGGGGTTTTTAATTTCGTGATTACCAACTCCGATTTATTGGTCCGTAAAATTGCCCAAAAAATTGCCCTTAAAACAGTGCAAATATTTCATTCAATTCAGCTGCAATATGTTCACAGCAAAACAGAAAAAAAATAGAATCATATATGAGAGGTTATATTTTCTTATTGATATTAGTAGTTCTATTGCTTGCCCTTGCAGGTTGTGGAAACACACAGGAACCTATTAGAGAACTTCATCATTTTGGTCTCAATTATGCAGTGGACACATCTAAAATAGTCATGTATCAACTTGCTGTTCCAAATCTACATGGAACCATGACGTTGGATTTCGATAGGAATGGTAAATGGAGTGGAAACTATTCCCTCACACATAGTAAGATTAATGCTAGATTCTTTTTTGATGCATTCGAATCAGAAATGTTTTCATTTGACTTTACAAATCTGTCATGTGAAAATGTGAACTCATGTAAAATCACTGTGAATACGCAAAGATCAATTTTGAAGAATGTAGATCCTTATGGAATGCAAATAGTTGGCGTTAGGAAGGATATAGTCAGAAATCAACTCTTAAAGTTCGATATTCAATATGAGAATTTTGGAGAATTTGAACTGACTAGTAATTTTACAATAACTTTTTCTCAAATTAGTGAAACATCATTTTCCTTCCAATACTACATGCAAGGTGTTATTCATCCGGTTAGCAATATGAGAGCTTCAATTCCAATAAGCTTTCCTAGAGATGTCAGTTATCATGTGGATGAATATAAAACCTCCATGTCAATTCTCCTATCCTTTGACAATGCCCCAATTATTGACAAGTCTCAACTCTCATTATCCCCAAAAATTTTGCTTCAAACCTTCTTTACTGGACTCATCCCAAATTACTACACTTCAATCTATTCCTTCCAATTATGGAAGACAGATCTTAATGGTAGAAAACTTTCCCAACGAATTAGCATTCCATTTACGTATGATAGTTCGAAAGGTTTCGAACGAAGAGTGAGTTTTGTTTCAAATTCAATTTTTATGGATCCTGAAACAATTCAGTGTGCCTACTTGGATCCAGTCACGAAATCTTTTGTTCTTGATGATAATTCTCATGTATTGGAGGTTAGCGCATATGGAACCATTAAGAATTTTGTTTTACAATGTTCAGAATTTGAATTTGATGAGAAATTTGATATTTTCATGGTTGGTAAACAAGATGATAGAAAGATGAGGGAATGTAGGTTTGGAGAGGATTGTGCCATGTCAGGAAATATGTTACAATATTATAATATTATGACCGATAGCAAGAGATTGGATAACTTGGTATTGAAGGGTGACAGAATGTCAGAATTTGGTGGAAGTGTTATTGTAAACAATGAAAATGTGACCAATTATCAACGTTTTGCATCTCCAATAACATTCCAAAAACCTCTTTCCTTGAAATTGGTATTCTCTCTGAATATTACTAATTTGAATGAGTCAAATTCGAAAGTTTCAGACAATTTACTTCACTTGGAATATACCAATATTATCCAGCCACATGTTGATCCGTTTTCAATGAGAGTTACTATTCTAGATGAGAAACAGAATGCATTCGTTCTCTGTCAACCAGATTCTCCTAAATTAGGGGAAGCAGTTTGGTCAATTGATCCTTTTTTGACATCAACTTTGAAATTCATTACATTTGGTTTGTGGGTATATGACACAACCACAGCAAATCTGGGAGATGTTGTCTTTGTCAATTATCCAAGAAGAATTGAGTACAGTTTAGAGTCTTCTCTTAGCTTGATAGTTTACTTTGAAGATGTTGAAATTCGTGATCAAGCTCATAGACCTTACTATATTGTCAATGAAATCAAAGATTTAACAAGTCCATTAAGGGATGACTACAACTTGATCAAGAGTTTCAAGTTCGAGTATCGCGAAGGGTTGGAAATTATGGATTATGATGAGGGCAGAATATTCCAGTTTCTTCCAAGCACTCAATTCCTAGATTCAAAAGGAGAGGAAATTACTCTAAGATTTGAAGAAATGACATGTGCCTATCTACTCAAAGATTCATCCACTGGAGAATTTACCATTCTCGAGTTTAGTGATGATAGAACAGTTCTTAAACAAGACGAAAACCAAAATTGGAAATATGAGCTTGATTGCTCGGAAGATATTAGAGAAACTGAATTTTATGTGATGTTGATAGCAAGAAAGTTCAAGAGGGAGCTTCAGATTTCAAGATTTGGTGAGATGATTGTCCTTGATCCAAGATTGATTACTGAATTTAGAAGTGAATGGTCACCTAAAGATATTTTACAAATAAGTGTCAATCCTAACAGTGATTTGGAGGGGTATTATATTTTAAATAGTAAGAAAGTGAGCGATTATCAAGGATTTAGTATTCCTCAAACCATACAGAAACCATTAACTATTTTAGGAGTTTATGAGCTAGTTCAAAATTCCAGATCAAGCAATGATGAGAAAATGTTAAATGCCATTGACGTGTACTTGAAAAAAGATAGTTCAATTTTCAATATGGATCCTCTTTCTTTTAGATTGTTCAAAGTGGACATAGACACATCAAGTTTCCAATTAATATTCGATGACAAACCTTTCGCAGGACCTTGGAATTTTCAAGACAATTTATTGGTTAATCGAGAGTTTACATTTGCTGTTTGTGCGTTCACATCCAACAAAGCTGAATTTGGTGAAAATTACCTAATTTCTTATTCCAGATTATTGACCTACAACTTGAGTAATGATGATTTTGTTTCGTATACATTTGAAAATGAAAATGATCTAACAGGGTCAAACTTTAAAATGGTTCATTTGAATACCCAGCAAACTACTATAATAGATCCAATTTCTAAAGAGGAGTACATCCCAATATACTTATTTTCAATCTCACAAAATTTGATGACTTTTGGATTGAACAGTTGGCGGGAATTTTCAATTTCAAATGTAAATGTGGATTTGGATCCAAATTCTGTTAGATGTGCTTATTCATTAGGACAGGGGTTTCATATTTCTCAAACTACTAAACCACTTGTGATTGGAAATCAAGTTTCCATGAAATGTTTGGATAATATTATGGTCAACTCGTACAATTTTACGATTATTGCCAAAAAGATGAACTATCCACCAACTCCAATCCCAAGTCCATCTATCAAACCAACACCAGAACCAAGTATTGTTCCAGAACCTTCAATTCGTCCACCAACACCTATTCCTTCACTACAACCAGCTCCTGTTCCATCTACTTATCCAGAACCTCCAACACCAATCAGTTCATTCGATAGAGAAAATGGAATTAATCTCGGTAAGGATACATCAGTTTCAAGAATTATCAAATCTGGAGATTCTATTCTCTATAGAATATCCATTCGTCCAAATCAACAGCTTTCGCTTTCATGCGCTTCACTCATGGGAAAGTCTATGAACATATTTATTGGACAAGATTTCAAACCTACACATCAAAAGTTTACTCTCCAAATGAATTCGAATCAAGTTAGGTCAGTGGAAAATCGATCAGCGCAGTCACAAGTAATTTTTATAATGGTTGAGGGCCCTTCTGAAGGTTCTTCTCAAATTGTTCTTCTTCCTTCCGTTGAAAAAGTTGAAAATCCTGAGAATAGTCCTATTCGAAATGAGAGTAATGGTTATTCTGCATTTTTTGCAATAACTGCTTTATTGACCTTAATGTTAATCGGTTCAATGTTTGTAACATTGGGAGTTTTTATATATATGAGAAGGAAACAACAGATTATTTCAAATATGGGAAAGGAATCCTATGAGTTGATTTTGAAAGAAAGACCAAATGGAGATCAAGTAAGAGCAAGTTATTACACGGAGGAAAATTTATAGGTTGCTAACGGTAAAACAAAATGGAAAATGCACAAACTTAGTAACACCTATTTATTGAAAGATACGTTTAATAAAATTGTATTTTCCAATAGATTCTCCTGTGTTGTTTGAATTGTTCCGTCACACCAGCGTTCCACAAAACGCTGTTCTTTCAATTTCTGTTAAATTAAGAAAGAACAGAGAGTTTTATCATATTCAATTTGCGTATTTACTCTTTGCAGAAATGTCAACAATCTGTTCCTTAGTCAATAATTCTCCATTTGATTTAAATTTAACTCCAAAAATAGTATTCAGTATCACAATGCGCTCTATTAACGAAAAATTAAAATAAAAAAATGGACAATACTCAACCTGCTGGGTTTGGAAATACATACTCTTTGATTATTCAATGAAAAACTACTTAACCATTCATTATGATATCTTACAAACTTGTTCTATACATTTAGGAGGAGCTACCCTGAAAGGATGACATCTTTAAATCAAATATTCATCGAACTATAAGGCACAGGTTTGAAAGACAAATATTGAAAGTTAGAAAAACGAGTAAAAATGAAAATTTTATAATTTAAAATCGGGGAACAGACCAAATGATGGATAACGAACGTTGTTCCTCCTTGATCGACTAAGTAATTATCGAGAAGGAAGGTTTCTAAATATTTGCAAAATTTCATTCACATCCTTCAATAATAATTTTCAAACCGAAAAATTTAAAAATAGAATGGATTAATATCAATAATTTTGGAGATGTGGATTATTATCTAGTATTTTAATGATGGAAGTGGAGGTGCCATAGGCACCCACTTCCATCAAGTGGAGAAACTACATTGAAGGAGGATCTGTTAAAAAAAATACAAGAACATCATGCCTCCTTCATCTTCAAGTATTGCTCCTTCTTCGTCATCTATATCATCAATTATTGAACCAACTATTATAAAAACTGTTGGAACAATAACAACATCAAAAAGAAAAATGATCACTAAACCAAAGAGGAAGAATAAAAAGAAAATTGCAGATGAGGATGTAATTGTTCCTGTTGTGGATAGAATTGTTTTAGATAGATCCAATATTTCTAAATTCATCAACTTTAATTCAAGATTACAATTATTTGAAATTTTACAAAATACTAATTATAATGTAGAGTTGCGAGGAACGATGCAACGTTAGTATTTCGACAAATTGTAAACAATAAAATTGAGTTGATAAATAATTTTATGCTCAAAAAAATTAAGTATATTGAAATGGTTCAAACACCAAGCAAGGCGAATATTTCCAACATTCGTCAAAGAGTTTCAGCAAGCAAATCCTCAACTTCTACCTACAAGTCAGGTTACATCCCAGTAACTGACAATGGTAGCTCAGCTTCACTCCCCTCTGTGGTTGACCCAGGGTTTTGGTTGGTTTGGGTTTGGTTAGGATTCAGAGTTGATTTATTTGGGTTATTTAAGAGATTACTTAGTGAAGATTCATATCATTGATTATATTTCTTATCATCTATTAATGATGTAAATTTGATGGTTTCATTTCTTATATTGATAGATATTTAAAGGTCAGGTCAGTATCAACTTTTGAAATATGGACTTTGAGAAGTCAAATGTTTGGGACGTGAATCTACTCATTAGATTGAATAGGTATTGCTAATAAAGTAACATTTCATTGATTTATTGATTATAACGGTCAAATTGAGTTGAATGGAAGTGAATCACATGTTGATTGATCGTGGATGGGTAGTTTCGCCACGTAGTGGTGCAACTACCAACCTTTGTAGATTGAATCACGTTGATTTGCATCAATCTTCAATATGTATCATTATCAAGAGTGATTATTCACCAATTCAATGATCAATATTCAATAATCGGTTTGATTTTCAATCAATAACTTGATCATCAAGCTTTGAATTAATATTCCAGTAATCAACGGCAGTCTATTTTTAAATTTAATCAAAGACCATATATAGTAGCTTGACTTTTATGATTTGGAAACTATCTAGATTTGTTCTATATTGAATAATCTATTTGAAAATGAGATGAATTAACTCTTCAATTTAGTTTATTGATATTACTATATAAATGGTATTATTTCTTACAGAGTCTTCCACAGAACTCACTCTTGAAATATTAATTGTACTAGAGCGTGTGAGAAACATAATGGTGGTGGAATTAATCAATAACTCGTTGAAATGACTGAGATGGAATGTAAACTATGGTCTATTTGTCTTGCAATGGTGACCTGACAGTGTCAATTTCATCAAATTATTTCAAATTGATTACATTCAATAAAAAACCGTTCTATACATCAAACATGTCATATAGAATGAGTTTCAATATTTAATATTATGAACTGACTCTGTTGGATACCATCTCTATAAATATAACAAGATGAAAAGTGTCAACATTCAATTACACATGCATGTAACTATGAAGAGTCATCATTATATCATCTAGATAGGTAATATTTCAAGTTTCAGTGGAATTGACTGTCTACATATTGAGATGTGTATACTAAGGCTGAAGAAGTGTCACCTTCACTGATTACTGACATGAATATGACAATTGAATATATTATTGTTGCATAAATAATTCATTGTTCAATGATTACGATATGATGGTAAAATTTAATTTTGGAATTAAGATACTTCCCCATTGATTACCTTAGATGTTCCTTAGTTGACTTGAAGATATTGAGCCATCAATATGAAACTTTCTCAGATTGTTCTCCTCATGAAGGGAAGTGTATTCATATTAGATACTTGTATTATATTTTGTAAACTGACTGAGATGGTATATATTCTATATGTTGAAATGTGACAATTTGACAGATTGTTATTATTATCATATTGAATTCAATTCTAACACTATAAAATTGATACCATATGTATAATAGTTTGATTAAATGTATCTGGTAAAGTTACAGGATGATTGGAAGTACTTTCATTGAGATGGAGTGTTCACTAAGATATATTAAGTGTTGACATTGAACATTTACTGATTAATTTTATGAAAATAGTTTGAACTGTTTCTAAACTATTGTAGATGTATTTAATTGATGTATAGGCTATGTGATATCAATTCCAGACTGATTGTACGTGCAATGAGTGAGTTGGAGTATAATCTATGACATCATGCCAAATTTCTATAGTAAATTGATAGAGTTGATATCTCACTATCTACTGAACCAATATTCATGAAATTGATACCATATGTTAATTAGAGTATCTACATATCATGATATCAATTTCAGTGAAAATGGAGTTGTTTCTGTACCTTTCAGATTTCCATCCATTCTCTTGAAATATCACCATGTACTATCTACTGAATGCATTTCTTGAAATGAAATTATATAATTTGATGAAAGTCCACTTTATTTGAGATGTAGAACACGATATTATCATTTATTTTGAGATTGGTAATTCTTCCTATAGTATCATCCTTATTATCTTAATTGACTAAAAGAGGTCAAGGAGATATTTCAAAACATAAAATAAATTATATTTTCGAGATGTACTATCGATTTCCAATCGATTGATATGTATTTTGTTGATTGAGGATTTGGTTCTCTATATTCAAGATTTCCTACTGCTTCCAAGTCAACCTTGATATTTCACCCTTTACCTTACTGAAAGATGGAATGTTCACCAAAACGTCTGAAATTTGAATCATATACAGTATTTGAGATGTTGAACATAATGGTAATGTTTCATAGAGTGGTCATTTTCCAGATTTTCATGCATGTCCATAGTTGACTAGTTGGTATGATAGAGTTGAAATCATGAACATGAAAGTGAAAATAAACTTAATATTCTATCTCCACTCATCGAATGGAGCATTTTCATGTATATTTTGTTGATTGAAGTGATGTATTTGATAGAGTTGGTCTGACTTGTCTTTTCTTAAAGTCAACCATAATATATCAACATTTACCTTCCCATGGTACCATTTCTGATTTTTATGATATGAAATTGAATTCTACATCATTATATATCATCTAAATCATGTTGGTAAAGTTTTAATAGGTGGTCTTTTTTCAAGATTTCATCCTTTTCATCATAGTTGACTATGTGTGGTTGAGGGAAGAAATCTTTAAATATGAAAGTGAAAATAAATTTGATATTCGATGTTTACTCATCAAATGGAACATTTTCATATCAGGATTCAATATGTTTTGATGAGAAACTCAAAAGTTATTGTTGACCTATTTTACCTCACATCTTCCCTTTTCTCTCTATACTTTTATATCTACAGACATGAAATTTTGAAATTTTATATGAAAGTGATTATGAATGTTGTTAACGATGATATAGACTATATAATCTCATTAAAGGATTTTGAAATTAACATTCTTCCTATAGTTTCATTTTAGAAATTTTAATCTGACATTATTTACAAAGTTAATATTTTATAAATTGAAAAACTAAATATACCACGTTATTCTACTCATCATTTCCAATCGAATGATATATAATTTAATGATATTTGAATAAGTTTATAATTTTGGGCTAGGGTTTGAAGGTTGGGTTTAGAAGAATTCTATTTTTAGGTTGGGTTTGGTTATCGTTTCGTACTCATTGGATCTTCATTATTATTGAAATACATAATCAATGATATACATCATTAAATAGGTTACAATCTCAGCTATCCAGTGGGCTATAGATTGTGTATAGTTTCTTATCTAATTATTGAGATAATCAGCAATTCCTCCCTCAATATATTGCGATTTTACTATTCCTAGGGAAAGGTAAAAGAATGATCAGAAATTGATCAATAAAAAATATATGTCATACTAGAGATGATTTGCTATCGATTGGTGTGGGTTTGGGTTTGGGTTTGGGTTTGGGTTTGGGTTTGGGTTTGGGTTTGGGTTTGGGTTTGGGTTTGGGTTTGGGTTTGGGTTTGGGTTTGGGTTTGGGTTTGGGTTTGGGTTTGGGTTTGGGTTTGGGTTTGGGTTTGGGTTTGGGTTTGGGTTTGGGTTTGGGTTTGGGTTTGGGTTTGGGTTTGGGTTTGGGTTTGGGTTTGGGTTTGGGTGGGTTTGGGTTTGGGTTTGGGTTTGGGTTTGGGTTTGGGTTTGGGTTTGGGTTTGGGTTTGGGTTTGGGTTTGGGTTTGGGTTGGGTTTGGGTTTGGGTTTGGGTTTGGGTTTGGGTTTGGGTTTGGGTTTGGGTTTGGGTTTGGGCTCTGGGTTTGGGTTTGGGTTTGG